TTCGTAAATTCCAATTCTTGTAAAAAGAAGTTCAAGAGGGGTAGGGTTAAATGACGCTGTAACGTATACGTCAATTTTGGATGGTTCGAGATAGGGCGTAAGGAATTCTAGGTAGGGTGCGGAGTAGGGTCGTCGGTGGATGATGATTCCGCAGGGAAGTAGGTAGTGGATTTCTCTCCCGTCTTGTTCTGGTGAGAACCCAAGTTGGGGAGTTTCGACGTAGTTCGGGAGGTGATAGATGCGTGGGGAGATTCCGTCGGATAGTATGAGAAGAGCTGTTTTATGTTCTGCCGCTCGTCGTCTGAGGGCTCGTCTTTCTTCACTGTCGTTCCGACGAGGGGGTTCTAGAATTCTTTGTTCGTAGACTTCGATCGATAGGTGCTCTAGGTGTATCGAATTGAACCTGTACAATTCTCTGGACGCTTGATCGGATTCCCAAAAGCAGGTTTGAGCAGCTGCTGATGCGTACTCAAGTAAGCGCGACGTATTGACGGAGTTGGGAGATTTCGAATGCTAAATTGTCGACGGCTAGAACTAGTTCTTCTAGTTCAGAAACGGGGGAAGAGGTGGCTGATGAGTCTTCGTAGTACTCAGTTTCTGTGTCGCTGTGGGCAGACTGGGGGTTCGTGGCAACGTTGACAGGTACTGCAACGTGGAGGTCTCGGTTGTTGAGGGCGCGGTGGAATTCCTCGAGTGAACGTCGTTCTTCGTCCGTTACTAGGCTCTCTCTGATGTTCGACAGTTTGACGATTGTAGAAGTGATCAAAGACGACAGCTAGGGTGAGGACTTGAGCTAGAACAAGTAAGAGTATTACTTCGAGGTGGGTAGGAATGTTGGAGAGGACAACTAGCTAGCTTAGCTAGAAGGCAAGTGGTTGTTTTGGATGGGTAGGAGGACGGTGAATGACAACACGTCCGAGGGATGAAGGAAAAGGTAGATTAGGGCTATAATGGGTTCAAGCGAGATGGTGCGCTGTGAACGGATTGTAGAGTGAGCTTTCTATTTTGTGAGGCAACGATAAACTATAACAAGAACTAAACCTATCTCCTTCTGCACTTGCAGGGAGTAAGGGTTCGATGAGCTTGAGGTCAACAGACGCTAATGAATACAGCGAGTCGAGGACTTTTTAAGAGGTAAGCTTCAAAGGTTCTTGTTGAGGAGTAAAGCGGGTAAATTCAGTAATAGAAAGCTAAGGAGCTATACATGAATAGGTACGGCTTTATATAGGGAACTGTCCGTGCCTCAGACCGAAAAGAGAATATACAAAAAGTGGTCTGAGGGATTAATCAACCAATAAGAAAAAGGGGAGGTAACTATCGTACGACTTCTGACTTGATTAATCAGCAGGTGAGAGATTTGTACTAATAATAGAAGATTGTCACGCGTGGTCAGGAACCGTATCCTCATAATGAGGTACGATTCTAGATAAGGCGTTATTAGTATTACCAGGCTTTACTGGGGCTTGGAGCTGGTTGGCGAGATGCCTACTACCAGTCCCTACCCAGTGTGCTGGCTAGCTGGAAGCGATGTCCAGTCTCTGATCTGTGATATAAAGTGGTAGCGATGGTTAAGAAAGCCTGTGAGGGCTATGAGAAGTAAGATGGCAAAGGATACCTCTAGCCCTAGAGCCAGAGGTGTAACGGGAAAAGTGTTTGAGAACCAAGACATAACGAAGATAGGAAAATAATAAAACGGTCCTTACACTCCACCCTCCTCCTCCTCATCTTATTTGCACCCCCACCATTTCTGATGTCACCACTTCCTATCCGCTTCCGTCGCCGATCCGTTGACTACCACGTGCCACTGCTGATATCAGCAAAGCCCCGGCGGCCGGTCCAAATAGGGCAACAGGTCCATCTTCATGACGTCGATCTGCCATCATATACTATCAAAACATCGGTCACTCGTCTTGCCTGGTTGGAGCGTGGGTGGGTAGTTTTTGAGCTGGAGAAGGTTCATCCCCTTGCGTCGCCCATGTTCATCGCTGTCCCATTCACTTGGGTACACTTATCTTTTGTCCATCGTCTTCGCTACAGCTACACCTACCACACGCTGCCTGGGACTCACTTGTTCCAAATTGGAACTACTCCTCTCCCTCCCTTGTTTGATCAGGTGGTCCAACACAACCAGTCCATTGGTAAGGCCATGGAACTGTCGGATTTGGACTAGGTGGTGGACCGGTGGCTCCAGTTTCTTTTTCTTCAGCAGAACATTCATTTACAGTGCGATTATTTTTGATTTTTGAATCATTTTTATGGACACATATTTTTTTAGAATGCCTGACTGACAATAAAGGAACTGTGTTGATACTGATAGTGTTTTGCCTTGCCCTTTTTTTACTGCATCTTCCCATGACATCATGATCTTCCTGCTCTCTTTTTGCTATTGGACTTTACTTTATGGCTGTACAAACCTGTGACATTACTCACAGCATTTATTGTTCTATCCCTTTCTTTTCTTTTTTTGACAATCTTATCCTGTACTACCTACGCAGGATTCGTCAGCATACATTCCTTCCTTCATATTCTTTCTCATTCTTTTTGCACAGCTATACTGTGCATAGCCTACTTCTCTTTTACTATATAAACTCCTGTATTTTACCTTGTAAAAACAACAACAAGAACTCAAATCCAGACTTCTTCTCTACTCTCAAGTTCACTACTCTACTACTTGTGATCCAGTGTGGTCACAACACTTCCCACTTCTACCATTATTAACTGCTGTCATCGTCACTCGTCACTTTTGAAAGTGATTGTCTTCCCTTTCGATCAGAGTCCTTCTGAGCACTACAGTTTGTGCGTCAGGAGCCTGCTATCACTGGGAACCTCGTCACCTTGTCATCCTCGTTGTTCTCACTCCTCAAAACCCACACTCATACACCTCTGGGTTTTACTTTGAAGGATCTTTATACGTACCACCCCACGAACAACCAGACCACTCCACTGTTCTAGGAGGCAAAGCCCATAAACAAGTTCCGTGGAATCTGGGAGGATTGTGTGTTAGTTTGTTTTGTGTGTGGTTTTCTAACTGCAGTTCTCATCATCGACAACGGAATGCAAGAAGGGTATTCTTTTGAGCTAGCCGGCCATTGAAGTCTCAAGCAATGAAATGAGCAGTTAATGCTAAGAATGATACAAGGTTAGGGTTACTCCAGCAGTCACTTGTGAATGAAATCCGTCTGAGAGTAGTCTAGAAGCGGCTAAATCATAAAATTGATTGAAGTGAACCTAAACAGACCTTAAAGACACCCTTGATTTCAATGTGCTCTGTTTTGTATGCCATGAAGATCAGCTCAATAGGCTTTGTGCAATAAGGCAGGGAACTTTCAGAGACATTATCCCAGCCATACAACACAAAATCACAAAATCACAAAATTCTTTGCTTTCCACAATATTTATAGCCTGTTATAAAGCATGTCAGCAAAAAATAATTGGATAGAAGCCAAAAAAAGTTGGAGAAAAAAACAAACCTGATCATCAACAGCCACCCAGCGCACAAGGAGCTTTATCCATTCTTCAAGTACAAATTGGCCAGAATGTGCGTGCAGTGATGGTATTCTGACATAATCATTGGCATATTTCAGATTGAGAGCACTGGTGACACAGTTATATTCTTCTGAATATTCAGATACAAGGTGTCTTCAGATTGTGGTTGTCACACCATCTGTATTCTTTGACCAAAACATCAGGTTTATAGTTAGATAGTTATTTACAAAAATGTACTTGCACAATTTGCGACCTAACCAACTTGATTTGGGCTTTTTTGAGAGCACAGACTCTTCAAAGGGTAGTGGCAAGTAAACTGGTTTAATTTTGAATTGAGAGCTCTGCAGAAGTAGTACACATCAGTAGCTCTTGTAGTTGATTGTTGGCTGCGGTTGCGGTGCAAAGATGGATAAGAACCTGTTGGGAATTGCATGCTAGCGCTGGCACTACTACCACCAGGCTCATTTGAACTTGGCTGCAGCTGCACATGCCTTGATGCTCCGACTGGAGACAAGGGTGGTGAAGAGGCTGGGCTTGAGGTCAGTGCTGTTGGTGGACCAACACCAACCTGAGTTGATAAAGGGATTGTTATGGCTGGTGCAGGTACTCGAGTCTGCTTTTGTGGAGGTTTCTGTGGCTGACTTTGCACAGAGTTTACATTATGTTTGCGACCTCTACTTTGTTGTGCCCTTGAAGTAGCCTGAGCACCGGAGTTACCTAGGACAGCTGGTTTGGCTGACTGGACCTGAGTTTTGGCTGGAGGCTGAACAAAATAGTTTGAATGATACATGTTAGCAGAGGGAAACTGGGCATTGTTAGGAATAGGATGTGTGCAATTAGCATAAGAATCATGAAACCAACCCATAGGGCTGGATTGGAGCAAAGGGATGCAGAAACTGGTGTGCTGGCTGTTTAATAACACCCATTGGATAGGATGCATTGGTGATAGCTGATTCAGAGGCTGCTGAACTTGGAAATGGTCCCATCGAAGAGACCCATTGTTGTGGCCTCTGTGACCGTGCACAAGTACAACCACCAGGGCCCTGTGGGTTGGAACAAGTGCATAGCGAGCCTGGGTTTCCCATCCACAAGCCCAGCAAGTTTGTGCACTGTTCAACAAGTTCTCATTAGTAAAGAGCCTGCTATTTTATAGTGTGTATTGGAGCATGTTTTACGCACCATAGGACCCATGAGGCTGCTTGGCACAGAGAGTGGAGCTGATGCATCCCAGAAATCAGTTAGAACTGGCATTGATAACTTGCTGTTGGATTCAAAACATTCACAGATAGGGGACAACGGTATAGATTACTTGCAGGCTGGTATACAAGCATATGGGAATGTTGGTATGGTTGATTTGCAAGTTGGACCGGTGCAAACTCAACAGTGCAAGTTGCCACAAAGTTACCAAAATGGCAAGCCAAATCCGAGTCGCACTGGTGTGAACTTGAACTTGCGGCAACACTAGAGACAGGTACCCCAACTACATTGTATCAATATTGAGGCCGCACTGCAGTTTACTGCTCTGTGATTTCTAATACCTCATCCAAGGTAGTGTAATAAGTCTCTGACATCTCATCCAAGGTTGTGTAATAAGTCTCTGATGTATCATCCTGGAACGAAAAACCATCTTGCATGTTGACGCAGTTCCGTTTCACACCTTCAAATTGTGCTGTCACTTCATCCTCAAGACTGGTGTCGAAGAGGTATTTTTCAATCAACTTCACTATGCCTAATCTCCCCACAGAGCACGCAAGCATCAAAGGTGTCAATCCACTGTTGTCCTCCAAGTTAATGCAAATGTTGCTGTGAGCAAGAAGAAGCTCCACAGTCTTCTCTTGTGTACAAGCATCCCACAATTCCTGTTCCTTGCTGTTTTGTGATATGATGGTGCAATGAAGGGGATTTTGACCCAAAGCATTCTTCAAATTGAGTGCGATGTCATCACATGCCACAAGTAAAGCAGCCACCTCCTTGTGCCCAGAATGTACTGCACGGTGTAGTGGTGAATCTCCATTATCATCTTGCAAATTTGTGTCAATGTCATCTCTAGAGAGCAGTTGTTTCACAAGAGAGATGCATCCATTTTTTGCTGCTATGAAAAGGAGTGCTTCTCTGTTCTTGTTTTGCCAGTTCACATCAACATCGCATCTTTTGAGCAGCAACTTCAACACTGTCTCATTCCCTTGCTGGAAACCTGAATTTTTGATGCTCTCAAGGTCGTTGCTGTAATAAATATCATCATTTACAGTACTACTGTGAAAATTATTGTCAGGCTTACCTCTTTCTACCGTTTGTGTCGGTGCTATCTACACCTTGGTGAGTGGGGGGACTCGTGTCTGAAATCTCGTCCACTTTGCTAAAAGCATGGTATGCTGCAGCCCACAATGGTGGGACACTGCTGTCCATCGGAAGCAAGTTCATGTCAACCCCACCGCAAGCCAATAGAAGTTCCGCCGTCTTTTCATCACCATGCCAGGTTGCTATCCATAGGGGCGTAAAACCACTCTGATCTTTCCAGTTGACTTTAAAGTTTACCGAAGTTCTTTCGACAAGCAAACAGGCTAATTCCTTGTGGTATGGAGGTCGGAACAAGAAAGCAAGTGGTATGCATGTCTCGGAGAGTGTGAGCTGGGCTTCCCCTTGATTAGCCGTAAGAGTGTACGGTGTGGAATCACAATCCTTGTGTGAATAAACTCCCACATTGTGCCTCGCCGATAGTAGCTCAACAACTTCGGCCTTCCCTTCATGTGCTGCACATAAAAGCGGTGTCCAACCTTCATGGTCCTGCGAGTCAACATCCACACCATCAGTGGCCAACAATAGCCTTACAACCTCCACCCGCCCCTTTCGAGCGGCTTGCCAGAACGGTGTCCGACCGTTGTTGTCCTTTGGGTTCACATCAACCCCATCCCGCTCCAACAGCAGCTTGACGGTGTCGATGATGAGAACTGTTGTTAGAAAACCACACACAAAACAAACTAACACACAATCCTCCCAGATTCCACGGAACTTGTTTATGGGCTTTGCCTCCTAGAACAGTGGAGTGGTCTGGTTGTTCGTGGGGTGGTACGTATAAAGATCCTTCAAAGTAAAACCCAGAGGTGTATGAGTGTGGGTTTTGAGGAGGAGGGATAGTTGAATTTATAGGAAGATAGGTGCTTTGTGGCGAGTATAGACGAGCACTACCTTGCTAATCGTAGCACAAGGTAGGTTTGAGAACGACCAGTATGACGAGGTGACGAGGTTCCCAGTGATAGCAGGCTCCTGACGCACAAACTGTAGTGCTCAGAAGGACTCTAATCGAAGGGGATGACAATCACTTTCAAAAGTGACGAGTGACGATGATAGCAGTTAACAGTGGTAGAAGTGGGAAGTGTTGTGACCACACTGGATCACAAGTAGCAGTAAGAAGTGGACTTAAGATTAGAGAAGAAGTCTGGAATCGAGTTCTTGTTCTTTTTTTTTACAAGGTAAAATACAGGGGTTTATATAGTAAAAGAAAAGTAGGCTATGCACAGTATAGCTGTGCAAAAAGAATGAGAAAGAATATGAAGGAAGGAATGTACGCTGACGAATCCTGTGTAGGTAGTACAGGATAAGATTGTCAAAAAAAGGAAAAGAAAGGGATAGAACAATAAATGCTGTGAGTAATGTCACAGGTTTGTACAGCCATAAAGTAAAGTCCAATAGCAAAAGGAGAGCAGGAAGATCATGATGTCATGGGAAGATGCAGTAAAAAAAAGGGCAAGGCAAAACACTATCAGTATCAACAAAGTTCCTTTATTGTCAGTCAGGCATTCTAAAAAAATATGTGTCCATAAAAATGATTCAAAAATCAAAAATAATCGCACTGTAAATGAATGTTCTGCTGAAGAAAAAGAAACTGGAGCCACCGGTCCACCACCTAGTCCAAATCCGACAGTTCCATGGCCTTACCAATGGACTGGTTGTGTTGGACCACCTGATCAAACAAGGGAGGGAGAGGAGTAGTTCCAATTTGGAACAAGTGAGTCCCAGGCAGCGTGTGGTAGGTGTAGCTGTAGCGAAGACGATGGACAAAAGATAAGTGTACCCAAGTGAATGGGACAGTGATGAACATGGGCGACGCAAGGGGATGAACCTTCTCCAGCTCAAAAACTACCCACCCACGCTCCAACCAGGCAAGACGAGTGACCGATGTTTTGATAGTATATGATGGCAGATCGACGTCATGAAGATGGACCTGTTGCCCTATTTGGACCGGCCGCCGGGGCTTTGCTGATATCAGCAGTGGCACGTGGTAGTCAACGGATCGGCGACGGAAGCGGATAGGAAGTGGTGACATCAGAAATGGTGGGGGTGCAAATAAAATGAGGAGGAGGAGGGTGGAGGTGACGAAAAAGTGGATTAGAATGGGGATCCAGAAACGACCATCAGGTGAGAATAAAAAGGAGAGGAAGGGGCCCATGGTGGGACTAGGCAAAGGAAGGGGAGTAAGGGAAACGACAAAAGCGAGGGCACAATGCAATGTGTAGCCAGTGGCAATGCAAAAATTTGCCAAAATACTGAAATGCCGAAAGTACCGAATGGAAAAGCAAAGGTGAGCGTGACTGGATTGCCTAATAGAGGTGGTGCTGATCAGCCACAAGTTCGAAAAAGGCAATATTAATTACTATTCCACGTGGCACTGTGCCTGTGTGGCGCAAAGGCGAGTCTTTTTGAATATTTGCTTCGTTATTGACACCTGTCCATGCTACCAATCAACTTTGGTGCATGACACCGTCAACAACAATGTTGTTCCCCAGCAAGTAATCAATAATGTGATAAAGACCGAAATAGGCACACAAGTGCAATGCTGAGCCCCCATTGAAGTAACGAGAATCAAAACCATACATGGGTTGTAGGGCATTCTCAACATTTGCGTCATCACGTAAAAAGTCATGGATCGCCATTGGAATCGTCTTCTCAACACTGCGTGCATGATGGCCCCAATTTTGTCGCGCATAAACGATGAAGCCTTGGCTGCGGTGAACGTCTACAGGATTTGTGTCTTTCGGTGGAAGCATAGAAAGAGAGTCAAGGCATATGTTGGTGATTTGCACTTCGGGGTCTGGGAAAGCCCAATCTCCACATTTTACGAGATATTCCTGAGCAGAGTAATCTGAGTGATAACAGATTGAAGCAACTAATATGCCAGCACAGGCTTCCATTATTGTCTCTTTATCCACCAGGTCATCAGTGCTGATCTTACGCAGACCAGTTGAAAAGGCTAGAGCTTCCTGGAGCTCCGTGAAAAACAGCGGTCGGGAGGCAAAAATAATCAATGTCATGGCTTCCTTGGCTAGACCTCTATGTCAACCCCCATCTATCCACTTCATGGTTTTGTCGTAAGCAGTTCCCACCTCCTTAGGGTGGTTATCAAGAGCAAGTCAAACATCATTACAAGTAAGTTTGTGTGCTAGTAGATCCACGTGCAGACGAGATAGCAGAAACCTTGAATGGTGTGTCAAAATCTGGGGTCTGTAAGAATAAAATAAACTCTATGGAGTACTCACATGCCTTGACTCTCTTTTGTCAGCCACTCAATGACCTCTCCTCTAAAGTTGCCAGCAACCAACATCCCGGCCAATCGTGCCGATAAGCAAATGCGGTCTGTGATATACTTGCGTACATCATTTTCATGCACACGGATGTCCATGCAAAGAGCTTCGCAAAGGACTGCCCTAATCTATGCCATGTCACGAGAAGTCACCAATAGGCTACCTCCCAGAGATTGCAGACAATGCAGCATCTCAGCACGAGTATCATCATCATCGGGGACTTCATCTAAAGCGTTGACAACAATGAAGACCCGGGAGAATTGTTTGATTTCGTTGATTAACGCATTGCAAACCTCAAGTAGAGTTGGACGGAAGTCTTGCTCTCAATGACGTTTAAATTTGCCTTCAATGCGCCCGAACGTTAGGGGAAAATCTTGTACAAGCTGTTTCAATAGGCTTGCAACGAGGTTACAAGCGGTTTGTCTTGAACGGTCGTTATAGCTGCAATAAGTGTAGACTACAGCCACACTGTCCTTTTTGTCCTTCTCGAGATGGTTTATGATGTATGACCTAGTAAAAATGTACGTGATAACTGCTTAAGATAACTGATTTGTTGCTGGACTTACGTAATAACAGTCTTCCTAGCACCTGCTAGTTGATTCAGCATATTAGGGAAAGGACCATGTGGATCGCGGATATAATAGTGCACTTACAAATTCCAGGGCACCAAAGGGTTTTTACACCTCCTTTTTGCCACTTTTTGAACCTTTCATCACCGAGCACCCATCCCCCTGTCCCCTCTCACCAAACGCCACGAACTTCGCTCTGCATTTGATGGAAATTCAGAGGAGACAGCCAGTTTGCAAATTCCTGGCGTTCTTTAGCTGGTTATGGAACGAGCTGTATTAGACTACAATGGTGCCATGGAAGAAGATATATTGCACCGTTATCTTGAGTATAGTTGTTGATTGTCGTGCTATTTATTTGAGGACCATATATTTCGTTGTTGACTTGATGGCCACTGCTATGGACTTTGTTGAATCTACCATAGTGAGCGTCAAGAGAATGAGATTGCGCCACCAAGCCCCCAACATCAATGTTGCCAACACACAAGAGCGAGGACCCTGGAACACTCATGCTACTTTCGAGGTTGACTGGAAACGGCCTGCTAACAGTAAACTGGAACTTGAACTCGACTCTACTGCGATGCGGGGCGGACATTCAGATATTCCAGTATTTATGGCATGCACAGGTGAGCAGGGCTAGGAAACGTGGTTGCAGACCGCTAAACACGCTGCAACCCAACCTCTACTATTTCATGACGCCCAACTGACAGACAGCATTGACGATGGCAATGTCTCGGAGTCTCGGATGCCGGCGTAGTTTTTGGTAGATTCTGGATCAAGAATGCGGCCAGGATATTTGACTAGTCTAGTCCGAAGTAAGGACCTTTTGCAGGAACCCCCACTTTGGTAGTAATAGAGAAGGCACCATGAGCGGCACATTCGGCTTGAACTTGGCATTTTGTGGCTAGTCACACCAGCAAAAAGCACATAAAGGTTTCAGCTGAAACAGCTACTGTAGAGAACAAATGCTATATACATGATCCCTACTATTGTATCACAACTACGACAATTTATGTAGCACCTTGGACCTATATGACTCTGAATATCCCATTTCTTTTTGGCCATGTTTTGGTTCAGGTGTGCCTGCAATTTGTAGCGGCGTTTTAATTGGAGTGGCTGACAGTTTCACTATCTCATGGCTCAGCATCTGTTTGGGATGGAAGAAAATTTTGAAACTAGCGTTGTTCGTCATCTGAGAGCTTCTCTATCAACTCTACCGATTCACACAAAGGCTAAGTGGTGATTTACGCTGGTTGAAGCAATAACTAGCCTTTACTGTGATGCTCAGCCATATTCAATCGGAGCGGCTGAGTTTAAAATCAAGGTGCAAAAGAGCTCAATATTCGTGTTATTGGCACCGAAGGGGGGTTCACGCCAAATGGTCTTACTTTGGTGCAGACCTTATTTACAAGATATCGACTCATCATATATTGAATTAGGTAAGCAAGGGAGACTAATATTTGACTATTGATTGCTGCAGTCGACCATTTATAATCTGGTAGCTGATGTTTGTGTCGCAAAAATCAGTTTTACCATATATCGGCTTTTCGCAGCCTTTTGCACCTTTTCATGCATTTTCGTACTCTGACGCAACCAAAATATGGCCAGATTGGGTCAAACAAGGAATCCATCAGGCCTGAAAACGTGCAAATTGCTGTAAACGCACACTTATCAGTGAAATTAAAGTGCGTCTACGGTCCACAGATACCTCTTTCAGCGAGCGCTAACAATAGTACTCGGAATCACTAGAACCCATGCCCTATTAACTCATTGCCGCGACCCCTCTTTGTTTCTTCTCGCCCTTCACCAACGTTTCACCAGGCCAGTGTATATAACTACATTTTCATCTAAGATGCAGGGTAATCATGTCATGGCCAAGGTATGAGAATTCTACAACTATTCTCTGTATCCTAATAGTAGCCAAACACAAGCTGCAGTCATTAAACGCCATCCAATGAAGCTTTCTCACTTGTATCTTAAACGCTAGCAGAGGATACTTGAATATCGTACATGCGGCCCACTGTCGGGATATCACGAGGCTGCTTTCTTCACTATTTTGGTTTAATATGTCACTGGAAATACTATCAAGAAAACGATACCCTTCTCGAATTACACATTCAGATAGTGCCTCTCTGAAATCGTTACGACCAATTGGCCTACCGATAAAAGCTTGCCCGGCTTCAATTTCAGGTACAACCAAGTTCTTCCCACTCTTTCGTCTACCCGAGACCGACTCCAGCAATAGTTCAGTGCGTGACTCAGTCAGGCTGTAATGTCATAATTCAGGTTAGTCCAGTACTTTCAATGTCGTCTTCTTCAGATCTCAACGTTCTCAGCAGCCTGAGAATACAGTAAACGTAGATCATCTAGGTTATCGATTCAAATCCGCTGGTCGCCCACCGACAGGAGGCATATAAGGGTTGCCGCGATCTATTGTATGTCAATAGATGAACTCGAGCCGAGTCCCAATCATTACCTATTTGGGACGAGTTGCAGTTCAACAGGGGATGACAATGCTATAAATTTAGTCCGCACCCGTGCGTAATGTTTTACGTCGCAGCACATGGCTGTCACTGTATGTATACTCCATCCTTTATGTAGACTACTCTTACGCATTAACACGTCAGCAGGGGGTTGCAAACCTCGAATAGATCAACAAGGTAGGTTGATATAGTCATTGAGGCTGGATTCCAATGAAGCACCACTCTTCTTTTGGTATCCTACCATGTCGTTCGCCCCCCTACAATTCGATAAGCCCACCCTAGCTATAGTGCTAGTTTTCATAGCTGCATATGTTATTATGAATGGCCGAGTAAAGCGCAAAACAAGCATACTGCTGCCGCCGAGTCCCTTTGCCTGTGCTGGGCAACGTGCTTGGCTTCAATTCCAAGGAGCCCTGGATCACTTATATGGAGTGGGCAAAAGTTCATGGTATGTTGAAACAGTTTCGACACCACATCTTTCTTGGGAACCACCTAATTTGATGCCTACCAGGTGATCATATACCCGTTTACTCAACCAATCATCGTTGTCAACTCCGAAAAAGTGGCTAATGATCTTCTTGAGCGTCGCGCAAGTAACTACTCTGATAGGCCGCAGTTCAATACTACCCACTTGTGCGTGGCTTTATTGTACATCTCGATATCTATTATCTCCATTGCCATTTGTGTCATTTCTGCAGGTTTGGATGGGGTTTCACTTCAATATTTTTCAACTATGGCAACAGATGGCGACTGCATAGGCGACTTTTCCAGCAGGCCTTTCGAGCTGATGCTGCTCTGACTTATCGGCCTGTGCAGTTGCGTAAAGTACACCAACTTCTAGCTAACTTACTTGAAACCCCCGGAGAATCTTTTGATTGTTTACAAATGTAAATCACTCGAAACAACAGAATTGGTCGTGTAAAATGATTAATATTTGCGTCTTAGGCTATCTGCGGCTATAATAATGGAAGTGACATATCGATATGACCCAGCACCCCGCCATGACCCTTTAGTGATGGCTGTGGAGCGCACGGCAGATATACTCATCAAAGCGCTAAGGCCTGAGGGGGCTGTGGTCTTCAGTGTATTTCCATTTGTGAGTATTTCCTGACATATGTATACATTTCGGCTTATTTTAGCATGTAGTGCGACACATCCCTCCTTGGTTCCCCGGAGCAGATTTCAAGCGCAAAGCCAATGAATGTCAGAAGCTGACTGTTGATGTAGTTGAAACCCCCTTCCAGTACACAAAGCAGAGTATTGTATGTCCTCTTAATCAAGGGAAGAGCTATATCTGAGATCACGATAGGTTACAGGTACAGCAAAACCATCGATCTGCTCAGCCGAATGAAAGAAAATGATTATTCTTACGAGCTTGCAATCAAGCATACTTCTGCTTCTGCTTTCCTGGGTAAATATTATCAGTTTTTATGATTTTATCTACTTACACGCATATTGTCCGTAGCTGCATCTCCGTAGCTGCATCTGAAACAGTAAGTCAGTCTGGAGTATTTCTATATCTCATATTGATCACAACGAATTCAGTCCTCTCCGACCCTTAAAGTTTTCATCCTTGCGATGCTCCTTTATCCTGATGTGCAACGAAAGGCTCAGCTAGAGATAGACTCGGTGGTAGGCCGAGATAGGCTTCCAGACTTCAACGATAGGCCACCATTGCCTTACATCGAAGCTATTCTTCGTGAGACGCTCAGGTGGCACGCTGTAGGCCCCCTTGGTATGTAAAGCCTATTTGAATGCTTGTTTCTCAGCTAACTGTGTATTTGTAGGGGTCCCTCACGCTATTACGAATGTCGATCATTTCGAAGGTTATTTTACCCCGAAAGGTTGGAATTTATTATCTACTTACGTTAACACGCTAATATCAAGTAGGAGCAATAGTGATGGCTAATATATGGTTCGTGTTCACAGATTGTGATTTATTGCTGTCCGTTGCATCTTAATTAAGAGCTTACAGGGCGATGTCGCACAATGAAGATAAATATTCAGAATCAGCTGAATTCAAACCCGAGCGGTTCTTCACTCCAGACGGGAAGCTAAACAACGATAATGTTGGCTTTATTTTTGGATTTGGAAGGCGAATTTGCGTAGGCCGCCATATCGCTGACGCAACAGTATGGGCCGCTATTGTATCCATATTAGCTGCATTGAACATTGAAAAAGCGAAAGATGAACAAGGCATTGATGTCGAAGTTAATACGCAATGGTCAACTGGAGTAGGCACGTGAGTTCTTTTGCGTTTGCTCCTACATTTTGTTTTGAATTTCAATAACAGCCACCCGCTCCCGTATCCATGTCGCATTGAACCACGGTCAGGAATTAGCTCCAAGAAGCTGATGCAGATAATAGAATCCCATACGTGAAATAATAGCCACGATATACCTTGTGCTTGTTTCACAATTATGTATATGTGACGACTTAGCAAAGGGATGTATGAGTTGTGACTTCATAGTCTCTGTGTTGAATTCGTTGAATTTCAGACATACCCAATGGGCTCTGCAAAAGCTAGAATACTTTATTGTTCGTTCGGCGCTCAAGAGCAAGGCGATGATACACTGCCCGTCTTCTGGAACCAATATCACGGGGAGTATTTTCAGAAGACTTGAAGTTCACAGAACCGTGGTACACGTGTTGATATTTCGTTCGGATAATAGATTGGACAGGTGTGTAATGTTTTAGCCATCTTGTAAAGAGCCCACGGGTGTGTACTACATCATGATTGGGACTATTTATGCTAGCAATTTAGCGCTGGTTCTCCTATTTTGACGGTTTGAAGTTATGCCTTGCACTTTGTTATGGCTCGCGGGAGTGGTTCAAGGGCCCCTTTCAAGGTCAAATCCACTTTCGACCTTCAGACAGTAGGATGTTTTCGTAGCCCAGCCTGAACAAAAGGCAATGGTGACATCTCCGAAGTATAGTTGTTCTTATATTGGAGGAAGACTGATCAACGTTCCCTATCATCAGTTCAGTCAGCTTGTGCTTCTCAAAATTTGGGTTCACGAATTAGCTGGAGGCTGTTCCACGGGGAACAGAGACATAGACGAGCTAAAATGGGGGCGTCTTTCGATGGGATTGTGGTATATAAACGGTAGACCTTACTCTGGAGAAGTGTAGCACTTCTTTTCAGGTCCTCCCACCATGTCTGTTGGTTTACTTCACCTTGATGCAATCAACCCAACCCTCTGCTTAGTCCTTACGGCTGCATTCATTATTGTAAACCGCCTAGTTGCAGGTAAAGCACGCTTTCTTCCACCCGGTCCTCGCCCCCTGCCTGTGGTGGGCAACATATTTGGTATTAGAGTGAATGAACCTTGGATTACCTATAAGGAGTGGGCTCAAATTCACGGTAGGTCGAAGTAGTTCTGTTACTGTGTTATTGGACCCTATATCTGACCGCGGTTTTTGTCGATTAGGAAACATTGTTTACTCTCGCTTATTCGGTCAAGAAATTATCATCCTCAACTCCGAGGAAGTGGCCAAAGACCTTCTTGAGCGACGTTCTTATAACTATTCTGACCGGCCGCAGTATATCACAACTGATCTGTACGTGGTCACTGTATACGTTAACGCCACAACTGGATCGTCGCCTTTGTTATATATTGCAGATTTGGATGGTCATTCCACTTGGGACATCATAGCTACGGCAATGAGTTCCGACAAAAGAGAAGACAATTCCACCAGGCGTTTCATACAAAAGCTGCTTTGAAGTATCGGCCTATTCAATTACGCAGGGTAAATCAGCTCCTTGTCCATTTGCTCGAGACACCGGAAAACTATGTTAATCACCTGCAAACGTGAGTACTGTCGAAGTCGGGCGACCTGTCATCTAATTGTATTATATATCGCCTTAGACTAAGTGCGTCTATAATTATGGAAGTAACTTATGGGTACGACCCAGCACCCAACCATGACCACCTGGTCGCGCTTGTGGAACGTGCAACTGCGATGTTCATCAATGAAAATACAGCCGACAAAGCAATAATCATCAATGCACTGCCATTCTGTGAGTATTTTGAACGCATGTATACTTCTTAACATCACACGAGTATACAGTGCAATATATTCCTCACTGGTTTCCCGGGGCGAATTTCCAGCGCAAAGCCCTTCAGTGTCAAAATTTGACTGCGGAGATGATTGAAGCTCCATTTCAGTATACAAAACAGAGTATTGTATGCTCTCTTTCTTTCACCTTGCAAAATTTCATCTAAATTTCTGTTAGGCAGCAGGGACAGCTATACCAAGTATGCTGTATGATCTATTTAGCCGTATGACCGAAGACGATCCTTCATATGAACTTTTAATGAAAAGTTCCACCGCTACTGCGTTCTCTTGTAAGTGTTCTCGATTACGTGCCTTATCTCGACTCATAACGTCCATCTATAGCCGGTTCTGAAACTGTGAGTCGTATCCGAATCTCAAGTAGCTATAAACCTATTGTGACGGCAAACCTTAGTCTTCTTCGTTGCTCAAAGTCTTTGTGCTTGCAATGCTTTTCAATCCTGATGTACAGCGGAAAGCTCAATTAGAAATCGACGCGGTGGTTGGCCGAAAGAGACTCCCAGACTTTAGTGATAGGCCGTCACTGCCTTACGTTGAAGCAGTTTTTCGGGAGACACTCCGTTGGTGTCCTGTATCTCCCCTTGGTAAGCTACTTTCCTTCTCTCAATTACTCCGTTAGCTCCGATTCGTCTCTCATTCAACTGCACACGAGCAGGGGTTCCGCATGCTACCACTAATGATGACAATTTTGAGGGATATTTTATACCAAAAGGTTTGTGTTATATATTGACCCTCGTGGTGAGCCATTACCTGATAGTAAGCAGGAGCAACAATAGTGGCCAATATATGGTTCGTGTTTATGGCTTCTGGTTTGGTGTAGTCTAGCCATCTCACTCAAAGAAAACAGGGCAATGGCTCAGAATGACGATAAATATCCAGAACCATCCAAATACAAACCGGAACGTTTCTTCACCGCCGATGGAAAGCTGAATGATGACACTGTGGGTTTTGTCTTTGGATTTGGAAGGCGGATTTGTGTAGGTCGCCATATCGCTGATGCAACAGCATGGGCCGCCATTGTTTCAATATTAGCTGTGTTCAACGTCACCAAAGCGAAGGACGAACACGGTGACGATATTGAAGTCATCCCACAATGGACAGATGGGGTAACAATGTGAGTCCTTTCCGCATTCTTTTCTACGTGGCTGCCCCTGACTTCGAGTAACAGCCATCCGCTCCCCTTTCCATGTTGTTTTGAACCACGACTACGAGGAATGACCTCCGTAGATCTGAGTCAAATGATGCAATCCTGAAAGGATTGACAATGTAACACTTATCCTTGTCCGTTGTATATAATTATTCTGTAAAATAGTGTTACCCCAGTACAATATTCCCAACGTTATCTACATCATGCTCAAGCTCATTGTTGAGAAGGAACGACTATCTTCCTTCGAATCTTATGGACGGCCTACGGAAAGTGCTACGGCACTCGGGCCTCCATCGACAGTGCCGCGCTTCTTAGCGAATCGATGTTGCAGAAAATAACTCGCAGATTGAGAAGCTTTGTTGAAACTAGAGTACATTTCATTTTGGATCATTGCAATTACAGCTTAACTAACATTGTCAGTGAGTACAGCAGTTTCTACGTCCTGACAATATTAATTGCCAGAGTCGAAGTGAAGAGAAACGTCAAACGAGGAGATTGCTTGAATACAAGGAGATCAGAGAGAGAAAGGGAGCGGAGGATCACAGAAGCAAATAAGTGCACTGGATATAATGAACGGAATCCAGTAAAAGGTGGGGAAAACAAACACGAAATGTAGATGAAGGGTTGTGTCAGAACATGAATTAAATACGTGACGATTTACAAACAAACCCGAGAGACTGAATCAAGGATGGAACAAAGTTGGGGTCGAAAAGTAGAAAGACATTACCGAGCGGACTTCAAATATTCAGAGGTGGAACAGACGAAGGAGAACTGAAGAAATTTGTGCGCTGCATGGAAGCAGTGCTTCGAGACTTCATATTAGGAAGGTGATGGTGATAATGATGTTGTTGTTGATGATGACGATGATGCTGGTGAACAGGGCCGCAATTTTTTCGTTTCATCTTCATCTCCCTTCGTAGTTCTTTGCGGCTTTTTTGCTGATGGTTATGAGAGTTTGTGTGAAGAGTCTGATCAGTTGCAGCCAGAGTAGGAGTACGATCTCCGTCACGTATTGGTAGAAGGACCGGGGAGATGATTACATTCATATGGGCCTTGGACTTACGCCGAGAGCCTTTTGCATTTTGACCCTTGCCATGCCAGAGCATCGTGCTTAGGGGGCTACTCTTCATCATGTTTGTGTATGATAAAGCATCGGACGCAGTATTGGCATTTTGGGGCTCGGAAGACCAGTTGGAAGAACCACCCACATCGCCTGTGATTGACGTGGTTTCGCGAGTACGACGGAAAGTGCCCATTGGGATGCGGTCCCAACGGCTAAGGTTTTGCATGTGCCTATGTGACTCGCCTTCGCTCGCCGTACTCGAGAAAATGTGGTTGTCAGATGGTTCCGAGTCAAGATAAGAGGAGTCTAAGACATCGTCTAAATCAAATGGCTCAGTAGGAGGTAGCTCTGGTGATGTTTGTGAGAGGGGTTCTTCTGATGACGGTACAGGGAACGAAGAGGATGTTGATATTGATAGAGATGATGGCCGAGAAGTAGCGCGACCGCGGAAGTCCATCTGAAAGGAATATCATGAATATCTCACTGATGCTTGATCAAGAAAAGATGACCTACACTGCTGAAGCTTCCAGTACTAGATGATCTCAACCTTCCCTTATTACGTAGCAGACGAGGGAAAGGCGACGGAATATCTTTGTTCGAACCGGTCAATATCGCTGTTTTTTGCGGGCTATCGCTCTCCGTAGAAAATTGACCCATGATAGGAGCACCGCCCCTAGAGACGGTGACACTGCTATTCTGCCCTATTCGACCATCAGGATGGTCAAACTCATCACTCTCGTCCCAAAAGACTTTGCCCGCTAATATATCGGCGGGTCTTGGGGAGTCTCTAAGGTCTTGAGAGTTGTAGCCGAATGTGCGACGGTCATGAGGGCTGGGGCTGACGGTGGGACTGACGGTAGACAATGGATTAATTGCTGAAACGCTGGAAGGCCAACGGAAGAGCGTCATGGCATGTGAAGTGGGAAGTCCATTTTCATCGACGAGTTCCTCCTCGGTAGTTTCACCGTCACTTTCACCCAGTTCGCATTCACCCTCCTCATATTCACCGTCTTCTTCGTCTGTTGAGTGCATGCTGACATCACTGTCTTGGCTCACAGTTGCACTATCTTCCGCCACCAATTGAGCTGCGCTTGTCTCGAAGTCTATGTCAACCATGCCTTGACCCTCACTTAAGCCATTTGTGAAGACAATTTGACCATCCCAGCCCTCCGTCACTTCGAAATCCATACTCCGTTGGATACTGCTGATGATGTCGGCGGCGGCGCTCTCGTCAGGAATCGTGTCTGATTGAAGACCGGCCTCATCATTGGTAGAGGAACCGTCGTCTGAACCTATGTCTGAAAGATTTGCGAAAAAAATGTCGGCGTCGAAAGTTGATTCATCGTCTTCCGACCACCCGGTAGCAACTCCGGCATAAGCAACACTCGAACTCTGGCCATCCACGTCTTCGTCTTCATCGTCTCCTTCCTCTTCTTCATCCTCCGCCTCCTCGTCGCCTTCTGTCGCGTCATCACTGTCGCTCTCCATATCGACATCACTCAGTCCGACACTCCTCTTCCGAGGGCGTATAACCCAGTTGTTGTGGGGGTCTTTACGCTTGTTTCCCTCCTCACCCAATAGCTCTCGACGGACACGAGCTTTGTTTTGACGTCTTTCTTCTGTTAATATATAGCTTTCTTCTTCTGCCTCCATCGATGAATCCGTGTCAAGTCCTGTAGATGATGTATCCGAGTCTGATGATGATGACGTCGACATTGCCGACGACGAGACGAATGCGGGGAAGTGTCCCGAGGCGACATCGTCGTCCTCATCATCGTTGTATGCGTCAATGTTTTCATGATTGTAATCATTGTCAAGATTAAAATCTTCGCTTAGGACAACAGACTTCTTTTTGGAAGAAGATGCCTTCTTTGCGATCGTGCCTTTGATTTTGGACTTCGAAGACAGCCTCGAGGCGTTTGGCTTTGTTTGGAGTTTTCCTGAGCTCCTTCGAGGGATTAATCCGTTGGATCTGAATGCATGTGGAGGCTGCGATAGGGGATGTGATTGTGATTTGTGCAACGTGGTGACCTCGTTCCCACCGGTTTGCCGGTCTACATCCACAGCTCTGGAAGTGTCGCGTGCTGTGGTAATCTTTGGCGGACGACCTCTTCTCTTGGGTGCAGACGTTCCTTGTACACCTTGTTGTCCATGGCCACCGATGGACATGTGCGGCTTCAATGGTTGGCCGAGGGGTGAGAAGGGTGATGGTTGAGAGCCATGGTTGTCGCTTGTTATCGATGTGATCGAATCTGTATGGGTCTTCGACATCTTGGATGGTAAAGTACGGCTTTTGGCCTGCATGCTGGGTGGTACTGTGAGTTTGATTTTTAAGGATTGGATAGCTGGTACGAGCGATGATGAGCTGTTGGAGGCGGAAGACATAACGGCATGCCGCGCATGTCCAGCGCTGCAGCTGATAGGAGTAGGAGCGGGAGGTGGTCGGTTGGAGCAGGTGCAATCCCCATCGCAGACGGGACAGATGTCGTTGTCGTCCTCGTCGTCTGGGGAGAGATGATTTACGGCGACGCCTGCGGTATAAATGTGGGACGGCGACATCGTTGGGGCTGGCTGTTTTGGATAACCTGATGATATGTGGACAAGGAGGATGTCAGATGGGCATGAGGTGATAGGTAGCGAGATGGAATATGGCTTCTGGGATAAAGCAACGGGTATCTCCATAAAAATTAAATACATAAAAGAAAGAGAAGGAAGGGTTGCGGAACGATATTATTTCATAGATCGAGATCAAATCCAGAGGAACGAGTTCCTGTTGGCGAGATCGTCGCGTGACAACTTTTGACTATGAAAATCGGACGGGCCCGAAAAGGTGAATGAAAACGAGGGCGAAGAACTTACTTGAAACACGATTTTTGGCCATTTGTTGATGCTAAAAAACATGGGTAAGATGTAGACTCCAGATTGACGGTTAGGTTGGTGAAAATGCCGTGGCAATGCCACTGGTGCGAGTATCGTCGGGGACGGTGGTGGTGGAAAGAAGGCGTCGCTTATTATCTGCGCATGCTCGCGCCATCAATTGTTGGTGCCCACGATTTTTTCTCAAGAAACAGACCCTATATTAACCCTAACCTCGAATGTGGGTCTTCTTCTCCTGAAAACTTTGCACATCGTACAGGCTCTACCGTAGTCCGCAAGGCTCCATGACACGTAGGTCCAGCTTATATGCGCGTTGATTGTCTTTGACACCGTTGGCAGGTTTGACTCTTGCGCAAGAGCTGGCCCAGCTTGAAGAGGTTGCACCAACCGGTATGCCCTTCCTTGGGTATCACTTCGAGATTTACACCACCCTTTTCGTCCATAGATTTCGACCCAGAGGATGTTCAGGTGACGGGTGCCGACCCAGAAGATGTTCTTCCAGTTTCATCTGAAGCACGGGAACACTATGTGGATGTCGCGCAAGTTGACCTTTTTTTGATACTGTGCATTGTGCTCATATTTCCGTAGACCCTCTGCGATACGAAAACTTCAGGATAGCATCGCCGATCCAAAGTACAAAGGCGCAAAAATTTCACGAAAGCAGCTCATGGATGCGGAAGACGAATCCGAGATCGGTAGCTCAGAGGATGGCGAGGATGATGATGATATCCAACATTTCGATGAAGACCACGATGATCCCTCTGACTCCAACTCAGAGGAGTCGGAAAATGATGTGGACGAGTTTCACCGTGATGTCTCACCATCCATATCTGACACTAAGGAGACAGAACCTCCGGAGGAGCTGTCCGTGACTCTACGCAAAACTAGAGACGAAGACCGTAAAAAAGGGAAAGCTGTTTCCCGTCAACTTGTACGATTTTCATTTTGCGTACAAGCTACTTTCCTGATTGCAGCTATACTTAGGCACTCTGGGACAATTTGCTCGATGCTCGCATCCGTCTTCAAAAAAGTGTTGGTGCTGCAAGCTGTTTTCCTCAGGTATGATATCCTTTGCATGCTTTGCCGTACAGTCGCTGACGATTTCTCAGCCCAATCAGCTTTCCCGGTACACGACCTTAGAATGTGTCCATGATTCATTGAATAAAATGTTAGAAGAATCTATGTTACTCTCCGATGAACTCTTTGGCCTTCAAGAGGTATGCTAAGAAAGACGTCTTTGACAACTCAGGTTACTGAATGTGGCGCTATCCAATACTTAGGATTTGCTTCTTATGAACGACTCGGTACATGCTCCGCCTCGAAAAAAGCGGAAGATCGACGGAACCGATGATGAGAGTCTCGCAAGCCAATTTAGGGACGCAACCGAAGCTGCTTCAGCCATAGAACAGGCGTAAGTTCCTTTGTCTTTCATTTTTTTCCTATGGTACTAAATCAAACACAGTTATCATCCACATCTCGTGAAGACCCTCAATAAGTGGTCATCTAAAGTGCAAGCCGTCGCGCCATCCGTCCTGCTCCCATCGAACCGGAATGCATTCAACAAGGGATCTTCTCATATCAAATCCGCTACCCAGCTAATTGATGAAACCCTCTCAGAACATGGGAAAGTTCTTGCCCGCAGTCGGATCTACAGAGGCAAAGGCACGCGATTGGGTATCGTTTGCGAAAAAGATGACAGCGCAGAGAAGGAAGACCCAGAGGTGTTTGACGATACGGACTTTTACCAACAGCTACTGAGGGATGTTATTGATGCACGGAGAAGTGGAGAGAGTGGAGCTGACGATTGGATGGCGGTCCAAAAACAGAAGAAGGCGAGAAAGAAAGTAGATACTAAAGCAAGCAAAGGTAGAAAGCTCCGGTAAGCCATTACCTAACACCTGATCAACAATCGGCCCACTGACAGTCCTCTTAGCTATGAGATTCACGAAAAAATGCAGAACTTCATGGTCCCTGTTCCAGTCCAAGGAAGCTGGCACGACGAACAAGTCGACGAGCTGTTTTCTTCGCTATTGGGCAAAGGATTTCAAGAATCTATTCGGCTAGTTGATGATGTTGATATGGTTGAAAGCACAGAAACACGAGTAGATGAGGCCCTGAAAGAAGGTTTTAGAGTGTTTGGATGAGTTCTTTTGAATAAAATGTGTTGCTTGTGTATCTCCAGCCAATTCCAGTCCTCATTATGATTCTAATACTTTGTTTTTGGAGGTCGCGAGTCAAAATATTGTGAATTTGATGTGTGAGACATGCCCAAGCCTGTTTCTGTCGTACATAAAGACAAATAGGTGTATAGCTTTGGTGACGCGGATGCCGCAGGCTCACGCTTACGCTGGAGAGACTAGTGATGTCCATTCAAGTTCACCATTTGCTTTGACCGACACTGCCAGTGTGCGTCTGACCCTTCAGCATCTCGTGTCATTACCATTATCCCTATCATTCTTGTATATCTTACTGGCTTGCTTTGTTGTGGAGCCATTACGTAGGGAACAGAAACATCAAGCCCTCGAGTCAATATGGAGGCTTTTGAAGACGACAATCCTTTCGAGACAGATGCTGACCGTCTGTCTTCAGAAACATCTTCTACTTCCAAAGTAAACATATCTGCACCATCTTCTCCGCCTTCGCACCCTTCTCGTCTGGTCTCGCCAACCTCTCCAGGAACGAACATGAACCAACCGTTCTCACCACCAGGATCCCGTAGACATGCTCAGGCAACATTCAAAACTGACTTCTGCTGCACTAGAGATCAGTGGTTGCACTCGGGTGAGGATTTCGAAATCCTGGTATGTCTCTTTATATCTGTGTTCTGTCATCATCTAACCACAGGTCAAATACAAGATTACAGATGCACAGAAGACATCTCTCAATTCATCAACGCCTTATATCACATATGTTATCCAGTCTGGGGTGAGTAACTATCAATGTACTTGTGTAGTGGTATTGTATCCTGAAAGCCATTGTAAATCTAGAATACTGAAGCTCGGCACCGCTATTCCGAGTTTGAGTCACTGCGGGGAAGCCTTGTGAAATTGTACCCAACCCTCATAATTCCACCCATTCCCTCGAAGCAAACGATTGGTGATTACGCTGTGAAACAGGCCAAGGCCAAAGAGGATGCTGCGATGATTGCAAGGCGAAAGCGCATGCTTCAGACGTTCCTCAATCGCATTGGCCGTCATCCCATCTTGTCCAATGATCATGTTTTCCACCGCTTCCTGGACGGAGAGGTATCTTGGGTAAGCATCGACAGCAGCCATCCATGCAGACTTCCATTCTAACCTTTTCGTATGTTTCAAGACTGAAGTATTACATTCTCCCCCTTTGTCGTTACTGCCGAAGAATATTTTGAAAGCTCCATCGCACAACCCTACGGACCAGAATGCTTCTCCTGCTTATGCAGTGTTACCCAATCCTTCGGCTGCTCACCCTCTTCGCAACCCTGATCAACGGTTTGTAGACTCGGAAGTGTTTACCAACAAATTCTCTAACCATCTCGGCGGTCCTATGGAGAGAGTCACTCGCCGTAGCTTGAAGCGATGGTCCGGTAAGAGGCTTATGAAGGTTTACATGAGTCAATTTGTTCATTGCTCGTAGACAACGCACAGGATCACTCTGAGCTTGGTGCTGCTTTGAATGGATTCAGCTTGAACGAAAGTGGTGCCCTAGCCGCTGCCATTGAAAAGACAGGGCAAGCTGTAGACACCACTTACGTGTCCACGACGAGGCTTGTAAGGCATTTTCTTGTCAAGTCGATGCTATATTTTCTTATCTCCTGACACACAGGTTCAAGAGCTTGAGCAGAATTGGTGTGAACCATTACACGAATATGCCCAGTTTGCCTCCATAATAAGGAAATTACTTGCCTACCGTCACCAAAAGCATGTACAGTACGAAATGACCCAGGATAACTTGGAGTCTAAGCGGGAGTTGCTAGAGGACTATGAGAAGAGTGAGAGAGAGGCGAAGAGGTTGGAAGAAGCCCTCAATCGTGGGCGGGTTAGTGGTGTGCAATCCGAGCCAGGACCTAGAAATGCTAGAAGCCGGTCGCCTGATGCAGACGAACCGGAGGAACCTTCGTCAGCGTACTTGCCGCCGCACCCTGGCCCCACTCCTCCAAGGAGGAGAGCGCCTGGGATGGCATTTCTCAGCGCATTGAGCTATACTTTGCATGGAATGATGGATGTGGATCCCGAAACTGCTCGCCGCAACGGTATCAGCAAAACACGGGAGACGATTTCTCAGGTATGTTTTCAAGTGTGTTTGTTCTTGGTTGTAATGTCTGATTTTTTGTCAAGTTGGAAGACGCGCTTCATCTATCCGCACAGGATTTGAAGTATTCCAGCTCAACCATTCAGGCCGATTTGGATAGATTCCAACGGCAGAAAGTAGCCGATATGAGAGAAATGGCGATTAATATGGCAAGAAGTCACAGAGACTGGTGCCAGAAGGTTTGTTCAGATTGTCCTTAGGGATGGGAGCTTTTTTCTAACGATTCCGGTCAGAACCTTGAAGCATGGAAAGAAGCGAAGAAAGAAATCGAAAAGATACCAGACCATCCCAACAGGCTGCCAAGTTCGAAAGACACATCTAATGGAGTTGGCCCTGGACCATCTACTAGGAGAGATTCGACGGCGACCGTGAATGGTCGGTAACTGCAGCTTCTTATACTTAGTGACCATAACCTAAGCTCGATGTGAGCTACAAATGGTTTACTCAACTGAAGGACAATGGATTGCGTTTTCATTTCTTGTCTCCATTTTATCTTTGTTTCTTCGGCTACAGTGTGTGATTAGGGAATGCCATAATTGAGTTGCTTCTTTTGGAGCTACTTACATCTGGTCTAAAAATACAAATATTTTTGTCACGTTGTTCAGCCACGTCTCTATAGTGCCAGTCAAGTGGTGCTGGTAACTCTTACGACGACTGTACTTTTAAGCACACACTACTCCATTCTGTAGGTTGGTCTCTCATATAGGTGGCATTCGTTGTCTGAAAGATTTTTTATCTTGTTTCGATAACTTGAAGTCGCTATGGGAGGCTCCAGGGATAGTAGACCTGAGGAAGAAGACCTTGCAGAGATGAAGAGAAATTTGGCGACAGGTAGTTTGAGCGAGAATAATGGAACATCGTCTGCTAGTGAGAGCACGCTGCTTGCATTCCCACTCACTATGTCGACTCACGACATTCCACTTGCAGTACCACCCATCGTGTGCTATTGTGTCGCTTCTATACTAATGACCCTTGTCAATAAGGTGAATTCCTGACGTGTTGGATGTTGGTATTCTAGAGCTTATCTTGCATATAGTTTGTGGTGTCTGGCAGCCAGTTCAACATGACGTTTCTGTTGCTGTCCATTCAGTCCATTGTCTGCGTTACCTGCGTTGCCGCAGTGAAACGGGCAGGTATTATATCGTTCCGGAACTTTGACATTCAAGACGCCAAAGCATGGTTTCCTATCAGTTTTATGTTGGTCAGTGTAATCTACACTGGTTCTAAAAGTCTGGTGAGACTACTCAAAACGTTGAACTCGTTCTATACTAACCATACGGTTGTGCAATCATCGCACACTAGCAATACCTCACTATACCAGTATATACAATTTTCAAAAATTTGACGATCATTCTCATTGTAAGCATTATCCTATCCCCCACATGTTGCTTTTGGAAGAGTTGTTGTCTCTTAGGCCTATGGAGAAGTCATTTGGTTTGGTGCGCGAGTGACAGGGTTAACTATAGTGGCCTTCATATTTATGGTGAGGCCTCTTTGATTTCCCCGAGTAGGTAATTTTTTCAACGAAATTATATTTCAAGGTACTATCATCTATCATTGCCGCGTGGGCAGACATTCACAGCACCACCAACATTGTCGATGCATTACCGCCGGCGAGTGCGGGCATGGGAATTGGCCTCGACATGATATCTGATGTAGCCCAAAAACTCAACATTGGATATTTCTGGATGCTTGTGAATTGTTTGACAAGCGCAGCCTATGTAAGACCAAGACTAAGTGCTCGTTCATCACTGGTAACGTTGATTCTCCTACAGGTCCTTACTATGCGAAAGCGGATAAAGATAACAGGTTTCTCAGATTGGGACTCCATGTTCTACAGCAATCTATTGTGCATACCCGTTCTTTCGGTATTCTCGGTTATCGTTGAAGATTGGGGAACGGAGAACTTGGCTCGTAACTTGTACGTTGATTGATGTGTCCCTTTGACGTCTGACGTCTGATGCGGATATTCGACGGATCTTTCTTGCAGCCCCGAGGAGACGCGCAACTTCCTATTATTCGCCATAGCCTTTTCTGGGGCAGCGGCCGTAGGCATCTCGTACACGACAGCGTGGTGTGTTCGAACGACGAGTAGTACGACGTACAGGTCCGTTTTTTGTGATTCGATCTATGGAATAGGAACAGCTGATGATAGTTTTTTTTCTTTGCCAGCATGGTTGGGGCACTAAATAAGTTACCTGTGGCAGCTTCTGGAATGTTGTTTTTTGGAGACCCTGTCACGTTTGGTTCAGTATCGGCGATTGGGGTCGGGTTCTTTGCGGGACTCGTTTATGCAGTAGCAAAGAACAACCAGAAGAAGGTGGAGAACCGGGCAACAACGGACGCTATTATACCTCTAGCAAATCGGAAACCATAGTTTCAAAGCATAGAATGACCCTGAAATGGAGCATGGATTCGAACACTGACTATAGCAATGGACTAAGAACTGTCTGAAGGTGCTGTGATGGAGTTAGAGCATTGGGGGGGTGGAGATGGAGCGGGAGCGCCCGCCTTAAGCCCGGTGACACTTATGCTTGTGTGGTAGCTGAGAGCATATAACTGGCCAGCCAATACTCTACAAAGCGGTTTTATCTAAAGTGGTTATCAGGCGCTAGTCTATATCGGGTTTATTACTTTGTGCTGATAATCCGATTCCGATTCTGCCCATCTCCGCATCTTTCTCCCTTAAACCTGATCCCTAACCCATCCATCCTCTTTCCTTTCGCCCCTCACTGAATCGGCATTAGATCACAGTCCACAATGGCTGCTCAAGCTTCGTCGCTGCATCCGCCCAGACTGGCGCATACCTTTGTGGGTACTCCGAGTGCACCTGGCACTCCGGTGCACTCAATCCAAACAATGCGGAGGAAATCCGCAGGGCACAGTGGTCCTCTTACGAAGATTCTTGTGGCAAATCGTGGTGTATGCATAGATCTCTTATCGTACTTACAGTCCTCTGAATGCCTCCTTAGGAAATTGCGATCCGAGTTTTTCGTACGGCCCATGAACTTGCAATGCATACAGTTGCGATCTATTCTTTCGAAGATCGCCTTTCAGCCCATCGTCAGAAGGTAAGACGATTATCGGTTCTTTCTTACTGATCTAACCGAGTTTTCCAGGCCGATGAAGCTTATCAAGTCGGGAAAGGATTAACTCCCGTTGGAGCATACCTTGCGCAAGACGATATCATCAGGATCGCATTGGAACATGGCGTTGACATGATTCATCCAGGGTGAGTACTAGCGATAATGTACTTTGTCCACAGATCGTAACGACCATCATCAGTTATGGTTTCTTGTCCGAAAATGCAGAGTTTGCACGGAAAGTCGAGCAAGCCGGAATCGCGTTCGTAGGTCCATCTCCAGAAGTCATTGATGGACTTGGTGATAAGACAAAAGCCCGCACGCTTGGTATTTGTGGTTTGCTCGTGTATGCGTACGCAATCCAATTAACTATCTATTATATAGCCATGAAAGTTGGAGTCCCTGTCGTGCCTGGAACTCCTGGACCAGTTGATACATACCAGGACGGTGATGCATTCATCAAAGAATACGGATTCCCAGGTCAGCATGCTCGAATGAACTCCTTGATAGATAGACATTGAAAGTATTTCTATATAGTTATTATCAAAGCTGCCATGGGCGGTGGTGGACGTGGAATGCGTGTTGTCCGCGAGCAATCCGATTTCAAAGATGCCTTTGAACGCGCAGTCAGCGAAGCCAGGTCTGCCTTTGGAGATGGCACGGTTTTCATTGAGCGTTTCCTTGAACGCCCCCGACACATTGAAGTCCAGATTCTTGCAGATGCACAAGGAAACACGATTCACCTCTTTGAGCGAGATTGCTCAGTGCAAAGAAGGCATCAAAAGGTTGTCGAAGTTGCTCCCGCGACCCATCTTCCAGAAGAAATCAGGCAGGCTATTTTATCAGACGCAATCAAGCTCGCGAAGAGTGTGGGATACAGAAATGCTGGGACTGCAGAGTTCTTGGTCGACCAAATGGGCAGACACTATTTCATTGAGATCAATCCTCGTATTCAAGTCGAGCATACGATCACTGGTAAGCTTTTTTTTACTTGTGAATATAGATAACGAATGCCAACTTTGCCATTATTTTTTTTCAGAGGAGATCACTGGTATCGACATCGTTGCTGCCCAAATTCAAATCGCAGCCGGCGCCACCCTCCCCCAACTCGGTCTTAGCCAGGAGGCTATCACTCGTCGCGGGTTCGCGATACAGTGTCGTATTACAACGGAAGATGCAGCACAGGGCTTCCAACCCGACACGGGTAAGATCGAAGTATACCGCAGTGCCGGTGGTAATGGAGTGCGTCTCGATGCAAGCTCTGGTTTCGCTGGTGCGCAAATCACTGTGGGTTGCTATCTCATATCTTTATATCTGAGTAGATGATCTGATCAATCCAATCATTCTAGCCTCACTACGACAGTCTTCTCGTGAAATGTAGTGTTAGTGGTACAACGTATGAGGTAGCTCGCAGAAAAATGCTGCGTGCGTTAGTCGAATTCCGTATTCGTGGTGTTAAGGTGCGTTTAAAAGAACGATCCCTTAGTTTTTTGCTGTTAAACATTGGTTTAGACGAACATACCCTTCCTATTCCGACTTCTGACCCATGATGTCTTCATCGGAGGCAAGACGTGGACGACAGTAAGTAGAGGTCCTTTAATTGACCCCAGCATGTTGTTGAGGTTCTAAATCGATTAGTTTATCGACGACACGCCCGAATTGTTCAAACTGGTTCAAAGCCAAAACCGAGCACAAAAACTCCTCGCTTATCTTGGTGACCTTGCAGTCAATGGTAGCTCCATTAAAGGTCAAAGCGGGGAACCTGGGCTTAAGGATGAGGTTGTCATCCCTAAATTCCAGAATCGCGAGGATCCAGAAAATGGCGCCCCTCTCGATGCAACTTTCCCCTGTCAGGTCGGTTGGCGCAATATCATCGTAGAGAAGGGTCCCGAAGCTTTCGCAAAAGCTGTGCGAGAATATCCCGGGACACTCATCATGGATACAACATGGCGTGATGCTCACCAATCCTTACTCGCTACTCGCCTGAGGACAATCGATATGGAGAACATTGCAAAAGAGACGAGTTATGCCCTTGCAAACGCATTCAGTCTGGAGATGTGGGGTGGAGCAACGTTTGACGTTGCCATGCGTTTCTTGTACGAAGATCCTTGGGAGCGCCTGGTAGGTTTAACTGCCTATGATTTCATTGTTCACTAAAAAATCTTGCATCTCGCGTCGAATATAGCGCACTCTCCGTAAATTGGTGCCGAACATCCCATTCCAAGCTCTTGTTCGTGGTGCCAACGGCGTAGGATATACTAGCTACCCGTTCGTATCTCAACTTCTGCGCCTAGTCTTTTAAGCTGATCGAGTGTGTAAGGGACAACGCTATATATGACTTCTCGAAGAAGGCCGTAGAGAATGGTCTTGATATTTTCCGAGTGTTCGACTCCTTGAACTACTTTGGTGAGCAAAAGCTTGTTTACATACTGGCGAGATTTAACTGAATTTCCTGCCTTTACAGAAAACGTGAGTACTCACCTGGGTATCTAGAGTCCAAGTGCTTAAAGCAATCCAAAGATGAGATTGGGTATCGACGCCGCCAAGAAGGCTGGAGGTGTGGTCGAAGCTGTGGTTTGCTACAGCGGCGATGTCGCGAACCCTAAGGAAACCAAGTATACGTTGCAATACTACTTGGACTTCATTGACAAGTTAGTGCAAGAAGGCGTCCATATTCTTGGTGTAAAGGATATGGCCGGTCTGCTCAAACCTGAGGCTGCGAAGGTGTAAGTATTTGTATTAGCTGTTTGTGCATCTGTGAACCTGATCGCACTTGGTTTTTTTTTTACAAAAAAAACAGGCTTATCGGCGCCATCCGACAGAAATATCCTGACATTCCCATCCACGTTCACTCCCATGATACTGCCGGCATTGCAGCTGCTAGCATGCTTGCCGCCGCCGCCGCAGGTGCTGACATCGTGGATGTCGCTATAGACAGTAAGACTCGGTTTCCCGCTTGCCAGATACAACACGTTAACTTACTTGATGCCAGGCATGTCTGGTTTGACCTCGCAGCCATCCATGGGTGCTGTTTGTATGGCCCTCGAACAGACTCAGCTGGGCACAGGTATTCGATATGCCGACATACAAGCACTCAACCTGTACTGGAGTCAAGTTCGCATTCTGTACGGTTGTTTCGAAGCCAACGTCCGTGCGTCTGATTCGAGTGTGTTCGATCATGAAATGCCAGGAGGGCAATACACGAACCTTATGGTATTTGTTGACATTCTTCGCCTGATCTATACAACGTTGACACGCATGAATACAGTTCCAAGCTTCTCAGTTGGGCCTGGGCACTCAATGGACACGTAAGCTTCCAAACGACAGTACATTGATAGATTTGTGTAACAACTTACACTATGTTTCTTTAGAGATAAAGCAAAAGTACATCGAAGCCAATGCACTGGTATGTAAACGCGTTTTTTTTATCTGCGTCTTACCTGACATATCTACGAATTTAGTGTGGCAACATAGTCAAGGTATGGCTGCAATGTTGTATCCACAGAGGGAAAGATTGATGTTGGTACAGGTTACACCGTCTTCCAAAGTCGTGGGTGACTTTGCGCAATGGATGACCTCAAACTCGTTCACGAAAGAGGATGTTCTTGCACGCGCCGAGCAGCTGGACTTCCCCTCGTCTGTCGTCGAGTTTTTCCAAGGATATCTTGGTCAACCTGTGGGAGGCTTCCCAGAACCACTTCGCAGCAAAATTATCAGGAACAAGCCGAGAATTGACGGCCGTCCTGGTGCAACCATGCAGCCCCTTGATTTCAAGAAGATCAAAGCTGAGCTGCGGAGTAAGTTTGGCAAACACATTACGGATGCAGATGTTACTTCGTATGTGATGTACCCCAAGGTCTGTTATCTCCTATTCTCCCGCGCCGTCAGCACTGAACTTACGCTTTGCTATGTCCGCCAGGTCTTTGAAGAGTATCAAGGCTTCATTGAGAAGTATGGTGACCTGAGGTAACATATGCCCTTTGCAAGCCAAGCACTTGGAGAACGTACTGATCCCTTCTCGGACAGTGTCCTTCCCACACGCTATTTCCTGGGTCGCCCGGCTATCGGAGAAGAGATGCACATTTCTATTGAAAAGGGGAAGACTCTCATCATCCGTCTGATGGCAGTCGGTCCTGTTGTAGAAGGTCGTGCCCAACGTGACGTATGGTTTGAAGTTAATGGAGAGGTATAAACGGAAGTCATATGACTGCCGAGCTTTACTAACCCTTGTCTGCTGACATAGGTTCGGGCAGTGTCTGTGGAAGACAGTAATTCTGCCGTGGAGACAGTTTCGCGGGAGAAGGCCACCTCTGACCCGGGATCAGTTGGTGCCCCTATGTCAGGTGTTGTCGTCGAAGTCAGGGTAAAGGAGGGACAAGAAATCAAGAAAGGCGATCCTCTGTGTGGTGAGTCTATATGTGCCGATAATCTAATCATGAGTCTATTGACCCCGGCTTGTCTCATCGATAGTCCTGAGTGCCATGAAGGCAAGTATTCTATATGATAAGACTTTTTCTCCTACTCATATCATGTGTCTTGTCACAGATGGAGTCTGCTGTCACTGCTCCAGTTTCTGGTCACATCAAACGTGTTGTTGTAAACGAAGGTATAAAATACGTTACTTGTATATCCTATATCTCTATTAATATGCTACTCTTTTCACAGGCGATTCCATCAACCAGGGAGACTTGACTGTGGAAATCGTCCACTAAATTCATATTGTACTTGCAAGAAAGTTGTTTCCGACCACGAAGAAGATTATACATTTGTATCTTACATGGAACCTGTGCCGCTATCTACTATTTCCAGAAATCATATCATGATAGATCTCACACTATCCGTGTCAACAGCGAAGTCTGAATGAAGCCATGGCATAGGTAGGATCGGGTGCAATCTGTAACAATATGTTATTGTGCTCCAATCCCCGAGCTTCTATTTTGGCCTCGGGGAGTACATCGACCAAGAATGCAAAGTAATACGAGGCAGCCATCCGAGCAGGATTCATTTGGCGGTACTGCTGATTTGAGCTTTCCTACTCCCAGCCCATTAGACAGAAAAAGGTAAGAGGTGACGACTGGGAAACCCCATTACTGGTGTATGCAAATTTAGTAGTATACAGGCTTACAGAACAACCCCAAAAGTCCTGAGATACTCTCGAGGGAACGTCGACTCGAACTGACTCTCACTACCAAGACCCTGGAAACGAGTTTGAGAGCTGGCTACCATTGGCTGACTACGATAAGAATAAATATATAATTTCGTATACATCGATTCATCCTTCGTGTTGCTTGTTGACAACGAACCTTGATGCGGCATTCAGATATTGTATGGTGGCGTGATGCAGCTCCCGAACAATATCCTATCGCAAACAGATAAGTCCAAAATGCCAAATGCGAATTAGCATAACCAGCATCTTACCTTTGCACCTTTGATCTCAGACATCAGACCGACGCCTGTTCCTGCCCAAACCAACATTCGATCGGCATCACCGCTCCGCACACCTTCGACGAATTGTTCTTTGACAACGCTGATATCAGTACCACTATCCATATCCCGAACAGTATTATTATAGAGCGCCCTTCCATCAACGCCACTGGGCCAACCTAGCGTCCCTCTGACGCGATCAAACGCCATCGTTCTCACTGTCGAAGTAGACTTTGCAGCCACGAGAGCACGCTTTTGCGCATCCGTGTAGAGACTTTCTGGCGTCAAGAGAAAGCGGGTGCCGAGTACGACGCCAGCTGCACCTAGTACCAACAGGGAAGCGAGTTGGGATCCATCTGACAGCCCTCCTGCAGCTAGAATAGGAGGAGCATCCTTTGGGGCGTCTGCCAAGATGGACGATAACAGCGTGAGAAGGGAAGGGGAGGAGCCATAACCATGTCCTCCAGATTCGTTTCCTAGACAGTGAGGACATGGCATGAGATTATTGCATCATTCGTAGGGGGAAAATAATCAACCTTGTGCCACAAGAATGTCTGTTTTCAAGTCGCTGATGGCAACGAGAGCGCCTTGGACAGAGGAGACCTGTACGCATATCAAAGTCTTGTGGTTCCGTTCTGGGCGTGAATCGTATTCTCGGATATACCGTACCCATCGACTCAAATCTGAGCCAAATGCGAGCCAGATAGCCTGTACGCGGTTCTCCAAAGCGATATCGATCAACTCGAACGCCCTTGAGGGCGACTGTTCTAGTTGCCAGGCTAGGTAGCCTACTCCTATTGGGAGGCGGTCAACAGACTGTAGCCGCAGCACCGATCGAGCTAGTGATAGCTCCTCCTGGAGCTTATCGGGAGTGTCGTATCCTGCAAGGCCCAAATGAGTAAAGTCCCAATAAACCAATTTGAGGGGGCCCCCAAGTTACTATGACACACCTGCACCCAAAAAGCCAAAGGCGCCTCCGTCGGTAACTTGGGCAGCTAGAGCACCTCCGCTAGCACCGGCCATGGGTGCGCAAACCACAGGGGTTTTGATGTCTAAAGCGATATTAATGTTATGTCAAACAGCGCGCTGAGAGGAGACGACCTACCCAACAATCGAGTAAGGGCGGTATCGATGCGCGACATCTCAAAGGAATAACTGAGGAAAATGCACTACGACACTACCGGAAAGCTTTACTGGCGCCTTTTTATCTTGTGCTATTCAAAATCAGTCCAATATATTTATAATAAGCCCATCGTGTCGGGAGTATCGGTCGACAGCAGCAATGCGGAAAAACTGGTCACATTATCGAACTCTATGTTTTCTTGAGGCGGACATTGAGTGGAAAGATTTGGGAAAATAATGGGATTATTCGATAAGCTGTTAGAAGACGAGAGACGATGAGCGTTGGCCCAGCCACATTGCTGCCACCATATGTGTTTACCCCTGTTTGTGGCCACTGGGAACTCTAATCACGCCTCGTTTGCTCGATATCTATCCCGCCCATCGCAACATCGTCCATCATGGTAAGTATACACTCATTCATGGCTCAATGTAAGCTATTTTACTCACAAGACTCATCTAAAATAGCCTCCTCCCAAATCAAAAGGCGGAAAAATGCTCAGTCTCATCAACTGGAGACTGAAAGTCACCATCAACGACGGTCGCGCGTTAACAGGACAGATGCTCGCTTTCGACAGACATATGAACCTAGTCCTAGCAGATTGCGAGGAGTTCAGACGTGTAAGACCCAAGAAGAAGGCTGGCGAGACAGAGACACCTCCAGAGCAAGAGATGAAACGTGCACTCGGTCTTGTCATCTTGCGTGGCGAAACAGTAGTTAGCTTGAGCGTAGAGGGTCCTCCACCGGTTGTAGACGAAGATAAAAAGAATGCGGTTCGTACTATTTCAAAATCGCCAATTCCTGCCCCTGGCGGTATGGAAAATGCATCGCAGAAACGTCTCCTGACACATTATTCGTCTAGCTTCCTGTTGGGCCTGGTCGCGGAATGCCTGCAGGCCGAGGCATGGGAATGATGCCTCCCGGTAAGTCTTCAAGCGATATGTTATTAAATGGATGATTTTTTAATCTATTGGTTGCAGGTGGCCCTCCTTCCCTTGCACGTCCGCCTATGCCTTTCGCGCCTCCGGGTATGCCAGGACCTCCTCCTGGCTTCAGGCCTCCGGGTTTCCCACAGGGTATGCCATTCCCCCCACCACCAGGTTTCGGTGGGCCTCCACCTGGGTATGTACACCTAAGTTCTATCTTACCTAAAAGTTTCTAACCATAATGATTCATAGCTTCCAGCCCCCACCGCAATAGAGAGCCGATGTTGTTGTTTGTATTAACAATTGACATTTGCATTCCACGGCTAGCAAAATGTAAAAAAGAGGCAAGGAGAAGCCAAGGGTGTGGAGTGCTGTACTTGTGGGTGTATCTCACTTATCCGTCACGGAAAAAGATTTGCACTACATGGTCCTTGCAAGCAGGTTGAAGCCCGAGGTTTGTAAAATTATTCACTGATGTCATCTCGGTAGCAAGTCCAGAAAGACTTAATAAAATAGGGGTTTTCGACTCTAGAACAACGTTGATCTCATTTTGAGTGATTCGTAATTCAGAATCTGGCATCGCTTTGCGGTAAATATGTGCTAGTGATTTCATTCTTCTCGCATTGCCCAGTGCTGAACTAGCTGAGCTCCCGTACTGGTCGTAGCGTTTTTTGTTTTTTTTTGTTTTTGACGCTCATGGGATCGTGGGTGTACTGTCAAGTTGGGAGACAGTGAGATCATTGGCCCGGCTGACTTGACGTACACTGCTGCGACACTAAGGAAGAGGCTCTTGAGTTTATCCTTCAATAAGCTTCCATCCCTGAACATGCGACATACAAATTCAAAGTGCTTTCGCCGCATCAGAAGGCGCGAATCCTTTTTGATCCACGATGTAAGTCGTCAAAACGATGGAGCGCTGAGACAGGATGTCACTCAGGGTCTTTCAGCTCAAACTTCAATGCTTCAAGTTTCGAAAGTGGGTTGACAAGACCGTATGCGGAGTGGTTTTCATCTTTTAACAGCGATGGTACGTCAACCGAGTCTTCTAGTATGTCATTGTAACATATTCTCTCTAGCAGAACGGGCAGTTCTCGTCCTCTTGATGAAACGTCGCGGTGCTGGGGTGACATGCCTTCTGTCATTTCATCAGACAATAGAATTGCAAAATGCGGTGCCGTTGCACCATAACTGCGCGGCCGAAAACGTTTTGTTTTATCTGCCCCGTCACGGGGTACCACGCCAAAGTCGTGTTTTAGGGAGAGAGTTCACCACCAGTGTGGTGAGTGATCCGCGGGTGTATCGAACATGAAAGAACGCTGGGGCAGGCCACGCACCGTTTGCTTCCCTTGCAGCCTAAATGATAACTGCGGGACATGTCTAGATGGCCGGACTGCGAAAAAGGGTGTTAGGACCTCGGAGCGATCAGTGTAGCGTGACTTGGTATGACCAGCACGGGCTCAGTCTCGAGCCTCATCTTCATCTGCAGCCTGTCCTTTGGGAGCGTTTTTGGTGGGAAGCACTGCGCGCGGTATCACTTGCAGTCGTTATTGTCATATTCCGGTGAACATGGAAAGAAGGCCGCTAGAGTGATGTTGGCGTTCAGAATGAGCACCGGAGACTCGACTTGTGCAATTGCAGTGGGGATTTCGAGTGGCTGGCCAGGCTATCATTGAGCAATGCCGACCTGTCGCTGGCAGGGTGACTTGGCGTTGAAGAGGGAAAAGGCCCAGTGCTCATGAGATAGGCTGGCGGTCTATAGGTAAACCTCACCAAAGGGGATTAGTTGGCTGTATTTTCATGCCATCATTAGGATCACTGGGCACGGCAGGGTATCTCGCCCCTGTTTGGGTAGGTCTCTAATCTTGATTCCAAAGGCTGTCCATAAGTAAATCACCTCTTTGACCTATCGCAGATCTCAGCCCCCTGCCTCGTGATCGCTATCCCTTTACGGCACCACCAGATAGCCTAATGCGGTCACTTGGATAACCCACTTAGCAAGCCCAAATTACGACATGGTTAAGTCCCCCTCCAGGCTGCCATCAGATCGTGGTTAAAGTAGAGTTAGCAGCTTACTACTCTTTACCCTGGTAGCCTTATACAGGCCTGGCATGGCAGGTGGTGCCATTCTTCCAAACCGTGAATGACGTGCCGCACACAGAGAGAGCAGAAAATGGCAATTTGTTCCGTGTCGCTGGCACTGGTCGAAATAATACGCTCTTGTCGACCCTGGCTGCGTCAGCTGCGTCGCCGGTGTTCGAGCTCTCTGATTAAGGCGATAAGGCCCAAGGTGCGCTGGTGTTTCAACTTTTATAATTTTTTTTTTCATACTTGTCTCCTTTTCTTGTCTATCCGTCGGGGGAGCTGGGCTGCGCATTGACTTGTAATATTCATTAATATCCACGCCCGAGTCCGCACGCTAGCCTTCCTACAGCGAGTTTACTTCACGAAGGAGCCTGAGACTCAGAGGGTTCTACTAGTAGGTTCGTATGGGATCTGCATATGAGCATCTGGTGCGTCATCGCGGCATACGTCGGGTCTAACTTGAAGGCTCATTGTCAATATCAATGTCAGGCTGCGCATCGCGAATGGAGCGCGACGTCGGCGTGCTCGCCGACTCCGCTTATCACACACACACTCATCAGAACCACGGACGAAGACGCAGATAAGGATTTTCGCAGCTTAGTAGGCACGCAACACGCAAACGGAATAAATCGCTAATTCCTCCTCTCGGTCTGCTCACTTCTGGGGTGAACTCTGCGTCCTTCCTTCCTTCCTTACAGAGTTCTTTACCAAAAAGCAACTTGAAGGAAGAAGAAGCAAAGAGAAAAACGGCTGCGCACCCCAACCTACTTTTGACCCAGAGAGGGCACGAGAGCACGAGGGCGGATCTTATCACACATGACCCATTGTCGTGTTGGCACATTCGCAGAAACGACAGCCCATGTCCATGTCCATGTCATAGCCCCCGTGCCTTCCCACCTCTCCCCCCGTCCAAAACTAACGAATTGACACTAAAGCCTCCAGCTTCTTTCCGTTTCGTCTCGTTTCCGTTTCTATGACAGCGGACGTAGGCTTCACTTAGCTCCGTGTCACAGGATCCACGGGTGGATTGACGCCATACTGGTAACTCGAGTGCAATACCCCTGCTACTAGTGACGCTCGCGGTCGCGGTACCGGGCCCGAATCTTGGTCTCTCGCCACTTATCACACCAAACGGGCGGTGGACCGGTGACCACTGTGATAGATGATAGATGATAAGTATGATAGGATGTGATAGACGCCAGGACCCCCCCTTCCCCTCGTTGACAATCTTAACCTTGCAACGCCATCCCACCGTTTTTTCTAGCCTGAGATTGTCATCAGCGCGAGATAAGGTTTACATTCCAAACAGTCACGCCATTTTGGACTTGTGTGTGTGTGCGCCACAAGATGTTCAAAAAAAGAAAAGAAATGGAAAGAAGAAAAGAGAAAAAAAGGCACTGCGTAAGGAAGAGACCAGGGCCCGCGAAGACGGACCTTGACGGGACTCGGTGGCTCGGTGCTCGGTGGGTACTGCGCACGCCCTTTCCAGGACACACACTCTCTCGGGATATGGAGCCTCTTTGTCTCGTCTCGTCGCGCGCTAAACTATAGCTAGTTGGGATAACGCCCCCCGACGTTCGCGCGCCACCCCTCTCAAGGCCTCAAGGCTCTCCCGGACCCGGTTGTCACTCATCGCCGACGGTTGCCGCGTCTGAGCAAGCTGTGATGACGAGCAGGCCCTTTTTGAAAATGTGGCTTTGGCGCGATTCGGGGTGGGTGGTCTCGGCTCCGGGTGCAAGTTGAGGATATCATGGCATGGCATGGCGTTATGATCGGGCCAACGTACTAGTCTTATTTAATGCCCATGACGAAGTTGTGTGTCAAAAGTATTATGAGCAAATAGCAAATATTACAGAATGTCATTCAGAAGATACGGCGTTTGACAAAGATGGAAGACCAAAAAAAACAAAAAACAAAAAACAAAAAAATTTAATAAAAGAGATAGAGATTTGACAAAGAGTCTCGTCTTGGCCATGGTGGTCGGACGATCGTCACGTTTGTCTGATATCTACGCATGTAGTTGTGACTGTTGTCGCTGTGTATAGACTCCTAGGGCCGTATTTGATAAGGATTGTCTGGTGTTTTTTTGGTGGTGGTGGTACTAAGGGGTGGTGACTTGGTGGCTGTTTGTTTCTTGCTTGCCAGCAGTGAGCGCTGATGGAGGAAGAACGGATCATGCGACCCAAGAGCAAGGTCCCATGACAAGGAGGCGCCTGGTCAAAGTGATGGGCTAAAGCTTACTAGCACTCTATTATATTATAACGTGTCTCAGAGCTTGCCCGGTGATTGATGGAGTCAGCTGTTAACCAAGTAGGAGAGTCAGCTGCACGTTCCTCGTTCTTGTTGTTTTTTCATTCTTCTTTCCCGATAAGTAGAGTCGCAACTTAGAGCTGGTGTGTGTGTGCACATTATGCCGATCACAAGGGATGAGCCTGAGGAACGATTTTATGAGGATTTATTGAAAGGAAGCGTGAAAAGCGGAACGCTGACTTGAATATCAGAAAATATGACATATGTCATAAGGGTCAGTCGACGTCTTCTTCCTCTTTCTGTCTTTCTGAGTGTGCGCAGATGGGATGCAAATCACCGATCACCGAGTCTGACAAGGCAGATAAAGTGGTTGATACGATCTGGGGGAGAATAGTGAATGATCAGAATAATATATTAGGAAGGCCGAGCGCCGTTGTCGCAAACCCAAAACGCCACCGATGATCGTGCAGTCGTCAATCAAGCTTAATCAAGACTCTCTCTTTCCTTTCCCGAAGGGAGCGGGAGCGGTGTTCCAGCCAAGAAAGGGGCATGTCTTCTTTATTGTTTTGACGTCGGTCTGCGTTGACCTGATACGACTCCCAACGCGCAAGGTACGCTCTTCATTAAGCTTCATTCTCATACCCTACCGGTCATTCCCACCCCCAGCATCGTATTCATAGAACAATCTGAATGCCATCATCATCCTTCTAGACTCGAGTTGGCTGCTCTTGGACGACTAACGACCCCATTCGAGTCCCAGCACCACCGATCAAGTCATACCGTCACCACCACTCTTCCCTCTTATCCGGACCTAGACATTTCTCCCTATACCATCCCGTCCTGCGACATCCATCACTTCCTTCCCATACAACCACCAACCCTCTGGCCACACGTCAAATCCATCTTTGTATTGCATTCCGTATTCTCCGTTACAACAGACCCCGACGTGTGCCAGGTATCTACATAACAGTTCAGAGATATCTTCAAGTCACCTCTTACTCGGCCACACCCATCCTCACATCCCCTCTCAAACTCCACCTTTCCATCTTCCTCACTACCCCACATCCCAACCTCACATCACCTCCCATTCTCAAGTCACCGGTAGTCTCTCACCCATTTGTCCTACCACCCCCCGCAACACGCCATCTCATATCCGCCCTTTCCCCACACCCACGTCCCTCCCCATTCGGCACCCACATTCTATACTCGTCCACTCCCCCTCAATTGCAATTGCAACGTGAAAGCCCTCACCTTTGGAAAACAAGTCACCTAATCACCCCCCGCTCCTTCCTTCTTTCCAAATCCGTCCCTCCGAACACCCGCGGTACCCTCGATTTTTTTTTTTCCTTCCTCGCCTTCGGTCTTTCCTTCCTTAGCCAAAGGAACACCAGGCTGTGAACGTGATCGAGCTATTTGGAGTTCTTACCACTACTAGTAGGTACCCAGTGCTTACAACTCCATCACCCTCGTCCAACTTCTCCTCTTCTTAGTCTACGCATGCCAATCCACCCGCCATGGCGCAGTTCCAATTCAGCCCCTTCTAGGTTGGCACGGCAGTGACTCACGTCAGCCCTCCCTCGTACTGTATCAGACCTTGATACGCTTTACGAGAACGTCAAGAGTCCTCGATGGTTGGCACGTCCGGTCCTTTGGGCGGGGGAGGCAAATTCTGTGCTATGCCATACTATGACAGTGACCTTTCCTCGTTCCTCTCGTTCTAGCACCGATTTTCGTTCGCTTAACGTAGCATTGACATCCATCCTGGGGCCCAAGACGGATGAGGCTAATCACTTTCTCTACGCTCGTTCCCCGATTCGCGCGGATCCCCCCAAGTTGGCTGGTTGAGTTCGAGTGTTGAGTGACATCATCTATTGCTCACCGCTCAGCCCCCATCCTTTCTGCTACTGGTCCGACAAAAGCCCTCCAAGTCCGAGTCCGAATCCCGCTCGGGGCCGCACTCGACGTCATGCACGATTATGCCATCCCGATCATGCCCATGTCACGCCATGACTTGGGTTCAAAGCCTCGACCTGTCTTGCCAACTCTCAGCTCGATCACATGCGCTCCCGCATAATCACTACCACGATCACACCTTCTAAGAGCATCGACATCTAGAGATATCTCAGTAATCGAAATCTCACTGAGGACACATAACCAGATCGGTACTGCCAAAGTCTCGAGTCTCTTAAACTATTGACAAGTTTATTCAAATAATGATAACACCCCTTTTTTTAAAATTTATTCGATTTTCGTTATTCAAAGTTCCCTGCTTAGTACGACTCGTCTGTGACAATTCTCCGACTCGACTTTCAAAATTCTGCTTACGATCGTCTTCATAGTCTTCCCTTCCTGTATTCTGTGCAGCTTGGGATAGAATGATAGTATCCATGGTGCATTTGCATTCCATTCCCACTGCGTCCGAATCTTCGTTTCTTGGAGACTTCCAGACTTTGCAAGCCCGTAAGCTCTTAGCTCTAAGTTGTGAATTGCAAGTTGCAGGCTCTCACCATCCCCCGTCGGATGGTGTGGTGCATGATGGATGATCCAGCTGAACGGCCCAGCCTACCCCGCGCCCGCGCCCCTTCGTCATCACACCCAACAAATTTCGTTTTCGCCGTCCGTCCGTCCGTCCGTTTAGCCATGGCTAATCCAGTTTAACATTTACAGTCGTACGGTGAGAGACTCTTACCATCGACACCTGTGAGCTTACTGCACTACTATCGTTAAACACCCCCTCCTTGGTCATTCGTCATCGCCTCAATCTTGAATTCCCTTCTCCGAGGCTCCTATCCTCCCCTCTCGGGCCCGGACACTTTGAAGGGCCAGACTTGTACTCTTGCCATCGTCGATCCACTCAGTACTCAGTACTCAGTGTTTAGGTCCACAGTCTGATACAACACTTTCAAATATATCGTATCTCATATCGTCATCATCCCCTCACATATGTCTACATGGCTACATTTCCTGGACTTCCAGTACATTTCATAACCCAACCCAACGCCCAACGTTAACCGTTCCACGGAAAGGCATTGACGAGGGCCCCCGCCCCGCCCCGCCCCGCCCCGCCTGCCACGATCACCCCAGTGGACCCACTCGATCACTCCCGGGCCCGAGACGGGTTGACGTCGTCGTTGCGATCGGGATGACGTGCGATTGGGGGTTGGGGCGGGGGGAAAGGAGGAAAGTGGAAGAGATAGAGATGACGGTGTGTTGGCGAAAAAAAAAAAATTATAGATCGTAGTCGGCAGGTCCGTGTCAATCCGTGTGTGTACTCCCACTGCCCAGCCCCCACCACTTGGAGCCCTGAGCGTCACCAAAACTTTTTATTTCCTCTGAGAGACAATACCAATGATACCAAGTCTCATGATGATGAAATACGGTACGCACTGGGATTCTCGACTCTCTCGATCAACTCGTGATCACGATCAATGATCATGACATCCGCCATTTGACATTTCTGCAAATCGTCAATTGTCAATTCTGTTATCCCTCTCAACTGTTACAAGAGAGGTTGTATTTATGATATTGAAACCCCCAAGGCACACGCTGGGGTACAGCTGATAAGTCAGGATATAAGTACTTCTTGACTGATACTGATACTGAGGCGAGGCACGTCGAGGCACATGTCCGCGTCATCTTAGTCTGAATCTCTTCAATGATGGTAATAAAACCACGGACCTTCTTTGCTGGCTTTTGTCGTTCAGGTTTGGGCTCTTGAGACAAGGGGAGAGGCACGATACGAGGCACGTCAGGACCCCGCCATCCACAGCAGCGAGGGGAATAAAAAGTAAAAATTAAGGTGACATATGATATGTTCAGTACAAGCCCAAGGGGACTTGGCAGGAAGATTCCCTAGTATGAGACTGAGCGAATTCATTTCAATTTGAAGCGCACTCACCAACCTTCCAGATCTGCTCGATCGCGACCTAGGTTTGAAATTCAACGGCTCCGACTCGATACCGCTCAATACCCAATAACCAATCGCAATCATTGGCGACACTCACTCGCATTGAATAATTGAATACGCCAGCCCACCGGTAGACCGGCTTTCTCGAGTTCCATGGCCAGGGATGTCAGCATCTAGAAGAAAGTCTCGGAACGCCAGTGGGAAAAGGTCAACGAAAAGGTCTGAATACCGAATACCCACTGCCAGGCGTTCAAGTTGTCACTCTTCGGAATAGTCTCGACTCGGAGTCACGAGAGCAAGTTCGATTTGGAACGACCACGCGATCTCTCGAGTGTTGCCCAAAAGACCGATTATCGCGATTTGTTATAGCCCGAGCCCGAGTCTGAGGCCCCAGTACTGAGTATCAGATGGCATATGGGATGAGAAAAACGCTGCGTCGGGAATTGACACTTTTGATATTGCTTGCCGTCGCTGTCACTGCCGGCCGGCATCGAAAAAAACACTACCAGTGGGACTGTCCCGTCAGAAGAATCCGAAGAAGAACTCCTCGAAGGAGCAGAAGGGAGAAGAACGTGTAATATGAATACTAGCACAAGGTTCTGGAAATATCAAATGATTTCCAACGCATGTGTGGCCCCCCACTGCCCACATTTTATTTTGACATTTGACGTTTGACAAGCTTGGGATCGTCGCAGTTGCTGACCGGCTGACCTTGTGCAGCTTGAGTCGTCGAAAACTTTTCGCCTGTGGGAGTTTGCATCAGATTTCTGTTAGGGACCTTGATGACATGATGCAATTGAAGTGGTTGAATTCGAAGAGCGTCCGAGCGAAGGCTGCGACGTAGTAAAAACGATATTCTGATCAGAAGGGGCTAGTGCCTCGAAACAACTTTGTCCTCGTTTTCATTTTCCACCCACCGAGTGAATCATGCAATATGACATGACTGATCATGAGACCTGACCCCCTTAAGGCCCTTCAAGCTTTAAATTCAAGTTCCTTTCCTTCCATATGTACACACATGCTGTCACCCTTATACCAAAAAATTCCAAATTCCGAGAGGTACCTCTACTATAATTATATAATAATAATGTTTCTTTTCCCATTCACCATTCAAAAATTACAGCTTCGATTCAATTATGATATTTACATACTCTGACTGGGTCCCAATGCGACTCTCAAGGGCGACAATCAAGGGATTTCATTAATAAAAGTGATCAGTCATGCTCCCACCTGCCCAGCAATACACCTCGTATATCCTATTCGAGTCAAAACCGAACGTCGGCATCGAGGTACGCCGCCGCCATCAGCCTTAATCACTGAGCGGTACAACTGTGCCCACCTCTGAAGGCCAAGAGTAACCTAGTCCAAGGGTCCGACATATTAATGTATTATGAAGCAGCCCGTTCACGTCATGGAATTTATCGAACGATGCATGGACAGGACTCGATATCACGTCACCTCCCGAGTCCTCTCTTGGATTCATTGATTTATATCTCAAGCCTCAAGCCTTAGCATCGTGGATGCATGTGACAGCATATATATTGTCAAGTAACGAAACGGTAACGATAATGTTGGACGCACCGCATCTTGATCAGAGATCATCGAAGAGCTCTTTAAGGGAACGCAAGCTAGGTTGACCCTGAACAGCTCAAGGATCAGGAATTCCGAATTGCCAGCGCATCTTTTTTTCCCTTTTTCGCGTCATGACTAACAGAACAATGGAGAGACCAAAATACTTGCACCATTGTTCATCCAGAGGTCACGTCATCTCGATTCCCCCCCCCCCAGAAAAAAAATGAGAGTTAATACACAATGCTAGTGGTGTTGATGCGCTCACTACATATAGAACTGGCAGTGCGCTGGCAGTGCTGGCATCATGCTTCTTCATATCAGAGATCTTCGGTGCGTATATTGGGGCTAGTTTGATAGCGGCAGCAACGGCCAGCAACAGTGGTCTCGATATCATTCCATCGTCCATTAACAAGCCACCGTGTCAGCCAACCAGCCACTGGTGACCGTTTCTTTAGCAATTCGTGCCTCAATTGCGTCGGGTTTGATGGATCTAGTGCTTGACTTGACTAGATCGTTCGACTTTGATGCTGACTGATGTGATTACTTCAAGATAAGATGGCAAGGATAAGTAGGGGTCCGTCACACAGTTAGCATTATGAAACAATGGTAGGACTGTAGCGCATCACCTCATTTAGTAAAAGTCGTTGCCCGTACGTGTGAGATTCACGATAGCTAAGTCCTAAAAGGTGTCGCATCCTTTACTGTGATCAACTCGGCAGCGAACACCATTTAGAAGTCGATAATGCGCGAATTCCGTTCCTTCATTCCTTCATTAATTATTTTCGAGTGCTTGTTGGGTATAATAGGAATTTGATCCTAGCGTAAGCCCCCATCTCGCCTGTTGCCTCCTGCCAATGCCAACGTGCCACGGTGTCAGGCAGCTTGATAAATAAATAAAAAGTCGAGTCTGGACTCTCAACGGTTATTGCGGCATTATGGAACAATGGTGGAGTGGTGCTGCTGCTACTACTATTACTGGCAGTAGCAACACCACGAAAAACCCAAACCGAGCCTAGCGAACCTCAGCCTCATCAGCGCGTCCACATTTGTATGATCGCTGGAAATACCATAGTGCCGCCGCCACCCATCAGAGATCGTCGATTGGGATGGCGGCGTCGGGGGCAGACCTCGTCACTGATAACCATCCCTCTAACTTGTTCTTTCAAGTTCCTTCCTATACTTCGCATAACAGCCTCCGAGCAGTCAAAACCGTGCCGTGCCTGCCAAACCTCAACCACCGGCAAACCCATGCATTCATTCATTCAGAATCCGAGCCATGTCGAGGCTCCTGTCAAAAGCAAAAGAAGGAAGGTTTCCAGAACCCAGATAACCGTGATCATGAGCTGTCATGCAGAAGTCAATAGAGCCACCCACCCCATTGTAAACCTTGAATATTAAATTCTGCAGGGTAGCTTGCAGTGATAGGCGAGTCTGGACCTCAGTTGCGGTTCAGAACGTTCCCATTTTTACAGCCTGGTCGATTGAACCCAAACGCGAGCCTGAACGTTCGTGCTAAGCAAACGCCTGCCAAAAAGTGCAAGGTATAACTCAAGTTTAAGCGGTGCGACTTGATTGCAAAAAAGGTACTGATACCATGGGATTGGCAAGCATCCCGGAAGATTCGGACACGAGAAATGGAGAGGGCTATGAAGCTGTCAAACCTCACTCAGGCCGGTTACACTGACAGTGTCATGGACTGTCAAGGTAAAAGACAGACGCCGTGACAAGGCCTTTGGGGGGCTCGCTGTGTGGCTGGCTTTGGTTGTTTTTGGGGTCAGCGACCTCCGACGTGACGGACTGTGGAATATGTTTTCTAAGCGAGTTGAGTGGGGGACGTCAACATATTTTTACAGCTTCCGCGGCTGGACACGTTCAACGTGGTTTGGGTGCCGACGTCATTTTATTTTGGCACAACCAACGTTCGACTCTGTTGCCTCTCGAGTCATACTGACGAAAAAAATAAAGCAGAAAATAAAAGAAGCCCTCCGATCATCACTACCACCCGTGGCATCTCATCTCGACGCCATATATCGCCATATTCGCCATTAGTCTACTCCAAAATATATTCACACTGACACCGACGACGAGTCACTCATCATGATGTTGTTTTCGTGAAGAAAAAATTAGATGGTTGATCTGCTCCGCAATAATAATAGACTCACGTCGTACGTACAGCGTGGGTTTCGCCATGGCCATTCTGCCATGGAAGAACTCGACAGTGTGGTATTTTTCCTTGATATCTGAAGGCCTTTCTATCCCCATAGACCTCGCTGACTCACCCGTTCGTCACTTCGAAATCCCCAAAATCCCCAACACTTTACGCTGCTACTTTCCAACGGCCGAAAAAAAATAAACTTGAAACTCACACATGTCCACAGACGCCCATGACCTTTCCAAGCGCCAAGTCGAGCTTCCACCGTCAGTCAGCATTTTTGAAAAAAATTTGAATTTCTGAAATCATTTCCACACACCACCGCCATCATACTTTTGAGTATCATCATGTATCACCGTACTATCAAACCCCATATGTCTTCCGCTCCTCCACACTTCTATCCCGAAACTCCCCGGCGTATCATGTCCATCTGTAGTCTAAGAACTATATGTAAGAAGGGGGGTTCTAAGATAACTTGTGGATCATGGGACCACACTCGCCTCAACGCACATCATGCCATCATGCGTCGTCAACTCAACATTCCACCAGTTTTTCGCCCAGTCAGTCCAGTCACGCACCGCACATGCACACGCACACATGCCCTGTACGGTCACCAACGTCACCACCGAACCACCGATAAATAATAATAATAATAATAAAAGAAGATGAAGAAGACAGAAGAAGACGCTTGAAAGAGACGGAAATCATGGAGTCATGATGGCACGAGGATTGCCTACGACCGCATCAGAAAATACCACAAAACTTGACTAAAACCACCACTTGGAGAAGATGTCAAGAAAACCTTCGTCGTCGTCGAAGTACCGTTCGTTCTAGTCGATCATTCGCCAACGTTCAACAACCAACAACCAACACTCAACACACTCCACCATCGACCGCCAGCCGCAACCGAACAACCGTGACTCTAAACCCTCCCAAACCCTCCCAATGCCCCCCAAATTCCCCCAAACTCGGATACCCCATCGTCACATCCAGTCAGTCAGCACCCACAGCACCCTGAACCTACAGAGAACTGTCAACACAACACGTCAGCGCGTCAAACCCCCCTCTCCGTCTATCCGTTCTCCCTTATCCACCCTCCGTCTGCCGCTCTTCAATACAATCCCAGTTCCACTTCGAGTCATATTCTTACCGCAACAGCCCCCCCTCTCCCTGGCCGCGCCGCCGTCAAAAAATAACCCTCAAGCCTCGAGGCCAAGACACACCCAAGCCTATCAAAGTGAAGGATAAAGATAACGATAAAGGTTTTAATTTTTACCGCCATCGGCAATGTCAGTGTCAGTGTCAATGTCGACTACTACACGTGTCTCAGCGGCGTTTCGTCAGACGTCAAACGACACAACTACCACGACTGGGCGACTGGGCGGGCAAACTGGGCGAAGAGGACCCTACCAGTGCCAGTGACTGTGCGCCGCTAACTAAATTGTAAAATCATACCGCACCAGAATTTAGAAAGCACGTCTTCATTTTAAAATAAAATAAAATAAAAAAGATGTCTTGTTATAACACACACCCCCACCCCATTCCCAACGCAACATCACCAACCCCTTGCCAAAAGTAACTCTCTTCAAGCTGAGAGCCACCCACCACGCAATTCGAAGCGCCTGTGACTCGAGCGAGATCCTTCATATCCTTAAGCTTCTTCTTCTTCTCCGAACTGGCGCGGGAAATAATACCACCCACCCACCCCCACCGCCGTACTGTGACTGTAAGACGATAAGACAACTTGAACCTTGGCTCAGGCCTCGAGGGGGGGGGGGATTAGAAAAGTCTAAGCGAGGATATGCTGTAGGAAGCCTGACGCCACAAAGAGGCGCCAGAAGCTTCCGAGTCAGACGGCTACTGACTGCGAGGGTCGTCGCGCGCGATTCTCCCGAAGTCCGAGTCGAAAGGCAAGAATGAAAGGATAGGTAAAACAAAATGCAGAAAATAATGCAAATAAAAAAGTAAAACAAAACAAGAAGCACACTATGACTCGATCACCATGTGCGTTGATCAAAGACTGCAGCTCAAACGCCAGAGTACCATCACGGTCACGAACGATAGCGTGTTTTCTTCTAAAATCAGAGCACGCTAGCTCCATGGACCATGATAGCAAGCTAGCTTTGAGACGCCAGGCTGATTGGTTGCATCCTGATCAGAGACATAACGTCTTGGTAGTCACGATGCGGCCGAGCTCGCCAACACGTCGCGTCGTGCAAAGTCATCCCGATTCTTAATTAAAGAAGAATGCATCCGCGTAAACCGCAACAATTCTGAAGGGGGGCGGGCGGGAAAGGAAAGGAACGGATGACCGCCATCGGTGAGCCGCGGTAAGCCTGCAAGCCGCGGTTAACCCAACGGCAAGGACCACTAGTCCAGCCTGATCGAGTCTAACCGCCTTCTGGCGCGCACCCACTCGTATTATTATCGTTCGTCCTTTCACCATAATTTCGATAATCATCGCTTTACCCGCACCGGAACCGAATAGCGGCGCACCCGACCCCGATATGCACGAGTTCATTAAGCCTGCCTCCTTGGGCTGACTGTTGGCTTGGTCATACACCTTACATGCTTAATCATGCCCCTACGACCCAAGGCCAAGGACATGGCTCAGCATGCTAGGAGCTGATCGACTTCGCTTGTAGGTAATTAGGCACTGCAATGTGTGATATGACACAAGGGAGGCGCTAGAGTAAGGGTGCGTGTTGATGCGGATGCTGGGTTCGAGGGATCCAGTAGCAGGAACAGAAAGCGGAGTGGAGTTCGAGGAGCAAAGAAGAAAATCAAAGAGCTAGAAGAACAGAGGAGCCGCCGGCGCCGTGAGGGAACGACAGATAAGGCGCCCGACACACGACAAAGGAACCATACTGCAAGACGCCGTTTGATAAGGAGAATAGACAGCAAAGCCGAAATGGGCCATCGGCATCAGATCATCAAAGCACAGTCAAAAAGCGTGGTGCAAGAGATAGCAGGGTATGTGGAATCTAGGGAGTGGACGCTGAAAGAGGGGACTTACGCATCTGCGATTGGGACCATGGCAAGACCGTGATATGCATCGACCAAGAACGCGCGCGAGGAGACCAGGGAGTATGCGTGGTAGAACCCGGCCAGGGTTATCTCCCTCGTGTCTACCATCTGGAAAGGAGCGCCAGGAACGTTGTTTTCAGCACGAACTTCAGCGCGATCAGCTCCATTTTTATCGTTCGCACCAGATGAACTGTCAGTACCTTCATAACTTGTCAATGCCTCCCTTCCATCCTCGCTCCCGCGCACGAAGACTGATCGCAGTGTGGGCTCCACGATGTCGAAATAATACTGACGAACCTCATCCTACGATAAAGAAGGTTGCATTACAAGGTTAGTCAGTAAATTGGAAAGGTTTGATCTTTGATTGATATTTGTGAGAAACGAAGCAGAACGACAAGTCAAAGAATAGTGAACAGAGGAGATCACGTGCATGAGGATAAGCCAAATGTGAACGGTTAAGTCAAAAGGGTCAAGATCAGATGGCATAGTTAAGTTGAGCAAAAACTGCTATCCAGGATGGAAAATGGTCAGGATCGTTGTTTAGAGTCTGATGAAGAAAGATGACGATAAGTGATTTCGGAGATGCGCGAGGCCATAGAAGCATCCTGGAGCGTCCTAAGAGCTAACTCTGTACAGCAATCCAGCCGGCAAAGTGCGCAGGATGCAAGGATGAGGGCAGCGGTACGCGTGGCAGAGACGCGCATAGGAAAAAATGCAAGCCCTTTGCGCATGGCTACCGCACTAGAACGACAATTGTGCGGGAAAAAGCGAACCTCCGGAAGAACCCACAGGAGACTCGTCTCAATACCGCAGTGACGTTGCAAAACATACCGAGTCAAGTAGCGCAAATGGAAAGGATTGGAATACACCGAAATGAGTGACCCGATAACGAAAAATGATATCAGAGTCCCCACCAAAGGCCCAGAAGCCAAATATAGAGCCAAGATAGAACACCAGAATAAAATAGAAAGATACGATAATGGAGTAAAGACATACCAACAACCCTTGCACTTCTCTCTCGATCTCGGTGTTTCTAAGCCATTCTCGTGCAACAAGACCATCTCGTAAGCGATCACATCCTGAGCATCCTGAACTTTCGAGTGCTTCAAATGCGCAGTCCTCACGAAAGTGTCTGCCCCTGGCGCCTGTAAGATTTTCCGCGAACTTGCGTGCTGTGGAGAGTGCAGTATCACTTCCGCGGTTGGTACAATCCTGTGTGTGCAGAATGCCGTCCTCGACACCCCAAAAGAGAGCAATGTCTACAATTTCCCGCGGCAAGCTCTGGAGGTACCCGAACCATCGTGATTCCACGTCTCGCAACCTGCCGCGGGGGGATGCCGCCACAAAAATTGTGAGGAACGGGTAAGTCCAGGAAGTACGAGTGGCATAAGAATGTTAATAGGACGATGAATAAAGGAGCGGGTACGATATTTTTGGAAGGCGTGTGTAGAGACAGATTGGAGGGTGGAGTTAGGACGCCAGATATGTGAAGAAGTCACCGGAAAGGAACGTGTGAATGATGAGACAGTGAAGAAAGTTGTGCATCGAAGGAACAGGCGAAAGCGAACGGGCGCGTGTGAGTTTGGAGTGATGCCAATCAGAAAATATGAGAACAATGAGCGGCAGAACTTCATTAAGTCAGGGGGAAGACGTACAACTCTCCGTATAGGGCGAGTGCAAGAGCGAGGTGTGCACCGTTGCCGTACGGGATGGGAGCGATCAGCTGGGACAAAGAACAAGATCTTACTGAGAGAACAGCACTTTTTGGGATGTGCACGACTAAAATTAAAATGAGGGTGAATCAACATTAAACGTGACAACAAGAACAGCAGGAAGTGATGCAGATTCTCGCTGTCAACCCAACGGAATGTAAATCCAGTGTGTTCATTCAGATCCACTATCAGCAGGTCACACACACTGCAGACAGGTATTGTACGGTGGCCGTCGCCTATAGAAGACGTTGATAGCAGCAACGCATTAAAAATCAGGAGATCGAGAAAAGGCCCAAAAGATAATCATACGTCAAATCAAGAAGAAGACACAGGAATGCGAGTCTGGGAACTATGGGGCTAGGAATAGGGAAATCACCGTATCTGCACTCACGAGTAGCGGGAGATTCGATGCATTCACGAGACCACACGCTTATTGCACCATCGCCACCAACAAATTCGCTGATACCTGCATTGTCCGACGATATGTCTCCATCATGGTTACCGTTCTCGATGATGCGTATCCGTGAATCGATTCGAATGCCGTTATTGCTGCACCAACCGAGCAGAGTCATGATTCTGTCAGATGGCATATGCATCTTTTGACACGGTACTATACGGGTATCTTTTACTTGAGATTTGAATGTAGTATGGAACAGGAAGAGACAGATGCAGGACTTGTTTCCCAGTATCGCTTCACAGTACAGCACGTCCCGCCGGCAGGCGTGGGACAGCCAGACCGGCCAACGGCCATTGTGGCGTCCTACAGCAACCATGTCAAGAACCTCAGTACAAGAATCTCGTCTCGCCAGGTTCGCGGGTACGTGCTCCAGAAAAGACTCGTATGTGGGAACAAAAGCTGTCATCCCTTCACTGTTAACTACAAAACGGGGCATAACTCCAGCTTAACCTTGTTCTCTGGGACTTAGCATGAGTAACGCGGGTACGGAACGCAGCTGCTCAATCAACCGCGGCAACAGCATGTGCTCCTACCATTTCAATTACAGCACACGTAAAAAATAGTAACAATGGTGGTCTCGTATTATATTAGTCGCAGCTGCTCACCAGAGATCGAGTAACTGAGCAGCCATCCAGTCCAGATAGCACTCGCGAGAACAAGACCGAAGCGTCGTGTATACGTATACGGGTATATCCTTTAGCTTGCCATTCGTGTCCTCTCTCCTAATCATTCTGTCTTGTCCTTCTCGCCACGAGCACTGCTCGAGGAGGATCCGTTCACTTCCGTCTTCGCTTTCCGCTCTTGTGCCTCCATTCTAGCCAATTCTCTCAGCTCTGCCCGGCGTGCGTACTCTTGTCCACCCTGTCATCGCACAGGCAGTCAGAATAAGGAACAATACAAAACGAAAAGCAAAGAAAAAAGGGGAAAGCGAGCAAGGAAGCGGAAGACGCAGTTCCGCATCACTGCGCAGCTAATTTGGGCTTAATGACGACAAATCGCCCTTCGAGGTGTATGAGAACACAACAACCAAAGAGAGTGTAGTGCGTATTACTAGAAGAGTGGAGTGCGAGTCTCACCTGAAGTACTAATATTGCACCAAGGATGACTATCATGATAGTGTTCCCAGCAGAGAGTACTCGCATTGCTTCGACACGGTCCGCACGCGTGTCTATGCTCTCGACAGGCGTCACAATCGTACGCAAAGACGGGATAGTCACTGCAGTGTACACCGCAACACCGAAAATATAGGCCGCTGTCGAGATATCCTACATAAGGACTGGCCCCAAGTTGAATAAGAGCAAGGACACTCACCGAGACTCGATCCGTCAAAGAACATCGCACTTTCATCCCATTTGTGTAGTTTTGCAACCAGCCCTAGTACTCCCACTCCAATGAAGCCATGTAGCAACGCCTAAGGCCGTGCATAGTCGTGTCAAATTACGCTCATCAGTAGGATAATGAGGTGTACACACCTTAATGGCAGGTGGGGCATTGAAAAACGTCGTATAAAAATGAAACCCGTCCTCTATAATCTCATTCGTCAAATCCTGGTGTAAGACTCTATGGTCGACGAAATAACATATGAATAACACCCCTACAAATCAAATTCGAGTCTCATTAGTCCACATCAACACGACAAAAAGGTCATTCACGCACCCAAAAGAAAAGAGCAAGAGGCCAATACTGCTCCTTGTCTGAATCCCATTTTTTACTGCGTGAATGTATCGTTTCCAAGTGGTTGACGGCAAGTGCCTTGGTTGATATCGAGTCGTCTGCGCTATCGCATACGTACGCGTGGTACGATACTCATATCGCCGGCACTCTTTGACGCGCGCACCGACAGACCCGAGGCTCACTCCCGTTGTATCACATTTTCATATCCACATCTTCATCCCAAACCGTTAAAGACATGTTAGATTCATGTGCATGAGCACTGACATGTACATAGATTTTTGTAGGGGGTCCATGCTAGTACGCCTAAGTATCATGGGTATCATCATATATATGGTAACAAAAACCAGGGAATATGAACTCGAACGCAACCACAGGAAAAAGAAAAGAGAGCTCTAACACAAAAGAAACTAAATGAAGATGGAAAAAAAATATATCAAGGTGAAGTATAGTACTATCCTACATTAGAAATCTGTTGTTTTGGAAGCATTGTAAAACGTCGCATGCACCGTATATATGGCCGGGGTTGTCGTGATTAAAAGTCCTCGACCACATAGGGAGAGATAAGTCGATAGTAAGGCATGTGAAGGAGACGCTAGGGGAATGCAGAAGGGATATCCTCTTCATCCCTGCTTAGCAGTCTGCAACGACGGCGCAGGTGACATTGGAGATCCCGCAGGCCGAGGCGACACAGGCAAACCCATCACTCGACTATGTCTGTTTCCCTTCTTGCTAATCGCAATATTTAGCCCACGGCTCGCCGCTACATTCGACGCATGTGATCTATGACCGTTGGGCGACAGGCCATCGTTACTTGGTGGGAAGAGTAAGTCGTTTGACTGTTGGTGGTGCACATGCTGAGACGCACTGACGCCAGCACTCGAGCGTGTGTGGCTTGAATCGACGGTGGCATCGTTCTCAGTGGTGTCGTTGCCACTTTCGGACGGTAGCAATACGCTGTCGCCATCATCTGATGGAGTCTCTTCAGGGGGCGCTGAGAGAAAGATACGTAGGTCAGATACAGAATGCACTCAGGAGCCAAAGACCACGGAAGCCAGTAATAGACCAGCTTCGCAAAGGCGAATACGTCACTGAAACAATCAAGAGACAGCACGAACCTTTCAGAGATCTACCGGAGAGCCCCAACAACTGATCAGCAGCTGCGTCCAAATACTGCCGGCTATTCCTCCGGCTCACATCAAATGCATGGTCTGGGCTCGACTCATCATCCTCGGTGCCCTGGACCGCATCAACATTGAATACCCTATTAAATTCGCCCAGCATCAAACTGAACACGCCAGCAGGAATCCCGAGCGTTGGGCTAAACACTATCCCAACATTACGCATCGTCATCTTGTTCGTGTTTGAATTCTGCACGATCAGGATGAGATGTGCCGTCAGCGCTCGCAAGAGGCTGTAATTCGCAATAGGCAGCGCCGCGATGAGCTGTGACAGCTCTTTAATGCGCTCTTGCGGATTGAGAAAGTCTGGCAGAGGCGGAGCGTTAGATATGTGGATACATTAAGGAGGAACGCGTACTAATAACATCGAGGAACTTGAGATGAAGTTCGCGCGTGAGTATACTGGCGGGGAGTTCTCGCAAGAAGCTTTTCAGAAGACCAGCAATGGCATGAGGATCCCAGTACTCGTCTGAGCTCAGAAGGTCAACGTCTCCCTCTGCAACTTGGTTCAATATTTTGACATCGATAATGATAAGAAGTCACATACCAGTATTGAATCGGTCTTTGAGACTTTTGATGACAGCAGAACTACCACTAAGCCGATATATACCCTCCTCCTGTTCCGCCTTCTTGGCTTCCAGATATTGGATAGAGCGGAATACGACAGCAGGGAGACGTGCAATCTCCGCGACTTCTAAAGATTCCTCAAGTGGTATACCAAACACCGCTCGAGAAACATGCGCAACATGCATTTTATCGGCTTGCGAATCACTCAGCACCAAAAATATCATCATGGACGAAAAAAATCAGACACACCATTAGGTCGGCCAAAGCCCCAGAATGACCGCGACTTGGCCTTCTCTCGTCTCTCTTGTGCCGCCGCACTCTCAGAAGGAGCATCCTTCCCTCCGAACTTGTAACCCATCGGTATGGGCGCGCCACCAAGTGGTCCAGATATTTTAACCTGCCCATTAGGATCTCCTCGGACTGGAGTCGCCATTACATCTGGTGAAGGGGCTCGATCACGTGGCGGGGATGAACCAACAGCACCCAGCGTTGGATGGAACGATTTCCTGTCCCGACGTGGGTCTCTCGTCCGATGTTGCTCAGGTGAGAACGATTCCTGTTGACCGGGGCCTGCTCGACGATCCTGTAAATCAGGATAATGACCAAGTTCGGAGTTTGCTCTTTGGCCGATAGGTGCCAACTGTGTAGTGGCACTTTCTAGTGGAGATGATGTAGGCAGCGAGCTCGACAAGGGAGCATCCAGGGTGTTTGATGGCTGGCCTCTCTCCAGTATCCGCCGTGCGGTGTCCTCAGCAGTAAAATGACCGCTTTGCGAATGATGTATGGATGGTTGATTGATTGATTTCACGGGACTGGATGATCCCAGATCGTCTACAGGCGGACTTTGGAACAACTTGGCATTATGAGCGTCTGGTGCCAACTGGGAGATAGGTATAGCAGGCCCCCGAGATATATCGTCTTTGGACATCGCGCGAATCGGTCGCTTCCCGTTTGGAGTGGTGACGCTTTCATTGGTGGAACTCGTACTTGATCGAGGTTGGGCAGAGCCAAAGCTTGTCGTTTGACCAACATTGACGGAGATCGGACTGGGGCCCGACGAGACATTGGGTTCTTCGTTGTATGAGCCCAAGACATACCGCACAAGGACCTCAACCCAGCTATCTCTATCAGCATCACTCTCGGCGCAGAGGACGTGTCTAGGGTGACTACCACCAGGCCCTCGCTTCGCTTCGATGATGAGAAATGCATGACGGTAGTCTTTCTCTTCATCAGCCTCGCCTGACCTCTGCTGCCGCCCTATTTGGGCCCCAGTGATTGTGATTGATCCCAGGTGCGCACCACCACGCTATCACAGATCGATGAGCAAACGTTGCTGGGTCCTATGGCACTAACACTTACGCTCTCATAATATTCCAAGACTGGACCCTGCAACACAAAGTACCGGGTTTTCCAACCTCCGAAATTCTTCCCTCGTTTTGTCAGGTAGCCTTCTTTGTACCCAGCTTGCGAGACTGGTTTCCTCGTATCTCGTACAATGTCTGACGTGAAGAAAGCAATAACCTCGTCCTTGTTCTTAACTGGAAGATCAATCAGAGTTTGGAGATACACTTCCAGTGCGACCTGTAATACCTATGATCAGAAACCTGATGTGCCAACGACCAATATACTTACTTTTCGCTGATCAACTTTAGCAGGTGCGTGGTCCCTCCACAACTTCCCTTCAGGCAAGTTCCCAATTTTCTTTACGACTCCCTTTGCAACACACATCCTCATCCGTTGATCCAATCCCAGCACATCTGAATACAACTTCTCCACCCTCCAGGGCTCCTTCCTATTACCTGGATCCAACTCGATGATAAAGGAGAGTACTTCCTTTCCTCTGTCATTGGCCCGAATGGATGAATGAGACACGGATACACGTGTCGTCTTGAGATCCTCAAAGACAAGAGGTAGCGCACGGAAAGAAAGTGTAGGAGCATTCTGGGTTGTCGCAGGTTGTTGAGAATTTAAGTATGAAGAGGGAACAGGTGAGTCGGGAGCCATGGCTTGCATGTGTGACTGCAGATGAGCCGGAGGTGTGGCGGTAGGGTATAGATGTGGATGGGCCTGCGTGGGCGTCATCAAATGGGCCTGTAGCTGAGTTGAATTTGGTAAAAGCATTGGGCCATGTGAAGGGGGCAGAGGGAAGTCTTCGACTGGAGATCTTGGTATGCCTCGCCGATCTGGCGATATCAACTTCTTTTCATCAACCTCCTCATCCTCGCCTTCATCGCCTAAATCCAAAAACTGAGCCGCACCTGTATCTTCAGGTACTGGATCCTTGTCGGCGTGGTCTCTCCTACTTGATGACTTGTCGAGGGCTAAAGAGGCAGATGAGGCATTATCAGATGCATTACTCGCTAACGCCTGGCGTCCTTGAGGATCGGGCGAGGCTCTTGGAGAGCCAAATCCGCTTAACTTCGGGCTAGGCACAGGCGATTCACCCATATTGGCAATGTATCGTTTTGCCTCGTCAGGTAAAGATACTCGAGAATCGCGGGATGGACCACGATGCTCTACTATGGGACTCAACATAACGGGGTTTTGTGAAGGAAGGGATAACGATGACCCGGAGCTTGGCGGAGGATACAGGGTGCTATTAGGTGGGACAGTGGATGACTGTAAAGACGGAGTACGGCTTGAAGTAGAAGTCGAACTCGTTTCCAGGGATACGTCTCGCTCAATCGATAACGACGGAGTTGCGTACTCCACCAGTGCTGTCTGTCCAGCCACCAACACAGGTGGTGTGGTTTTCATAGCACCATTTGACATCGTCGGTGGAGATTCCGAGGAACCTTGTTGAGACCAAGGCGGTGTTTCTGATAGAGCTGATGTCGACATACTTGAAACAACATCTGCTGAGGACGGGACGTCTGGCGAAGAGGTTGTGGTTGAAGCTAACGAGGTTTTCCGTGGTGGGACAACCAGGGGTGGGACAAAATGTGGACGTGATGATTTCTGAGTGTGGGTGGGTGGAGAAACTGCTGAGTCACGTGTGGGTAGTGGCTCCTGGGAGGGTGCAGTGGGGAATTGGTGATTGTTATTTCGAGGCGTTGCTAAACGGATGGTGGAGTAAAATAAAAAATAAAAACGGTCGAATCAAAATTAGTGGGAAGGTTGTGAAGGTGTGCAACGGCGAGTGATACCCACCTACGTCGTCTGACTGCTGTCGCGCCATAGTTGCTTTCGGGTTTGCACTCCCATTCAAACTAATAGAAGTACTTGCCATGGTAGAATTGGAAGCAGATGATCTCAATGACTTGTCGCGTTCCCTCTCCTCTCTCTTGGGCAGTTCGTCACTAAGCCCTGCAGCTTGGAGTCTAGCCTTGAACGTATCCCTCTCGTTCCTGACGCGCTCGAGCTCTTTTAGCACTTGACTGTAACCGGAACGCTGTTTCTCGATGAGCTTCCAAAGCTGGGTGTTTTGTGTGGAGAATACGTTGCGTTCGGACAGAGCCTGTTCGAGAGCAGCCGCAAAGGGATTGGGTGCGTTGGCATGGGCAGCAAGTATAGCCTCAAGGGTGATTGGACTGGTTGTGGGTGCTGTTGACGACGTGACTAAAGAGGATGTCGATGAAGAGGCGGTGGTACGCATGGGAATTGGAGAAGCTGTCAACTGCGAAGACGACGTCGGATGCCGTTCCCGGGAAGGAGTACCGGCGACGGAGGCCTTTGAGGTCATCGTTGGCAGTGAAGCTGAGTGAAAATTAGTGTGTTATGACACGACGGCGTGGATTGTGCTGGAAATAAAGAGGTATTGGACGGGTGAAAGTAGCCTTGATGAGAGTATGAATTGGAACCCCAAAAGTCAATGCGTAGAATGGGTTTACGTTAGATAAAACATGAACATACCGCCAGGTGTGTTCCTATGCGCTCCGATAAATAGGGCTGCAGGCTTGAGAAAGGAGGATTTGCAGCGATGATGGAGTGAGCGGAGGTGAGGGTAAGAAAGAAAGAGAGGGTGGTCGTTACAGAAGACCAGCGCGTCGAATAGCAACGGCGCGCGCGAAACGATGGAGAAAATTGGGGCTCGCGAGATGACAGAGATCAGCGCCGAGAAATACCGAACATATCTGATAGTGGCTCATTGTCACATAATTCAGCCAATCCACCTCAGAAAACATCATGTCTAATACATCCTCTCTACAGATCAGATCCAGTATCACATTTCCTGACACCGCCAAGCAGCCCACTTTGGTCCTCCAATTCACAAAACAAGCTTCGACAGCGAATCTCCCGCTATTCTTGGTCCTATTACTCATGCCCTGATCCGCCTCTAACAACAGAGCTCATTGTCACCAAACCAATACTACAACATCCGTCTCCTTCACATCACCACCGCTGTTGACATGACCGAGTCACATCGCAAGCAACTTGATTGAAATCTTGATTCATACTAATCACGAGGCTTACAATCTTCGTCACTAATACACTACTGTATCAGCCCTGACACACTTAGAATTTAGCAGAGTGAATTGAAGGAAACACCGCACGGCGAACGGCTATATTATATAAAATCAGCCTCGTTCGAACCCTGGATAGTGGCGCGTTCATAACGTACATCGATTTCTCCTTTGGCCATATTACAACTTTCGTGACAGTAAACATGAGAATACTTTGCCGAGTCTGCCTCGTGTTTCGGTCTGGAAAAGCATATACCAGTATGGTCAAGTGCTGAGGATAGCAGTAACTGATTTTCCACAAGTCCAATCAGGAAGGACCAACATCCCCGACCAGAGAACCTCGCTACGCACAGCGATATTAATACGGTGACCAAGGGTCAAGACAGGAACACCATAAACATTGTTTCTGGTCACGCCATAAAATTCCAGATGGCAGCAGCATTGGGACGTTCCAACACAGATGAGTCAGAAATTTACGACATTTCAATGAAAAGAGGTTGGCGGCGGGTGATTTCGTGTCGTACGCCCACTGATAGCTACTGTCATGACAGTCATCCAGCGTGGAGGAAAGGGAAACCATGGCGTTGTTGCAGAGCGCATGCAGAAGTCGATACGAGACATGGCTATTCTACATGATCACCGGACGACGTGTTATTCTTGACCTGCAGGGGACAAGATAAGCTTGATGGCTGCAACACTATCGCTCAACACTTACGAAAGCCAGTCAAAGACATTCCATGGAAGAACTCGTCACGTATGTCGAGAGCCCAGACTCTCTCAACTTGTGAAGAATCATTTTGCGACTTTATCCTTGATATTATCACATCCACTGGTCTGGTCTCGCCTTTCTCGGTTTGACTGTATGGAACGTACGAGTGAAGATGACTACACCATTGGGTAATTATATATACCACATATACACTTCTGATAAGAGAATTCAAATGTTTCAGTGCGTTTTGGAGGTCACAGAGGCAGAGGAAGGTGAGGTCCGAGTCTAACGGTGGTGGAACAAGAAAAGCCAGCTGGCAGCGGAACGGATTCAAAGGGAAGATAGCACTTGCCTCTTTTGGCGATACGTGCCGTCACTTGAACCGTCCGTTTCAGTGAAGGCAAGGTTCAGAATTACAATCGCAGTACCGCATTCTCGCTTTCTAACAGCTCTGCTCTCCACAGTAACTTAAGAAAAACAGAACTTTGTTCTTAATCATGCTATCGTGTTTTCGTGCTAACATCCGACTAAAATGCAAAGGACCACACTATTTGACCAACAGGACCACTCTTCATCGCTCTAGGAACGTTTCGTGCTCGTCTGCGCTGGCTTATCCGACCAATCATTTGGCTATCAACATGTCGAAAGATAGTGAACCAATTGAGGTGGGAGAGGAGCATATTAATCTTCAGCCAGGACATGCGGTCATCTCGACTTTTGATCTGTTCAGTATTGGAGGTATGTGTCTATCTCCAGCTTTTGTGCAGGTAGATTAAAGGCCGAGCAGTGGGACCAAGCTCGTCACATACCGTCGGACCCATGCGTGCGGGGAAAATCTTTATCGCCGACTTGCAGGAGCTGGGGCTCTTGGGCAAGGTAAATTTTTATTTTGCGCTGCTGTTGCGAAGTCACTCAAGTCATTCATTTCCACAGGTCAAGACGATCAAAATAGTGCTGTATGTTTCACCATGGCCGCATTATACCTCTATGTAACTATTGACACATTTGACCTGAACTATAGATATGGTTCACTGGCTGCAACAGGTACGTCACTCGTGTTGTCGTTTCAGGTTCTCACTCCATGTCTTCTATTTCCGTTTGGTAGGAAAAGGGTAAGCATCATATGTTATCCTTTACATCATTCACACTCTCATCACCCCAATATCAGCCACCACACGCCGCAAGCCATTTTGCTTGGTCTAGAAGGTAAGTATTCTTGGCCACTTTCACCTTCAGATTTTAATGAATATCCCCTATAATAGGTTCAGACCCAGAAACAATCGATACCGGAACTATACCATCAAGGTATGAGGCTATTGTTACGAACAAAGTACTCCACTTGGGCGGAAAACACCGCATTACCTACGATATGGATCGTGACATGCTCTGGCGTTGGGATCAAGTTCTCAAGACCCACCCCAACGGAATGCGGTTCTCTTGCTTCAACGAGGAAGGTGATCTGTTGGCCACGAACGAGTACTTCAGGTAATAAATCAAACGTGAAGTTCATACCACTTTTATAATGAATGTAATTAGCGTCGGCGGAGGATTCGTGGTGAATGACAAGACGAAAGGTGGTTTTACCTCTTTGTGATCTTAATAATTTCTTGATGTTTGGATTAGTGGATGAGAATCTATTTTACAAAGGCGTCGACAAGAGTGCTGTCCATGGCGCCAGGTTGCACCAGACTCATAGTCTCTCCGAGTCGTTGCCGGAAGGCGCACTTTCAAACAAAGACAATGAAGAGGCATACCAAGACCCTGGTCATCCTCCTTATCCCTTCGAATCCGGAGACAGTCTGCTGGCGTTGACTAAGAAGCATAATGTAAGTGCCTAGTCAATTCACGCTCTATGATGCGCAGGTTACATCAAAAGCACCTTGCTAACTCAGCTGACAATCGCGCAAATTGTTCATGATAACGAACGTTACTTTGGGTTGACAGACGCAGACATAAATGATAGGGTAAAGTTGTTTTGTGTCTTGTTCCTTCACTTCATACCGATTCTTTGTGGCTTAGATCATGCGCATATGGGGCGTCATGGACGATTGCATTCGTACCGGAGTGACAACTGCAGAGAAAACACTGCCTGGACGCTTGAACCTTCGCCGTCGAGCTCCAATGCTGTATAGACGCCTTATGCGAGGGTGCGCAACTCCTTGACCTTGATATCCCATACACTTCTTTAAAGGCTTATTTGTTTCACGCCCTTAGTTTCTATCCTGGTATATCTAGTTCAAACCTTCCCATGATTGGCGCAGGCGCAGATTCTCTCCCAGTCGGCGCCATTGAAGAGCCTGAATCGACGGACAGTCCGTCGTCAACGTCCCACTCCACGAAAGATAATGTCTCAGAACGGAAAGTTTCCAAGCGTTCACCTTGGGTAGTTGGATCTTTTGATCATGCCGTGTTACCTATGCCTCCTGTGAGTTTCTACGAACTGCTGATGCTGCACAAGTCATATCTCAATGGACGGGGGAATATAGCGTAGAACAATGATACCAGCTGTGGATTTCCTCTCCTGTTACGCTATCGCAGTCAACGAAGTCAACGCAGGTGGTGGACGTATTGTGACATCCCCAACTAACGGTGCTGCAGGCGTCATTCCCGCTGTATTGAAATACATAGTCGAGGTCTGTCGTCTTCGCAATCCAATGAAATATTGGACGCTCAGATAGTTCGATAGTTCGTCAGCGATGACCCAGAGAAATCGGTGACCACGTTCCTGCTTACAGCTGCTGTAAGTTATTTTATCCGCCTTGCAGTCCTCTGAATCTCTTAAAAATTTTGGCCGACACCTTGTCAGGCTGTTGGAATGTTGTTCAAGCGAGGGAGCACCATTTCTGCTGCAGAAGGCGGTTGTCAGGCTGAAGTCGGTGGTGAGTTTTCGGATGGATGATATAATAATGGACTTAAACATATTTTAATCTTGTTCAACGATGTAGTTGCGTGTTCTATGGCTAGTGCTGGCTTTGCAGCGTGTATGGGAGCTTCCCCAGAGACAGTGCTGCAGGTTAGCTCGCTTTTTACATTTTTATCGCATCGGAGCTTTATTTCCTCTTGTCTCAGGCCGCAGAAATAGGCATAGGCGAGTCCTCTTTTATCGAGCTCCAGGAAAAAAAAGATAACATAAGGATTACTACAGAGCATAATCTTGGCCTGACATGCGATCCAATTGACGGCCTTGTGCAGGTCCCTTGTATCGTACGATTTTTGTACTAATATTCATCCGTCCCACTTGATGCATACTTTTTTCACAGGAGCGGAATAGTCTAGGAGGTTGGTCCGACGGAAAACCCCTTAAAGCGATATTCTGATGCCCGTTCTGTAGCCGTTAAAGCTGTTACCGCTGCCCAGCTGTCTATGGCAAGCCATGGCGTTTACCGAGTCACTCTGGACGAAGCCATTGAAGCAATGCGACTAACTGCTGCAGACATGAGTGTCAAATACAAAGAAACCAGTCTTTCTGTACGTTAATCTATCCTGACACATGATTGCACCACTGCACTCCTGACCTTTTGTCATTTCCGTACCCCTTTTGGCATTTTCTTATCTTCAGGGGTTGGCGGTAAGCTGTCATCGACATTATCTAGTTTCAACTACTGATCTAAACCACCTGTATCGCGCCAGACTACTGTTAAGATACCGTTGACCGTGCCTGCATGGTGAGTGCAGGCCTATACCTTAATTGGTCTAGCTAGTCTGATGCATTAATTCATTCAGTTGATCTCGCATGATTACCTAGTTTCTTATTGTTATGCTGGACCTTTGCATATAGAGATACGTGGACTTGTAGAGTTTTTTGAAATTTTTGAAATCTCCGTGGAGAATCTTGTGCTCCCAATTCGACGCTATTGTATGCTCATATGATTCTTAGTCTTCCCTTTTTCTGATAGAAGGCATTTACATTGCCGCTGAAATTTTAGATAGATTACCGTCTTTTGTTGTTAGAACTTCTGACTGTGTAATGGACTTTGTTGGAAGGAAGAACGTTCATGACATGTTTTCGGAATTTCCTTGGGACATAGTCATTCGGGGAATGCCGATGCGTCAGACAACGCTAAGTCACGTGACCGCTCACGCGTCTGTCTTGGATCCTACCACCGACTTTGAAGGCGACGAAGGGTTGCAAGTATCTTGTTACTTATATGTCATTGCAGTAAATCAAGTTTCTTCATTTTCAAGTCGCAAGTAAAACAATCTAGTCAGACTAGTATGGACCCTCCATCGCCGTCCCAATTGCCACCTTCATCTTCCAAATATCACCATCCCTACTTTACTCCAGCTGAAGTCGAGTATTTATCTGAAAAGCAAAGAGGAAAGCTCTCTGCCACACAGGAAGAAAAGGCCAGGCAACAGGGTTGTGGATTTATAGAAGCAGTCGGTGCAAAGGTCGGCTTGTAAGTTATGCCCTTAGTGATATATTGGATTCACTAGTTAATATCACAATCCAAGTCCGAGAAAGACGGTTGCAACTGCACAGAACTTATATCACCGTTTCCACTTGTTCTTTCCTCGCAAGGACTTTAACTATCATGTATGTCCACTTGTCATTGCGCTGAGCCGTTCCACTGAGCCGTATTTAAGGATGTGTCTCTGGCTTCGCTTTATGTATCGACCAAGATGCATGACACTCTGAAAAAGCCACGAGAAATCTTGATGGTATCCTACGCAGTGCGGTTTCCTGAACTAGCAGCAAAATCGAAATCTATTGGAGGTGAAATCGATATGGATCCAGCGGTAGGAGCTCGTGTGGTGGTGAACCTGCTGTAGTACTGATCAGATGCTGTCACAGACAGCCGAGCATGATCGTCAACGGCTTTTGGCCGTCGAAAGGCTGATCTTAGAGACGATATGCTTCAATTTCACCTCTAGAATGCCATTCCCTTATGTCATCAAGATCGGGAAAATACTAGGAGGCAAGTATCAGTCTTGCGGATAGCTACAGCTCAAAATTTATGCATACCATGTTTTAGCATCGAAAAAGATGATCAAGCTGGCCTGGCGTTTGACTGTGGATAGGTGGGTACACTGATATTTTCTGCTTCAGGTAATTTTCTAACCGTAGCTATGATCAGTCATCGCACTCTTGTCCCTATACAGTATCCTCCACATGTTGTAGCTTTGGGATGTTTGTATACTGCTTCTCTACTTTCCTCTATCGACCCTTCTCTCCTCCCAGACCAGTCGAGTGCGAACGATGGCACAAAAATCTCTGGTATACTCGGTAAAAAGGGCGGCTGGGAGCAGAAATTTGTGGCTCAAGTTGAAGATTTGGAAGGTACCGCGCTTTCAAAATATCCAGAGTGCCTCTTCTAAACCCCTATCTGATAGAAATCGCACACACTCTCATTGACCTTCTGATACAAGCGGCTCAAAACCCATCTGCTAACACGTCACCCAGTACACCACAGTCGCCTTCACCTCACCCGTCGCCTCGAAATCAGCATTTTTCTGCAAACGCCCCGTACACTCAGCTCCCACCTGTACCATACAAAGCGGATCAACTGATGCGGCTGAAAATTCTTATGCGAGAGACTGAGTATCCAGCTCTACCGCGACAACCACTGGGTAATGCAGACCCTAGTGCACTGTATAGTGGAGACGATGTTGCATTGTTGGGCCGGAATGAGGGCACTGTAAGGTTTCTTTTTGGGCCTCCCGCTGTTGTAGGACAGGGCGTGTAATATAACTTGTTTAGTTTGCTGCTGGTCTACGTGGGAAGGGGCGGTACTTTAGTGGAGCTATGACCTGCAGTGGTATATCCACTAGGGAGTTAGCGCTGGAGAAAAATCTTAGTCTAAGTCCAATGGTCTCCTGAGTTTGAAGTCACAAAACGTAATCCGTCACCAGCCCAGCTACAGCATTCTAGATACTTAACCTGAGCAGTCACGACCTTTATTGATACTTTTCCATTGACAGGTCATGTCAGATTCTCAGAACAATGAACTCCTGAATAGCAATGAACAAGTGGTTTTGGTCTTGGTGGGACTGATCGCATCCGGAAAGGCACGCTTTTCCTTAATATTTCACGTCTATATCGCTGAAATATATATTTTCCTCATTCAGTCAACATTTGCCGAGGCACTTGAACAGCACTTCCCTAATGTTCGCCGATGCAATCAAGATGACCTGGGAAGCAGACAGAAAGTGGAGGCTTTAGCCCGCCGATGTCTTCGTCAGGGTCTGTCTGTTTGTATTGATCGCACCAACTTCGATGCATCGTAAGTAGAGGAGAACAAATACAGTAACACGGAGGATATTGACAGCATGCGAACTATCACAGGCAGAGGTCCTACTGGATCAATATCGCTCGCGAGTTTCCCGGAATATCCGTCTGGGTTATTGTCTTTGACTGCCCCCAATCAGTGAGTACTAGCTCCATAAGCACTCATTGCGGTTGTATGTGGGAGGCTAGCGCGCTTTTGCTAATTGTGTTCTTGTTTCAGGTATGTGCTTCCCGTCTTCGAGAACGTATGTATAGGACGTGCACCGGTTTATTTGCTTTCCCCACCGTGATTGAACAATACTTTTGCAGGAACTGTACATCCAACTATCAAAGATTATGAACACGGCCTTTCTATTCTTTCACGATTCGCCTCGGACTTCAAGTCCCCGTCGCCGAACGAAGGACATGACTGTATCATATATTTGCGTCCGTCAGACCATCCGTCATCGACGTATACACGCGCCGATATATCTTCCATAATCAGGCGGGTACGCTCTTCGCCAGCTGCGCGAGGAATGAGTCAAAGTCAATTACGACCCTTAACTTCGTTCACTCCTCGTGGCGCATACTCTGCACACAGTAATCAATCTTATACCCATTTTGACCGTCAAGTTTCGACAGCTCGTGGGCATGGCTTCCCTTACTCGCGCGGCAGTGCGCCCAGGAGAGGCTTGGCCCCCCGCTATCAGTCATCTCCAAGGTACATGGGTCGTGGTCACCAAAACGGTATAGGTCAAGGAGACACGTTCGGACTGAGATCCGATGATCCTTCTGGAAGCTTGAATTGGCGAGCCAGAAAGGATGACACGAGAATATCAGGAGAGTCATCTAAGAGACCTGATAGCGGTTCTGTCAGCGATCGTATATGAAATACCGTAGCCATATTTCCTGGGCATTTCCGTCGGACGATTGCACATGTGCCAATAATTCATGGAAAAGTAGGGCAGTGCCCAAATGTAGAGGCGCTGAAAAATGCCACTATATGGGTGGCTTATTATCTCATACGGCACATTGATTGAAGCGTGAACAACACGCCCAGCCTACCCATTTTGCAATCTGCACATCAAAATATCGACATACGAAGGTTCCTGACATTTAAAGGCGGAAAGTCATATTCTTACATGAGCCTGCAGGTGAGCCATCACGACATTTAGACGTCACGAGCCCGACTTCTTCGTATCGTCTTCCGCAGCTTTCATCTTTTGCCCCAGGATCTTTGCGCTGACCTTTATTGCGAAGATGAGTCGGAGTGCGCTTACAAAACACGACAGCTTACGTTGCGGATATGCATAACAGCACGCTCGACGCCGAATTCCTTGCTGCGTGTGTACTGCTTGAGGGCTTCCTCGAGCTGTCCAGCTGAGCAGAACAGTTAATTATAGGAACAATAAGAGCAAGGCAAAACGCGACTGACTGGCTTCCAGAACAGCGGCGAGATTGAAAGCAATCTCAGGGTCTTCGGGTGAGAGTGAAGCCGCGATGCTGAAAACAATAGTGAGGGACAAGCAAGAAGCCTGAAAGGGATGTACGTGCTGTAAATGGTGAAGAGCAAGGTCGGGCCGAGAGACAGGAGAAATTATGTATGCACTCGCGAGATCTTTAGAGTGAGCGTTAGTAGGTGCTGAGACAGCATGCATGATTCATATACGGACTTGTATGAGCATCAGCGCTAGCTGGTTGAAGTGCTATTGATTCTTTCCATGCGGTGATGGCTTCATCGAATTCCTCTGGCAATAGATAAGCCACCTGGCCGTTTTGAGAAAGAATGGACATACTGAGATGATAATGAGTCACGCCCAAATTAAAGAGCGAGCTTGCGTTGCGTTTGATGTCAACGCTTCGTTTGTAGAGAGCTTTGGCGGCTTGCACGTCGCCTTCTTCGAGTTTTTGGGTTCCCTGTTCGAGACACTGCATTGCCTCTGCGTCTGCGGGGTCAGAGGTAGATGACTGGGGGGTTGTCGAGGTTGCCCATCCTGTTGGAAGTGTCACGCTGGAGTGTGCTATGTGCTACCTGACAGACGTACTCCTGTGTGTTTTGCTGGCGCGTGCACGCGTATGGGAGGTGAGCCTGTCAGTGGACGCTGTATGTAACGATGCTACACGGCAGAACCAGCTCGCATTGGGTGGTGCTGGTGCCCTAGTCCTTGTTGACACGCCAGCGAACCTAGCTACAGCTCGCAAGCCAAAAGAGTGCATCCCAATTGTTCAGAGCTGAAAAGGCAAATTGGCTCGGACGCGGCTCGCTCTCTTCCGCTTTGGGCACGTTACTCCCACAGATTCCCACGCTCCCTCTCCGGGTCTTCGCGCCCTTCCAAGTTCCAAAATTTCAAGCAGCTTTCGCAAGCCCATCGCTGTTGTCCCCGTCCTCAAGCATCACAGGCTCTCCTGAACCATGTCCTCCACAGACTCTCAGAACAACGCTTCGACGTCTCAGGACCCTGCAGACTTCATCCGTTCTGCTACTTTTTCTCGCGATGGCCACGCCCCCGTCGACAGTGCTGTTACTGCTAATGACTTCCTTTTGGGCGCCTACGACCCAGCAAAATTACATCCAATGGCACAACTTAGTGATAAATTAGACTATCTATTACTAGATGATGATAAGACGAGCGAGTTACCAGGGGCTGGAACTGCTATTCCTTCTCGGGGTTGGAGTGATGACCTGTGCTATGGAACCGGCACCATGTACCTCAGTGGTAAGTGGCCCTCTCATTCGGCTCACGCCCATGAGTCTTGCTCTCTTGTCTCGTGTTTCTTTTCTCCACGTATCGCCCTTCTCTCACCTTATCTTACTGTTCCAATCTCCTTCTTGGGCCATCCTTATTGTTTTCGTTTTGTCACATGCTCACTCATCTATCCCAGGTCTGGCCCTGGGTGGTGTTTGGGGTGTGAGCGAAGGCGCTCGAAGACCACTAGCCGTGTCAAACGCGCGACTCCGGATCAACAGCGTCCTCAACGCTGTCACGAGAAGGGGGACCTTCATAGGTAACTCGGCTGGCGTGCTAGGTAGGCCCCCATTCTTGTCGGAACGCATGCCTGGTTATGTTATTGACATCGATCGTTTTAGCCTTGGCTTATAATGGGATCAACTCGACGATAGATTCTGTGCGAGGAAAACATGACACAATCGGCAGCATGGCCGCTGGTGCGCTCACAGGCGGACTGTTCAAGTCGACAGGTACAAATTTGTCCATTTGCGCGTCTGCTTTACGTGTCTAAAACTAATGGAAACATGTGTTAGCCGGAGTGAAGCCTGCTATCGCAGCAGCAACGTTTATATCGGGACTGGCAGGAGTATGGAGCTACGTGAAGAAGAGCGTATGATTGCCCTTTGTAATATAGATCACTATAATATTTTTTCTCGTTTACCAGGCTTCTCGACATGAATGTCGTCAATGTAAGCGTCTTCCATAGAATTCACAGGGAGCTATTACTAGCATGTTGATCATGTACAGAGAAGGACCCGTATATTGGCCGAACGGGCTATGGCCAAATCGGTCACATAGAGATCTGTCAAACTTTTTGGACTTTTGAGATTGATTCATCTATCTTCCTTTGCCCCCGAGCTCCGCTTTCTGGAAATGAGTGGGTATAATCACGATCGTACACATAAAATGCATAAATGACCCACTTCTGCTGCTCGATATTTCTGGTTTCCCCTGTCGGGGTATATCGCCTGTCCTTCACATCAGGCAATCATCCGCCGCATTACCAATGCCTGGCCGTTCAATCGAAAGTAACTATTGGTCCAAGCAGCCCTCGCGTGAAAAGGTATTCTCTAGGAATGTCTCTCCCTTCGACCCCTCTATAAGTCGCGATGAGCCTTCACTCCCGAGCCCCACCGCTCACCACACCGTCAGTATCCTTCCTTTGTCTTCTGTTTGTTTTTCCATCATGACACAACTCTATTGTTGACGATACCCTCCGCAGTGCTTGCATCGAATAATACATCCGATCAAACAGGTCAGCCATAAAAATTGTACATCACGGTACGTGGCTTCTATCTGCCCCAGACGACGCTCACCTGATTTTGCTGAACATATGCAGGGTATTATCAGATACACCGTGTATTTGCGACGGTGCTCAACGTGCATCTCCTGCTGCTACTAGTACCAGCGACCAGTCAAGTACTCAATCTCCACCCACGCCTTGGAGCTTGCCTTCCCAGACGTCGCCCAGCAATGGGCGCAGTACCCCATGGAATCAGGCTGGCTCCGATGGCCGCGCTACTCCCTCACCAATTCTATATCCTCCTACACAGTCTCGTCCTCAGCATTCCTCTTTCCTGAATGACAACCAGACGAAGCAAGTATATTTTTTATTCAATTCACAACGCATCACCACAATGACCTCTAACATAACCTAAAGATCCTATTACCTAGATGTAGTGCAACACCCACAACGCACGGCAGAATTTGGATCCGCTAGTCTCTCTCGATTGCCGTTAGCGCCGCCTATCGTCGTACAGCTCATAGTGCGAGATCGCTTCGGAAATTCTATAATTCCGTAAGTTGTCATCCAGACCGACAGTACGGTATGATGCGCTAAGCTGACAGCTCTATATGCCAGTGAGATGGAACTGCCATTCTTGATCGCACATTTGTCACTTTTTACGGATGATGGGAGGCCGTTGGACGTCGGTTCCTCTCCGACTGGTGAGGTCCCTCCGCGAAGGCTACTCTATGGGAACCTAGTCGCCTCGCCGCAAAAGCTAAGAGACTTGCAAGGACGACTTGGACTGTATTTTCTGTTCTCGGATGTGAGCATTCGCTGGAGAGGTCGCTTCCAACTGGGGATTGCGTTGTTGCGAATATCAGAGTAAGCAGACACGAGGAGCTGCCGCTATTCCTTTCTGAGTTGTGCCTTTGTTTGCAGGACGGACCCTTCTGGCGCTATGAGCATCGCGGAGCACGGGACAGTTCTCGCTCAAGCACGTACACGACCTTTTGACGTTCTCGCACATGAAAACTACGTTGCACCCTGCAAGTCCAATGACCCTCATTTTTAAAAATCAGTTAGAGCTGACCGCGTATCATTACAGCCCAAACCCGTCTAACGCAATGCTTTCTCCGCCAAGGTGCACGAATTCATGCCTTTACGCCCAATATGTCTTAGACCTTAGATATTCGTACTTGTCGCTCCGGGTCACTCGCATTTCCACGCCTTTGCCATCTTTTTTTATTAAATGTACTAATGTACATAATTGTGTCACGTTTCGTTCATTCTTGCTATGGGCATTTGTTATCTCTCATTATTATTTTTCTTGAAACTTTTTCGATTGTGGTGCGACTTGAGAAGTGAAGTGTGGTGCGAGCATTTTGATGATGATAAGAACGAATTCGAAGATGGGCTTAACGAAGGCTCCACATGAGACTTGAGCTTGAACCATTCAATCGTTGCGCTTGTACGGCTACACTTGCGGTTACGCTGGCACATCCGGGGAAACAAAGTTCAACGAAGAGCATTAAGGTAATAAGGAGAGAGATATCGAACTTGCTATTGTCACACAAGGTTTGGCCGGACATAACTGTTAAAGTAAATCGAACTCATTCTGTCTTGCAGTGATCTTAACAATGCCAGCTTCTGATCTGGGATGAGAAGATATCCGAGATAGTGGTGAGATAAGGTCAACGTTGAGAAATACCAAATTCAAAAGAAGGATTCCTCGCAGCTACTTCGAGCGAGCGTCGCTACATGTGAGCTCGACGTCTTCCCGTGTTGGAGTAGTAGACACTTGGACTCCAGGCAAGTACAGTTGTCCTTCATCACGTTGGTGCGGTGAGGCATAGGATTTCGGTATCAAAAGGAAAGTAAAAGTGCATAGATTTAGGGTGCAAAGCGGGGTCGTATGGCCATGCTGCGGTGTGGTAGCACTGCTGCTATGACATCGAGGCGCAGGTCCAAGCGCAGTCTCGCGCAGCTCTGCGTGACGCGGCGGGGCTGTGACGACACGAGGACCGTGCGAAGAAAATTGTCGGTTCATTTTCTCAAATACAAGTCAGCCGTTCACCTGCTCAACAACACATCTACGCCCTCTTTACGCACTCATGTCGAACAAAGATTATTACGGCCAACAGCAACAACAACCTTACTATCCCCCACAGGGTATGTAGCCTGTAACCTGATTTTTTTGTAGGCGGGTCGTCCTGACAGTGCATACAGGCCCACCACCAGGGCAGGGTGGCTATTACCCTCAGCAACCTCCGCAATCGTACCAAGGGTACGGTCCCCAGCCTGGCTATGGCGGCGGCCAGCCCGGTTACCAACCTCAACCACCACCTCAAACTGTTTATGTGTAAGTGACCTGTGGTGTTTGAACCGACAACGATAAGTAAACGAGTGGTTCTCTAGACAACAACCTCAGCAGCAAGGAGGGGGCGGAGGCGGCATGGGATGTATGGCATGCTTAGCAGGAGCCTGTCTTTGCTGCTGTGCAGAGGGTTTGTTTTTTCTCTGTGATCGAGTGACACTTGCTCACGTCCGCTTCAGAGGCCCTTTGCGACTGTCTACTGTAAGATGGCAACAAACCCAAATATACGGGATGGGTTTTCCTTGTGCGAGGGCTGAGTTACACTATCTGTCACCTTTTTGATTTTGTATACTTTGGACGGTACTCTGTCTGCACGAACATTTATACTTTCTATATTCCCGATAGTATGTTATAGCGCTGTTGAGTGCCTGAGGGCATGGTTAAGACCTTGGTTAGGATGTGTCAGCCACGTCTGAAGTGCAGGTTCACTACAGTACCAATATAAACTGTGTTTATTCGCAAATGACTGAAAGTGAGACTGTTAAATATATCTGATAAGTGGAAATGTCATGGTCGATGGAGAAGTGTATCGGCTGTCATCGCAGATTCGGGTTCGACTCCGGTTCGTTCCGCTAAGAGGTGGTAGTTACGCGTGACGGTGTTACTTCTTCTTCACCTTGCTCTCGAAAATCCTCAAACTAAAATGTTGTCGAGGCTGCCCTTGAGTGCCCTCAAGAATGCTGGTGCGTTCGGGGCATCCCGCTCGACCCTTCAAGCTGCAGGAGCGCGTTCGTTCACGGTGAGCAGCTCGTCTTTCAAACCTCAAATCATCATATTCACTTTCCTCATCAACCGACAGCGGGTCCGTTTTGCTTCGTCCAGCTCTGGAGCTTCGAATGCCTTCCAAGTGCGCGAACCATATCTCACTGCTTAGCTATACATACATCCTCATTTTTTTCTGTTCGAAAATACAGTCTTTGATCAACTCTCGCGCGTCACTGGTCTCCGCTACTCTTTTCTCCGCTGGGTCGATAGCTTGGTACACCTATCTCTACGGCTCACTGCCTTTCGTCGGAGAGGTACATGCCAACTCGCCAGCGGAAGATGGTTTACATCCCGGCGTATACCCCTGGCCTCATAAGGGTCTCTTCGACACCTTTGATCATGCCAGGTATGTCCGCGTTAACTGCCTCGCAAAAGTGCCCTAGCCATCCTATCATCTTATCTTTCTACTCGTAGCATTCGACGAGGTTATCAGGTCTACCGTGAGGTTTGTGCCGCCTGCCACTCTCTTGATCGTATCGCTTGGCGCAACCTTGTTGGCGTCTCCCATACCGCCGATGAGGTAAAAGCCATGGCGGAAGAGGTCGAATACCAGGACGGCCCAGACGACAACGGCGAGATGTTCCAACGACCTGGAAAACTCTCTGATTACATGCCTCCACCCTACCCTAACGAAGAGGCCGCTCGTGCTGGAAACGCAGGTGCACTGCCTCCGGACTTGAGTTTAATCATCAAAGCTCGTCATGGCGGTCCTGTATGTATCTCTAGGCTTTATCTGTGCTGGCACTTGAAGTCTGACCATATCCTAGGATTACGTTTTCTCCCTGCTTACTGGCTACATCGATCCTCCCGCAGGTATCGAAGTTCGTGATGGGATGAACTACAACCCGTACTTCCCTAGTGGTGCCATCTCCATGGCACGTTTGCTGTTCGACGGTTTGGTTGAGTACGACGATGGTAAAGTTGGATAACTGCTGAAAAGATTGCGTATTGACATTATCGTAGGAACCCCCGCCACCACCTCCCAGATGGCCAAGGATGTCGTGACCTTCTTAAATTGGGCCTCTGAACCCGAGCACGATGAACGCAAGAGATTGGGTGTCAAGGCTGTTGTTATCTTTTCGTCGCTGTTTGCGATCAGCATCTACGTGAAGCGATTCAAGTGGGCTTTGGTCAAGAGCAGGAAAATCGGTGAGTTGATCAAGTGTTTGTTTCCAAATCTGCACGGCAAGCTGATAATATTGTTCAGTCTACAACCCACCGGCGGATAAAGCTCACTAGATCGCCATGCATAGAGCATAAGCGCTTCCCCTAGAACTTTGCTACGGTTATGTTGGGATGTTTATTACATCTTTTATAATGAGAGCCACTTACTGTGAAGAAGAATCACTCCTCTTGCTCTGTGTGTGCATGTGGATAGCGAACATGGTGATGGTAGTGGTTCAAGTTGTCTATATAACGTTTCTGAGTAATAGAATGCTACCTGAGAAATCGTTTATCCTGCCCTTGCGAGTCGATAGCGTGGGAACATCAGCTGAGTGGAAGTCACGAAGCTGTGGCAGCGGCGGCCACTGTCTACTGCTACACTCAGACTGCTTATTATTATCATTGGCCCCTTCTACTCCACTATACCAACCGAAAACATAACCAGAGCTACTCTTCTTACCCCAGCCTCTTATATCATCGCTTTTCTCGTACAACATACGCCATGTCAACTGAATCGTGGCCTCCTCAGCTAAAGTGAGCCCACGGCGACCTCGTGTTTTTATAGCATCGCTCATTGCTTTTAGGGAATGGGTAGCAAAATGTTTGGGCCAGATGTCCGATTCCAATAGACCAGAAGCGCAGGCGGAACTAAGACAGGTAATTGCTGACGCTTTCACCGCAAAGACCCTCTGGACGACAGACTGGACTGCCATTCAACTGCAAAGGTATGTCTCTTAATCCACGAGCATGTGATGAGCTGATATCAGTCATTCCAACCCAGCCTAGCGCCCAAACCCGCTTTGAAACGCAAGATGTATGTGCTGTACTTCCCTGTGAACTCTATGGAAATAGTTGCTAAACAGGTGCTTTTCAGAAATGATAGTCCTGTGATGAACAAGAAGAGCAAGAAAAACGCTATGAAAAATGCAGCTTCACATGTCACGGATATGAATGATCAAGCAGCTCTTAATCGCAGGGCACAACGTTTTCAGAGAGAACATGAGATCGAGAGGCAGAAATCCTTCCGCGGTAATGGCAGTCAGCTATCAGTCACGGCGAATCCTCAGAATGCTCACTTGTTCAATCGGATACATGCACGTTCGATGTCACCCTCTCCTTATGGAGGGAACCCCGATGATCCGGAGGCTGATCCTGTGCGCACTGGACTTTTGTATGATGTTTGATGATCTAGATGTTGATTTTTGTCTTGTAGAATGTCCCCAATTGGGACAAGTTTACTATCGTTGGAACAAGTCAAGAACTCTTCAAGGATTATCTACGGCTCACTTCAGTTAGTGTTTAATTAGAGCGTCCTAGTCTCGATACTTACATTCGCTTCCAGGAACCCAGACCGGAAACTATTCGCCCATATCACGTTCTAGTGCGAACACTCGTTGAACTGAAACAACGCTGGAAGGATAAAGCATCCTACGAATGGATATGTAATCAATTCAAGAGTCTTCGACAAGATCTCACAGTGCGTCATTTACTTATTGAACGTTAACGTTGGGCTCTGCATTTCTGTCATCGCAGGTACAACGAATAAAAAATGAATTCACAGTGCAAGTATATGAAATACATGCACGCATGGCTTTGGAGAGTGTAAGTCACACTAATACCCCGCTATTGATGCTCAAAGGAGCTCCTTTCAGATCGATATGCGAGAGTACAGTCAATGTCAAGCAGCTTTGAAGATACTTTATGAATTAGGCATTCCCGGCAAAGTGGAAGAGTTCACGGCCTATCGCATATTGATGCTGTTACATGGCCGCAATAAAAGTGGTGGGTCAAGACTTTTTACTAGCTGGTGTTGTCCACTGAAAAAAAAATCTTGTGTATTCCATTCCATCGACAGAATTGAATCTTTTCGTAGGTCAACTAACCCCCAGGCAGAAAGTGGATCCGGCAGTGCAGCATGCCCTTCAAGTGCAACGTGCACTATCGATGGGCAACTACCATGCTTTTTTTGAAAAGTACTTGAATGCTCCAAATATGGGCGCGTATATTATGGATCATTTCATAGACAGAGAGAGAGTAAAAGCTCTCATGGTTATCACCAAAGCGTACGTTACCCCGTTTTGCTACTCTGGCCCGAGTCTTATCACCTTTCTCCCTCAGATATAAAACGATACCTCTCTCATTCATTCAAAACCAATTGGCATTCGAAACGTTAACTGAAGCTCGTAAATTCTTGTCCGATCACCAAGCTGCGTTCTTCACGGACCCAAGCAGACCCGATCGTGATAAAATTCTAGACTGCAAACCTCCCTCTACACTCTTACCACAAGTGCTCGAGGAGAAATACCGAAAGATATCCATCAAGGGTGCTGTATAGTGATCCATTTTTCCTGCGTCGTTTTTTCGATCTACTTTTCCTTCTGCCATCTCTGGTCTGCCCATCCACTGGTAATCTCTTCGCTTGATCCGCTTCGTATTGGCTTCCCAAGAGATGCTGAACAAAGGAATCGTGTGTGGGTTTTACTCCTGCCGCGTACACGGCTCACATTCGGGTGTTCTTGTGCCGGTCCAACACAATCTGGTATTATGTCCATTCTTGTTTTGAACTGCATTGAAGAACTGGCTGTGAGTCTGGAGGCCAGGTTCGAGAGGGGGGGGGGTGGATTTGGTAAGGCGTATCTTGTAATGATTTTTTTTCGATAGTCGGAAATACTATTTACTTTTTGAATGTCTGTCAGCACTTATTTAAGCAGAAAAAATCTCTCAAGTTCAGGGACGTGATTAACGCCAGTTGTAGGCCGATGACCGATGAATACGGCAGGGTCACTTGGAGCTGCGTTTGGTATGGGAAATCAGGGCCGTATGCTTATTTCAAAACTCTTCTGACAGGGGCTTCCGGACAGGTATGAGTCCTGTGTATTCATTATCATCATCTGCACACAGCCCACCGCCACAACATGCCTCTGTCGAGAGACATTCACTGATTGATGGTCGCATTGCATGACTCTCCAACGCTTCATTTCTTCATCCTCTGTTTTATCAGATGTGAAGCTTCATTTCAGCCAATCCAGTCAAGGTAACAACCGCCCTGACTGTTTGTTGATAGGTCAAACATGAGGCAAGGTTAGCTATACAAACTACTTTGTGTGTAACTGCTGTCAAGTTTGATTTATTTAAAGGCTTACGCCGTGTTCCACCGGTTTTCCGTCGTTCTCCTCGTATGCTTCTCCACACCCCTGTTAACGTCTTATCTGGTGTTTTCTAGAGTCGGCAAGTGGAATTACGCTCCAGCATCCCCGGTGTCGAATTCAATTCGAAGAAGGCAATGTCTTCGTCTTCGTACCACGTACATGATACGGTGTCATCGAGCTAGTAAGACTCAGCTTCGTCATCGCGTTTGTCTCAATGGATATTAATATCCGATGTAATTGACCGCGAAATCCCTGGCTTAGCACGGCACCTTTTGTGAGCCATGGGGATACTCTACCGTTCTCGAGGTTTGCTGATTTCTCGTTATCCGTGCCGCTAGTTTATAGGGTCCATACTAAACTGGGGCCTCCCGGGCTGCCTTGTCATGCAGATTTGTAAGTAGGAGAATACACTCGTAGGAGTTTTGCCGTCTGACTTTTGCATCTCAGATTTTTACTCTCTACACAGCCGTGTTTAAACATCAGATTTTTTGACTAAAGTTTGTGTTGTGCAGTTTATGGCGTGTTTGCTCTCGACCTGCTCCAGACGGCACTCGCCACGCAGTCTGCGTGGGGTATCATGGTGAGCGGTTGGGATAATCCGAGGATTTTGGATATCCCACCACCGTTAGTTGGCTCGTTGCCCATCATGGCAGGTATAAATAATAAGTTTGCGCCTATTAAAGTTGAAGAGAGTCGTATGCCAAGTAAAATAAATATATTATAGCTGGCGCTATTGTCCAATCGTTCTATGCATGGTGAGCGACCTCGCTCGCGCTTTCTAATGATTATATTTATCGATCATAGGAGAATTTGGGTGCTCGGAGATGTAGCGTGTGCCCATGCACTTGCCATCGTGATAGCTTTCGTAAGTGGGTTTCTCTCGATTTAACTTTGAAGATACCTTTTCTGACCGTGACTGTCGAAATGCAACAGATTGCATTTGCACAATCGACCAGTGCTATTGCTATCTCGATCAAAGTCATTCACTTTTGTTGCATGACATCCTCAATACTAGAGCTAACTGTGCTGTTCAGTTCTTCATCGATGATAATGTCAACGATGTCCCGAGTTTGGAGCCGCGGGTCATAGTGAGTTTCATGATGTTAGCTCAACGCCACGCGCTTTAGTTTATGTGAAGGTTTGGATTGTTGGGAGTTTTGTCTGCGATGTCATGATCACTGCAAGTATGATTTTCATAGTAAGCCGCCCATAATGCTTAATCACAGATCAGTCTATATTCTAATCATGACTATCTCTGATATAGCTCGCTAGGGCTCGTGCAAAAATACCCAATACGCCTACAGAGACGCTGATCAGTCGAATGATGATGCATAGCTTCCAGACAGGTGCGGCTACTACCGTGATGGCTGGTATAGAACTGGCATTGGTCATAGTGGAAATGGCAGGGATAGAGATTTTTTGGTATGATTTGCCGTGAGTGGGCGCGATACGAACGCAGGTTAATATCATTAGATCTGATGATGATTTTTAACGTGATAGTGCGTTCATCATGGGGAAATTGTTTGTATAGATGGCCATGATCTCGTGGAGCGTATGGCTCATTGCTTTTTTTAAAATAGGTATTCGAACTGCTTGCTCGCGCTGATGAATGCAAGTAAGCTCCCGGAAACGAGCATTGGTATTGCATCAGCGCCCGTTTCCACTTTGGCTTTTGCAGGGTCCGGGATACCACTACACGAAGACTCGTTCGAGATAAGACTGCAAAACAATCACTGTGCAGCTCCCCAGAGGTCTCTCGTATAAGAAGGGCGAGGGTGTAATGGAGGCTTCGAGGATGCCAGTACACACTGAATCCACTGTATTTATTTAATAAAACAGCTCCATTTTAAGCAGATATACTCACTTTTTCATTTTGTCATTAACCATACGCGTTGTTTCCCATTCGCGTTGCTTTTTAATCGCGCATGCGAGCAGGAATGAACCTGCGCAAAACCACTTCTCTTACCGAGTAATGTGCAAGGCAAGCGGGGGATGATAGTACATCCTCCCGGAGACGACTCAGAGCGGGTATGGTGACATAAGTCAGGATAAGCGTCTGACAATAATGAATTGCGCGGTTTAAGAAAGCTGAACGGGAAGCGCACCTTCTGAACTTGCGAATTGACACGATTGATGGTGCTCAACCAGGACCAAGAAAACGGAGATGCGTTTTGAAGATCAAATGGTGAATTGGTCTGATCAGCTGGATCTTCGTATACAGGGCATACAACGATAGCGAACCTTCAAAGGGCATAAATTCATGGCTGGATGAGTATTGACAGTGAGCTGTAACAACATACTCGGCATGATGAAAAACAGGGCCACGTTTGTACAATAGGTAATCTACACAAAATTTGATGCCGCTCTTCACCACCCAGCCCAAGGAGCGGTAATGGTGATAGACGGCATAGTTGACCAGGAACGGATTATCGAATCTTCGTTGTGGTGGTGGTATAGATAAAAGCAGGGTAGGAGAGTGAGCGTCCTGGAAGAGCGTCCATACTTGCGCCAGAGTTAATGGTTCGCCCTGTATACGAAAATCAACAGATTACAAGACACGAGAGAATCGCGGCGCCATACCTCTGAATTGCAAACCGTGAGGCAATCTAAAGTCCAAGACAGGAAAAAAGCTTCAGGAAAGGTGAGTTGTAAATGTTCGATGTTCTCTAAGGGTTCTTCAAGTTCTGTATCTCCGTCACCTTCGTCGTCGTCGTCTTGAGTCAACTGAGGTACTTCTTCGAGGGATGTTGATGGTTTCCATGTAGCAGCAGAAGGAATGAGGCGGGTTCCGTCTGGTGCCACTCCTGGGGTAGGTACGACGCGACCTTCAGCAAAGGCAGCCTCCGCATCTGCAGCGGCGGCAGCTATGGCCTGTGCACGATCGAGTTTGAACTGCTTGCGCTCCGCCCTACGTTTTGCAGTGATTTCTTCAGACGTTAATCCTATCCGTTATTTGCATAATAAGTATTGATCAGGAACCAAATGTCACGAGCCAAAGTACCTTTTCCAGCTTGCTTTCTAGCATTGATCTGTCGAGCTAGCCAACTAGGTTCACTCCGCGATAAGTCGCCCTTGCCGAAAAAACCCCTCTGCCAGAGCAGCATCGACTGTTTCGAATCTGATACCCAGACGGAACGAGTGGCGACATCAACGAATCCCTCGCAATGTGGATTGAGTATTTCGTGTATGGGAATGCCAAACAATCCCAATGCTTTGTAGATAGGTGGCCGTTCCGTAGGGGTGTTGAATATCACTGGAAGAGGGTTTCCATAGATGCGATTGTTTTCGTTGTTACGTGGTCCGCCTTTTCTTCGACCTTTGGAACGGTTTGAAGGAGTTATGAGAGACATTTTGGGTTGAAGCGATATGGCGGATTTCAAGTTGTTAGAGATCAGTCATTTTCCACGGTCACGTAACAGTCACTCAGTGGACGCGTTCGTGAACCAGCACCACATTATTGCAGTTTCCTCATTAAAGTCTGTGCTCTACATAATACACACTCTCTGTAATACATCATGTCGGATAAACGAAGGGCAGAAATCGAGGCGAAAAGGGCCAAACTTGCAGAACTAAGGAAAGCCAGAGCTGACAGACAGCGGGCGGAGACAGAGAGGAGGCAATCAGACGTGAGTATCCCAACTATCTCCTCTCAGTATCACATTTACGATTCTGAATGCGTGGTTCTCACTTGAGAACAGACGGGAGGTCCTTCCATAGCTCGCAGAGATGTCGATGATCTGGTCAATGCGTTGGTGGGAGGGCTCAGCAGCACATCAGATGTGACACCTTCATCCTCACTGCCTGGTACACCTCCTCGCCCTGCCCCAAACACTCTATCCGGATATTCTGCACTGTCAATATCGGGGAGGCTTAGCAGACAAAGTGATGTTGGGTCTGACCGTCCTAGTATCGGTACAACGCTCGTTCAGTCTGTTAATTCTGCAACCGACCATGTAATAGAGAGGTGAGAGAAGGCAGAGCCACCTTTTAATCTCATTTTATACATGACTTTGCTAGGACGATGATTCCTCGATTCGTTCCGGACCTTATAGATGTCGAACAGGAGCTGTATGAACTGCCACAGCGGGTGAGCAATGAATGATTTGTTACCCTATCTCTCCGTTTGCTATAATATCTTTTATGTCCTTCAGGAGCGCGTGATATACAACAAGGAAGTACAAACCACCGCTGTAGAAACGGAATCACCGACGTTCCGCGAGGAAGACATCCGACAGCAAATCCAGCGAGACCTCGAAGCAGAGCGGAATGCTCGCGACGACGACCTCGAGGAAGAAAGTATACAACTTGAGAAAGAGATCGAACAGGAGATGCGCGGTTAGTCGTGCGCCGTTTTTATCACCAGCGACAGGATTTTCTAAAATTTACACCGTTTTCAGAACTAACGGAAGAGGAAAGGGCGAGTATTCTCGCCGCGCCCGAGTTCTTGGACTTTGTAGAACAGTCGTCAAAGATTTTACAACGAGCCCTAAATGACGGATATGATTATATCCGTGATTACACCATCGGTGCTGACTCTGGGGGGTAAGCTCGTGGCCTATTTTCTGAGTCTACCGCTGATTACTATCTTCAGAGACGATTCAGAGGGGAAACGCGTAAAACGTGTGTGTGCTTTCTACGATGAGCGTTATGGAAAGAATCGTTCAGTTACAGATGTGGATTGGTCACCTAAAGTAAGAATATCTTCGGACCCGACTGCACATCCATTAAAACCACTAATCAATTGTAGTACCCGGAGCTTAGCATTGCATCTTATAACAAGAATCCTGCAGCACTTAATGAGCCCGATGGGATTGTTCTCGTCTGGAATCTTCATCTTCTGGAGAGACCAGAGTTTGTGTTTCACTCTCAGGTCTGTCGTGAATCGTCTTCCCAAGCTGTCGTGCTCACTTGGTTCGAAAAATATACAGTCTGATGTACTTTCGGTGACTTTTTCTCCCTTCCACTCAAACCTCGTGTTTGGCGGCACATACTCGGGTCAAATTCTGCTTTGGGATACCCGTTCAAAGCACTTACCTGTGTTGAAAACTCCCCTCTCCGCTGCTGGCCATACACATCCTGTATATGCAATGCAAATGGTTGGAACACAGAATGCACATAATTTGATAACCAGTAGCACAGACGGAACTGTGTGTAGTTGGCTTGTGGATATGCTTGCTCAGCCTCAGGTGAGATTTTTGTCTTCGGTTGCGCTGGGAATTTCAAAAGCTGAATTATATTTAGGAAACGCTTGAATTAGTCCATGCCGGCCATAACAAGACGGGAGAAGTGGCAATCACCACGTTAGACTTCCCAGACAACGAAACGACTACGTTTTGGGTGGGAACTGAAGAAGGGAACGTGTATCAAGCGAATAGATACGACCGTGCAGGAGCCAAGGCAGGGCTGAATCAGTATGATATATACAAAGGCCACTCAGGCCCTGTGATGGGCCTCAACTTCCATCCACTTGTGGGACCAGTGGACTTCTCTGACTTATTTTTGACATCGTCTGTTGACTGGACTGTGAAGCTTTGGCGGGCCAAATCACTTGCTAAACCATCTACGACGGCGCACACGATAGCACCTATATATTCATTCGACGAAGCAGATGACTATGTGTACGATGTGAAATGGCATCCAGCACATCCCGCCATGTTCGGAACTGTGGATGGATCTGGCAAATTTGATCTGTGGAATCTGAATACGGACACAGAGGTGAGTTTTTTTAGCCTGGTCGTGGTCATTGTTTTGGTGAGCCCTTGTGACCGTTGTTTTCTTCTAGGTGCCTACGGTGTCGACGAACGTTGGTTCTGGTCGTGCAATCAACAAGCTAGAATGGGATCGGAAAGATGGCCGGCGTGCGGCACTAGGAGGGAGTGACGGGAAGCTGTACGTTTACGATATTGGAGACATGGGGATACCAAGGGAGTCGGAATGGACGGACATGCAGAAGGCGGTTGCAGGGATTGTTGGTGGGGGCCAGACGAATGGGGTGGTTGACGGAGAGGCGACGCGGATAGTTGCAGGGCGCTGAGAGGAGAGTAGGAGATACATTGCATAATTCTATGAATACATCTACTTTACAAGGAAGGGTTGTCGTAAATGACAGTGAAGACACTATAAGGTGTGATGGGAGCATCAGAAGAGCATCCCGAACGGACGTCCATGTTCGCTGTTGCTGGATATGGATGGAATTAGAGTGGACACGGACAGAAATACAGCACCAGCAAGTCCCGTTCCCGCCCCTCCGCAAATATCAAGACGGAACCGGCTTTCACATGGAATGTTGTCACCTGTTATGACTTCCCTCAGTGCTCTTCGCAATCTCAATATCCTCCCCTCCACCGTCAAATCTCTCCCTCGTACTTTCTTCAGATCATCCTCAGCAACAAAAATGTCCTCCCAGAACCAGTTCAGACAGGTGCGCATCGCATAACTTGCCTCCCACCCGATGACTTACTGATGGTTATTTCCCGGACATGCTAGCAATCGCACAAGTATGTCGTTCTACCTGCCATCGTGACAATCGCACTAACGTGTAGCTGCTTCCGTCCTTGCAAGGCTCTTGGTGTACGTAGGTCCGATCTTGTCACTGCCGTATCCTGCTAATCGGCCATCTATAGCATCCCCGGTCCTATTGAAGTCACTGATGAGGTTCGTCGACGAGATACACCTCCTCAGCTAATCTGACACACTCCATAGGTCCTCTACGCCAATGCGCACCCTCTCGTCTCCCACATGTCTCTCGATTTCGCAGCCGTATTCGGAGATTGCATTCGCATGACCAGGTAAGGTTCTTAAATTACCACTTGACGTCGTGTGATACTCACATCACCTATCCAGAGACGTTCTTTACACCAAGTCCGCTCAGCCATTCCTTATCTCAGGGTCAGGTACTCTGGGTTGGGATCAGGTGATCTTTTGTTTTCGAATGCTGCTTTAAGGAGCCTAAGCTGATGGCTCTTTGATGACAGGTCTCTGCAAACCTCGTGGAACCGGGTGAAAATGTACTTGTCCTACACAGCGGTTACTTCGCAGACAGTTTCGCAGACTGGTCCGTCACATCACTCAATTTCCTCGTTTTTGCCCGTTCTAACCCCTTTTGCAATAATCTAGCTTGGAAACCTACGGAGCAAAAGTCGACCAAGTCAAGGCTGATCTAGGCTCCGTGGTCAGTCCAGCCGAAGTAGAACGCGCGCTCAAGTCCAAAAAATACAAAGTCCTCACCGTCACACACGTAGATACATCCACAGGTGAGGCACTTCTCTAACAGCCCTTCACAGCCGCTCAAAAAGCTCACATCAATTCTCACTTTTATAGGTGTCCTGTCTGATATCAAAGCAGTGGCCGAGGTGGTCCGAAAAGTCTCACCAGAAACTCTGGTAATCTAATCTGTGCTTGATTGGGTGATTTTCAAGCTGACCATGATTTGCACAAGATCGTCGTGGATGCCGTCTGCTCTGTTGCCAGCGAAGAAATTCGATTCGACGACTGGGGCATCGACGTCGTTTTGACAGCTAGCCAGAAAGGCCTCGGCGCTCCTCCCGGTCTCAGCATCGTCGTCGCAAGCGAGAGAGCCATGAAGGTGAGACAATGCCATCCATCGAACAATATAAAATGAATTCCTAACGATGTCCAGGTGTACGAGACTCGTAAGACGCGTATAACATCATACTATGGCAGCTGGAAGAAGTACGTATTTCACTCGTCCCACCGCGCTCTTCCCGATCGATCCTCACGTTTTCTTCTAGGTGGTTGCCCATTATGAAAGCATACGAAGCCGGCACTGCAGGCTACTTCGCCACTCCTCCCGTCAACCTCATCTACGCGTTCCACGCCTCGTTGTCCCAAATCACAAAGGGCTCTGTGACGCTCGAAGAGCGGTTCAAGCTCCAGAAGGATGCTAGCTCCCGACTAAAGAAAGCCGCCGAAGCCATGGGATTCAAAGGACTTCCTCTCAGCACTGAGGTCGCAGCCAACGGCATGACAGCTGTGAGCCCTACACATCCTTACATTTTTTTTGGTGCTTGCAACATGTACTAACTCGCCCTCGCGCGTGTCCTCAAGCTTTATTTCCCAGATGGACTCGAAGCTAGTGACGTGGTGCCTCGTCTGCTCAAGAAGGACATCGTCGTAGCTGGAGGTTTGCATGCTGCTGTCAAGAGTAAGTCCATCCATCACACGCGCTCGCGTGCCCCCCCTTGGGGTGTTTCATGGAACTGACGGAACTCCTTTGCAGCGAAGTACTTCCGTATCGGGTACGTTTCGACTCTTCTTCTTATCTTGATGCATTTGATTGGTTCTATCAGGTACTGACAACCGTATCACAGGCACATGGGAGTCAGCGCGATCGATGCTCAGCGTGGAGACATTGACAAGATTATCAGTGCCTTGAAGGAGACGCTCGCAGAAGCCAAGGCGAGCAAGAAGGCATGAAAGGAAGACAAAGTCATCTATCATCGATACCGTAGTCACATTCACATACTTTTTTTTTGTAACTTTCTTAATACGGACGACAATACAGCTGAAAGGGAAGAGAAGAGAAGTCATATCAATTTTTTTTTTCGTGTCTGTTTGAAATAATGGATAATGGTGCCAGTGTCTATTGTTTGTAAAAAAGAAGAAAAAAGAAACATGTAAGGTACCCCAAAGTGTCTCGCATACAATGAACGCCACATAAGAAGAAAAAATCAAGTCGGTGTGGTTTCGTTATGATACAGTATTCTCGCGGTACTCGCCCTCGCCTCCCATACCCTCATACCATTCTTTGCCAGACGTCGTTGGCGCGATGTATCCAGCCCTGATCACGAAATCTCCAAAGTGCTCACCGTCCTGACGCTCAAGAGCATATCGTTTAATCATCGGCCCAAGGATAGCAAGCATTTCAGGCTCAGACACATTTTCTGTTAAAAATAGCCAGTTTCAGTTGATGCTGGCAACCAAAGTAAACGCAAGGTGGAAGAAATTACCCCGATAGATTTTGTTGAGACGTTGGCCGTAGTAGCCACCGCCGAGCAGCATGGAGTAGGTTCCAGGCGATTTACCAACAAAAGCAACCTCTGTCATACGTCGATGAGCAAATGCATGTAAGAAATTGGACTTAGACGTGAAAATCGTACCAGCAACATATGGTCGTGCACATCCATTAGGACAGCCAGTCATACGCATCACTATTGAATCATTACGCAGTCCATTTTCTTCACACATCTTTTCGACCTTGTCTATCAAGATGGGCAAGTACTAGAAAACAGATCGAATCAGCCTAATAACACGAGTGCATAACCATTTCCACGAACCCGCTCGGATTCAGCCATGGCAAGACCTACATTCGCAATGCCCATCAATTATGAAATCAAGAAGGGGAGTCATAGCGCAAGGGAGCTTACCACATGTCGGGAACGACACACACGCAGACGACGATAAACGAAGACCCGTATAATTCAGATTATCTAGCTTGTACTCCGATAGCAAACTTTTGATCTGAGGAAGGTCTGCCGACGCTATATCAGCGATGACGAGATGCTGGTTTGCAGTCAATCGGAATGTCCCCTTGTGTATCTTCGCAACGGCGCGAAGACCAGTTTTGAAGTCACGACCTGGCTCATCTTGAATGCGGCCATTTTCGATGAAGAGCATGAAGTGGTGCTTTCCATTCTGACCCGTGCTCCAACCGAAGTCGTCGATGTTTCGGTCAAAGGTGTATGGGCGTGCAGGGGGTAGGGAGTAGCCTAGAAGACGCTCTACCTCGGATTTGAACACGTCCAAGCCCATTCTGTCAATCGTGTATTTCAAACGGGCGTTCTACAGAACAGTCAGCACATGAAAGGTATATAGCAATTCTTAATTTAGTCACCTTACGCCTAGAAACGCAGGGGTTGCAATGAGTTACTAGAGCACCGTTTGACAAACATGATAGACTTACTCAGTTCTGTTACCATTGTCTCTCTGGACAAGCATGACTTTCTCTGCAACAAGAGGGCCCTGTTCAACAGTACAGAAACCGATGACATCGCCTACACGAGGATAGGTCTTTTTGTTGCCATGTGTGACACCCATACCTCCTCCGATCGTGACATTGAAGCCAGCAAGTTCACCAAACTTGTCTACGATGGCAATGAAACCCAGGTCATTGGCAAATACATCGACGTCGTTGGTAGGAGGAACGGCGACTGCGATTTTGAACTAGAGAATCATTAAGTCAACGAAAGAGTCATATAAGATGATAAACAAGGTCGACACACTTTACGAGGAAGATAGAATTCTCCATAGAGAGGCTCGAAATCCTTGACAGCCTCGCCAGCAACCATCTTCTTATCAAGCCAGATTTCGTGGTAGGCCGTAGTGCGTGGAAGCAGATGGGTGCTCACATCCTGCGAGAATTGGTAGACTTGGGCATGAAGTTTCGATAACGAAGGAATCGCCGAGCAAATCACGTTTCTACAAACACCATGTAAGTATTATAGGATCCACAACGACAGAAACAAATCATACCGGTTAACGTCACCACACGCGGCCAGGGTGTCCAGCAGCGCTCTGTTGATAGCCTGGATGGAAGGCTTTAGGTGTTTCTTAATGACACCGTGGAACTGGAAGGTCTGGCGAGTCGTAATCTTAAACGTCCCACATCCATGTTCGTCCGCAATCTGATCCATCTCCAACCACTGGTCAGGCTTACAAACTCCTCCCGGCATACGCACACGAATCATGAAACTATAAGCTGGCTCGACCCCCTGCGCCTGTCGCTCGTCACGGATATCACGATCGTCCTGCTGGTAGATACCATGGAACTTTGTCAGCTGGGTGTCGCTGGCTGCTAGTGCGCCGGTGGTAGTGTCCTCGAGGCCTTCGACAATCGTACCTCGCAAGAACCCAGATGCAGCTTTGATATGCTCGTTGGTGATAGGCTCAGGTTCGGCTTCCTGGACCTCGATCGAGTCGACACCTAAGGCTTTCCAGACTAGGGGCTCCCAGACCTTATACCCAGTCTCGGGGCCATCTGCATCTTGATCGTCACCGAGACCGAGGTCACCGAAGCGTTCGCCTCCCAGCTGCTCCAGACGAGCACTAAGATCCTTTCCAGGCTTGTTGTAATAGTGAGCGTCCTCCGGTCGAGGCCAGTAGTGACTGTCGCCCATGCCGAAAACGGAGTAACGAAGCTTGGAGAAAGGCCGTTCGCCTCGACCGGCGGCTGCGTTGATCGCCTTGAAGAACGTTCTACCATTCTGCGGAGGCTCTCCTTGTCCAGCAACAGATGTGACAAAGGCGACGAACTCTTCCTGAGCAAGACTGTCCAGAGACATCGAATCTATCGTAGCCACAGTCGTCGTCAACCCCCTCGCCTTGCCCCGATTTGCGAGCCTCTTTGCGAACTTCTCTGCCGTACCGCCATCCGAGGCATACAAAACCAACAACGGGGGTGCATCCAACGCTGTCAGGAGATCGTCGTATGTCTGTTGTGCGCGACGTCTTCTGGCCTCTTTCACGTTTTCGCCTAGACTGCTGACAATGTCAGTTGCGAGCTGAGGTTTGGATCGGACGAGCTGCGACAGGTGGTTTTGGCGGTCAAGGAATTGCTGCAGATCATTCTTAACCGCGTCCGAGTCTAGGGTAAATGGCTCTTTGCCTTGCTGCTCCTTCACGGGATCCCATCGGTACAGCGGCCAATAGCCAGCATCAACGGCGAGTTTGGTCTCCTTCAGTACATCCAAAGCTGACGAATCTTCAGTCTGATATGGAAGATACGCCAGGACAACACTAGGGCCCTTGTGTCTGTCAGCCTCCACGAGGGACTGCAACACCTGAGAGTACGACGAGTAGACAGCGATACTCGCAACGTAAACGTCTCCGTGGTTCATAGCATACAGCCCAACGTCCTGCTTGCGGCGATGCGGGTCACCAGAGTTGCGTAACGAGTATGGAAGAGTGTCGAGTATCAGGATATTGATGTCGAGGCCAGAGGCAATGGCGTGGTGCAGCCCTGACGAACCAAGGTCATAAGACCAAGCATCTGAGCCAATGATCCATCTAGAGGGCGCAGGGAACTGGTTGCGCAGCGCGAGAATGCGGTCGGCGGCTGGGATGAATGATTTGGACGATTCCAGTGCTGAGATGATCTGCTTGCCCAGCTCCCGACTTTTCGTACCATGATCCTTAGCGAGCAGCCACCCACTGAGAAGTTTGTGAAGCTCCTCGTCAATGTCCTTCGATTCCATTAGCTTTTGGACAGCGCGAACGAGCTCGGAACGCTGATCCACCTGCCCACGAACCCGACCCAATGCATATTCCGGACTGGTCGCTATCGCACCTTGTTGAGGGACTAGGGAAGGTGAGTTAGAGACTTCCAACCTCTCTCCAAATAGATGTGCCAATATCTTTGTGTAAGAAGCTTCGTGTTTCGGGACGTGAGGGGTTTCAAGCGAAGGTTGTGGGGCGGCGACAGCAGCTTCACCCAAGTGCAGAGGAGTAGACGATGGCTGCGATGATGCTGTTTGTATTAATTTCAACACGTTGACGGGAGTGAACTGGCTGGGCTCATTGAAGTATGCTTCCTGGATCTGCGGACATTGCCCAGATTCGCGCTGATGTATGGCACCCACGATATCGAGATAGAGAGGTGTCCATTTCGTATTCCAGCGATGGAGCTGTTCCAGGACGATTATTTGGGTTACGGACGTCGGGATGGCTTCAAGTATGCGAGATGGGGATAGGGGAGTGAGCAAGCCAACCGAAACGAAAGATACCCCATCGAGATGGAGAGAATCAGGAACGTTTCCGAGAGTGAATATGACAGTGTGTGGTTCACTGGACCCGAGCTTTGTAATGGGCTGCACAGTGCGTCGGACAGTGTTGACAGTGGTGAGAGCTGCCGACTCGTATGTCTTGAGTAGGTTCAGCGCTGTCGCTTCACTGGAAGCAGATGGGTCTGGAGAGTGGTAGCCATTTGAACCATTAGCATGACCATTCCCGTTCGCAGCTACACCATTCCCGTTCGAATGGCCGTTCGTGGTCGACGGTTTGCCAGCGAGAAGGAATGGCTGAACATGGTCCTCAGCGATTTCATCCACAACATCGTCCGCACCACCCTCGTAAAAGACATGAACCACAGCCTGTTTCTCAGTCCGTGCCAGACGTGAAGCCAGGAGTGCATTGTCGTGAGCTTGTTGGGCATTATAGGAGATGATGAAGAAGGGAACGGCTGAGCGGAGCAAGAGCACGTCGGAGAGGTCGTTTTTAACGGAGAGATGAAGGACGAGTGGTAGGGAAGCTAGTTCTGCGGCATGGAGAACGAGTCTTATGACAGTCTGGGACACCGACGGTGCTGCAAAAGAAAGAAGGCTGCCCGAGTTATTTCGCAAAAGCGTAGAGCCGGGATCGGCTCCAGACGGGACAGCAATAACAGTAGGTCGTCGCTCAGACTTTGTAGATAGAGAAGTGAATTGAGATGGGAATGGGGAGGGTGCTGAGAGCGTGGGCTGTGAATATACAAGCGTGTCGGAAGACAGAAAGGCTATACGGGCCACTGCAGAGGTGGCCGTCGACATTGTGTGATTCTGGGAGAGAACGATGAGCTCGCTGGTGAGTGGGACGGAAGAGAAATGGATACAGACCTGCTGTGAGAGCGTTTGGAGCAGAGAAAAGATGAGGCATTTTTGAGCCGGATTGAAAAAGCCTTATACGCATTGCTAGAAAGCACATCATCCATTTGCCATTTGTTTGGCCGACTCGAATTCCGAATTCGCTTGCTGCATTTATCATCAGCCCATCTGACCACCCTGTCCTCCACCAGACCACCACACGCTCACCCCACACACCCCCACACACCTCACAGCGAGCTCAGTGGTCATCAAGTGTGTTTATCAGATTATATTGCCCGTAAGGAATGAAATATATAACAGGCGTAGCACTGCGATCGCTGCCTACGGCGTCTATTTTCTGACATAAAGCTACGGCTCCTTCGGGCTTGTTCCTGCACCGGTTTGTGGCGATTCGTCGAGACGGAACGGATGTCAGTCCATCTTCTCAGCACTCCCCCAAATCCATATCTCTCTCTCCCAGTCCCTATTCCTCCCGGACCTTCTCCCTAACTCCCTCTTTCTAACTGGCCAAGATATTTATGGGCCCGTCCAAGCATCCAAATCGGAAACGAGAACTTGAAGTTCGGATATGATATCGCGCAAGTCTTATTAAACACACCCTCGATAGCTTCCTGGGGCCACGACCCGTCCTGATCAAACACGTTTCATCAATGTCTGATTCAGGTGATCGACACATATCTACTCCACTCACCGGCAATTGTCGCGACATCACGAGCTTGACTGCTTTCTCTATTGGCTCAGGGTCGGGATAGCTCGCGTACATCAGAGCCATTGCCGCCCAACAAGTCTGCACGACTTGTGAATTTGCATGCTCAATCCACATCACCTTTTCACAGGACTGTAGTCTTCTTAGTACCAAGAAAGAATAGCTGGTAATATCAGGGCGCATACCTTGTAGCTCTCTCCCCAGCCTCCATCAGCTCTTTGCTTGTCGAGCAAAAATTTACAGGCCCTTTGTACTGATTTGCTGTTCCCGTAATTCTCTCCCGCCAGTGCTAAACTTTCAAGAGCGAACTGGGTTGCATATGTGAAGCATATCCCCCACGAGCCAACCCAGCCGCCTTCTGGCCTCTGTGCCTCGTGAAGATATCCAATGGCACGATGAATAGTGACACTACAGAGTGCCGTGAGCTTAGTGCAACGAATGAAATCAGACCACGTACTCAATCTCAGCAGAACGGTAGTGTGGATAATGTTTCTTGAAAATGGATAGGGAGGTGATGACCGACGTAGTGCACTCGGGATAGCAAAATTCAATCATAATGTCACCTAAATACGTTGAACACGAATGTCATCGTTCAACAGCAAAGGCCATTACTCACCAAACACCTCAGCAGGATTGAGCCACTCGAGCCATTGTGGGCCTCTCACAAGTTCGTAGCTGGCAAAACCTCCGTTGGGATTTTGCATCGTAAACAGGACATCGACAGCATCACACAGTCGTCTTTCCGATATGATCTTCTCTGTGCCCCTAGTTCGCAACCCTAAGCACAACTCTAAGTCACGACAAATACAATCACTCACTCCACTTGATTTTGCAGATACATAACCGATTTCAAGCCTTCACCAGTGCAGTCACTGACCGTATATCCTTGTTCTTTCGTGCTGAAAGGCCAAGCTCCCTTCGTCGTATGTCTATACGATCTCTCGTAATATTTAGGGTTATCCTGAATCTGGCAAACATCCAACCACTCCAACGCTTTCCTCAGGCTCTCCTTGTTTTCTTCCTCTTTCGCCAAACCAGTCTCCACCAAGGCCTGTGTGATAAAACCAATATCCCACAGTTGACTCCCGTTGGTCCCACACATCATCATACCCTCTTGACCAAGCCACATGAAATCCTGGCGCTTGATCGCATGCTGCTTGTACGCCTCGCTTTCCGGGCCTTCGACGTGTGCCCTGCAAATGAGGTTCATCATCTTTGAGACGGGTCCTAGAGTTTGGTATTGCGTGTTTTCGTCTTCAAGGACTATCAGCTCGTAAGCACGCTTCAGGGCTGCGTTGCGAAGAGATGGGATAGAGCACGATTCATACGCGCCCAGGACTTTGTTGATAAGGTCAAAGATGGTGGTATGAGGGGAATACAGGTCCGCTTCTGAGACGTTGTTTCGCTGAGCTGGCCAATTTATGGAGTAATAGTCCTTAAGGTATAGTTCCTGCCAAAATAAAATGCACTAAGAAAATTTTGCATGCTTATACTTTCACGTGTATTACCTCTCGTAGAGATCGAATGAAGTCGTTCTCTTCCATTTTGTAACGGATACCATATAGATAACTCATTGGAATGTACACAGTCCGCGTATGTATCCACCATCGATGAGGGTGGAATGGCAGCCAATCGGGGAGAAGCCTATGAAGGTTGTTAATCCTGCCCAGAAAGACGAGAGGTATACCGGAAATGCTTACCACAACTCGGCGGGAACAGGGTTTAGTCCTTCCCAATCATATACGTTCAACACTGCAAGCCAAAACTTGCCCCATGCAGGACTGGCCGCAGCCCCACCTTGAAATCAACAATGAGACCGAATGTCAAAAATAAATGATAAATCATGACTACAGTACCGAGTTTATGAAGAGTCCCTCGAGCTTTGACAAGAGCTGGGTGGTCGGCTTGAACCCCCAGGATACGCATGGCTACATAATTAAGCGCGGTACCAAAGACGGTGGAATGACCTTCGATATGTCTGCGCAACGCGGGTCGTCAGAACATCCCGGTCGCTGAACGATGATGTACTCACATTCCCCATCCGCCATCTTCTGGGTTGACACGGTTAAGGAGGTACCGTATCATCTCCAACCGTTCTTCCTTCTTGAAGCTCATTCCAGTGACGTAAGAACCAATAACAAGACCTGGGAGGAGGAACATAGGTCCCCCATATTCGCCAGCCCAGTGGCCATCGTCAGATTGCAGGTGTTTGTAGAACGTGTATCCGTTCCGAGCTGCCTCCAAGGGATTTTGAGGTTTGGGAAGAGCTGGTAGGTTCTGTGAAGAAGATTATGGTTATTGTATGGAACGTTTAGACTTAGGGTTACGCACCAGGGGTATGCCTATCCAATATTTATCGACTGAATTTTGAGGCCAGGCTTCACACTCCTCGTCAGTTTCAAGGTAATGCCAAGTGTGACGACCTCCGTCATTACACAGAAGACGCCAACGTGAATAGTCAGTAAATGGCTGGCTGCCAGAATGCGGGATATCGAGCACAGAATACATGGTGAGCTCTGGAAAGGAGGTGGGCAACTCAGACCGCAACACGAGATTATATAACAGAAGCGAACAGAGTGTAACATTAACGTACGACGAGGTCCAGCCTGTGGCTCTGCCACTGGTGCGATGCTTTTGTTATATAATAAATAATAATAATAATAATACCACTGTTAAGTGATCAAAATGTTAAGTGAACTTATGCTGTCTGTAATAGCAGCGTTCGAAGTAAGCGCTGAAAATATTTCAGGCGCCTGAAAAAATAAAAGTGATGATTTGTAAACATGCCGTAGTTGGAAAGAAAATACGGCGCTTACAAAATAAATTCCTTTGATAATGCCAATCTGTCCGCTTCAACTTGGACCGTATTATGGAATGGACAGCAAATGACTCAAGTCCTTTTCGTCCCCACGCTTGTGCCTCACCACTCCATGCATTGACAACCTTCGCGGCATTCAAGACCCCCTGTTGACGACGATGTAGACAATAACAACGAATTGTCTGACAGTGATGTCGACAATAGGAACACCCCAGGTTCCCGCAAGTCTAGGCGACCAGGTATCAAGTGGACTGCTGACCGTACTGATCGTCTCCTAGACTGGCTGGAACAGAATGTCGAAAAGCGACATTTACTTTTCTCTGATTCTCAGGAAGATGCCACCAAGGAGAGTAGAAAGAAGGGACAGGCTAAGTCTAGCAATATGGTGTTACACGGGGAGCTTGCACAGTATGTATTTGGTGTGGAGAGTGATCCGACTATTTGTGCAACTCTCAAGTCCGATCCGGCGAGGTATACAAAGGCGGTCGATAACCACCTCTCTTCGTAAGTGTTATTCATTGATCAGCTGAACCTGATATTTAGATAACAATTATTTATCCAGGCTGAAGAAAAAATACTGTCAGTCTTGTCAGGAGCTGGGCCGTACTGGAGCTGGTCTTACGTTTGAGCAACTAGAGAGGAACCCCAAGTATATGGGACCAATTGGTGCATTTATACATTAGTTCGTTCGATTTCTGACTTCCTGCATGTTTTGACCATACTACCAGGTGCAATCACGGCCAAGTTCAAAATGTTCCATTGTTTGCATGGCTCCTGGAGGAAGATCCCCAGCTACAACCCTTTCACAACATCATCAGATGCAGGTCAAGATCATGAGGTGCAGGCTTACAATCTTCTGTTCTCAAACACGCGTGGTCGGGGTCATACTAGCCACCATGATGCAAGCGATGTGGCCTCAGCCATGGCGCTGGATATCCCTGCACAGCAGCAGCACTACCCAGTCGACACGCAGACAACGAGCCAATTAAATCTGAACTACCACCCGCCAAATCAGCAACTCCATCGGCTTCACTCCATGCCTCAGTATGTTAACCATCACAACAGCTCCCATGTGGACCCGAGCATGACTTTGTCCTCTGTGTTGTCCATGCCTTATGGTTCTTCATTAACGTCGTTACTGTCTATGACAACTGACCCAAATCTCTTTCACTCGAATGCTTCCAGCCTTTTTCCTGGGGCTTATCATCAATCATTATCTTCTCTGTTTTGGGATAACCACTCCATCTCTTCATTTGAGTCTCTTTTTGCTAAACTGCAGCACGATACGCTGGGTCAGGGTCAAGGTCAGCCCGTACTCCCAATGTCTCCTTTACCCCAACCCCAATACCAGACATCTTCGATCTCTGGTGCTTTGGGGATGCCACTTCCCATGTCTCCCACCTCGGACAACAACAACTCTGGTTTCTCCGCAAACCAGTATCCGCCCTCTCCTACATCTAGTTTCTTTTCCGATCAATCACCTGCCTCCCCTGCATCCGGACAATCCAACTTTTTCTCAAACTTACCGCCGACTTCTACTTCGCCTCCTGTTTCTCCATCTATTCCTGCTTCGAAAAAAGGCAAGTGTCCTGCTACGTCTGTAAACATCAGAAACGCCCTTCGTAATCAGCTGGCTGCATCAGACAAAGAAGCTGTCCAGGAGTAGCGTGTCACTACGGATAGGCGATCCACTACGAAGGATCAGCCAAGCAAGGACAAATTGTTGCGTCCAGAAAAGGGAGACAACATGTCTATGATGCAGCGGGTCATGGAGCCTGTCGCACAGGCCATGCAGGGAAAGACTAACCTTGAGGAGGAGAAACTCGCCGTGCAGGGAGGTAAAATGGCCACAAAGAATGCAAAGTACACTGCAATTGCAGAGCGCACACACTTTGAAAATCGGAAGAGGGAGAAGGAGACCGTTGTCTTGCAACACAAATGGTTCAAGGAGAAGGTGACGTTGATTACCAAAGGCCAAATTAAAAGAGAACGTGAACAAAGACAACATGAAAAGGACATGTTGAGGATGAAGTTCGAACTTATCCAGGCTGTCAAGTGTTAGGATAACACAATTTTCGGACCTTTCCTTCATTTTCATTCTCCGCTTTAACCTTGTATACTTTAGCTTTCACACATGGTGCCACGCGGCACTTCCCCTTTTGTTCAAACTCCTCTTTCTCGTGCTGTGTTGCCTTCTTCTTATTTTTAGATACAACTCTCTCACACAGTGGAGCTGGTCATGTGGGCTAGGTCCCATGACATCATCAGCCACTGACTTTATCAACTGTACAGTACATAAGTACAAACACTCTGTATTAGTATATATACCCCAATAGATCCAGGAGACTCCTCAGCGAGTCCTCCTGTTGCATACCAACAAACTCTCCGCAGCTTAACATCAGGAAAAACCCTTTTGCTATATAGCGCTATATAGCCACCATCTATATATATAAATGCATTCATAGAAACTATAGTACTATCAGTGCAATCATAGCTCTTATAGCTTTTATAGCATAGTAGTAGGCAAAATTTTAACCAAGGAGAGAAGTATCTATAATTCCCTTAAACTCTGGATTAATCTAATAAACTTGTTCAATAATAGAAAGAGGCCAAAAGTGTTTGAAGTCAAGTATATTATTATAGGCAAGGTACTATAAGTGCTCTTATAGCGTATAGCAGCCTACATAGCTTCTATAGCTGTGAAGGTCATAGTTATAATATAGTTCAAGGTGCTGAAAAGGGCTAATAAATCATACAGTATTAATTGATTATGTAGCCTATATTGGTGAAATAGTAGTTTGTATCTTTGATATTTATAAAATAAGAATAATAATTTTACCAAATATAAGTGGTGACTATGAGTAAAAAAATAATATGAGTCCATGAAAGGTTAATATATAACACCTGTATCATACATATTATAAGCTCTCATGGTGTAGTGGATAAATGTGATGTGTGGCTATAGGTTGCTTAGTCACCCAAAAGCTGACTAGCAGGTTGAGAGTTCAAATCCTGTCTGTGTTAATTTTTTTTAATCAGCCACACAACAATTTCCAACATCTATAAGAGCATTTATAGAGCTATATGAGGCTCTATAGATGGCAGAGGTTCTATAACAGGTTTGACCACTATAACAGCTTTATGAGTACTTATAGTGCTATAGAGCTCTATATAGCTACCCCCATTTTTCCTGATGAAGGGGTAACCACTCCCTCATCACTACCTTTAAAGTGTGTTCTTGTGTGCGCCAGAGTAACTAACTCTTGGTTGTTACATCAAGGACATCCCTGGTTTGGACAATCGCGTTATTTCAACGCTTCTCATGGACAACTCCACCTCCCCTGTCCCTTCTTCCATCATTTCTGACCTCTTCGAACAGTTGACTATTGGACCCGTTGCCTCCACTTCCACCTTGCCCTCATCCACGTTTGAACCAGGAGCGTTGTCATGCACCAAAGTTGATTGGTAGCATGGACAGGTGTCAATAACGAAGCGAATATTCAAAAAGACTCGCCTTTGCACCACACAGGCACAGTGCCACGTGGAATAGTAATTAATATTGCCTTTTTTGAACTTGTGGCTGATCAGCATCACCTCTATTAGGCAATCCAGTCACGCTCACCTTTGCTTTTCCATCCGGTACTTTCCGTGTTTCGGCATTTCGGCAAATTTTTGCGTCGCCACTGGCTACACATTGCATTGCGCCCTCGCTTTTGTTGTTTCCCTTACTCCCTTTCCTTTGCCTAGCCCCACCATGGGCCCCTTCCTCTCCTTTTTATTCTCACCTGACGGTCGTTTCTGGATCCCCATTCTAATCCACTTTTTCGTCACCTCCACCCTCCTCCTCCTCATCTTATTTGCACCCCCACCATTTCTGATGTCACCACTTCCTATCCACTTCCGTCGCCGATCCGTTGACTACCACGTGCCACTGCTGATATCAGCAAAGCCCCGGCGGCCGGTCCAAATAGGGCAACAGGTCCATCTTCATGACGTCGATCTACCATCATATACTATCAAAACATTGGTTGCTCGTCTTGCCTGGTTGGAGCGTGGGTGGGTAGTTTTTGAGCTGGAGAAGGTTCATCCCCTTGCGTCGCCCATGTTCATCGCTGTCCCATTCACTTGGGTACACTTATCTTTTGTCCATCGTCTTCGCTACAGCTACACCTACCACACGCTGCCTGGGACTCACTTGTTCCAAATTGGAACTACTCCTCTCCCTCCCTCGTTTGATCAGGTGGTCCAACACAACCAGTCCATTGGTAAGGCCATGGAACTGTCGGATTTGGACTAGGTGGTGGACCGGTGGCTCCAGTTTCTTTTTCTTCAGCAGAACATTCATTTACAGTGTGATTATTTTTGATTTTTGAATCATTTTTATGGACACATATTTTTTTAGAATGCCTGACTGACAATAAAGGAACTGTGTTGATACTGATAGTGTTTTGCCTTGCCCTTTTTTTACTGCATCTTCCCATGACATCATGATTTTCCTGCTCTCTTTTTGCTATTGGACTTTACTTTATGGCTGTACAAACCTGTGACATTACTCACAGCATTCATTGTTCTATCTCTTTCTTTTCCTTTTTTTGACAATCTTATCCTGTACTACCTACGCAGGATTCGTCAGCATACATTCCTTCCTTCATGTTCTTTCTCATTCTTTTTGCACAGCTATACTGTGCATAGCCTACTTTTCTTTTACTATATAAACCCCTGTATTTTACCTTGTAAAAAAAAAAAACAAGAACTTGATTCCAAACTTCTTCTCCAATCTTAAGTCCACTTCTTACTGCTACTTGTGATCCAGTGTGGTCACAACACTTCCCACTGCTACCACTGTTAACTGCTGTCATCGTCACTTCCCACTTTTGAAGTCATTGTCATCCCTTTCGATTAGAGTCCTTCTGAGCACTACAGTTTGTGCGTCAGGAGCCTGCTATCACTGGGAACCTCATCATATTGTCGTTCTCAAACCTACCTTGTGCTACGATTAGCAAGGTAGTGCTCATCTATACTCGTCACAAAGCCCCTATCCTTCTATAAATTCAACTATCCCTCCTCCTCAAAACCCACACTCATACACCTCTGGGTTTTACTTTGAAGGATCTTTATACGTACCACCCCACGAACAACCAGACCACTCCACTGTTCTAGGAGGCAAAGTCCATAAACAAGTTCGGTGGAATCTGGGAGGATTGTGTGTTAGTTTGTTTTGTGTGTGGTTTTCTAACTACAGTTCTCATCATCGACAACGGAAGCGGATAGGAAGTGGTGACATCAGAAATGGTGGGGGTGCAAATAAGATGAGGAGGAGGAGGGTGGAGGTGACGAAAAAGTGGATTAGAATGGGGATCCAGAAACGACCGTCAGGTGAGAATAAAAAGGAGAGGAAGGGGCCCATGGTGGGGCTAGGCAAAGGAAATGGAGTAAGGGAAACAACAAAAGCGAGGGCGCAATGCAATGTGTAGCCAGTTGCGACGCAAAAATTTGCCGAAATGCCGAAATGCGGAAAGTACCGAATGGAAAAGCAAAGGTGAGCGTGACTGTATTGCCTAATAGAGGTGGTGCTGATCAGCCACAAGTTCAAAAAGGGCAATATTAATTACTATTCCACGTGGCACTGTGCCTGTGTGGTGCAAAGGCGAGTCTTTTTGAATATTCGCTTCGTTATTGACACCTGTCCATGCTACCAATCAACTTTGGTGCATGACAGCGGGAAGCTCAATAGTTCCATCTCCTGCAATTCCACGACCACCACCAACATCCAGGAGCTAGCTAGCAAAGGCTTCACTTTCTGGAGTACGGTCCAGGCGCATGTTCTGTGTGAGATAGCAGACATGGATTTTGTCCACAGTTGTGACCTTCTAAGAGAGGCAGAAATCATGTGTTGTCTTGACCCTCTTGGAACAACAGGTGTTGTTTGGCGGAAGTGGCGGAAGTCCCCTCCAAAGACCATTGTAATGCCTCCAAATGAAAGTTGATTATCCAAAATGTCCCGCAATGTACGATCTAATGCTTCAATCCCATGATGGTGTTGCATTGGCGCTTCATCCCAGACTATAACTCCAGTATGTCTCAATACCTCATGGAGGTCAGAGTTTTTTGGAATCCTGCATGTGGATGTTTCATGTACAGGAATAGGGATTCCAAAGCATGAATGAGCTGTGCAGCCACCCTCCAAGAGCAGGGATGCAATCCCAGAGGATGCTACACATAGAGTAACATTATGATTATCCCTTGCTCGAACGGTGGCTGCAATTGTATTACAGAGATATGTTTTGCCCCCACCTCCAGCACTGTGAATAAAGAAAGTTGTTCCCTCATTATGGTGGATTGACTGCATAATGGTATCAAAAGCATTCCGCTGCTCTTGATTCAGCCTCTCTACATTATCTTCAACCTCCAAAGTAAGATCAAATTTGTCATAATTTTGCTGCTCATGGAGAAGATTGTTTGCAATGATAGGCTCCCATTGTTGCTGAGGAAAAGGCATTGGTGGGAAGTTTGAAAGATGCTTGTTGGCTTGAGTAAGTATGGATTCCAGCAAGAATAGTCCATAATCATAAATCTGGTCTTCTCAAGGTTGGGCAATCCCTCTTTGAAGAAGGCGATGGTGTAAATCATCACAAATCTTGTGTTTGTGCCGGTTCCAAAGGTTTGCAGGCTCATTTGGAAGACATTGCAGTAAGATAACTGCAAAGAGAGCACGGAGTTCAGGGCCTGTCTGCATATCTCCTGCTTCTGCTAAACACTGATCCCATTCACCATCATCTTCTAACAGGCCACGTGCAGCACATGCAGCTTTGTAAGTTGGATGTAAAACCCCATCAAATGTGCGCAAATCTTCCCAACTCTCTGCTCCAGGGACCACTGTGAGCAGTGTACGGAGGTAGAAGCGCTCCCCTTGGCTTGGATGGACAAACATCATTCTCCCTATAGCAAATTGTTGTTTTCTTGGAGTCCATTTTTTGGCACCTTTGTTCCAGACAAAGTATTGAGGATATTCCTGATAAGGTATGTGACGGCCTTCAGGGTGATCTTTATTGGCAGTGAACCATTCTGTGAGTTGAGTCTTTGATGTACGGTTGTTATTGATAATATTCTCTGCATCATTATGGGCATTGAAGAATACAGTTTGCTGATCCTTTAAGTGAACGGGAAGGTGCAATACCGTTGGTTTTTTTTCATGCATAGGGAACTCCAAGAGATGCCAGCATGCTTCCACAGGACCAATATAGCGACCATCAATATATTCCTGAATCTCATCCCTCGGCTGCCTTGCATCTCCATGCACAATTCCTACATCTGCACCTTGTCCTCCCACCACAACTGAAGCTCGATCATGGCCCTTGTAAATATATTTATGAATATATTTGACGGCTTTAACGGATGCACAGATTTCAACATTGATGTGACAGTCATATTTGGCAGAGAGATATGCATTATAAGGGACGACATCACGGTTATCAAAAACATGACCACTTGGAGCTGTATAAGTCCTCCCATTGTCAGGCCTTGCATATTCTGGATAACCATCATCACCAAATCTGGTTTCAGCACAAAACTCTTTGCAATAGCGCTTTGAGCATGCTCCATTCTTCATGCACCGGGCTCCAGGGTGCTCAGGTCCACATGGACCGTGCATCATACACTTTGTGACCGTTGAATATAACTTTGATTGTGTGACAGGATCAGGAATTTGAGCAGAGACAACAGAGTCAACCTGGGTGGCATCACAGATTTTATATTGATCTTCCAAGAATATGAGAAGATGCATGTGTGGCAAACCCCGCTTTTGGTATTCCACAGTGTAAACAGATCCCGAAGTCTTTCCAAAGATCCCATCTTTGACTTCCTTCAACAGTGCCTTCTTTTTCTGATAGAAGACACGTGCAACAATGTCAGGACAGTCTGCAGCAGTCTGTTTTCTTGTAGGTATATTGGGGTTATCATCTACTTCACCGGCATTGTTGTATTCCAGCAAAGCCTCTTGAATTTCAGGCCAGTTGGTGTTTGCTGTCATTGTAAGAAAAATATTGGGTTTACGGCAGTGGCGACATATAGCCATGGAGTCCTGGAAGAGCTGGTACATGTGCCATGTACTACCAGAATGAGAAGATGGTAGGACAATGTTCTGGCCCTGTTGACCTAAATCTATTTCCCCATCATTTCGATCCATAGCATCTTTAACACCTTGGTAAAGATCTGCCCTTATGTCTTTTTGATGATGACGAACCCACTTTAATTCACTTTCTCCTGTGGAAGCCTATGCATCCACACAATACTCCTGGAGTAGTTTTCCACCATAGAAGAGATTAGATTGATCGGTTCTTCAGGGATGGAGACAGTATGCATAATAACACCGCTGGGAGACATATTTACTGCATATATTTCCATCAGCATTTTGAATGGACCGTATTGTCCTATGCCACCCTTGTTCTCCAAAGGGAAATAGGAGAACATAATACAGAGGTGAATAAAGGGGGTGCAAATGGCTGATATGCTTGAGACCACCACCATGATCAAATTGCTTCAGCCGCAAAACAATACCACGGTGCTCATCAACATCTTGTTCTCCATCTCCAGGGATAACAGCAGCAACTTCATCTGCAGTAGGAAGATTATAACGACATTGGTCCAGAGTTTGATCAAGAGCTATATGGGCTGTTATGTTGGCACATTCTGCTTCAGGCTTTTCCATGATGATCTGATAAGCTTGCTTGTACAAAGGGATGAATGGATTGAATTGCTCCAGGGTATCCTGGATCTCCAGCATGGTTGCTGGTGTAGTGCTATGCCCCCGGTTATTCTCATTACGTAAAAAAAGGGCGGTCTGTGGGTCATGAATGTAAAGCTGGCCAAAAGAGGGAGTTTCACCTTCAGGTGGATGGAATGCATTGATGCTATGATGAAGGCCTCTATGTGAGGCAACGATAAACTATAACAAAAACAAAACCTGTCTCTGACTGCACTTGCAGGGAGTAAGGGGTTCTATGAGCCTGATTATCAACAGATGCTAGAGAATATAGCAAGTAGAGGATGTAGGAGTTAGGACTCAGAGGTTTCTGATAAGAGGTAAAGCGGATAATTCAAGTAATAGAAAACTAAGGAACTATACATGAATAGGTAAGGCTTTATATAGCTAACCATTCGTTCCTCAGACTGAAAGGAGAATAGACGAAAAGTGGTCTGAGGAATAAATTGTCCAATAAGAAAAAAGGGAACAACTATCATACGACTTTGAATGATTAATCAGCGGGTGAGAGAATTATACTAATAATAGGTGTTTGTCACGCGTGTTCAGGAACCGTATCCTCATGATGAGGTACAATTCTGATCAAAGTGTTTGTTAGTATATCCAGGCCTTAATGGGACTTGGAGCTGGTTGGCGAGATGCCTACTACCAGTCCCTACCCATTGTGCTGGCTGGCTGGGAGTGATACCCAGTCTCTGATCTGTGATATAAAGTGGTAGCGGTGGTTAAGAAAGCCTGTGAGGGCTATGAGAAGTAAGATTGCAAATGATACCTTTAGCCCTAGAGCCAGAGGTGTAATGGGAAAAGTGTTTGAGAACCAAGACATAGAGAATATAAGAAAATAGTAAAATGGTCCTTACACTCCATGGATACGGAAACTATAAGGTCCGGCAGCACTTGTGACAGCATAGTCTATCTTGACACCCAAAGATGTAAACGCAAAAGCATTATTGTATGAGCGAACTTTGTCGCGGAATTCATGTGCAGTAATGTCAACCCCACGGAACAGACAGTGTAGCGCAGCAGGTGCTTCCTGGAAAGGATCCAGCCTAACTTGACCTTGAAGGCAGCACACACCAAATTTTGGATGGATCCTGGAGGAACTTGTGAGTCTCTCGGTATCCCAGTGTAATGCTCCACAATTACGGCACTCTACTTCCATGTTGCGTAAAGTATGATGGTATAGAGGCTCTACATATGGTTGTCGGGCCTCCTGGCGTATCACCTGTGCTTGGCGGCAGTTAGCAATATTTCATTCGTTTGCAAGTCGTTGAGGCCTTGGCATCCTTGGTGCATTTCTGGCAGCTACCAGTTCATTTAAGTCCCCGCCTTGGTCTACAGCATCCCTGGCAGCCCTGTGAGCCTGATCTGCTAGCTCATCTTTCCTCCTTTCAAGCTCTTCTTGAGCAGCTCTTTGGATTCTAATGAGTTGCTGAGCTTGTAGCTCTTCATAACACAGATCAGCATACTGAGAATGCTGCTGTACCTGTTGTCTAATTGCCTCCTGACGTTCAATTTCTCTTTCCTGGTGATCCTCAGCCAACTGCTGTTCCTGCCTTTGGAGCTGTATTGCTTCCTGGAGTTGAATCATCTGATCCTCAGCCTACTTCTGCCTCTGTAGTCTATTACGCCATTGATTAACCCGTTCTGCATGTCGGTTTTGAAACCCATCTAATAGCCTTTCATTGTAGTCAACACCATGGGTAGCAAGCAACTGGTTACCCTGCCTCATTTGAAAAGGGGGCTGCAATTGAGGGTATGCAGGTCCAGCTAATGGCTGAGGCATGTGATTATCATGCAAAGGTCCTCCAAAATTTGGTTGCACAATATTGATATTTCTCAAATCTCTACGGTCCAAGAGGTGCTCTCGTCGCACACTTGGTGATGTCATCTGTTGATGACGTTGTATACAATCTCTATCGCGATGTTCACTACATTCTTGTTCAGGTGTCTGTGGAATATGTCTACAAATGACATCAATATATCAGTTAGTGGTTAATGACACATTAACAATGCTACACATACTGCATATTTGAATTGCTCATATTCATATTTATGTATTTGCTATATGCACTGGTTTGTTGATAATTTGGGCTTCTGTAATCAATGTGTCAGTTTTAATTGAATCAACACCATAAACTGTTATAAACTCACATTGTGTAAGCTGTGTTTTTATGTGTGGGGAAGGGTCTTTGATTTTATTTTTATGCACACCACAGTGTGGTCAATAATGGCTATTAATTTTTGTAATGCAAAATGTGCAAATTCTCGACAACAGTTTGTTTTGTGTGTAGGGCCAGACCACTTCCCCACATAGTAAGAAAAGAGGTTTGTTTGGTTGAGTTGTGTCACGTCGTGCCACAGGCGTGAGTTTTGGTGTCCACTATATTGTGTTTTGTAGTAAAAACGATTAAGCGCGAGAATTTTCAACATGGCTATGATTTTCACTACAAATTGTTGAATGTCCCTATAAGCATGAGAGTTTTCAATGTGGCTACAATTTTCACTACAATTGTTGTATGTTCTTATAAGTGTGAGAATTCTTCAGTGTGGCTACAATTTTCACTGCGTTCACTACTACTATCGTTGGACACCGGATGCAACCAGTAAGAGATATGCACTTGGGCCTCCAGAGGCTCAACAATCACTGTACAGGTAGCTAGAAAATTGTTAGTTGTAGAATATAGTATAGAGAATATAATTGTGAAAAAATTTAGTGAATAGCTTATCTATAGTAACAACGACAGACCTAACACTATGCTCTTGAACTCCAGAAGTGTGAATTTTAAGGGAAAGATGGCCAGATTTGACCAGATCTCGTGCTGGGAATATTGCAATATCTTTTTAGAAAACGTCAATAGGTAGGCCCCTACAATGCCAGATACTTACTGAGCTGATTGGGGCCTCAAAGCGTCTGGAGAAACAAAAACAATGATGGAGTCGTGACTAGGCGACCGAAACAGGCAATCACACACCAAGATAATCAATCAAGGACCGCTAGCTCCGCTTTGGTACGTACCGCACATACCACCAGTGTCAGGACTTGGTGTGACCTGGTGGAATTTGACTTGTAAGCTCTGCCTGATTTGGTCTGTGAGTGCCGCTGTGACCCAGTGTGACCAGAAATTGCAGAACCATTCCAAAACATGTGTCGTCTTTCGGTTTTGTTCCGCTGCTCCAATGCTTCGAGTTCTTGCTTATTTTTCTACATAGGCAGCTAGAAAACTAAAAATTATATCTACTGGTCAAGTTCCGACAGTCTAAAGCTCAACGACTGGTGAGTTATTCAACTTCTCCCCAGACCAATTGCACCTATTGTTCAACGATAGTACTACTGCACTGCTGCTCCTGTGTTGCCACAAAAACCACATGAGCGAAACTAAGCAAAATAACCGACGCAATGTGGCTTGCACGTGGCATTTGGGACCACCGTCCCCTTTGTTATAGATTTTGAAGTGGCATCATGGGTACTGTCGTTAACTGTCAGTTCGGATGGGGGGGGGGCTATTCGGACATATCTGAAAACATATGTTCCACTGTCATTTTTCCTCAACAACTCAACCCATAGCAGTTCTATATATTCTTACTACTTCCTCCAACTTTCCTAGCACAAAATCCTGAATTATTGAGCGAGTTCCTTCCATGTGCGTGATTTTCGAGAAAGTAACACTCTACTAAGGTACTGCAATCTCAGTTTCAAAAAGTTCAGGTGCGCTACACTCAAAAATCATGTTCAAACACTGATAGTGCCGAGCGGAGCTCTAACTCGGCTTGTGTGGCCTCTGTGACGTCCATAGCCCCCCCCATCCGAGCTGACGGTTAACAGTATAGTAAATTAAAGATAAACAACGCGTCCACAAAGGAACCCTAACCTGATTTTTATTACTTGTAACCGCGACTACTAAGTATGCCTGTCGCATTTCGCGACTCGTCCGTTATAATCATCGAAAATGGCAGGACTCTTATCAGAGCTGGCATAGGTCTGCATGATTTACTGAAAACACCGTCTGTGGTGCGCAACATCTTGTCTGCATCGATGCCCTCGCTGACATCCACACCCAGACAATCCCAGCTCGGGTTGGTTTCCGAAAAAGCACGTCTCAAGGCTCAGGGGATAACACGAATGCAGATTCGAATGGGAGGTCGTCCTCTACGCCGCTAGACATTAACGGAATTGGTCGCTCGTCGGCCTCGACAAGTCGCGCATCTTCTCTTCCTTACCAAACCAATCCTTCTGCCAAAGTAACCGACTATCTCGTAGGAGCGCAGCTCGACGAGGCTCTCGAAGCAGGCCAGGACATCGCCATATCGTGGCCTTTCGCAGATGGCGATGTTCGTGACTGGATACAGGCAGAGGCTATCTGGTGAGTGGACCGTCCACCAAACTCATTTTCGCAGAACATCCATCTGACACACCGCAGGAAATACGTCATCTTCAACATTCTACAACTTCGACGTGCCCAGAACGAGTCACCCGTCTTATTATCCATAACTCCTGCTTTTTCAAGACATGGCTATGAAAGGATATGTCAGACTTTCTTTGAGCGCTTCAATGTCGCCGGCTTTAGCCTTGTTGAGCGCCCTATGGCCCAAATCTATGCTGCAAATTCATTGAGTGGGGTTGTTGTAGATATTGGCTATGAGACAACAGATATTACGCCAATCCACAACGGTTTCCCCATCCGTGCAGCTCAGACAACGACATCCCTCGGCATTCGGGATTGCCAGAAATACCTAGCCCATCTCCTTCGCTCCAATCAGTCCATCCTGTCAGTAATTTCGCCACCCGACAACCCCAGCAGTCCAGAAGTTGTTGAAAAGTACCTCGCCGACTTGGTGAAACATGTTTGGGAAGAAGGACTCGTCAAGGTCCCTTCTCATGGCCAAACGGTGGATATCCCTGACGATGAAGGTGTAACAGATATCGCTGCAGTTCTTGTCGCTGGGAAAGAAAAGGCCGTGATAGAGACTGGGCTGAAGAAAAAAGCGACGGCAAAGGCTTCAGCTGCAGAGCAAGCTCGCGCGAAAGAAATTGAAGCTATGGACTTGGTGACCACTTCGTTCCGTGATCAAACGCTCACACTTGGGAAAGAACGACATCGGTTTTGCGAGCCCTTGTTCGACCCGACTTTACTCAGGACGCTTCCAGGGTTTGATCTTGAATGTGACTTTGACACTATTATGCCCCTGCAAGACGCTGTCGGACACGCTGTCGGGCAAACCGAAGTGGATCAACGCCAGGATATATGGCAGGGACTTTTTGTCACGGGTGATCTGACGAACCACGTCAAAGGTAAGTCACCATCGTCTATCTATCGTGTTGGTTAGTCTTCACGCTTCCACCAAGGAATTGGTACTGCGTTACAGTCACGACTGGCTCCGTTCATTCTCACCAACCCTGATCAACTAAACGAAGTACAGGCCCGTGTGATTCGAGTGTTGAATGTACCAGAATACTTTGCCGAATATCGGGAGAAGGGCGATGGGCTAGCTGCCTTCCTAGGTACTAGTATCGTAGCAAAGGTGAGCACTACTAAAATCCTTTCCCATCCCATCCCGTCAGGCCGACCTACATATCTCCTAGGTTGCTTTCAATGACTCACAGGGTAAAAATTTTGTAACCAAGTCTGACTATACGGAGAAAGGTCCAAAGGCAATCATAGAGATGTCGCCCACATTGTTGTAACAATCACCGGTAGATAGTATATTCCATATTCCAACTCTCTTCACATTCGTGTATTGTTTAAGTCGTGGCTTTCTTATTGTCAACCTCAAACGTCAAGATAAGCAAGTAGCTCAAACATGTGCGAGTGTGTAGTGTGATCATAGTATATATGGAGGTACATCGACGATGAGGCCAATCTTTGCATGGTATTGCCTAAGTTCATGGGATGGACATAAGACCAACTAACTCTCCCCTCCCGTAGTAATTGATGATTTTATGCAGCGTTACCCTCAGCAAAGTTGAGGAGGTCACTGTCACCCTGGTCGGAAACGGTCATGACACTGCAGGGGGAACATGTACTCAGATTCATCGTTCATAATCAGAATGGATGATCACAAAACTCACCCGACACGGAAGAGCTTTCCAGCAGCGGTTCCAAGAGCAACATTAGTACCAGCAAAGTGGTGCACAGTCGTCTTGGACAACATGGCGTAGTACTCGAGTTCAGACTTGCGCAGAGGTGGGCAATTTCCAGCGATCAAAACAAGTTTGGCTATTAAATTTTCCACCCATGATTTCAAAAGAAATCGGCGAGAAAACGAGGAGAAAAAACAAAGAGGCTAAATCAGCACAAGGGACCTTCTCAGCCTCACGCTCCAGTCCCCGGAGAGAGAGTTGTGCGAAAGATTAGCTTACCCTTGCCGCTGCGCATCTGCTTGAGCGCTGATTTGTACCCAAGGGAGTATTTTCCCGATTTTACAACAAGGGCAAGACGAGCCGCGATGGACTCGGTGGACTTGGTTGCCTTGGATTTTTTGGTGGGGGCCATTGGTGAATGTCGGGGTGGCTTGAGGTCGGGGAGATTGGTTACTTGCTGATACTCGATAGTATCGTTTCAGCCGCACATCGGCTTGTTTGCAGCTGTACAGTAGACTGCCATTTAGGTTCAGGCTTGGCCAAACTTCCATAAATGGCATCTTACTCCCACAGCTGCGCGGAGGTGAATTAACAAGAGGATCGGCAACCTGGTTAGAAGGAACGATATAACGCTCCAGCTCCACGTACTCGAGCACTGGAGTATATACTCTTGTAATCTACAACAGAATGTCCTACGATTACTTCTCTTACGAGAATCTAAACTCTACTAAGTACGACACCGCTGTAGTGCCATATGCTATCGACCACCAAGAGCTTTCAGTCTAGCCTCTGCAGCTCTGGCTCTCCGCTCTCGTTCAACTCTAGCTCTCATTTCGGGTGTAAGACCCATTACCCCATCTGAGCCGCCAGACGAACCTCCGAGTTTCTGCGGGCCGTTAGGGTCTTGCGGCTTCCGCTGCACCTTGGGAGGCGCAATCTGCTCCACCTTGACTTCGGGCTTTGCAGCCTCCCTTTCCTTTGCCTTTGCCTCCCTTTCTCTTATCTTTTCCTTGAGGCCTTTCCTCCTTTGCGCTTTCTTCTCCTCCCTTTCTTCTTCCATCTTCTGGCTCAAGGCGCTTGGGACGCGTGCAGCACCGAGCCAATCCCACCAGTCAGGATGCGTCGCTGCACAACGTCGAAAAACGTTTCGTGTGCCTTTCGAGCGAGCCAGATCATATGCAGTTCTCCGTGAGCCAGCCAAAAGCGGCGACGGGGTATCTGACGCATCAGAGGCTTGTGCGGCCTCCTCGTCATCTTGTCCTCCAACGGGTACCGCTATTGTAGGATCTGCATGCATATCTTCCAGCAGCCACCTTGTGAGTTCTTCCTGGCCAGACTGTGCGGCAACTTGAAGAAGGGTTGCTCGTCGATCTCCTGTCCACGACGGTATCGTCACATTAACGCTTTGGAAATGGGAGGATTCTCGATCCCAAAATGTCTTCAAGGGCTCTAGGCGGCCTTTGCTAACCATCTCCAGTAACCTTTGCCACTTCTCTCGGAATACCTCTTCTTCCTTCGTGAGGCGTGCTACTTTGGGTTTATCGGGTTCGGGCGTCGGTTCGACTGTAGGTTGTACTTTTGGTTTTGGTAGTGACGCAAGATATGCTTCGTCTTGGGCTCGAAGGGCATCTTCGGTAAGATGTGATACTTTGACCTGAGTGAGTTCTAAAAGGCAGCGCGAAAGTTCTGACTGGGTCTATCAGAATAAAATCGATGAGTATGGCGCTGAGGCGAGGTGTAAACAACTACTCACGGGACGACGAGTAGGGAATGGGAAAGTTCGCAGCCGCTCATCGCCTGTCATATCATCAGTTTCTTAGCACACCAAACCAAGATCGTGAGTGTAAGTACCTTTTTGAATGATACACCTCTCGTAGTCCAGAAAAATACGTCTATTCGAGCCGCTTGCACGTATCCAAATTAGTTCGCAATCATTGATTTCATCGGCCCATTCTTCCAAAAGGTTTCGTATATCCTGTGATACGTAAATATAAGAGAAATCAGTTAAAATGAAACACATACGTCACGCAATGCTTGCTCGCCATATCGACGAAGTTGAGCACCGGCACTCTTCGCGTTGCCTTTAGAGTTGTCGTTTACAGATTGAGATCCTCCCTGTTTCCTACGAGCTAATGGCACAATTATCACCTGCAGTCAAACGATTTTGAACCATCACGTACTAGTGTACCGATGGAACGTTTTATGCCTCAACACTTCAGTCTCGGGCTTCGGCTTGGGCGGTTTTCTCTTCGATTTGCTTTGTTCCAGAACATCTTCCTCGGCAGGTCTGCTCACCTGGACAACAGCACCTGCGAAATGTCCACCTGCAACCATGAACATAGCCCACTTCCTTCCTCCTTCCAGCCTCGTCTGCATATCTTTCACCTGGGTAAGATAAGCTGCGGCAGGGATATTCGTCGGAAACATGGTTTTGTATATGCCGATCTGGGTCGCTGGAGGGGAGTGGAACCAAGCGAGTGCAGTTTGTTGGGTACGCCGCAGGTTATACGAAGGGGAAGTAGACCTGGTCGTTTTCTTATTCTTGCTTACAAGAGCTTCTACGGCATCAGAGTCTCCGGAGGAGCTTTCATCATCGGATGAAGCAGAGCCCGATATTGAATCCTCGAGACCTAACTTGGATAAGCTCGGTGAGATGCTATTGATCGTGAAAAGGGTTTTTGATTGTGCATACCGTCAACTAACTGGGTAAATTCCGATTCCGAGACAGGGCTACCTCCAGACAAGCGTATCTTGACATTGTATCGATGCCAATCGGAACGAAAATGGGACCTCTGCTCGTTCACATCGACAAAAGCGGCACCAGTGCAGATATTGCATGCTCTTGAATTGCTGGTGGCTTGTGGTGCAGATGGCCGAACGGGTGATTCAGATCTAGGTGGTGTTTGACTGATGAGATTTCGGGGTGTCAGTGTTTGCAGCAGAGCGGGGGGGAGAGAAAAGACGTGAAAACGCTCCATGTCTGCAGGGGAATATCAATGCGATTGTACAGAACCCAATGGATGGTTATGATATTTTATTCAGCACGGTTTGCAAGCAGCGGATCCGTTGATTGTGACTGCAGTCGGAGTCAAGGTCAATGGCTGAGTCAGCTCTTGTGGTAAATACGTGGTTGTGATCCAGCAATCTACGCGAGACACGGAGATGACCGGACCAACCCTATAAGGAGACCATGATACACCTCAAGCGAACGACTGGCACTCTCAATTTACCGTAACGCATATCTGTAACCACAACTCACCATGGTCTCTGCTGAATTCTCTGATCGCCCCTTTAAAAAGCTGATTCTCTTTGATGTCGATGGTACTTTGTCGCTAGCACGGCAGGTAATTGAGAATACCTATTTCTTCCTAACTTGATGCAGAGACATTCAGATAGGCTGCATCATTTGAAATGATCGAGTTACTTCGTGCGTTGCGGAAGAAGTATGTTATAGGCTTTGTAGGTGGATCAGACCTTGTCAAGATATCAGAGCAGTTATCGGTGAACGGAAGTGACGGTATGGACTCAAAGAGATTGTTTTACTGGTCTGCACGCTCATCTAGTCCCCGCGTCAGCTATCGATGCCTTTGATTTCGGATTCGCAGAAAATGGACTGACCGCATATCGCCTGGGGAAGCCTCTCCCATCGCAATCGTTCATAAAGTACGTCGGGGAAGATCGCTACAAGAAATTGGTGAACTTCATCTTGCACTACGTTGCTGACATGGACATTCCTATCAAGCGGTAAGTTTGGAATATTACTACTCTATCTTTTACTGACTCAAAAAAGGGGTACATTTGTCGAGTTTCGCAACGGCATGATAAACGTGAGCCCCATTGGCCGTAATGCAACGTATGTTCATGTATAATTACAATGATGTAGTCTTTTTGACTCGTATTCCTAGCGTGCAAGAACGCCTCGACTTCGTAGATTACGATAAAGTAAGTGCACACAACCTGAACAACCGAAAAACGACTACTCATATATTTGTGTTCAGGAGCACCGTGTACGAGCTGCTTTTGTAGAGGTTCTCCAAGAAAAATTTGCAGACTACGGATTAACTTTCGCAATCGGAGGTCAAATTTCGTTCGATGTTTTCCCGAAAGGTTGGGACAAGACATATGCTTTGCGGCACGTCGAGGGTGAAGGCTTTGAAGAGATCCACTTTTTTGGTGATAAAACATACAAGGTATCTAAGACGATTCACGGTTTGCTCCGCGCTTGAACTAATTTATATCTATGACACAGGGAGGAAATGACTACGAGATTTTCTCAGATCCTCGTACCATTGGTCACACTGTGCAGAATCCTGCAGAGACAGCTCGCATTCTAAAAGAGCTTTTCTTTGCGTCGTGACTGAAGTAGACGATTTGTATTAGTCATTAAATCAGCATCGAAAATGTATGGGAAACAATCTGAGCATTTTCATTTTTTCTGTATACATGTACTTGAAATTTATATAAGTACAGTGTATAACTATCCCAGTCAATGTCCAATCGACACTCAGGGGGTGGCGATGACAATGGAACAAACAAGGCCACACGCGTTACATAGCACATCTTGGAACGTTGAGCCTTTTCTAAGTCGTTGCGTTGGGCGAAACCCTTTCTGCATATACCACTGCTTTCTCTGCTGCTCCGACGCGTCTTGACTACTCTTTCTTACCATTATTAGATTTTAAACCACATCTATCTCAACAATGCCCAGCCAGGAGAGCCAGCCACCAACGCGCGGGCGGTATATCTTCTCATTCCAAGGCGTTGACGCGTATAACTGACCATGTTTCTATCTGAAGGGAAGAGCGCGATATGGAAGTTGACCGTGCTGTCAAGAGACGCAAAGTAACGACTGCCGGGTCATCTAGCTCTCAGCCATCCCAGTCCCAGTCCCAGTCCCAGTCTCAACCCCAATCTCAATCTCAGTCACAGTCCTTTGCTGATGTTCTAGAACGTTTAAAAGTAAATGAAGGAGCTGGTATGAACAGTTTCTTATGGGAAGGTTTACTGCTTATCAATAAGGTTTCAGGTGCTGAAGGTGGTGCCGATTGTTGGGCACGTCCAGCCCTTCCCCCAGTCGATGAATCGAGAGACGCGCTCGGTGAGCTTGAACTCCAAAGCAGCGCGTTTTCAAACTCAACTTTGTGTTCCTAGTCTTTCAACAAATCGACGTGGAACCGTCTACCGATTTCGGCACAGGTGCAGTAATGTTGAGGATGTTTGGCGTGACCGAGGTAAATTCTTTCTTCGTCAACAAGACTCCTGACCTTTTGAACCCGTACTTTAGGCGGGACATAGCGTTCTTGCATATGTCACTGATTTCTTGCCCTATTTCTATATTGCTGTTCCACGTGGCTTCCAGAATGATGATAAAGAGGATTTCCGAAACCACATCAACGTACGTTTGCATGTTTGCTTAAAAGTCCTACCACCTAGTGTTAAATGGTCTTCATAGACTTCGCTTGGTGGTTCTTTTGTGGTAAATATTGAAAGTGTTCAGCGACGCAACCTATGGGGATACAGGGGTGACGATTGGGTAGCATTTCTCAAGCTCACCATCTGTGACCCTAAGACACTGCCAAAAGTTCGAGATAAGTATATCTCTCAGTACAGTTTTAGACACCGCCTGACTCTTATCCGTCTTGATTACGCATCTTCGAGAGAGGAGAGTGTCATTTTCAAAGCTTATTTCCCATTGGACAAGCAGTCAGTACGTTTGAAAGCAATATCCCATATGCCTTACGTTTCATGATCGATACCAAGGTATGTTAACGATTATCTTTTCAATGATGTTTATCATTATACTGCTCCTTTTCATAGGTGGTTGGCATGAATTGGATTGAAATTCCTGCTGGCAAGTATAAAATCATGCCTGATAAAGAAAAGCATTCTCAGTGTCAAGTCGAGCTGAGAGTCAGGTAAGACATTTGGCTTTGCTTATTCTTGAACTGCTTATCAAACAACTTGTTGTAGATACGATCACTTCATCTCACACGCCCCTGAAGGCAAGTGGTCCAAAGTAGCCCCCCTACGGATCCTAAGCTTTGATATCGAGTGCGCTGGCCGTAAAGGCATCTTCCCTGAACCTCAGATGGATCCGGTCATACAAATTGCAAACATGGTTACTCGCCAAGGTCAGACCGAATGATGCCTTCATGTACAAATTATATTCATTAAAATACCTCACACAGGCGATAGTCAGCCGTTCATTCGGAATATTTTCACTTTGAATTCGTGTTCTCATATCGTTGGATCTCAAGTACTTTCATTCAAGGACGAGGGCGCGATGCTACAGGCCTGGCGGGATTTCATCGAAGAGGCTGACCCAGACGTAGTGATTGGTTACAACATTTCAAATTTCGATTTTCCGTACCTTTTAGACCGAGCGAAACATCTCAAAGCAGCTAAATTTCCTTACCTAGGAAGAATAAAAAGCATGTTTTCACAACTTTTGGCTCTTTTCGTCCTTTAACATTCTATCCCAGACTCCAAAACCCAGGTAAAGGATACCCACTTCTCTTCCAAAGCCTATGGACAGCGTGATTCCAAGGAGACAGTGCTCGATGGGCGGTTACAACTTGATATTTTGCAGTTCATGCAACGGGAGCACAAACTGCGTAGCTACACGTTGAATTCTGTTTGCGCTCAATTCCTTGGCGAGCAGAAGGAGGACGTACACCACTCTGTGATTACTGAACTTCAAAATGGAACACCGGAATCTCGCCGTCGGTTAGCCGTATACTGCCTTAAGGTAATATTTGGATCACTTCGACATGCAGGGTCATATTGATGATGTAGTAAAGGATGCTTATCTTCCGCAAAGGCTCTTGGACAAACTCATGTGTTTTGTGAATTATATCGAAATGTCGCGTGTCACAGGAGTTCCATTCAACTTCCTTTTATCTCGAGGCCAGTCCATCAAAGTTCTTTCTCAGTTATTCCGCAAGGCAAATGAAGAGGGCTACGTTGTCCCTGCGCTGCTTAAAGGAGAAGGTGCATATTTTGCTGTCCGATAATCATGTTCGTGAATTTAAATGTATGCCCTAGGAACCGATGAACAGTACGAAGGTGCCACTGTAATCGAGCCGAAGAAGGGATATTATGATTCTCCAATCGCTACCTTGGATTTCAGCTCTCTGTATCCGTCAATCATGATGGCTCATAACCTATGTTATACTACCCTCCTGGACAAGACAACTATTGATCGACTACAACTCGTGAAAGACGTTGATTACATTCAAACCCCCAACAATGGTATGGCAATTGAAACGATATTGAAATAAACATCTCACATTCTTGTTCTCTAGATTTCTTCGCCACTACCTCGAGGCGAAAGGGTCTTCTACCCACTGTTCTTGAGGATCTCATTTCTGCTAGGAAGCGTGCTAAAGCAGACCTGAAGAAAGAGACCGATCCTTTTAAATGTGCAGTCCTTGACGGTCGTCAGCTTGCTCTCAAAGTGAGTTCTTCGATAATGCCTAAAAGACATCACGGATGTTTATCTCTCCTTAATTTAGATCAGTGCTAACTCTGTTTACGGTTTCACTGGAGCTACCATCGGGAAACTGCCTTGTCTTGCTATTTCGTCGAGTGTGACTTCTTATGGTCGACAGATGATCGAGAAGACGAAACAAGTGGGTTTTCGTATTATGCGCTTATAACAAGTCGCGTTCTCTGATTGGTATTTTTGTATTCAGGAGGTCGAGGCTGAGTACTGTGTAGCTAATGGCCATGATCACAATGCGGAGGTTATTTATGGTGACACAGATTCTGTCATGGTCAAATTCGGCCCTGCAGAGCTCACGAAGGTTATGGCATTGGGTATGTACGTACTCTTAATTGAAGCGTACTGATCTAAAAGCCGTCATATTTTTAGGAAGCGAGGCAGCGGATCTCGTCACCGCGAGATTCGTAAAACCGATCAAGTTGGAGTTTGAGAAAGTCTATTTTCCATACCTTCTGATTAGTAAAAAGAGGTATGCTGGTCTGTACTGGACGAAACCAGAAAAATATGATAAAATGGACTCGAAGGGAATCGAAGTAAGTCGATTACTCTATACTTCAGCATTCCTCTTAATCGTTCATAAATCGCAGACTGTTCGACGTGATAATTGTCGTCTGGTTTCCACAGTCATTGAAACGTGTCTCCATAAAATGTTAATAGACCGAGATGTCAAGGGAGCTGAAGAGTAAGTCTTTCGTGTCGACGAACTTATATAACCTTATAGTGGTTCCTTATAGCTACACAAAACGAGTCATTTCCGACTTGCTTCAGAACAAAGTAGATATGTCACAACTCGTTATAACCAAAGCCCTATCAAAAGCGGGTCAGTTCCATCGTTAAACTTTTACCGCGTCAATTCACAGACATGTATCCTCAGAATATAGTGGAAAACAGGCCCACGTCGAATTGGCTGGACGGATGAAGCAACGTGATGCTGGTACGTTGTCAGGTGGATACTCATTTTATCGACTTACCAATCCTCCACCTCCAACCCCACCCCCACAGGCTCGGCACCCGCACTGGGTGATCGTGTGGCATATGTTATTGTCAAAGGCATGAAAGGTGAATATGTTTCCTTCTTTACTTGCTGAAAATGATTTTATACAGCACTGCTTTCCAGGTGCTGCGGCATATGAGAAGTCAGAGGATCCACTTTACGTCCTTGAAAATAACATTCCTATTGATACCAAGTACTATCTGGATAACCAACTGTCAAAACCTCTTATGAGAATTTTTGAGCCTATCTTGGGCGAGAAGGCATCGTCGCTTTGTGAGTAGTATTCGCAGTTAATATTGGATGCTCCAAGAGTAATCAACGTGTCAGTATCGGGCGGTCACACAAGGAGCATACAAATCGCGACACCCACAGTCGGTGGTTTAATGAAGTTTGCCGTAAAAACTGTCACATGCTTAGGGTGTAAGACACCTTTACGGGCTAACAACAGTGTCAAAAGTAACTTTCTACACTTCATCTAATTATGACATCTGGCTTACGTGTTCGTTTAGATGGAGCAGTATGCAACAACTGTCGACCAAAGACGGCTGAACTTTATCAAAGACATGTTGGCACTGCTTCCGAAATGCAAGTTCGGTTTTCACGGCTGTGGACACAATGCCAGCGCTGTCAAGGATCTCTTCACCAGGTTAGTGATATCGTATATGCATGTAAAGGAAACTAATAAGGTTATCCTGGCAGGATGTTCTATGTTCAAGTAAAGATTGCCCTATATTCTATATGAGGAAAAAGGCGCAAAAGGATGTGGAGGATGCTGATGCTGTCCTTGAGCGTTTTGACCTGGACGCCTGGTGATAACGCTTTGCAGTGTGTCGTTTGGAAAAAGTCACCAAAAATATCATTTATATTGGGTTGGTTATGTACTCTTTTGTTTGTATCGCTACACATATTGCATTAGAAGATAATAAACACATTCAAGTTTAGTTCTCATGTTACTCGCCCCCCCTCAGTGCCAAGAATGGAGCATGTTAAGTGACTGACTGACTTGTCACTGGCTGGCTGTGACAGTACGCGTCGCGCGATGTCACGTGTATCCCCTTTGTTGAATCTAACCTCCACAAGGACGGTGACAACGCCAGCCGGCAGCACTTACAGGCTTTCTTAATATGCCTCCTACGCGCAGTCGTTCTACAAAAATTCAGGCAGAAAACCGCGACTCTGATTCTGGGGCCGATACAGAACCAGAAACACCCAGACCTCCTCGACAAGCTAGCAAAAGACGTATAAGCGAGCGTTTTAGCGACATTTATGGCCCCGATAACGATGCCAGTTTTTCATCTGATCCAGGTCGGGTTCCTCTGAAAGCTGTGAATATAAATGATGATGCTGCCGAGAAGAGGAGGAGGAGAAAAAGTAATAAGTTCGTGGTACCGGAAACCGCACAAGCTGGTCCTTCTTCCGAAGGAAACAACGTCGAACAGGACCCAGCTGAATCATCCAGAGCTGCTCAAGCAAAGCAGAAACAACAATTAACTTCTGTGGCCCCTCCACCTATCATTAACGTCCCCCTCGATGTGATGAGCTCGAACTTTGAGGAGTGGATGAAAATGGCTACAGATAATGTAAGCATACTACCATCTGCATGTTGTAACTGACATTCAACGTATGGACAGAAAATCAATGCTGCGAACTCATGGAACTTCGCGCTAATCGATTACTTTCATGACATGTCCCTACTCCGCAATAACACTGACAATTCAATCAATTTTCAGCGAGCATCATGTACCCTCGACGGTTGTGTCAAGATCTGGACAAGTCGCGTGGATAGCGTTGGTACGGAAACTGGAAAGTTGCTTAGCAATCTTGCTAATGAAGGGAGGATTACTGGCGATGACGATGAGGGGGACATGTCTGATTCTCAGGATCCTCAAGACCCTTCCCAACCACGGAGACGCAATAAAACTCATAGACCAGAATCAACGTTGGCCAAGAATGCCGCGCAACTTAGAAGCAAGAAACTGGATCTGGAGTTCAGCGTCGATCCGCTGTTCCGAAAAACCTGCGCAGATTTTGATGAAGGTGGTGCGCAGGGTCTACTTATGAACCACCTCAGTTTGGGAGTTGGGAGTGATGGTGGTATGCGAGTGGTATTCGACGCGAGTGATTCTATGGGCAAGGTCGCGGATGATGAAGAAGATTTAGAGGAACCAGAGGAAGAAATCGATCTTAGTTACATACGGAGTAAGCGGTTCCATTAATTAATATCTATTAGTCCTTTCTGACGACGCTACTTAGAGGAGTTTCTACCTAACGTCGACGTCCTCGAGGACAAGGCTATATCACACTCCCTTGCTGGATTCTCATTCTCTAAGGATAGTTTCGCATTTGATGATACTACTTTCCTTCCGGACGACAGCCACCGTGATGACGATGACGATGATTTTGGTGGTAATGATGCTCCGATGGATATCGAGGGCGGAGGTGACAACCCTGTCGAAGACTTCTTCCAAGGTGATCATGCTGTCGACGACGAATTCGGTGGAGGCGGTGTTCCAGATGAATTCAGTGGCGGTGATAACGTCTCTGTTGGCGCCGAGGGCGACCAGGATCAAGCTGGCATGCGTCCTGGAGGTTTTGTGCCCTTTGATCCCCGCAAAGCTCCCAATGAACGTGATTTGATCATGGCTATGACTGATGCCGATGCAGATGGCGGAATGATGGGCTATTTCGATCAAACCTTCCTAAAAAATTGGGCGGGCCCTGAACATTGGAAGCTCAGAAAAGCTGTTAGAAAACGTGAGTCTGGAAACTAATCTCTCGTGTACCTTTCTGATTGATAGATCTATCAGCGGACACATCTGATCCCGCAGCTCCGAAAGCTAAGCGTGAAAAGAAGGAAGCGTTCAAGATCGACTTCCTCACGCCTGCGGAAAAGGATCTCAAGGCCACCGCAAAAGAGCTATTTGCACCTGTCACTAGAGGCGCTGGTATCACTCTTCCTGCTTACAGTTCTTCCGCCAAGACTGCTTCGAAGAAGGGTAGTCGGGGTAAAAAAGCGAAGGAAGAAAAGAAAGAAAAGAGAGATGATCACACGTTACCTGATGACATGCATTTCACCAGTCGACAGCTCGTAACGTTATTCCTCAAACCCAAGTTCTCACTCAAGATGCGAGGGCAGCGGGTTCGTTATAACGAGAATGGAGACGGCGAGGTTGATGAGAATTTCTGGGCGCAAGCTGCCGCCAATCAAGCTGCAGGGCGAGTGGCCCAAGAGGACGGGGACGAAAGTGAGATCGTGTTCTTTGATCGATTGATCTTTAATTTGACTTGGATTGATCAGCTGCAGATGGGGGTGCTATTCCGTTCAATACACAGTTTTTCCACGATGATTACGATGATGGTCCAGGTTTCGACGATGTATATGGAGATGGAGAAGTCATAAGCGCTGCCAATGGCGACGCTGAGGAACAAGATCTCATTGCTGCAACTCAGGGACAAACAAGGAGAATCCGACCAGAATTGGTCAATTATGCTAAACGGGCAAAACGAGTTGACGTCAGAAAGCTCAAAGAGAACATATGGAGGGGTCTGGACATCAAAGTGCCACAAATGAAGAAGGACGACGAAGATGAAGATGAAGATGAAGACGATCAGATGGTATTTATTGTCTCGAATTTTGCTATAAATGCTCTGACTGTTGATGATTCCCAGGAGATGGATGACCCCTCTTTGACTGATCCGTCGGAAGCCCGAGTCTTCAGTTCAGTGATCTCTGGGTTACAACGATCATATCCTAGAGAGAAAATGGAAGAAATCAGCACTAGTTTCTGTTTCATCTGCCTTTTGCATCTTGCCAATGAACAGGGCCTCAAAATAAATTCAACTCCGGACGGTCAGCCCCTGGAGACAGGTATGCACGACGATGATATACCAGACGAAGGTTTGGACAAAGTGGGCGACATATGGAGTCTGAAGGCACGTAATTTTTTTTGCGTATTTGCTACGTGATAAACTGATTTGCAACCGCTATTACAGATATTCAGAGATCCCAATGCTACGCCTGCGGCATAGTACTCTATCTATATCGGGCACATACTACTGGACACATCTTCTTTATCTCATTATTTCACTATCTTCTTCCTTTTCTTGCTTGAGCGGTATCACGGCTGGTATGCAATGAATATCGATATAACCTGTTGTATGCTTATATACCACTCCCTGATGAGTGATACTTTTAGCTTCAGGATAATTGTTCACAATAATTTATATATCTGTATCAATCGACCACTGATAGCAGAATTAAAATGAGCCACAAGGAGCTAGGATTTTGTATGACCAAAGGATACATGAGACGAACTGGCATATCATATTCTTAAGATCACTGGCTATAAAATACATGGAAAAAATGAAAAGCTAGGGAAACAATCAGTAAAAATACAGAAACTAGAGCTACAGATGGTATATCTGGGTGTCGTCTAATACGCCCATATCCGAATAAGAGTAAAAATCCCCAATTCACCCCTCAAACTCTTCACCTCATACCTCAGCGCAGCCTTGCTTTCCGACCTTGCCATAAGTTTTCATAGCTCTTCTGGTATTTGGAGCTAAGCTCCAAGTATTCTTGGAACGCCCTGGGGGACAACTCGATCATGTCCGTGGTGGTGGTTCGGAATGGGAAGATGGTAAGGAGGTCTGAAGATGCAATGCGCGCTTGTGGGACATCAGAGGCGAGGAAAACGCCATCGCCAAAAAGATTGTATGTGTAAACATCAAGCCATCGGTCACGGCGGTTGTGTGAACGTGCGGCTGTGATTTTGCGATGCTCAGAAACTAGACCCAAACGATAAGAACATACACAGCAACTGCTCACCTTGAATTAGAACGACCTGGCGATGAACGACAGCGATAGCAACGGTTCCGTGATTCATGTTTTGTGAGAGATTAATTATGATGTTATATCGAGGGTGGCTATCGGATGCAGAAAAGAAAGGATACAGTGTGTAGTGGATACAGCAACGAAGAGAAACAGCAACGAAACGAACGACAGTGAACTGCGACGAGCAGGTTCTTGTTGAGTAACTGGATGTCTGCGCCTACAGAGGGTTTTAAGGCTCCATGAGACTTCTTGCTTATTGTTCTATTCCAAGCACTATGTGTGGAGGATAATAAGAAATTTCAGCAGACCAATCCTTGAGGCTTGAGGACAATAAGGCGACGCCTGCAATAGGTATGTAACCATGAGCGGGCACTGATAGCACCTGGACTAGAGAACAAAAAGAGAAGAAGAGCATCGGATGTGCGGAGCCGGACAAAGTACAATAGACTCGGACTAGTCCCACTTTGGTCAACAACAGCACCTGCCTTTTTGGGCTCACTCTTCGCAGCCCATGGGGTTGACTACGTGTAGTCTGGAGACATTTGATAGAGGGCACCCGCATCGTGTCACGCCCGTTACTGCCGAGTTGCCGTGTGCCATGTAAAGTAGATTAAAATAGCACTGTTATCTTATCTCTTACCTCAACACCAATCTGGCCATGGATGAGATGAACACAGACAAAGAACTTTACAAACAAGCCAATCCATTCATTGTTCATATAGACTGGCATTGTAGAATAGAAAACCCTACCGACATCTCAACTGACAGTGAATCAGAAGATATTCATCACACACTGATCCAAAACCAATACACAATGTGGCTCAAGAATGAATTTACTGGCAATCCTGCTCTCAAGGTTTGAGCAGTCCTGGTTTATATGAATTCCCTAGGGCTCAACCTGCCCATATTCTTCAATCTCTTAAGCTGGGGCAATCATGAATGCACACTTGATGCCAAGATTTATTATGAGCGCACTGCATTAATGGTCAGTGATGAACTTCCAAATATCATCAGGCGCTGGCACAAACCACCCCGACCCAAGGACACCCACCATGTACGCGCGAGTGGCTCCAGGACAGTCCTGCAGGACTTTGTGTTTGACTGTGTTAGCAATGTATTAGATGAAGAGCTGAGAGGCATAGAGGATTTAGCCAGATGTCCACCTGAAGATGTCTCCAAGGAGGGACTTACTAGTATTTTGATTGAAGACCTTGTCTTATGCTCCAAAGTGCAGGGTTTGGAGGGACTCCATATCTCTGGAAGCTTCTACGACACTTGACTATCACCAAGTCCCAAGAAAAGTGAAACATTAAACCAAATAGTGACCTGGTGAGTTGTGCTTCTGCATCGCATGTAAAAGCATTGTCGTCTCATTACCCTTAGGTCATCATTTCCATTTTCTTTCAAATCATGTACTTGCGCTCTCACCATCACAACTGCTGGGCCAAATTTCTCACTGTATTCCTCTGTTCTCAAGGCATTTCAGCCAAAAGCTTGGACCTACTTCATACTCTGTGTGTCACCATGAGCCACAAATGGTCTGTTCATGCTTTCACTGCTATATCATTGAATCAGATGGATAAGGTATGAGAGCTTGTGAGGAAGATGCCTTTTGTCATTTCACATGACAATCTCAATGTCACATTCCATGTCTACTCTCAAAGGATTGATAACTAGAACTACTTTGATAGTGGGATATAGGGCAGTAGGACGTAAGACTCCACTAAATATTGAGGAAATATACAGCCTTGAACAAGCCAGTGCACCTTCACGCCAAGCTCACAACATTCATTGTGTCCTCCAATACCTTATCCACTCACCTGACTTCCAACTCCAGCTCTATAAACAATGCAATAATCCCATTTTTGGTGCACCACCTCCAGTCCGTCAGCTTCCAACTGGACTGGCTTTTATTACAGAACAGTATATGCTTGGTACTGTCCATATAGAGGAGGCCAGTTATGATGGCAACAACAAGCTTCTGGTAGAATGGTTTAAACAGCTCGGCTTACATTTGGACGAGCAGCAGCAGAAGACAGGACTAGAGAGAGTCATACCATGGGTTGGAAATCAGCTAACTGTTGAATGCCTGTGGGGCCTCTATTGATTCCGTGCATGCAACCACAACACCTTTGACCGAATGGATTGGATCATCCCAATCTTTGGGTGGTTCCATCTACAAATGGCCTTTGTCAACTTGTTACACAAGCAATACTTAGGCACGACTGCAGGCCAAGGACTTATGCACACTTTCACCTTGCTTGAAAGAAAAGGCCTTGGGGCTGTTCAGACACGAGGACCATTCCACCAGCATCTTCATGATGTCATCCATCATGTTGCTGAGGCCCACTTTTACACTTGTTGGCTGGTGGCGGGCAACATCAATCATTTACAAGACCTCCGTCACAGAAACTCAAAGCAATGGCTGAGACCATCATTCACCAACTTTCCTCGAGTGATGCACTCCATGAAACCAGCGTCAAACCTACCAGCCAACTGTAACAACCAAGAGTTTGTATACTCTGGCACACAACTCAAACAGGCTATAGTGAAGTGAGTGGGAGTGGTTACCCCTTATGATAGGACCGAGTTAGTTGTGGGTAAACAACAGGAGGACTTGCTGAGGAGTCTCCTTGATCTATTGGGGTATATATACTACTACAGGTTGTTTGTACATGTGTACTGTACAGTTGATGGAGGCAGTGGCTGATGATGTCATGGGGCACAGCTCGTGTGACCAGCTCCACTGTGTGAGATACTTGTATCTCAAAATAAAGAAAAGGCAGTGCAGTGCAAGAAGTGGAGTTTGAACAATAATGGAAAGTGCCGCATGGCACAGGGTGTGAAAACTACAAAAGAAAGTTGAAGAGGAGAATGAAATTAAAGGTCCGAAAATTGTGTTATTGTAACACCAACAGGACCATGTATTTACCCAGGCTGTCATGTGGAACCGCAATGTTTTATGATACATCAACCTTAGTGAAGCGATTCAGTCCGGTGATGTCGGTATTATGCAAAACAACCTCCCACACATATTGTTTTGTTTTTCTGGAGGTGGTAACTCAAAATATACCATTGAAATTCTGGAGCTCCTTCGTTCAATTCACCATGAGTGGCCACCTAAAGTCAGGTAAGCTTTGTGTTTGTTTGCCATTTCATTTTGCTTATAGCAACACTGATAGAGACTTTGTGATGGAGCATTGCTGGTTGATGAATACCACCAGGCACCCACACACGTTCCTACCTATTGACAAGGGCAAGGAGCACAACATCAAGGCATTCAGGGTGAGCAAATGAAACTACGTCCCTTAAGCTTTCAATTGCAATGCAGACAACATTTGCTACTCACGGAGTCCATGGGACATGGATGCTCATGAAGTCACAAGCTCCAGCTCTCCCAACCATGCAAGCCATTTGCAAACATCTCAAAAAGCAAATCTGGCCCCTACATCAAGGAATTTCTCACACCGAGCCCAGCAAAGAGAAGAATCTCAAGCAGCTGTCCATCGCTTACACCACCTCTCAAATTTGCATTGAAAAGGAGGATGCAACACCAAAACAAGCACAGACAAAATTCAAGACTTTGTTACAAATAGCGCCCTCAATCTTCTTACTAACAAAATGATCGGCAAATGGTGGAACAATCGGGACTATATATGAGCTACAGGGGAAACTTGGTAGATAAATGTAACTACAATAAATGTACCTATGAAATCTGTGATTGTAAGGGAATGAACACCAATTTTTACATACCAGAGTCTTGCATGTCTGATGTCCAGAGCGAGAACTTGTCCGAGTGTCAAATCCTTGTAGCTCTCCTCTGCGAGAGTTTTCCCTTAGCAATTACATAATGAATCCTTGTAAGTGTTGAATTCTTGTAGCTCTCCTCTGAGGGAGTATTGAGTTCAGCAGTAATGGGAGACTAACATATAATGATTCTACAAATGGCAAAGACATAGTATCTACATTACAACATATCCAGCACACTCACAAGTGCCTTTGCTTCCCGTTCTAGTGTCGTCCAAAAGTTGGCAATCAATCTTGCAAAGTGTGAGTGGGCGGCAATCTTGTAGAACAAAGCAGTGTGAATGGAGAGGCAATGGGAGTGCATGTGGTTGGAGTGGCTTGCCAGTTTGTATAGGAGTGCAGCACAATGTGAGGTGAGGCTTCAAACTGCGTTGCCGACTCTAGCTTAAGCTGGAACCTGCAGATGATATAAGAAAAGTTACAATGTACATATAAAGGAAAGACTTACTGAGAAAGGCCAGGTAATGCCACATTCTCCTTCTGGCTGGTGCGAGGTATCTGTGTCTCTACTTTTTTCACCTGGACCTCCTCATTTGCGTGGGGCTTTCAGACTGCATTAGTAGCCTGCCTTTTTGCTTGCCTCTTTTCCACCATAGCAGCCTCACACTGCTCCGTATATTTCTCATCCACACCCACCATCAACTCAACTATCTCCTCTCCATATTGATCCGGAAAGGGCCATGCGGATGGCAGCTCAGCACACATCTCCTCAACACTTTTCCACTGGCGGTTTGATGCAATTGAAGTGAGAGTGGAGTCTGGGAGGATGGCCTAACAGGTAAATGAGCAGTAGGGGAAGTTGCGCTTGTATTCATTGATGCACCAACGGCGCAACACATTTTTGGTGGAGTGAAGAAGTTCATGCGTGCAGTGTGCAGGTCCTTATGGTCCATTACCCATTTGCATGGGTTTTTTGCCGCAATTGTTGGTTTTGGGACTAGGAGTGTTGTCTGAGAGAGATGAGATGACAGAGACAGGACTTGAAGGAGGAGATTGTGAGAGTGTTGCATGCTGGGGGTTGATCATTGGTGTGTAGTTATTGCAACAAGGACTGGTAGGAGCTAAGAATAAGAAGATTAAGCAGTTGTGGGTGAATGAAATAGCCATGAGGCTTACCTGAGTGACCCAGCAGATTGTCAAAATGCTTGTCGGAAATAAGGTGTCAACAATGTTTTGTTCCAATCTGCTCACACATTGTAACAACCAAGAGTTAGTTACTCTGGCGCACAACTCAGACAAGCAAAAAAGTAATGAGAGGGAGTGGTTACCCCTTATGATAGGACCAAGTTAGTTGTGGGTAAACAACAGGAGGACTTGCTGAGGAGTCTCCTGGATTTATTGAGGTTTTTTTATATACTACTACAGTGTGTTTGTACTTATGTATTATACAGTTGATGAAAGCAGTGGCTGATGATGTCATGGGGCCCAGCCCGTGTGACTAGCTCCACTGCGTGAGAGACTTGTAGCTAAAATAAGGAAAAAAGGCAGTGCGGTGTCGATGATGAGAACTGCTGTTAGAAAACCACACACAAAAACAAACTAACACACAATCCTCCCAGATTCCACGGAACTTGTTTATGGGCTTTGCCTCCTAGAACAGTGGAGTGGTCTGGTTGTTTGTGGGGTGGTACGTATAAAGATCCTTCAAAGTAAAACCCAGAGATGTATGAGTGTGGGTTTTGAGGAGGAGGGATAGTTGAATTTATAGAAGATAGGGGCTTAGTGACGAGTATAGATGAGCACTACCTTGCTAATTGTAGCACAAGGTAGGTTTGAGAACGACAAGGATAACAAGGTGACAAGGTTCCCAGTGATAGCAGGCTCCTGACGCACAAATTGTAGTGCTCAGAAGGACTCTAATCGAAAGGGATAACAATGACTTCAAAAGTGGGAAGTGACAATGACAGCAATTAACAGTGGTAGCAGTGGGAAGTGTTGTGACCACACTGGATCACAAGTAGTAGAGTAGTGAACTTGAGAGTAGAGAAGACGTCTGGATTGGAGTTCTTGTTGTTTTTACAAGGTAAAATACAGGGGTTTATATAGTAAAAGAAAAGTAGGCTATGCACAGTATAGCTGTGCAAAAAGAATGAGAAAGAATATGAAGGAAGGAATGTACGCTGACAAATCCTGCGTAGGTAGTACAGGATAAGATTGTCAAAAAAAGGAAAAGAAAGGGATAGAACAATAAATGCTGTGAGTAATGTCACAGGTTTGTACAGCCATAAAGTAAAGTCCAATAGCAAAAAGAGAGCAGGAAAATCATGATGTCATGGGAAGATGCAGTAAAAAAAAGGGCAAGGCAAAACACTATCAGTATCAACACAGTTCCTTTATTGTCAGTCAGGCATTCTAAAAAATATGTGTCCATAAAAATGATTCAAAAATCAAAAATAATCGCACTGTAAATGAATGTTCTGCTGAAAAAAAAGAAACTGGAGCCACCGGTCCACCACCTAGTCTAAATCCGACAGTTCCATGGCCTTACCAATGGACTGGTTGTGTTGGACCACCTGATCAAACGAGGGAGGGAGAGGAGTAGTTCCAATTTGGAACAAGTGAGTCCCAGGCAGCGTGTGGTAGGTGTAGCTGTAGCAAAGACGATGGACAAAAGATAAGTGTACCCAAGTGAATGGGACAGCGATGAACATGGGCGACGCAAGGGGATGAACCTTCTCCAGTTCAAAAATTACCCACCCACGCTCCAACCAGGCAAGATGAGCGACCAATGTTTTGATAGTATATGATGGCAGATCGACGTCATGAAGATGGACCTGTTGCCCTATTTGGACCGGCCGCCGGGGCTTTGCTGATATCAGCAGTGGCACGTGGTAGTCAACGGATCAGTGACGGAAGCGGATAGGAAGTGGTGACATCAGAAATGGTGGGGGTGCAAATAAGATGAGGAGGAGGAGGGTAGAGGTGACGAAGAAGTGGATTAGAATGGGGATCCAGAAACGACTGTCAGGTGAGAATAAAAAGGAGAGAAAGGGGCCCATGGTGGGGCTAGGCAAAGGAAGGGGAGTAAGGGAAACAACAAAAGTGAGGGCGCAATGCAATGTGTAGCCAGTGGCGACGCAAAAATTTGCCAAAATGCCGAAACACAGAAAGTACCGAATGGAAAAGCAAAGGTGAGCGTGACTGGATTGCCTAATAGAGGTGGTGCTGATCAGCCACAAGTTCGAAAAAGGCAATATTAATTACTATTCCATGTGGCACTGTGCCTGTGTGGCGCAAAGGCAAGTCTTTTTGAATATTCGCTTCGTTATTGACACCTGTCCATGCTACCAATCAACTTTGGTGCATGACAGCGGTGCGAGAAAGTGGAGTTTGAACAAAAAAAGGAAAGTGCTGCATGGCACAGTGTGTGAAAACTACAGTAGAAAGTTTTAAAGAGGAGAATGAAAAATTAAAGGTCCGAAAATCTTGTATCGTAACACGCATTGCAAGCTCAACTGTTTTCTTGTATTGATGCTCTGTATGTAATATTTCTAGGTCAGTATCCTGACTTTCTTCCCTCTCACACTCTTCTTCTGACATTGGTTCCTTTTTCACAGCCATACCAACACCTATTCAACAGAAAACTGATGCCTCAGCAAGCAGGATGGCACGGCCCTGAATGGAAACCAGGCAGGCAGCACGGCTTGCTTGTTGGAGCCAAATGGTGAGGGATGATGGTACACCAAGTTGGATTACCAGCTCAATATCAGGTATGTCCAATCCCTGTGCATGTATCAACAATGCTGCCCTTGCTTATTGCTGACTACTCACTATACGCCCCACCTCAGTCACCACCATCATCCTGACTTTACCCTTGCAAAACTGGCTCATTGTTACAACCAAAGTTTTTATACTCTGGCGCACAACTCAGACAAAGCTTTAGAGGAAGTGAGTGGGAGTGATTACCCTTTGGATAGGACCGAGTTTGTTGTGGACTCGCTGAGGAGTCTCCTTGATCTATTGGGGTATATATACTACTACAGGTTGTTTGTACATATGTACTGTACAGTTGATGGAGGCAGTGGCTGATGATGTCATGGGGCACAGCCCATGTGTCCAGCTCCACTGCATGAGATACTTGTAGCTAAAAATAAGAAAAAGCAGTGCAGCACGAGAAGGTGGAGTTTGAACAAAATGGAAAGTGCTGCATGGCACAGGGTGTGAAAACTACAGAAGAAAGTTAAAGAGGAGAATGAAATTTAAAGGTCCTAAAATTGTGTATTGTAACACTCGTAACATTTTTTTTGGTCCATGTAGATTGTCATGAGTTGAGGAAATCAACCTGGTCCTTCAAACTAGGAGGTAAGAACCTTCTCAAATGTCTACAGGCTGGCTTCCTGTGAGTCATTAACTGAGTTAACAAAGACAAGGGTCCTAGGCATGTCACTCACATGCTCAACTCTGCTCATGAGGAAGTCTAGCGCAGGGTAATACAAAGATCTGGGGATGACCTCCACTTCGGGTGTGATATTAGGTCTGTCATTGCCTAAATTGAGGTGGAACAATCACTGACTATTGATATGTAGCTGTTTGTGAATGTTGGCAAGAACATCTGGTGTCATGGTGGCAGAGGTGGCATAGATAGGTATGCCGAGTGGTACAAATGATTGAAGCTGGCTAAGCTTTGAATACGCAGGGCAAAAATCACCTCCCCACTGCAAAACGCAATGGGCTTCGTCAATTACAAAGCCCAGCATTTGTTTTTGATAGGTTCATGAGCATAGCAAGTCCTTAAATCTTGGATTACTGATCACCATCTCAGGGGAGGCAAAAATAACACGGAATCTTAGTGCTTTGAGTTCCTGGTCAAGTTTTGAATGGATGGCGTAGTCAATGAATGATACGGAGACTGACCTTGTGTAAGTCATGACTGTATGTATCCTCATTCACAACTGTTGACAAAACTTCCCAACGAAGGAACTGCTGTGACTTAGTTTGACGTGAGACAGTCATGTTAGTGAGAAATTGAAGGTAGCATACCTGTGCTTCTTCTAAAGCTTTCAGTGGTGATATAACAACAGTTAGGTGGTCTGTATGAATGAAAGATGGGATAATGAAAGGCAGTGTCTTGCCTGCACCTGTGCCCGCAATCACAATACAATCCAGGCCTAGACAGAAAGCCTTGGAGGTGTCTAACTGCCATGTATAAGGAACTCGGGAGTTGCATCGTTGAAAAACTTTGTCTGCCATGGTTGTGCGTGTACTCTTGGATGGGTATTTAGGGGATTTGGCATGGGCCTGAGCCAAATTGGCATACAACTGAGCCTTGACACCGTCATGAGACAAACTACGCAACTCAGTTGTCGGCATTGGATTGCATTAACCCGTACTAAATACAAATTTTGGCTATCTACCTATGCCAACAAATCATGATGACACTAGTAGATTATTTTATTTCACTCCTGCCTTATTTAGACGCTTGTTCAACCCAAAATGGCCAGTTGGCATGATAGTGTGACTCGATGGGGTGTCCTCATACAAATGTCTCCAGACATTTTGGGTAACACTGTGCGCACACCACCTAGGTTACCCGATGTATAAGCCTTGTAAGACTGGGTGGTCACATGTGTCATCCAGTATTGTAAGGCTCTATGTCCGAAGTCAGCCAGCACCAGGGCTAAAACCAGTCCCACATCTGCAAATTGCCTTTGGGTTACTGTGCAGTTCGGCGGCGGCATCTTTAGCTTCAGTTGCAGCGCCGACACCTCCAAGATCTTATCAACTCCCTCAACGCACCACACTGTCAGCCACTTGCTACCTCATTGTCTCTCGCTCATCCACTCTGCCTCGTTGTCTTGCTTGTCCACAATCTGCCTTGCTGTCTCATCAGTTGCTTGTCATGTCTCGTCCTCCAACATCCTTTAAGGTCAATCTAGGTGTTCTTAAGTTGGTGATGCGGGGTAAGCCATTCCATTTACTCTCAATTTTTTCAATAACAAAACAAGTGTTAAGCTAATCTAGTTGTAGGAGGCATAGAACACAAATCTAAAGGGTGAATCATTTCTTTGTCTCCTTTCCACCCGCACTCTATGTAAATCCATTGAACTGACAAAAGTTCATCATGTCAGTAGCATTGCCTGGGTTGAGTTCTGCTAGCATTCGGTTGAGCTCTGCAGTAAAATTAGGCGTGATGCTGTTGCTGTTGAACAGTGCTTGTTCATCTGCAAAGGAAGTGTGCTCAAACCAGTGGATGTGCTGACAGAGGCTGCAGGAGAGTTGGTATAAGCCACAGGCACCTGGGTAGACGATGTAGGCATGTTGATGGAAGCTCCAGTGGCAGCTGTGCCAACAATCTGTTGAGTATTTGCAGCAGCGCTAGGGTCAGGCAAGTAATTTTCTTCATCACTGTTCGCCATCTCTGTGTTCTTATACATTCTTCTAGAGCTGCTCCTTCCCCCTGCTGTGAACCCAATTCAGTTTGTTTTGTGCCTTTGTCAGATTGCTCTCAACGGCGTGGCTCAATCAACTCTCCACTATTGAGTTTTTCCACCCGCTCTTGGGTCATCTGCTTATACTCACTTTCACTGAGCTGTCTCCAGTGAATCTCCCCAGATTCCCATTTGTGCAAGAGCATTTCTAAATCTGGAAGGCCACTTGATACTTCACTGAGGTTTGCAAAAGGAATATGTTCGGGCCAGCCCTCAATGACAATCTGGTAGCACTGTATAATGTTCCTCCAATAGTTTTTCCAGTGCATCTTTGCCTTTGGGTCATCGGTTATGACTCCTAAGAAAAGTAAGCCCAAAATTATGTTTTTGGTGTTAAACTTACTTAGCTGCTGATTTATTAGTTCTCGGATCTTTGACCGGAGTTCTGAAACTCGCTGCTGATGGTTTTTAGCAGCACCTATGATAAGATTACTGACAACAAACAAGGGGAACTATGATGAGCCTCACCTTGTATCCCTTGCGTAGCAAAGCCTTCCATCTTACTGATCAGGTGCTGGTGGTCAATATTCATAGCGGATGGCATAAAATTTTCCACCCCCTCTGTATTAAAAGCAATCCCTTGGAGAGGCAGCTCTGTTGTTCGTCTTGCTGTGTACAGCATGGACTCAGCATCAGCACCAGTGCATAATTGTAGGCTAGTACATCTGTCAATCTTGCTCTTATCGAAGTCCAAAGGCCAGTTGCTTTTGTCTTGCGGTACTCCGAGTATTCACTAGCTAACATTTTCTTTTCATCTTCTGATAGTTCATAATATGTGGTGCGGTATTTTTTTATGAGCTCCTGCAGGGCTATAGGACCTTTAAGTCCTGTGAACAAGATGTAAGCATGCAAACATACATAATAACAGTACAACATTACTTACGTTTCTCTTTGTCAATTTCTTGGTTTTTTTTTTGCAACAGAACCCATTCCAAGCACTAGCTTTTGAATGTTTACACTGTAGCCTTGTATGCCCCATATAACGCTCCTTTCTGATGTAGCGAACACTTTTACTATGCATTTCTGCTATCTTCATAGTCACATTGTCAATCCACTTCCAGGCTTTGTTGAGGTCTCTTTGAAGATTTTGGAACTTATCACATCATTTCAGCAGGATTTTGGCCCGTGCTTCTTTGCTCAGCAATACCTTGGGACAAATGCGTGCCAAGCCCTGGACACATTGTGTGCATTGTTTTACACTATAGAAGGACTGCAAGACCATAGTTTGACGTGGAGACAGCGGTGAGTTGGTTTTATCCTTTGAATGCTTATACAAAAACCCCAACTCTTAATATTCCAAAACTGACAGGGTCATTTCTTGCGGTCTTTTAGGAGGCACACACTAAATGGTTCTAGTGGACCGAAAAGATTGCATTCTGCCATTTTGAAATATGTTAAAGAGTGCAAGGTTCTACGCTAAGTACAAGGTCAGCCAAAAATGTAGGTACCTACTGTTCATAAGAAAAATATACTAAAGACGTAAAAGAAGCATACAACTGAAAGCGCTACCCCAAGGATCAATAATGCTTTTACTATATTCCACACCGCAGATCTCTGGTGCTGTGCAACAACAAACTGTGTCCCTCAAATGTCTGCCAGAAGAGCCCTAGACAAGTTAGATGCCTGTTCATAGTTGAATCCCCATGTTGGAGATCTTAGCACAGCTTCCCATCAACTGCTTCGGATGGATGTCACAAACTTGTGAAGCTTCGGCAAAATTTCATCCCCCAAGCCAAACCAATCAAGGACCATGTCCGTACTGGGACCCACACTAATAAGCAGTAGTTGAGGCCCTTCTACTTGACTGTTGCACTCCAATGATACAGTGGAAGTGGGTTCACTTCTTGGAACTGTCAGCTGAATAACTTTCTTTGACAGGCCAATGTTGGTGTGACGTTGCTGGCAAATGTGGGATGTAGGATTTGTCCATGGCATCATGTGAGGTCTCATGTTAGCTGCACTGCGCACTGCAGCTGATGAGGTTATAGGCTCTGTACCAATAGCGCTGAGCTCCAAATGTAATTGCTGTTACAATTGATGTACCAGCACCTACTTACACTTCACTTTTTGTACTTTTACTTTTTATTTTCCAAGTCACATGACTGATCACGTGACCATTTATTTTACTTTACATTTTCGGACTTTTCATAAGTCACATGACCAATCATGTGACACATCACCTGACCAGTGTCTAGGCTCACCATGTGACTGGTCACATGCTAAACATCAGACTCTAAACTTTATCTACAACTGTACAGTACCTCATGTATTTTAGTATATATACAGGAGCAATACATGGGGAAGGACTCAGCGAGTCCACCTGTTGTCTACCAACAACTAACTTGTTCCTACCAAATGGGTAACCGCTCCCACCTCTTCCTCTTCTTTTGAGTGTTGTTTTCATTGTGCTCCAGTGCCCCAAGACTGTGTCTTGTTGGTGTTGTCACAATTGCTGTGTGCTCAGTGCAGAGCACTGGATTTGAGAACTCGTTGCAATCCTAGGAGGAGGTAAGTGTGGTGAATCTTCTATGCAAATTCTCATAGTTGAAACAGATTCAGATTTCAGGAAAAACAACGGTATATTATTATTGACTCACAGTGCTCTGGTGGGTCTACATTTTGTTACAATACACAATTTTTGGACCTTTAATTTTCATTCTCCTATTCAACTTTCTTCTATAGTTTTCACACACTACACCATGCGGCACTTTCCTTTTTGTTCAAACTCCACCTTTCTCGCGCTGCGCTGCCTTTCTTCTTATTTTAGCTACAAGTATCTCACGCAGTGGAGCTGGTCACACGAGCTGTGCCCCATGACATCATCAGCCACTGCCTCCATTAACTGTATAGTACATATGTACAAACAAACCTGTAGTAGTATAAATGCCCAGTAGATCCAGGAGACTCCTCAGCAAGTCCTCCTGTTGTTTACCCACAACTAACTCGGTCCTAGCTAAGGGGTAACCACTCCCACTCATTACTCTTTTGCTTGTCTGAGTTGTGCGCCAGAGTAACTAACTCTGAGTTGTTACACATTTTCAATTCGACAGGGACTACTAAATCGCTGCAGGTGAGGCATTACGAATTCTTGGCAGAATGTCTGCACCAAGATTGAAACATCCCCACCAATACATTTGGGTATCTCAACTAATTCACGTGGTGTAATGTAGAGATCAACACTGACAGAATCCGGAGAGGTGTCAGAGGTAGCTTTAGAACCGGGGCAATAGAGAAAGAGCAAGATGCCTCCATCCAAGCGATCTTGCATAGTAATCTTAAATTGGATGTAAGCGAATAAAAGTCAGGGTGAAAGAATGAAAAGCAAAACATCAAAAATGTCTTGAATTGATGCTTCTAAAAAATTGTCCTTGGTTAGAGACTTTTCATTTGGGCAAGGGTTTGGCTGGAGATGAATGTACGAGGGATGCAGTCCCTTGAGTGACTTGGTGTGATAGTGTGTGCCATCAATATGAGCATTATGGTGGAGAACAGCACAGGCTGCTGCCTGGTGCTCTGAGTTACTGAAAGTGCTTGCAAATGAAGTAGTGTGCAATGCAGCAACAGCTGAGGCAGAAAAATAGTCACTAGACATTTCTAACTTGTGTTGAGAAGGCAGGGAGTCTGTCAAAATGATGCAAAACTGAGGATTGTACAATGGGCTAACCAAGATTTTAGATTTTATAATGTAAAATTATGCCAAAAGCACGTAATGTGTCTCTCTTGGTAAAGCTACTAGCCACCAGCCCTACACAAATACATCACTAGTTAGCGAGACTTTGGACATAACAGTATCAACTAATCATCCAAGGCATTGACAAATTCTGCAAACAGTATTGCTGCTTGAGCATCCTCCTGATACTGGATGAGATCACTATCACTGTACTCAAATGTGATGGTCCCATTAATGCCTGAATGTGGAGACAACCAAAGTATAGTAACTGTTGTCAGTACATCTATATTATGTAGAGAAAAATTATCATACAATCAGCCAAAATAAGGTTTGCACTTGTATCAAAGTTTCCAATGTTCAGGGACTGTATTGGAGTCACATGAGTTTCCCATTTATCATTTTCTTGCCGCATATTAGCTGACAGCTGGACTGAAGCCGCATTACTGGGCTGTGAGAGAACTGGATCTAGCTGGGGCGGGGCTGAATCACAAAGGGGCTGGGTCAGAGGTACTTTGCCAAGTCTGACACCATTACCTTTGTGGCCAGAGAAACCTGAGAGGTTTTTGGTCTGTTGAAGATGCAGTAAATGAATAGTGTTCACTGCTGCACACAACTGCCATTGGTGTTCTAGCTCTGTGCCAAGTGGTGGGTTGGAGGCCATGAGGCTGTTGATAGCAGCTTTCATCTCAATTTCTTTACAATGTATGGCTGTGCGTAAGTGTTGTATTTCAATGTTGAGTCAATCTATTTCCTCCTTTGCCGAGCACAGCTTGACATGCTTCACAGCTGCTTCTCAATAGGCTGGTTTTGTCCAGACTTCACTGCGGATATCTGTATGCGAACAACGGAGGAGATCAAACTCCGCAAGAAAGCTGTACTCAACAATATCCTTCCATACTATTTTTGGATGTGGAGGGTCGAGAGCAGTAGCCTGGGTATTGTAGTGTTTAATTGCATTATGATTTGCTTCTGATCTACGTTGTAGTCCCTTGCTGATTTGCTAACGCAGTTTATATCCTTACCTCAATTGTTGTCAGAAAAGTTTGTAGACAATATAAAGTATACACCTGTGCCTGATAAGGCTAGTTTTGAAAGCTCAAATAGCCGCTTGACAACGGAACGCTCAAGTTCATCAAGAGCAGCCCTATACTTCACCATGGTAGCTTCTTGTCTGTAGTGATTGTAGTTGTTGTCACCAACTTCCCATATTTTTTCAACATTGAGTTGAACTTCCAAATCACCCGTCATTAATTCAGCATTTTGCAATTGCGCAAAAACAGTATCAATACACTTTTGTGCTTTTATGAGGCTTTCTTGTATGGCCCTCATGTCCCCATTTATGCTCATTGTTAGAGCATTGTTCGCAGCTGCTCGTGCTGACATGTACTCTTCACTACAAACAACTAACTCTGTTAGCCACAAAACATGTTGTGCAACACTGCTTACCAGTATTTTGTGAGCTCATCTAGTGCTTCTATATATCGTGTATACAGCCAATCTCTGTCCAAAAGCTGCTTTGTTGCTTTCAAATAATCAAGTTCATCCCTGTGAAAATGATTAAAGTCTATGTCGGTTATGTGAAACTGGGCTTTGAATGTATTAAGCTCTGCACTCAGCATAGTGACCGCAAGAAGTGCCTCTCAATAATGATGTTGTAAGAAATTACCTGCATGTATATTAGTAAAGATAATTGAATATAAGCAAACACGTACTTAATGCAGCATATTTGTCCATATCCCAGAATGTAACATGTTGTTCTATTGCTTGATGACGAGAAGACATGTTCGCAGCCTTCTCCCTCTGTGTGCCCTGTCCCAGGGATGTACATTGGATGCTATTCAAGCTGGCACTTGCAATTGTGTGCATGCCCATGAAAGGCACCAACCATCATTTGAAGGTTCAAAGCTTACGCATGGGGCCCAACAAAACTATTGCTGAGTGTTGATGAGAATGCACATCCAATATTGTAAGCACAACCGCCATTTTTGCCATAAACTGAAAGTAGCTTATCCATTACCGCTATGGGGTATTTTGCCCTAGAAAGTTTGTATTCTGTAAGTCTTGTTAGCTATTAGATAAAGACTCCATACAATTCACCACTTTCAATCATGTCACAGACAAGAAGCACAAATCGGTGACGGCAGGTGGCAATAAAGATGCTTGTTTCTTCAAAAACTCCAAAAATCTTCTTGCACTGTTCTGGCCCAGCATTTCTCCACCGCTGAACACAATTTAATGTTTCATTACTGTTGTCATGAAGCTCGACATCAGCCCAGTCATCATCATGGTTGTTGTTGTTTGTCTGCAAAGGAAACATCATAACTGGATGCAGATATAAATGCTATAATGAGCCTACCATCTTTTGTTTTCCCTTTACATCATTTTTGAAAACATTGACAGTATCACGGTGAATCCAGTAATCTGTACAAGCTTTGCGTGAATCACATTGATGAGACAAATTATAAATAGAAGACTTCCACTGTTTTAAGCTACTATTACCATCAATTGAGACAAGCCATTCAAAGTTGAGTGGTGTTTCATCTTGAAGTTTATAGCAACACGCCGGGCATGCATTCAACAGACACCAATTGGGCATGTTTCGCTTAAGGGCAACATTCAACAGTCCATGCACACGATGCAATATCTCCAGGTAAATATCATACGCCTCAGAGAATTGTGCTTGTAAATGTGGACAATACGGTATCTGAAAGAGACATTAGATACCGGAAAGAGAGAAAAGATAGACTTACATTATGAAGATGGCATAATGCTTTGCACTGGGCTTGAATGCTGAACCGCGGACATATTCGATGAGCTTGGCGGTAAGCAGCAAGGGTCCTGATTGATATAGCAACTGTTGGAAACAGCGGAGAACAACCAAGGTACCCATAGTGTCACGACTTGAACCAGAAGCGCTAGTCTGAGCGCTAGTTTCCTTTTTCATTTTCTTTGATATCTGATCACATGACAGATAGGATATGTTAAAGCTGCTGCTTTAGCGCGGATAACATAATACGTAGTTATATCAGATCACGTGACCATCACGTGACAAGAGTCTAGAACCATTACAAAGAACATCAGTCAGCGCCTCATGGCTGACTTTCAGAAACGTATATATAGTAGACCACCATGTACATACTTTCCTCAGTTGTTGATTAATTCTCAATCGCTACTTGAAACGCTACTTGTCTGATTTAAGCCTTCATCCCTCCGTTAACTCGGTATAGGGGATAAGGGTTTTACACATAGAATATCAGGGTTTCATTTGGATATTTATGGGATGGATTAGGTTTTAAAGATTCCTGCCGTCGACCTAGCTCATGAGCATAAGAATGAAATAAAAATAAACGATACTCACTGAATAAATCCACCAACTCAATATTCTGCAAAGATGGACAGTCTTTCCCCTCCGACAAATCAGGTGCATATACAGAGATGGCTGGCAAACTGCTGTCCGAACAGTGTGAGTAATAATCTAGGTAGGCAGAAGTCAAGCGATCAAACTGTGCTTCCCAGTTTTTGTTTTGAACTTCAAGTCGATCATTACGGGTACGTGGATCAACATAAGAGCTATGTACTTGTCTGTGAATAAATGCGAAGGTTAATGGTAAAGACTCACTATTCACTGAGCTCCGCTATCTGCTTTGCCAGGTCATCATAAGCTTTATGTTCACCACCCTCATGGCTGATGTCTATTGCTTCATTGCCAGGTGGTGGCATGCTCGCTAGGTCATCCGTGTACATTTCATATTCAGCAACCATAGTGTCAACATTTCTGTGGTCCTCAGTTGACATTGACAAATTATGACATTTGTTTATAGTATGAGAAAACATGCATTGGCCAGGGCTTGAACCTGGGACTCCAGCTTTCATGGTCTGGTGCTTTACCAACTAAGCTACCAAGGTGTACTTGGAAAGCATACTGATTGGTTGCATGCCCAGAAGGTCCAGAATCACTGTACACGGGTGCGGATCCCATTGCGTTGTTATAGACATCTCTGACAATGATGAGCAACTTTAGAAAAAGCTGTGAATCTACATACCTGATATCTCAGAACAGCGCTGTCTTTCTACCTCAGCCATGCACATAGATTGTTTTCCCGCTGTAAGTACTTGAGAGAAACATTGAGAGCGCTTGTATGTGTGTAAAATAGCAGATTTTGAGAGTCCGTTGACCTTGAAGAATGTTGGAGGACGGGACATAACAAGCTACTGATGAGACAGCAAGGCAGATTGTGGACAAGCAAGACAACAAGGCAGAGTGGATGAGCGAGAGACAATGAGGCAGCAAGTGGCTGACAGTGTGGTGCGTCGAGGGAGTTGATAAGATCTTGAGAGTGTCAGCGCTGCAACTGAAGCTAAAGATGCCGCCGCCGAACTGCACAGTAACCCAAAGGCATTTTGCAGATGTGGGACCGGTTTTAGCGCTGGTGCTGGCTGACTTCGGACATAGAGCCTTACAATACTGGACGACACACGTGACCATCCAGTCTTACAAGGCTTATACATCGGGTAACCTAGGTGGCGCACGCCCAAAACGTCTGGTCACGAGACTAACTACGTGGGGCATATGGTGCTTTCTGTTATCTTATCACAGAAGACTTGATAAACTCAACAATTTCAATTCTTACGCATCTAGAATAACGGGAGATACAATCGTCGGAATTCTGCTCGCAGCGCCGGTTACACGCTACAACCAAAGAGACTGGGCAGCTTTATCATTTTGTGTTGCATTGCAGCCCAGATTTATGATCGGAAACACCACACAAACACCCATCACCGCGATAGGCTTCTTCCACGACTGAAATCTGAATCTTCAAAAATGGCGAGGACGTTACGGCTGTGTTACTGGGTAGTGACACGTGGCAGACACTCTATTGATAAATTTCGTAGCATCACTGGTGTGCCATAATGGCTAATATAGATATGGGGCTCCTTGTTCTGCATTTTTCTCGTTGTCCATTCGGGCAGAATTCTCATGGTTATGACATAAGATTTGTGGATTATAATATCGTGTAAGTAGTCAAAATATACATTTAGTTTCGAGCGCTTTGAAAGAAGCATAGCTAATAGTGTACCATCAAGTCATATCACGTTCAGACGATGCTTCCTATGGCAAACTGAAGGTGCTTCTTATGCCGGACCCTAGTTTGGTCCTTGTCGTATTTCTATGGAGCTTTTCCACATCGAAGCCGCCGGTTTATGGCCTCCCTAGGCGTAGCCTGTGATAGAAATTTTGAACAGAAAGAAGGGAAAAACCACCAGGCGAGCTTCGTTCTCGAAAACATGACTGAGGACCCGAGCTGCTCGATCATCGAATTTCCACGGAGCTCAAAGCCAGATCCAATAGATGAGCTTATCAACGGCGAACTCTTCTGTCAGGATAAAACAAGTGAATGTATTTACCAATCCACTCACGTCAGAAGTCAAGGAGTAAGGGCTCCGACACTAGTCTGCCTCGCGGCGTGCCTCCTGGCTGGAGCAACAAACTTACCACGGCTTGGAATTAAGCCAAATGGGCCAGAGCCATATTCTTGCGATGGTTGGCTGAAAGCTCCCCACGTTCATCATGTTTCTAGGTACTTTTCTAGATAACAAAGAGACATGCTGCCCAATATTATTTTTTTTGATCATTTTTTTTTCCGGCTTGCTCTGATATGGTAATTTCAAAGGGTCTTCGCGAGCGTCAGACTTCAAGTTATACGTTCCTTTCGAAGCTTGACACCTGTTTGCATCTGTTCCTTCGCAATACATATTGACGTTGCGCGAGGAACCGCAGTGATGCCTCCAAATTGATTCGCAGTGATGGTATAGATGGTTGCAATAGATATGGAATAAGAGTCAGCGATCATACGGCCTCGAGTGCCTTGCGAAGTCAGGTACGACCAGAAATTCCATTATAACTAGCGGTGGGGCCCATGTTTTCCAGATTGTAGGGTACGTTAAAAGTTGTATCGAATCTAGGGCCAACAATATATGTCGTCGTCCAATGGTTAGGGCGTGATCCATTGACCTGCGAAAAGGGCACTTCGGCGGCTTGAGTGGACGGTATTATTAGATGTAGCGAGAACGTGGAATATTCGGTGGCCGCTCGTAAAGTCTCAGAAAGAAAGAACCGCATACATTTTCCCTGGGATCGTTGAGGAGGGTGGCGGCGCCGCTCGCCCCAGCGTGAGCTTCTGATCGGAACATGTATGTATTCGCCCCAAAGATTTCCACTGGTGGAAGTCCGTGACAGCACCAACATGATGGTTACCGTAGCTTCGGATTCGATGAGAAGATGTTGATCGTACGGTTTTGTGACTCCGTTCTCTTTTTTTTTGCGTACAGGTCTGCAGCAGCTCTGACGAAACCGCAACTTTGCACCGCAGTTCGTCCTGCACCGATATGAACCAAGACGAACTTGCACAAGGCTGCCAACTTGAAGCACCTCCTGTACAACGCGAAAAGTGATCCAATACTGGTGGGGCTAAAACAGTTACTGCCATCATCAATATCAGGCTTAACGTCACCGATCTGGATACTCAACTGGTGTTGTTCCGCTATCATGATGGTCGTTTGGTTATATCATGGCATCAGGGCAGCATGGGTATACTGCTTCTGAGCGGCGGCGTCTAGTCTCTGCCTGTGAAGTGATATGATAGGTTCAGCCCAGAGAAAAACAAGCATGCATGTCGTTTTCTTTCAGGTTACCCTGACAGTGATGGAAAACGAGACAGTGACCGGTGTCTTACCGAGACGACGATCACCATGAGTGATCCACCGACGTCGGACCGGCCCGGGCCCTTGCAGAATATGCAACTTTTTTCTTCTACTTCCTCTCGCCTAGTCAACCGGCGGCCTGCCAGTATCAATGGTAGCGGGACAGCAGCGAGATGTCGTCTTTGTTTTCTCTTCAGGTTTAGTTTGTGTTACGATACGCCAGTGGTTCGTGCGGCATCGTGCCAGTAGGTAAACACGACTCGGATGGGCGTCTAGATCCGGTCAATTCAGTCACAGCCTTGCCGTGTTCAATATGAAACCTGAGAAATTTATCTGTCGATCGAAGACGAGGAGCCCGAAGACGAGGAGCGCTATGAGAGGGAATACGTTATCGGAACCGTTTCGTGAATTTTGACCGACCGTGTCGAAGGCAGCAATGCGTGTATGCCGAGGGACTGCCGGTAGTAACCGTCTATCTGGACAAGAACAACGAGTCACCATCGTAAGTCGTGAGACTAGCACCACAGTAAACACAGGGCAAGAATTTGATTGCAGGGGATACAAGGAGATAAGTTGTGATTTTCCTGGGTATACAATGATAGTAGACACGTTTCAATTTGATACGACATTAGATAGCAGTGAGCGACAGTATTCAAAAAAATAGAGAATAAAAACTCGAACGGGTGCCAAGATCTGCCCAGCGTTAGCACGGCACAAGAATGGTAGCAGGATTCGAAGGTAAGGAGGGTAGTAGCTTTAGGAAAGATCATCAAGAAGACCAACAAGGAAGGTGAAAACCAAGATTTAAACAAGATATTGATGGTGAGCGGCAATAAGCCTTTCAAAAAATCGATCGACGAAGACGAAAGTGCGGTTGCCAACTTCCTTGTGATATATGATGGAGGCTGACTAGCATAAGATCTTCCAACTTGATATAGTTCGCGCCCACGCGGAAGCGCTTGTCAGAATCGTCTTCCATCCGTTTGGTATGGTTATCCTTTACGCATAACGTAAGTCAATGAGAGATGTGATGGATCTGAAAATACCAACCTCTATGAATCGCGAGACACATTTGGCAATATTTTTAGCCAACTTGGCTTTGGTAATGGGGCCCTTGGGATTTTTGAAATCCTTCGTCGGAATTTGCCTACTCCACGGCGCATAACAGGGCCACTTGATACAAGTTTCAGTTAAATGAAAGCTCCTCGACGACCACGTAATATAACACACACCTGGATCCTGATAGAGACGGATGGGCCACAATTTTCAAACATCAGTTCATCCTTTCCAAGCAGGTGCTTGGTGCGTTGTCTTAGGGCATCGTCTAGAGAGATACCCCATTCGTATGGATTCTCAACCATGAAGATGATCGGCTCAAAAAGACTGGCATGTTTGATATACCGGTCTTGATCAGCCTGGGTATGCGGCTTATAAATTGGTTGAGGGATAAAGATGCTGATTCCTGTCGCAATGTGTCGAACGGCCTGCAACGGTAGATTCTTCCAAAGATCGATATGTGCCCTAGACATTTCACGATCTTCATCCGCACCCTGTGAGAACGGTCAATAATCTGTTCAATTTTAGAAGATAGATGAACGAACCGGAAAGTCATGAGAAGAAGAGGACATGGACGGTGAAGCCGACAGGGCAAAGGAAAAATCACGAGGACTGGCCGCCGAAGCAGGCGACAGGGAATAACGAAGGCTGTCAGATGGTTTCATCGACTGATAAGAGAAAAAAATAAAGATGAGGACATGGCAATGGCAATAATATTGGAATGACAACACCCACAAGTGACGACATTGGCGCGTGGAGTTGTTGGCCGTTGGGTGACATTGGTGACATTGCAACCTGCGGGTAACTATTGCACAGATTTTCTGGAGTGAAGAGATATATCTGTGGATCTGTGGAGGACGTCTGAGGACTCGGGAAGCCATATGTCGCAGTGTTATTTGTATTTATGGGTGGAAGGGAAGGCTTGTTGGCCTCGAAGACGACAGAGTGGTTGTCGATTGGAGGGTAATGGTGGGAAACCAATGAGTCATCGATCCAATGTTGAAAGGATTGATCGATGTGTTGTAGATCAGACGGCTCCGACTCGTTGAAACCAGTGTACTGTCAAAGGACTTTAGGATGAGCAACACATACAACAGGCAACGCCTCACATGTTGCCCTGATGGATGTGATACCATAGGTCCACCTTGAGCGGATTGATAGTTGTCACTGCCGTCACCTGCGCCTTGTCCCGCCACAGGCGACCAAGCTGAACAGTAATCATAGCCCAAGTTTGATCTAGCAGACATGATCGGTGAGTGAGTGATGGTAGACAGGAAAGAGGAGCGAGCTGACTGTGAATAGGGCATTTGGGTGGTAGTATTTATACGACGGAGGTATGGACCCTCTACTAAATAATGATGTAGCTGAGGTATCAAAAGGGAAATGGGAGACGTCGGGGAGAGGACTATATAACACACTACAGGAAGTTGCTGTACTTGGAGGGGGGCCTGTTCGGGAGAAATATCACGTCGAAGAGACTTCTATCGGATATAACTGACACAACATAAGAGCGCCCACGAAATGACTATAATTGCGGAAAGCTACGCATTTCCAACAGCTGTGTGACGGAATGCTGCATGTACAGGGATCGTGAGCATCTGGTATTAGTTGTGAGTCACATGCAAGCCACCACGGACATATACTTTGCGTTGTGTTTGAACAGGGCGACCGAAAACATACCAAGCTGCGGGAATATTGTGAGGTTCCTTGGAATATTCTTTGCACGGCCAATGATTGAATTCGAGCCACGGAGGGTGTACTGCCAGGGCACAGGTGTACTATGGAAGTTCCTGCTGAATGCAGACGCGTCATCTTCAAAAGGAAGGTCGTTTGCACTTTCACGGCTGATTATTGACGAGCCAGAGATATTGGCTCGTCTGGCCCTCGACATGTTACTGCGATTCCAAAATATATGTATTCGGCATTGAATCAGGATGGAGATTGTCAAGATAACGCAGGACGAGAGATTAATTGACAGTCAAGCGTCAGTGTCAGTGACGGAGATATTATTGTTGAACGGTGTGGCTGTCCCGGAGACGCCGCTGGGTTCAGCAATCGGCTCCCACGTTATTGCTCAGTGCACTCTTTGCCAGTACAGTACCGCCGTCCAAACTCAAGTTGACATGTCGTCGTTAGCAGGTGCTTTGGTACCTCCCGATAGCTATTCCTACAGTCACAATATCGCCGCGAGCCCTTCTGAGGAGAAATTCAATGTGGATGATGATGTCCTCATGAATCCTCCAGACACCGATGTCGTTCCAAAAGAAGAGTTCCATCAACGCACCAGTCAAGCGGCCGACAACGGCGACGAGGAAATGGAGGACCTCTTTGGGAACGACGAAGAGCCTGACGATGCAAAAGTAAACCGCACCCTTGTCAAATCCGAGAGGTATGAGTCATTTGCTATCCCGCTACTCTCTGTCTTGGGGATTAGTCCTTATTTCGATTTATTGCAAGTATCGGCCCCCTTTCTCCCGGGGAATCAGGCTCAGATTCAGAGGAGCTGTCTCAAGCGGAAAGGGATCGCCGAAAGGCATTGGAATATGCTGAGCCTGAAGAGCCTGCGACTCTTGTCGAACACCCTCAAGAGGCAAATGTATCCATACCCAACATCCCTGTTCCTCGTACCTCAGACGGTGATGTAAGAATTCCCCTCTGTGATTTTACGTGACGTGACCTTATCAACGTAGCATTGGGTCATACGCATGCCAAATTTCGTCAAAGTCGACTCGAAACCTTTTCACCCTGATACTTACATTGGCCCGGAGCATGAAGACGAAGAAGCACACCATGCCGAAACGATACGTGAAAAAAGTATGACTATCAAGTTAAAAGTCGAAAACACAGTCAGGTGGAAATGGGATAAAGACGAATTTGAACAAGATGTATGCAAATTTCCTATCTATTACGTGCTCGTTATTAAGATACCCGCCCAGAAAAAGCAATCAAACAGTCGCGTTATTCGCTGGTCGGATGGCACCCTCAGCCTCCGCTTGGGCAAGGAACTTTTCGATATCAATCAAACCGTTGACACCTCTGCCGGTGTAGCCCGGACGTCACTTGGAGGCTCTCAAGCGTCACAAAGTTCTCTTGCGCCTTCACAACAATCAGCATCCGGATCAAAGTCACAAGGCTTAACATATCTCGTGGCGCAGCATAAACGCTCTGAGTTATTACAAGCCGAAGCCGTCATAACAGGCTATATGAGTCTCAGGCCAACCGGCATGCAATCCGAAACGCACCGAATGCTTGTGCGCGCAGTAGGACAGAAACATAATAAGGTGGCCCGCCTGCGCATGGCTCCCGATCCAACCATGGATCCAGAACGGGAAAAGATGGAGCTGATCAAGTTATCGGCAAAGAAATCAAAGAAGAAGGCTGACGATGCTGGATTTGGAGGTCGTAGAAGGCGAACTGGTTATACCAGGAAGAGAGCCGGACATGACGTTTGGTCTGACGATGAGGACGAACATGAGGCAGAATATGCTGAGGAAGACGACGACATGGCTGCTTCTAGAGGCGCCAAGCGAAGAGTGGAAGATGATAAGAAAAAAGGCCCCGGAGATTATCAAGAAGACGATTTCGTCGTGGCAGATGACTCCGATGAAGACGCGGAATATGCTGGAGCAGCAAAAGCCAAGCGCAGGCAAAGACGCGATGAAGAGGATCCTGAAGAAGATCCACTGGATCAGCTAGACGCAAAAATAAGCCAACAGCAGGAATCCGAGCGTAAGCGGAAACACCGAAATTCAGGCGAAGGCGCGGGCCAAGACGAAGATAATGCTGGCGGAGAAGAAATGGATGTAGAAAGTGAAGAGGAAGAAGAGGAAGAGCAGTACAAGGTACGCAGAGCAGGGACTGGCGCACGAAAGAAAAGGGCCATAGACTTTGACGATGACGAGGATGAAGATTAGATTGATTTCCATATTTTCTTGTTGTATTCTTGTATCTAGTTTTCACATTGTACCACTCTCATTTGCGCGTAACACCTGCTTTTTCTCTAAGTACACCGTTTTCATCCCATTCTGCTGAAGGCTGGATACTGTTGACCACAGCCTGATTTTCTGCATTCCCTTCTAGTAGATTGTGTAAAGTAAGAATCGCATGTTCGCGGAGGTCTTCGGGGGGCAGCATATTAATCAAGAACCCGATGAAGAAAATGACTCAGAAGTACGTACAAGGATTTCTGTCATCAACCACACATAGATTCATGATCACAGGAATACCGCCCCGAATTCTAATACAGTTCTGGATTGCTATATTCCCGTGACACAAAATACCCAGTAAGCGGACAAGATCGCGTTTCAAGTAAGAGAAACCAATCGTGTCTACTGCGGGCAACGAAGGCGCATTTTCCACAGAAGTAGTTGGCATCGCTTTCCCAAAATTGATACGGGGAAGGAATCGATCTAGTAGCTGGAGTAGTTCTGGGGTTTGAGGGATCCAGATTAATACGGCCCAAAACGGAACGGCCTATAAGAACAAATGAAAAAGTACTTGCCTACTAAACTCTCCGACAAATTCTCACCGATCGGCGATCGAGCGTTATTGAAGGCACCCTGTAAGTCATCCTCCGACATCCTATCCATTCTCACAGCTTCCGAGGACAACGTTATGGTGACTATGCACTGCGTTACTAGTACGAGTGCTTCGCAGACTTTTGGTAATAACAAATCAAGTTCCTGCGGTGGTCCCTCAGTTCTACTTTCCGACACATCAGACAAGCTGGAACCAAGAGCCCGTTTAATTGACTGCCGGGCATAGGTCGACAACCCGAAAAATCGGGTAGAAAGCATAGGACATAATTGGGCGTGTATCGATGGGGAGTGCGATGACTGCAGATGTGAGTCCAGGAGTTTCAGAAGCGTAGTCTGGTGAGGAGCGATTATTTCCCCCGAACTGTCGTGTAGCATATAGTATGAGTATTTACTATTTGCATACTCAAGGTAACAGGCTTACACGGACAATCGGTCATATAAATCTGGTGCAAACCCCTGGTCAAAGAGATGAGCAAAGAGGTGATAGCTGCACAACCGTTATGTCAGTAAGGCACACAGAAGGATGCAAAGAAGACATGCCCGTAATCGAACGCTTTGGCATCGTCGCTCATTTCCTCCGCATCATACAATGTGACCATACGGTCTAGTAGGGATATACATATTCGTGCACCGACCGACGTGTCAGTAAATTTGACACTTGCAGACCATCAGACTCTTGCCACAAGAAACATCAGATATTCGATTACATACGATCTCTGTTTATTTTCGTGTATACAGTTCACTATGAGCACCAAAGTGTATAGAACAGTCCGTGGATCAGGAGAGGCGATCAATCGCCTTTTGCAGCCAAACACGAAAGTATGCCATCAGAAGAGTTCGAATTTTGACAGGCAAATGTGACTCACGTGAGGATACCCTGTTCTTCCGGAAGATTCGTGTAGCAGTTCCAGAAAGTGGTTATAAGTTCCTCGTTGCCAGTTACTATGTTGGAGAGCGCTTGCACTAGTATTCGAGTCACAGGAAAAGCTGCGCTGATATTAGTTTTGATATACCCGAAAGAGCGAGAAGATGAAGTTCACTTTTGACCTCCTGTATCGCAGCCCATGATGTGTATCTATGGATTGAACTTCTGATTTGCGGTTCAGCCTGGCTACAGGCATGGTGAGCTTGCCTCTGCCGAACTGCATGATTACTCACTATGCTTTTTGTTGATTATGCGGGACCCCAGCTACAAGATTCCTGGTAAACCTTGCTGTGCTCGGTATCAGGCATAACATATTGGCTTCGTATTCATCAGTTGACAGGTTTGATGCTATGAATGTCCACAGTCGATCTGATATAGACCATATTGAAGGTTGCTCTACGCCCATGCTCTGTCTGCTTCCGATGTCTGCAGTATCAGTTGATTGATACAATGCAGCTTCATTATGAGACTCGCCTAAGATCTTCATCTGTTGCCAGCTCGTTCGCAATCTCATCAAGCTCTCCAAGCAGAGACGTCAGGTGGCCTTGTTTAGCAAATGCCCCATTTGCGTCAAGAAAAGCTGCGCCTGCATTACAGAAACGAGTGTTTCGAGAGCTAGGTTTCATGATGAACTTGAAGGGCGCTGCGATCCAACTTGAAGCGGCAATCTCACTGAGTAAACCCGTTATTATAGACGATCAGTCGCTTATTCTCTGCAGCTGAAGGCAGCGTGTGTTCTGGCGTATCTTGCCCTGGTTTCAAGTTTATAGCAATCGCGGACGGACACAGCCGTGAAAATCAGATCATCAGTCACTATTCGTCGCTGCAAAAGTTTGCAGCAAAGGATCGTGGGGATCGTCGACGAAACTCGCAGACGCCGGTTAGCTGTGGCAGCCACAGCATTTTCTTGATATCATCACCGCTGATAAAGGCTTCGATAAGGCCTAGCCTGCTCATTGTCTGTACAAGTGACCAGTACAAAGACCATATGCATCATGGGCGGTATTGAAGAGCTAAACATTTCCGTAGAGCCACATCTGATCAAAGTTTTGCAACCACTCCCGTCTCTTTTACCGAGAGCGATTGCTGCCCAACTGTCACCTTACATCAATGATGCAGAAAAACGCCCCCCTTCCACCCATACAATTCCCTACAGCCTCCTTCTCCAAATCTCACAATGGTCACGGACATCCTCGGGTCTCGAGGCGCTGCAGAAAAACACCCCGCCTTTGGATCAAGCTTCCTATTCAATGATAGTACTCCTCGCAGGTACACGCACGTCTCCAGAAAAAAGGTTCCCACCATACGTTTCCAAAGATCCACATACAGAGAGCAAGAGAGCAGCTGACGACAAGAAAGCTATCTCAGCAGTACTCAATGCAGTGCTCAGTGTCGTAGGATCGGGCTTCGCGACTTGGTGGGCATCAGCACGGACTGGCTGGAGGGTTGAATGGGTACGGTGTGTTTCTAGTATTCTCAGCAGCAGCACTTAAAGCCTGCCCGCGTTTTTAGAGAGTCCTTTTATCGCTTACCGTTGCACTGGTCGTCGCATTTTCAGAGGTTGTCCTCTACATGATCTGGGATACTCGGCGGATGAAAAACAAGGACGCTCCCAGTCCACCCGTAGGAGTGCAAAAGAGGGCCAAACACAAGAAGAAAGATGAACCTGTGGAAAGCTCGGAAATTCCAGACAGTTCTTTCGATGGAACAACATCTCTGGAAACATCAGGCTTACGCCAGCGAGTCATTTTCCCTGGAATCTCTTCTCCTGAATAATCCTGCAAGCACTCTTTTGTTGGCATCGGGTCGATGTTATCCCCGGGGCGCAGACTGTGCACGTTTCTGATTAATCTTAATTCAATGCATTCTATAGTACTTTCTTTGGATGACCCATTAGTTGTTCTACTTTTCAGCAAATGAACGCCCACCCTTGTCACCTCGTGCCGCATTTGGACCCAGGTTACTCTATGAAGTAATGTCTGATTGTGTAGTAGGTACATGAATTAAAGACGCTCCACCTTGGTGATGCAATGGAGATCATGTACTTTATACCAGTGTGTGATACTGGATACTGAAGTCATAACAGCCGATAGAAGGAAGCTTGTCAGCAGCATTGTGAATGGGGACTCGAGTGCAACAGCCAAGCCATGAAAAACATTCTGATGGCTTTGGATAATCAAAGCTCAGCATCCCAAGTTCCCTCATGGAAGTCGAGGAGCTTTACCGCTGGTACAAACTCGCAACGAGGTGCGGAACTGAAAGGACGCTGTTTACTAGCCTTTCCTTGTCTTCTTTTTCGCACTTGTCGTAGTAGATGGTGGAGCAGAAGGCGGCAGCCCGATAGAACCGCCAGCAGCTTCGGCTTCAGCGCCTCCACCTTGCTCTATCTTGGTCTTAGCCTCCAAGAAAAACATCACGTCCCGTAACTGGTCCTCCAACTCGACAACCTTGGCATCATGTTCTTTCTTCTGCTTATCCGCCTCCTCGACTTTCTGCTTCATCTTCCCAAGATTTTTCATCAAGCCCTCACTGACTGCCCTTTCTTCTTTCAGCTCCTTGTCCAACTTCCTCGCCAACTCTGCTACCTTCTCGGCCCTTTTCTCAGCCTTGATCTTGTCCTTGTAAATTACATCAAACTTCTCCTCCTCCTCACGCTGTCGCCTTGCTCCCTCTTCCTTGGCATGAGCTCGTTCTTTCTCCGTGTCCTTGCTCAGTTTCTCCACCATGACGCGCAACTCGTCGACTTGACTTTTCAATTCCTTTGTTTGATCTTCATAGTACGATCGCTGCGAATCCAATTGTGAAGTGAGAAGATAAGAATATTCAATTCCAATAGCTTCGATTTTCTCCGCACTGAGCGTGTCCGCACGACTCGGCCCAAGGTTATCGTCGTCTCTCGAATTTGTAGCCACCGAAGAAGCAGCTGATGGGAGTTCAACCAGCTTTCCATCGGCTTTATTCTGAATAAGACGATGGACATAACCATCACCGGCATAATCCCATACACGTTGAGTCTCAAGTTCAAGGGCATATAGATGTGTAGTGCTTTCGTAGTGTGCGTGTGCATGAGCTCGTCTATATCGACCGCAGCCTATGTTACCGCATATTAAGCAGATCCATAGGTTTGTCGTAGATGCGCAGTCAACGCAAGCTGAAAGATCTGGCGTCGTGGACGTGGTAAACGGAATAGGTCGAGAGCGATTTGACGCGGACGTCGGGTGGGACGAAAGAAGTATTTGAGAATACCGGCAGACAGGACACCTATAAAAATTTCGTTATTCAGCAATCCATGGCACAATGGACGTGCACTTACCTGCTATCGCCCCATTTACTCAAACACATACAATGAAAAGTATGAGAGCAAGGGACGGTAATGAGGCCTGTTACTGCTGAATCCATTCTTTCTAGGCACACAGGACATGTGGGCAGTTCATACATGGATGACTGTGAACCTCCAAAAGAAGGGAAAGCATAATCCTCAATGTCGATTTGTACAGACAGTACCCGGACAACATGACATGTCTCTGGCTGCGAAATAAAGTAAATCAACCGGAGAGAAATGTAGCATATATATAATGACGCACGTCCATTGAATTGAATAGTTTTCCGTTATAAGCCTCTATGAACTCGGTCGCTTCTTGGGCTTGCCGAAAGTTCATAATGACGAGGGAGCGGTTAGGGACAGAATCTCTAAGATACACGCATATATTAGAGCTAAAATTTCGCAATAAGATAGCACAAACCGAATTATTCGAAGATGTGCCATCCCTTCTGCCGCAGGAGCCACAAATCCCAGAAAATCGGACGGTGTCATCCACGATGGAACAGCAAGAACGGCCAGCACGACTCCATTTTCACTCTCGCTCAAGCTTTTAACAGGAGTGGCGATGGGAGCTGATGAATATGAAGTAGCCGCCTTCCCGTCGTCACGGCGAGTGCAGTCACGAAATACATGCACGGTTCCCTCAGGTAGATTAGTGGAGCCTGATTTCGTTCTAGCGTGAGGTGTAAACTGTGCGGTAGCAGGGCCTGGAGTTGGCAGGATATGGTCAACAACCAGTCAACAGAAGGAGGAATACGCACCTCTCCCCGATTCCTTCTCTTTCCCCGTGTATACCCCCGTGCTCATGTTTTCAAAGTCGACCCAGTCAACGCGAATAGGTCCAAATCGGTAATCCCTATGCGCTGGATTAAATAAGGCGTTCCTTCTGGTGGTTGGTTTGGGTGAATGCGAAGGAAGATGCTGGAATAATGTCTTGGGAATAAATGTACCGGAAGGATGATGATAAGGTTTTTCAGATTTTGAAGGTATGGAGACACGAATATGATAACCTCGCATTATATTGTTCTGAACCTTGGTTCATCTCATCAGCACATAAACTTGAGCGTTTGCACGAATTATAGAGAAACAGAGATTGAACACTGGCAGTACTATTACTATTGCCGTTTGCAGGAGTTTATTTGGGGTTGTATGGACTCGTGGGTCTGCATAGGTCCACGAACACCACTTGTTTCAGCTCATTTGTTTTTTGACAGTAATATCATTATGATCGCGCCTCACGTTTCATGGATCATCGATGGGACTCGCTCTAAGTCTCTCGTGGCGGTACCACAAATCAAATGACCTTGACTCTTCAAAAGGCCGTGTGGATAAAAGTTCCAGGGTTGCTGTCAAGTTGTGACAGTTATCTGATTTGGCGGGTCCGATTGCAATTGGCTCTTTCTCGAGCTGGGAATAGCTATGCCCATTCACTGACTGAGGTATATTGCAGTACAGTCGTTAATACTGTTTAGCTCATTCCAAGATTTCAGGCCACGCATGGCATACCACTAATGCCAGTGTTGCTGTATCACGAAGCATGCGCAACGGTTATCGCAGCCGAAAGCTAACTTTATGGAAAATATGACTGTTTTTATTTATACAATACTGAACATAGTTTTAATACATCGTGTACTGCCATATACAATTTTCACTGGACTTTTACTGCCACAGAGGCACTGTTAGGCATTTCGAAGGCAAATGGACTCACACAAATCCTGGGAAGTTCGAAACGATCCATATCATCTACCCGGACCTCTACTATCAGCTCTCCCTCGTTAGCACCCTTTCTCCAATGCGACCTGGCCAATTCTGCGTGGTTTAATAACCAGGTGGTACTAACGTGAAGTTGAGAAGCCAATGAATGAATGCGCAGCATGAGGCGAGTAGTAGTCACTGTAGAGATAGCTAATACCACGCTAGAGTTGCGGCAACGTGAATTATCGAGCATGATCAAGAAATAACCAATAACACAATCACCTGCCATACGTAGCGGGTATGAACATCTGGGTTTATGGTTTTAGCATTGGATTGATGGTTGCGCATACCGAAAACTTACTGAAGGGACATTCGGCATTAGAGACCCAATGAGCGTATAGAGTATACCGACTTGGTTGAAGTAAGCTAAGGTTGTAAAGCAATATTTTGAATCATTCACCAGCTGTGAGCAGGTATACAAAACCTCCTCTACAAGACTCAAGGTTAGAACAAGAATACTGTAATTCATACAGGCAACCCACTCTTTATGAAAGCGCTTTAATAGCGGTGTATCGGTCATTGTGTCCCGGCAAGATATAACCCGATATACCAGGAAACAATATAGCATGGAATGAATGAATAATGCAGGTATGTATGCTGCCCACAGTTTATCGAGCGTGGGATCATACACACAGCCACTGACATCAGGAATCTGTACAGTGGTTATTTGAAGTTGACGGACCGGTTGTACAACCACAGGAATCGTGGCGATTAGGGAGATTGCAAAACCGGCAGCGACCAGCCACTGGATGAGGCGTCTTCCCGCGAATAGATACCATGTTCGTAGAGTTAACATCCCTGCAAAGTTGGCCGTTGTTTGAGTTCAGTTTGTCGAAAATCAAAAGACTGAAGTTACCTTGAACAGTGATCAAAAGAATGGTATCCAGACTGTAGCCTGTAAGATACACTTTTATACACCTGGTATAAGCCATGGCATAAATTCACAATAAATAAATTTAATGTGTAGGACTGACGCCTGACAGAGGACTTCAGCCATCACATAAGATAAAAAAACGAATGTTAAGAGCAGCCTTACAGCGTTGTTCAATCCGGTCGAGAGTATGGCTACTGGGGGTATGAACTCGGGTTCTCCGATCATGATGTAGTGATGACTCACAAATCATATCCGTGCTATCATAATGAAAAAATGTCAGCTAGTGGAGGTATTTCTAGACAACCTTCTCACATAATTTGACATAGTGAGAGGTACCGGACCTGAAAGGGCAGCAAGTGGATATATAAACGTGAGCTCTGGACTGATGCAATGCTTGCGCTTACGAGGAAGAAAAGCACATGAGAAAAGCTCCATGCAGTACACCAAAAATGCTCAATCTGCAATGGAGAGATGAGTATAGATATAGCTGATTCAAATCACCATTATATTAGAAAATCGTATTACTGACCTCTCGATCAAGGGTTAAGGCATGATCATAAATAATCAGGGAATAACAAGCCATCGCTAGATACCTCGCTCCGAATAAGGCTATAAGAGTGAGCTCTAGATCAGCATTGGACATTGTGCCATGAAATGGGGGGATACTCGTTCGGAGGGAGCTCGTGATATCGCATGGCCATATATCTGACTTTGTTGCTTTCACACTAAGAAATTCTACATCAAGCCGGGCCTGCACATCATGATCAAAGTTTGATAGAAGGATGACAGATTTATCGCCATCAATACATGTCATGAACCAAAACACCTGATTCATGACTGAACCTGGTGGTGCAATGAGCACTACCGGAATGAAGATTCGATGACCAAAGTGAGCTTAACTGGGCGTTGCAGCCAGGCAGTAATTGTGTTGTTTAACTTCTTGGCGAGTACTAACCTGATATACTTTCCGAGTCCGCGCATGATTTGGTACAACAAAGTTCTTAATCGTGGGTGTGTCAAGAGAACCATGGACAATCACAGGAGTAGTATCGCCTCCATTCGGAGCTTGTGAACCTCCGAATGAATGAATGTTAGCTGAGGTATTGCCCTGGGCCTTGCCAGTGCTCTTGCAAACGAGGAAAGGATTCTGCCATATCGTTCACATTGCAGCACCGGCATCCTTGAAGAGGTTTTGCCACGGTGGAATTGTTTTCTTGAGCAGGTGTCCCTTGGTTGGAGCGAGTACGATAGAAGTGTGGCCCATCTGGACTCGAAGAAGTTAGGAACTTGCTTGCTGGCTGTGGTATCAGGTGGTGATAATCAGACAAGTCGTGGGAAAGGTTGTCCTTATCTTTGGGTTCCTATCTGGTGCAAAGACGTGACTTGACGCTGAATGTTGAACATTAAACATTACTCTGACGAAAATCGATTTTATCCAGTCGGTTTGTCGTAGCTTTACAACAGTCGACTTTATAATTTTGGAGAATTCTCTTAACATTCTCTCGTTTTATCCTTGAGCAGTGGTGAAAAAAAGAAGTTCAGAACATGCAGGTATCGTCCGTGAGCATCCAACGCCAGGCGTTCGACGCCCAAGTATAGCTCTCATTCTCATGTTAGTGTTGACATTCATCTGGTCTGTAAAGGGCGGCAGGAAGTATAGGCAATAACCAAGGCATGTCCTTTCCCGATATTTCCAACCGCTTCTTCTCATACAGGCTCTAAATCCAGAAAGTCCGGTTTGACTGGTGTGTGGTATCTATTTCGAACTATATACTATGACACTTATCCAGTGCTTTCATTCCTAACATCTAGTTATCGTGGTTCCGCAGTTGCGACAGGCTCCTTTTTGGAGGCTCCGGTTTGTTTCCTCATAATCTCTGTGGATGGAGAGTTCGAAAGGAAAACAAAACTTCAATCAGGATGGAACGAGTCCATTGATTTGTGAGAGATACCGCTTCTTATTTCAATTTTTGCTGAAGCAGTGTCTTAGTGGATCCCAAGCATCATCAATCAAGTTAGCATTTATTTATACACCATCTTTTCGACAGGATGTACTGATAGGATAATCTCTATCTAGATAACCTGGAACGCAAGTTGAGAGACTTGCCCGCCGTGAACGGCCTGAACTACTTCTGATATATTGTAGTCAGTGGTGGTCGCAAAGGCTCAATTGACGTGCGCATAGATAGATTCTCCTGGGTTTGTGCTCCGATACCATCAAAGACCCAAACTCCCAGATGGATTCATGATCAAACTGTTGACTTCAGAAGGCCTCATCAAATCTCTCAGTCCTATACTGCATACCGAGAATACTGTCCGACTGCTTCACGGATCCTCGTGGGTTGATTCTTGAACTGCCGAAATTACTTTCCTGTATTTCGAGGATTGTTTGAAAGCTTTCGAAGTAGGCTCCTGGAGAAAGGGTAATGTGAATTATTCGAATTATCTGATGGTCAAAGGGGGCATAATAGCGCGCATATCAGAGTCTCTCGATATGCGGCTTGGGCTCATTGTCGGTAGATGACTGTCAAAGGGGTGCTGAGTAAGTTCTTGATGAGTTCATAATCCGATAATGATGCATGCTTATTCGGCGGGGATCCGTATCAAAGCTAAAAGGCAAAGCAAATGTCGGCATGGAATTGATATGTCAATCCATGACTCTCCTTCTCGGAGGCCGAACTGAAACAAAAGCAATAGTAAAGGCAGTTCAGAATACGCAATCGAAAGGCCCATTGGCAGGGTTCCATTGATAGTAAGTTGTTATGAGATTCAGTTTCGTGATTATGGAACTACAGGGACCTTTTGGTTAGTATGATCACGTCCAATGGGTGCAATATAAGACCTGGCTATGATACTACTAGCATGGCAGGTATTGTACATTCTACTATCTCCTTGCCTACTTCTGCCTGAAAAGACGTTGTCTTGTTCCCCAGTTGGTAACCCTTGTTGTCTGTATCCATCTCCACCTTGTATTCGTGCCTTCCCTAGCAACTCATTTCAACTCATCGTCTTATATAACTCTCATGGACTTCTCATTTATCGCCAGGCCACAGATTTTGTACTCGCAACGTTCTCCACAATATCATGATAATAGATATTCTACCATCACAAGTACGACCATTTGAGAAATTTAAACCGTGAAATTGTTCCGAGCATCACCTCGTCGGACATCACATTTCTTTCCCAGTCCGTAAATCCTCTCATGAGGTGCATCCGCACCGTCTCCTGGTAGAATGGAAGCCATTTCACAGAATCCTGTGGTCATGACCGCGAAAGCCGTCCTGCGGAACTAAAGGTCCAAGCATGCCGCTTTTACACGTAGTCTTTCTACACCGCAAAACATTGATCTTGGGCTTCCCTGTAGACACAATGCCGTCAACAGTGAGTGAAGGTGTGAAGTGGTTCCCAAATCCACCAGATTCTTTGGCATGTCTCACCTTGACAGCTTTGCTTTGAGTAGGAGCAAAACATGCGTCGAACTTCTCTGTGGGCGTATGCCGTTGACTATGGGTGCAAGTGTAAAGTTATTCCAATTTTTAAAAGATAGCTTTGGCATGTCTCACCTTGACAGATTTTCACAACAAAAGCAATGTGTGTTCGCTGGTCAAAAAGTTGATTTATTACGCCCCCGATGGTCCAAATGGCACTGTTAAGGACGTCAACATGAGAACGACGTACAGTAAGGTTTCCCGTTCTGTGAGGACGGTTCCACGTGAGTAAAGCGGGAGCTTGGAGGTTATAAAGGAATGTCGGCGAGGGGGAGGGGGAAACAAAAACTTCCAGAATACAAATGATCCCGATGCACCACACATCCAATATCGATCACGCACTATACTGGGGAGGGGAGGAACGAACAGAAACAGTGAGTTAGCTGCCTAACATCATTTATGGTTCATCCCACTGATAAACAACGAATGGAGCTTAACAACAGTTACGAATCTGCACCAACATTCAATCAGACTCAATTCCATGTTGGAGGGTCTTCCGACACGCTGCCAGTCCTACCAGCATCTGCTACCAACGAACCTAGAAGAGGGGCAGCTCGCGGAGGACGACATATCAGTGCCAGGGGGCGACAGAGAAATGCCAATCGCATGAAGCAAACGCGAGAGCTAATCAGCAGAGAGAAGGATAAGGTTAAAAGCCTTCTTCCCTGTCGCAAAGGTGGCAAACCCTGCGGCGGTGAACTTCGTGTCTGGACTGAAAGTAAGGGTTTTTTTACTACACATCCATATTTCTTATAAAGATGACTGACAAACCAACGTTTTTCCAGCGGCCGAATACATAGAATATCTCGAAGCCGAAAATTACAGGCTGAAGAGGAAGTTGGGAAACAGCCCATCAGCACCGGTTTCACCCAGCGATGATTTTGGGGCTATGGTCGCCAATCAGCCCATCTGGGATAATTTCACCTCTGCCGGTCTACCAAAGACACCTGCTCTGCACTGGAAGGAGACTACTCCCTACGAAAGAGGACCAGAGTCAATTGACCTCGCTGGGCCATCAAACTCGAGGGCAGGAAGTAGCAATGTAAATGCAGGGGCAGCTACAGTGATGCCTGCCCAGGATACGGATCTGGGTTCAAACTCCCCACCTGATCCTGTCTGGGACATGGAGGTGCTGCTGACTGAGAGCGAAAACTACTTGGCACAGTGGAATGCAATGCTCGAGCAGAGCTTGTAGGCAGGTGTCCACAACCCCAAAAACTCAACCACGGAGTCGGCTTCACAGGAGCTCAATAACAGACCCATGGCTCGACCTAGGGGTTGAGGATTTTTAGTGTTGCGGACAGCGGAATGCAAGACTGTCTCGTCGCATTTGATTACCAACTAAATTATTAAGGCATGCATGGATTGAGTTAAAGGAAGGGAACGCAAGATGGACCGCTTCTCCATCTGCTAGTCCATGTATGGGTCATGACTTCAGGGCGTCGAACAAGAGAGGATCATTAGTGACATACCTACAATGTAGTCTCCGTGGTTTTTATAGATTCGCACTCAGGATAGAAGTTAAAAACGGAGGAGTGAGGTAGAGTTGTTAGGTGAAGATTAGTTGTGGAACGACATAGAACATCTTCAGTGAAACTGTTTAAGTAGCCTCAGCCTCTGCAAAATCTTTTTGTTCGGATCTACCGGTAGTCTGAGACATCAACTTACACGCTTTCAAACTGAAACAAAAGAGTGTTTCAGATGATCATAGCGATGAACAAGACAACGCGCCAACATGCTTGGCATATGTCAAGAAATAATAAGAAGGAGTGTGAAAAGCGATTGTACTGAGACATGGACAAAAAAACGAACTTGAAGACAACCTATATTAGGATAGCTTACTAAGATATCTCAGCGGTGCCACACCGGCGCCTGATTCAGGTTTTGCTGAGTAACATTGTAGTATACCAGGACTACAACGATGCTCGCCGTACAACGTCCAACAGAAGTACCAGATCCTTCATCTGTCCCATCAAATGCACCAGAACATTGTCCAGTGCGTTTCATTTTACAATATCGGTAACTTGACCCATAATTCACAATCATTCAACAGGGAACCGAATCAGAATTAGCAGGAAAAGCAGATGCATGTAATGGATGTGCAAATCAAGAAATATGTGCATCAAACAAACCAAAAGGTCCTGATCCTGCTCTTCCATTCATTCGTGAACGCATGTCTACCGTGAAGCGCAAGATCCTGGTTCTCTCGGGTAAAGGTGGTGTAGGCAAATCCACGTTTACAGCACAACTTGGATGGGCATTTGCTGCCGATGAGCAACTGCAGGTATGTACGTATGATATACTGCGGAGAACCATATCCTCAAAAATATTTTTCTTCGAAGACTGGAATTATGGATGTCGATATTTGTGGTCCCTCAATACCCACCATTCTGGGTATCGCCGCTGAACAAGTCCACTCATCGTCATCTGGTTGGTCTCCTGTCTATGTCCAGGACAACCTTGGCGTAATGTCCGTCGGATTTATGCTTCCTTCGTCAAAGGATGCTGTCATGTGGCGCGGCCCTAAGAAAAATGGCCTCATATCTCAATTTCTCAAAGATGTCGACTGGGGTGATCTCGATTATCTCGTCGTTGACACACCCCCAGGCACATCAGACGAACATCTCAGCATCGTTCAGTTCCTCAAAGAAAGCGGTATAGATGGTGCGGTGCTTATCACAACTCCACAAGAAGTCGCGCTGCAGGACGTACGCAGAGAAATTAACTTCTGCAAAAAGGTCGGAATAAGAGTGCTAGGCCTTGTTGAGAATATGTCGGGTTTTGTGTGCCCAGGATGCAAGACGGAATCGCAGATATTCAAACCAAGCACCGGTGGGGCTAAGAGGCTCGCAGAAGAGACTGGCGTTGAGTTTTTAGGTGCAGTCCCGCTAGACCCGCGGATAGGGAAAAGTGCGGATTATGGGGTTAGTTTTCTGGATGAATACCCGGATAGCCCGGCAACAGCTGCTTATCTCGATATCATCGATCGTGAGTCAATCGTGTTGTCATTTTCTATTCATCACCTAACATCCATACAGGGCTAAAGCACATACTCGGCGATGCGTAGATGGCGTAATGATATTCAGATGCTGGCATTCTTTATTGTTTAAATTTTCAAGAAGTTCATGGAATATGTATCAAGGTCAAATGTTTTTCAACAGTGACAGCAGCACTCTAACTCTGTATCCATTATTAACATCGTTTGTGCTTGTAATACACATTGGTTTTACTTCTATATTCATTGTGTCCGAATCAACCTTTTCTTTTCTAATATTATCAGTCCTCCGAAGCTTCACTAGTTCTCCCTTCCTCTCCCTTGTCCTCTTCTCCTTCTTCGCCCTCCTCAATGCCGAACTCCTTTGGTAATTCAGATGGAGGTGCGTCTGCCTCGGATTCTCTATTGCGCACAATATACTTCCCAATTGGCGCGACACCTGCTAGTCCCCCAGGAAGACCTTCTACACTTTCATGAATAGATACGGTCGAAAGCGTACGCAGTAACTTCCGCGTCACCTCTCCTCCCGTCGTGGACGCTGCACGTGAGCGGGCGGGTACGACATACCCTTGAGTCGGGAACGCAATGCCACTACTGTTGCCCATGGTTGGTAGCCCGTCGATGGTGGGGAGCTGCTGCGAATTCATCATTGGCGAGTTAACTGCTGAAGGCTGTCGTGAGGGTTGCATGATGCTAGAGCGCCTCGCGTATGTCACAACGGGATCTACAGGAGTAGTCGCGCGAAGGAAGTCTATTGCTGGAGGTGCGAGATTCTCATCAGCATCGCCCTTATCCTCCTCTCGCATTTCCTCTGGGCTGTCCACTCTCAAATTTTCCAACTTTTCCGTGATACTATCTGCGACGAGTACTGGTGCAGGGGTAAGGGGCGCCTTTTCAGGATTACGAGGTTGTGTACTTGGTTCTTCACCGACAGCATTCGTGCTTCTTGATGGGTCTGGTTGCGCATCACTTCCTACACCATCCCGGGAGATTCCTCTAACTTCCATTCTATAGTCCTCGATCTCATTCCACAGCGCATCTCTGAACTCATCCAAGGTCTCTAATTTTTCGATATCACGCCACTTTTCAAACTTCTCAGGACATTCCGGCTCGTCGTTGACATCATGATAGGACGCTAGCCATGGATGTGCAAGTGCGTCGATGACATTTATCCGTTCGCTGGGATCGAATTGAAGCATCTTGGTAAGGAGATCGATAGCTTGTGTGGAGGTGAAAAATAATCGTTGATTAAATAAAGTAAAGTTACCTAGAACATCAGCTGTCGGTATCAGTTTGCGAAATGGAATAGCTTTTTTGATGGGCAGTGATCGCACATATGCTTGAGCCTGCATTGAACGTACAATGAGATGACCATTTCACCTCCACAACACTCACCTTATCGCTACCTATGCGCTGAATAACGCGTTCTTCGGGAGTACCTAAAAAGCAATGTAAAGGTTATGCAAAGCCAGTCAAGCAATCAAAATTCACCAAGGACTTCCAAAATCTTATTCAGTTGGTCGACTAAGCATCAAACGATTATGAATATCAGGGGTAAATTATAAACTATTCTGCTGACCATAACTGGGAAAATATGTGTTATTCACTGTAGGGGCCTGTGAAGGTACTGCAACTTACTCCTTTCCCTTGAAAAGTGGCCTGCCGAGTAGCAGTTCAGCCAGAATGCAGCCTATTGACCAGACATCGACTGGCGGTATTAACTGTGGTCAGAATTGATATGAATCCCTAAGAGCCTGAACATCTCACTTGAGGTCGTATACCGTCTACATAAAGTAAATGATTAGCTTTCAAGGCCAAACATATTTAGATTGAGAATATAATAACCTAAAAGCCAACATAATTTCTGGAGCCCTGTACCACCTTGTTGCGACATACTCAGTCAAGTGATTGGCGTATTCGTCTGGCGAAGAGTCAAAACCTCTGCTAAGCCCAAAATCACATATTTTAAGTTCGCAGTCCGCGTTGACAAGTAAATTCCCCGGTTTGAGATCGCGGTGTATGACTGAGGCTGTGTGAATGTACTTCATCCCTGAATATATGAATATATGCCCATCAGTAAGCGAAGCATATATTCGGGAAGCAAAGAACCTCGAAGGATCTGGTAGAGGAAATATTGTACGTGTTCATTCGTGAGATGCTGGCCTGACTTGATTATTTGGTGTAAGTCGGCTGAATGATATATGAGTTGCCTGGGTGAAAGTCAGCAAGAGCTAGAGAAGAACATGCCTTCCATCGGCTATAAGTTATCAAACTGTTCAGAGAGCAACGAGGATAATGTCACAAATATGAACCTCACCTCCATGAAGATATATCTATGTGGCATAATTAATAAGCACGGGTGTTAGATTGAGACGAACGCACACTTCGTGAAAATCGGGTGTTATTGCGTCTACGTCAATCAATCCTGTGATATTCTCATGGTTAGCAAAGTGTCTGAGGAGTGTGATCTCCCTCAGCGCTCTTTTGGCCAGCTGTATCTTTTCGAAAACTCGTGTTACCAATTTGATTGCAACTGTCTGCCCAGAAATTTCATCCGCTGCAGAACTGTCGCGTTGAAAGATCAGACATCGAGGTGACCTATCGAGTGAGATATTCATACATGACCACGCCGTAGGCTCCAGAACCCATCTCCCGCACAAGTTTCCACCGTTTCTCGACATGAAATACCTTTCCAAAGGATGACATGAACGAATGATAACCCCTTGATTGGCTGTTCTGTGAAACAACAACGCCAGTGGTCTCAGCGGAGTACTTTACCTTTTTCTAATGTGATGGTCCGTGAATTGATTAGACGGCCTACGGATGCGAGATCTTCCTCGATCCATGGTAGCAGAACATGGCGAAGGTATCGGAGAGGATGATTTGTCGCGATTCGAAGACCTCTCGCGATCGTTTCGACGACGCTCATCTCGAGGCATTGTCGAATGACGTAGTCTATGGCAGAAGGAAATGGGGCACATTGGTACTCCAGAACAATGTTCAACAACTAACAAAGGTACCTAAATCGTGTGTACGATGGCCACGCACACTACCACAGCGCTGTTTGTCAGGCGAATGCAGACTTGATCAGAAATGGCTTGGAAACAGGTGTTTTCGTGGTAATTTTCTCAGTAAAATGGCATATATTGAGCCGCACGCTATGCTCTGGACAACGGATGATGGTGGTTGGATGATAGATAGATCGTGTGTTTTCTAGAAATTGTCCAGGCTGACCCGAACTCTGCAGTGGCAGAACAAACAGTACTTGCACGCGTCGCCGCCGCGGCCATTGACGCAAATCTACAGATAAGATCTTTACGTACAGCTAAGCAGTAGTGAAAGTCTAAATATCATTATTGCTACACATGTACGATGGCTTAGACAAAGAGTGTGCAAAGTCTCTGAAAGCCCAGGAACAGTCCCTACATCCTATATGATACATACTTTTACCATAAATATTTTCATCCTATGCAGCTGGAACGATCGCCTCTGAAGGCACCAATGGCGTGCTGCCTTCATCCTCTCCGAAAATATCAAGAAATCCGGCAACCCTGGCCTTGTTTCCGGCTTTTTTGGTCACGTAGTCCCGTAGCCCAGACTTCAGGCTCGGCTGTTTGTCTACAAGCTCGCGGAGTTGTTCCTTAGGTAGCTGTAACAGGGCCCCGAAACTAGCAGGCGCGATAACTTTAGCACAACGTATGAAACCTTCCCATAGATGAGGATTTTGCCATATCTTCTTGGTAATAAGGCGCGACAACAGCGTGGTAGACACGAACCCAACAAGGGATTTATAAGTCGTGACCGCTTGAATCACCTAAATGGAAAAAGTTAGCCAGTGGAATCACAAAAACATGCGAGGACTCACAGTACGGAGAAACAGTACTGGTAAAACCGGTTCGTCCACAATCTGTTGCATCACCACAGCTAGAATTTCGGAGCGGAAAACGTCCGTCATAGAGAAACAAATACCGATGGCTGCATGTGAAAGGGAGACGGTTAACCGGCAGTAAGGCATCAAAAATCAATGCAGACCTTCGATAGCACTTTTCAGTCCTATTTCCTTCTCAGCCTCGTGTAATAACACCATCAGCTCAGCCGGCGTCAGTAATTCACTCTGGCGCACGCGTGGCAGGTTCGACGTTACGCTCCCAAACGTTTGTGGGGGCGTGGTGACGACAGATCCAAAAACAGAACGAACCAGGTTCTTCGGTTCTTGTTGGCCATTAAGAATGGACACGATTCGAGGGAGATGGCGCATGATATCCGGCTTCCAACATTAAGTTTAGTAATGCATGACACAGAAGGAGTTTATTCGCATACCTTATCCATTTCCGCAATAATAGGAATGAGAAAACGGGCATCAAGATCCCTTTCGCTGATAAGACCTTTGACTAATGCTACCAACTGCGAACTAGGTCTTCCATGCTCCGTAAATATGGTCAAAACACGCAATGCCAGCGATTCGGCCCCTGGGGGGCAAGTCCGCATGAGCGTCAGGAGTTTGCCATTGCTTGATCCAAGAGATTTGATAAGAGCTGTGATGAGTTCTTGTATGGCGCCTTGCACAGACACCTCCATTTGACTATAGGCCGTAAAAATCCTGTTCGAAGCAGCACCTCTGTGAATCAGAACAAAAACACATGATGACATGTGACGTACTCATCCAAAAACTCTGGAACCTTGACAGATAAGGCAAATAATAACTCTACATGCTGCAAGATTTGAGATTTCCTTGCTGGTATATCAATATCCTCCGGCAAGTACGGTGTTTGCACCAGTTCCTCTGAAGGAAGTTGGCCATCTTCCATATTGTCTTCTAATATCTCCCCATCCATAGGGTCGTCAGCAGGTTTATGATCCGCCTTGGGCGGCCGTATTTGCAGACGACGCAGTATCTGCAGAGCAAATTCACGTATCATACCGTCCATAGGCTGGGAATCAGGGACCCAGCGCTTCACCGTATTGATGGCGGCGCGACGAGTGACCGTTTCTGTCGACAATATCAGTTAGCTATTATGAAGGATGACCATTCAGGGATGTACCTGGGTGAGTGGTAAGCTCCAGGAGAACGTGTAAAGCATCGGCCCTCAAAGAAGGCCGCTCCACAACAAAATCGCGAAGGCTAGTGAATCCGACATGCATCCTGCGACCAACTCTTAGCACAATAATCCAGACAAAAGTAGAATACTTACTTATCAGCCTCAACCGAAAGATCACGCAAGAGATGCATGACATCAGAAGGTACAGCTGGCAAGTCGAGGAGGAAACGTGAAAAGGCTTTGTCTTTATTGTCAGGTTTGCCTTCAGGCTTTCCCTCTAAAATGGTTTGATAGGTAGCAACAATTTGGTTCAACCATGAATCATAATTTGATCGCTGGAGAACATTTTGCGCCTGAGTTTATATGTTGGAAGAAATACAACGTCAACTTACCCAATTTGGATCGTCTGCGAGACGTATTCGGTCATTATACCACTCCTCATTCATCCACGAGGTCGCGAGCCGTATCCTAGCAGGAAAGTCGGCCATAATATAGTCGCATAGCGTCTGTCTCAGCTTGTCCTGTCGCACATAGAAGTCCAAAGTCATGTCGTCCTGTGCGGTCTTCGCTGCATCGTCGCCATCCCCTCCTTCTTCTTTGGGATCAGCGACTCGAGTAATCATACGTATTATAAGTAACATCCACATGTCCATAGGCGACATTCCGTTGCCTTGCGTTAAATCTTCTCCGCCTAACATAAGGTCCTCTGTGCCGTCCCATATTCGATTAACTGAGTTTCGCATTAATTGATTACGCTGATCTTCTGAGAGTTCTTTGGGTGATGGCAGCTTGAAGTCCTTTAAGTCCAAGTCCATCAAAACAGTTTCTGGAACATCAGCCAGAATCATAGCATCCTCAGAAATCGAGGGTTCTCCCGATAGCTGGTAATAAACATCCTTAGTAACGATTAGCAAAAATCTTAAACGAACTTATTACCTCGAGATTCAGTCTATCAGGCTCATACTCCATCTCCTCTTCGTCAATATCCATTTGAAGAGGGTCAACAGGCTCATCCTTTACAAATGATGGGGGAGGTTCGACGGATTGACTATGGACACGAGGTGTAGGAGTCGGCAGAGTTGCTTCAGGTACAGGTTGTGGAGGCTGCACGGGGGGAGTAGGGCTAATGCCCCGACTTTGACGATATGTCTGCACAAGCGCGGACAAACTTGGTTCAGTAAATGCTTGAAGATTAGCTACAATGAGCTCGGTTATAAGAGCAACTGGTAGCGATGTAAAGTCAAAGTCTGCAAGGAAAGCGGCAGAGGAAGCAGCGATGTCTTGATCGAGCTTGACGCGCTTTGCATCTACATCTTCTGCAGGAGCCGACGGGGGGCGTTTTCGAGAAGCCTCTGCAGCATTAGCGGCTGCAGCAATTTTGCGAGCCTTTTCGTCTGCAGTGGCTCTATCCATACGGGCTCCTTGTTGTGACAACGCCTCATTGATCTGGGCTCCAAATGAGGACCCGTGAGGACCTCTGTATGATGCATTCGATAAGATTAGTGAAACAGACGAGACAAACTTCAACATACCGCGAAATATGTATAAGCAATATTCGAACCCCCTTTTCTACACTTTTAATAGAAGAAGCCGATAACCCAGCAAGAGCGGCAGGTGTCCACGAGGCTAATGATGACACGACCAATTGCACTAAATGAGGACGCTGTTTTATCAGATTAGACCAACTATTCAAGATGGCAGACAGTAAGTCGGCGTTCCTGTAAGTATAGTTGTCAGATATGATCATTTCATTTACAGTTGAGGGAAGGCTCACTGGCTGGTGTACAGCATGGTGATCACGCTTTCGAGGAGTTTCATGCCCTCAGCTTCCAAAGCTGGTCCTGACATGAAAGGATGGTCTGCAGGAACAGAAGAAATATTTGGATCGTTTTTGTTTTGAAGCTGCAGATACACGAAGTTTGGAAAGTACACCGTGAGTATGAAGTAGTATGTAGAGCAAAAGGTATTGAAAACTACCCTAGGGTCAGATACGCCACGCGTTTGGACGATAATTACCCGCTGCATGAACTTTAGGGATGATATCCGTATGCCGTTGTTGGCTTTGGGAGCCCATACGAATTCGAGGATGCGTGCCTTGCATTGAGACAAGGAATCCCAAGGCTGTCTGTTAGTGCGGTTGGAACACCTGTCGCAAGATAGGACTGGTGAACTAGAGCAAGAGCATATGGGGTGCAATAACGCGTACAGCATACGAAACAGCAGTGGGTAGACTGTTGTTAAACATTGTATTGCGACCTTGATAGTGTTTTGGTTTGAATCATTGAGGAGAGCCGTCAATGTGTCCACGGACTGCGAAGCGACTAAGAGAGAACATTAAAAACTTAAGAATCCGGCAAGAAGGAAAGCCCTGAAATAGAAACTAACGTTGTGTGCGGACTTCGAGAGACAAACTGGAGCGACAGATAGCAAAGTGCAGCAGGTCCAAGACCCATCTTTTGAGGAGAGAGTCCCCTGAACCGGATACAGTTTTGACGAGGGTTGTACAGAGAATGGGTATAGGATTTGGGTGAGCTTCAAGTGATTCACGTAATGCAGCCAGTAAATCAGCCTGCTCTTTAGAATCAGGCGGTACAGCTAATGCCGCAGAAAGAGCTTGCAGAGGGTCTATCGGATTACCTGCCATTTTGAAAGCAGCCTCCAATTGCAAAGCTGTAGCCTATAAACCAGCCTTATAAACTGTATGCTGCGCCCGTAGGAAAAGCGTCGCAACAATGGCCACTCGACCCCCGTGTGGCCACCGCAGTCGGAGTTCAAACCATTCCCTCTGCTCACCATGGTACGTCCTGTGCATCCACAGACAATGCCAGCCCTCTCATCTTGCTTTTGTCTCGACAATAGGCTGCTCAGCATTCACAAGGAATTCAGACATTGCTTGAGGCAGAGAAAGAAAGTGCCAAAGTCGTGCAGCAGGCCCGTCAATGCACGTCTCACTCATTTCGTATTGTCCATGTGGCTGACTTTCCATGTATCAGACCGTGTACAGAGACTAAAGGACGCACGTACAGAGGCCGCCAAGGAGATCGAAGAGTACAAGAAGGCCAGAGATGCCGAGTTCAAAGCCTTCGAGTCCTCGGTATGTTGACTTGGATTATTTTTGGAATCACTCCATCATATCGACGCGTCCTTAGCACGCCGGTACCACCTCTGTGGCTCAAAGCGCAGTTGACAGAGAAACAGACTTGAAGCTGCAGTCCATCGTTGGCGCGTACCAGGCGAACAAGGATCAGGTAGTTACCAAACTTATCGATCGAGTGGTGCTCGTCAAACCCGAACTTCACCGCAATTTGCGTAAAGTAGAGACCGCATAAATTAATCGGTGATCAACTATGGACTCTGGCGAATGCATAAACTACACTGATTGTAACGAAGACAAATAATATCCTTTCAAGCCACTTCAATTAAATGCTCTACAGTTTCGTAGGTGAATAAGTAAGGATGAACGAAACAAGGATGGGCATATATAGCCGAGTATGCAAACGGGGAGCATGTAGCTTGCAAGCAAGCCGTCCACCGTAAAGGAGTGAGTACAAAAAAAAATAGAAAAGGGAAGGGGTAGTTAGCTTTGCCTCAAAACGGTGGACTCGTTCGCCAGCCATTTCAAACCGACCGGCATGCCGGTGGTCAATGTGCGGGGGGAGGAAGTGATGAACTCGGAAGGGGAAGACAATAAGGGTGAACGTAAAGGATCTTTGGGAGTACGAGATGACTGTGGCACAGCGAGATGCTGGGATGGACCCGGCCAGCTGGAAGGGCCGGAGAACGAGGAGGGGGTGCCGTCATTGGGACTAGGGGCGCTCCACGAATCGAGCAGTCCACTTGCTTTGAGCGAGGGTAAAGAAGGAGGACCCTCGACACTGATGTGTACACGCGGGTTGGGTGTGCCTTGGAGCACCGGGTCTATATCGGTGTCCTTCACTAGCCTTCTTTGTTCACTCTCTCGGGTTTCAACATTTCCACCGGACGGTCCTCTCCCATCGTTACTTGACCGATTATGCAAACGTAGATCATTCAAAGGGCGGCCGATCGATGGATAGCTCGGTGATAAGGTCACGTTCTTGTTACCAATATGGCCCATCTCACCGCTCTCTCGTTGTTGTGGCGCTCTATCAATAGGCATCGTCGTGGGGCCCGAGTGAAGGCGTGTCGACGTGGGTGGGCGCATTTGAGGTGCTGGCGTACATAGATCTTGAATCCTGACGCCCCATACTTCTTCAAATTCATCCGCCCAAGACCGTACACGAGGATGATCACTATAGCAGTATTTGATCAAAGGCTGTGAGGGAAGAAATTTTAGCAAGCCTCCCGAACAATATACCGAGCGCATACCCAAACTGCCGCGGCCACTGGTAAATATAGAAGTCAGTGATTGGGTTTGATTTGCTAAGAAGTGGGCGTCGACTCACATATAAGGCTGTTCTTTGCTCTCCCACCCAAAGCAGCCATAATGGTATCCATTCTTTCAAGCGCCCATGTTGGCCCACCCGGCATAGCGGTTCGGCATCTTTGTCTGGCCTGAAGTCATACCCTTTTCAGTCAATTAACGGTGGAAAATTCTGATTGTAACGTACCTGATTCAAAGCGAGAACACAAGAAGAGTGGATGATATGCATGAAGCAGAAGCACCATGCGCCAGTATTAGAACTGGTCTCAAACATAGACATCTGAATTTGTACATTCTCGTCAGAATAGCTGAGATGATCGGGAAGGCTTGCAGCCCATGACTATTGTTAATCATGCTCATTAGGAACTGCCCGGGTCGTACATTAGAGTGGGCTGACCTTAAGTGCCGCCTCGGATTGCATCAAAGTGGCAACTGGGTGTGCGCCAGAATCGGGGTCTGTAAAGCAGCTAACTTGAAAATGCGGACGAAGAGTAAAGAGAAATGAAGCTACTGTTGAAGATGTCCATCGTAGTTTCAATCTTTGCGTGAATGGAGAAAACACGGATGAGGTGGCCAAATTCGGAAGCATATTGCGTAGTAGGAGCAGGAAGGTATAAATATTCTGTGCAATGAATCAGTCATAGTTACGGGAAAAAGCATAACAATAGAATCTGACCTGGTAAAGTAGAATGAACCGCTAATTCGAAGCTCGTCTCGTCAACCGGCAGCCTGAGCATGAGTTCGCTCTCCTTGGGCGATATCTGGCGCTTATAAAGAACGGACGACATCAGGTCCGTAAAATGTACAAGCCAAAACACGCGTCGAACGCATTCACGTTCAATGGAGTTATGGATGAACTCTACTGAAGGAACCGGGGTTAAAACTGGATTGTCCGATTTATGGACTCCAAGCGTTTCCAGGACCTGCATTGTGAGGTCTGTCATAAATCAATACAGCTGTCAGCTTTCGAACTACCGCGTGCCACCCGCGCACAAGCGCAAAGTCTTGCCGATCCGTATAACGTACCGTGGTATCGTGTATTCCATGACGGCTTAGAAATTGACTCATGAATTTGCAAGAGACACAAAGCTTGTGCGGTCGCTAGGCTGGGCTCGCAAACCAGGCGGCCAGAACTATCGAACATTATTGAAGCAGCATCTTCGGCGAACTGTTGACCAGCTAAACGAGGAGGAAAAGTCCGAATGCGCGGCTGCTTTGACATCGGAGCGGCAAGAGCACAAATAGCATGCAAAAGATATGACGGGACGCGGTTATGGCTTAGTGCAGCGGAGAAAGACGGCTTGTGAATTATCATCCGATGAGGATGACGATGAGTGAAAAATACTATGATCATGTGACAGGTTAGAAAAAAAGAAGCAGAGTAGAAGAATAAAATACAGACGGTTGACAAGTTCCCTTGTGAGAGAGGGGTTAAGTCCGGAGGAACGGTCAACGACGCCAATGCTCCGAGGGATGGTGTCTGCGGACAAACTATTTTTGCCAGTTTCGGCCCTGAATCGCTTCCGTGAAGACGCAAGATCATCGTCGGAATGAGATGAAGAGGAATCCCCTTTCTGGATAGAAGGGATAGTAAATGTTTGTTGTCCAGACTGGAAAGATTCGGAATAGTTGATGTAAGACGTTGGACGGGTTTCCGACGGAATATCCGGCCTCTCCGTCTTAAAAGGTCTAGGGGCAGGAACTGGTCGACCAGAAGCATCTGTGTACGTACACTTCTTAGAAGCAAAGTAGCTGCCAGGGATGTTGTATGAGGCAGTGAAGGGGAGTTCGGTGGGGAAGACTTACCAGTTGCTGCAAGGAGCTAGAAGGATAGGAGGGTCAGTGATTGGCGGAGATGGAAGTGATGAACGGCTAGAACATACCTGTACCGTCACAGCGCCGTTTGCTCTTGTGACACGCATCGCATGCCTTGTAGTTCCATTGATGATGTCAAAAGAAAGGAGTCGTGGAAATGAAGAGGGCATACCTTTGCAAGCCTCTTGCGTTTTGGACCCTTCATGAACGCGATGGTGGTGGTCTCGGGCTTGTCCTGGTCAGGAGAGGAGTCTGATGCCGATTGAGGAAAGCGAGGATCCGCGGGGGAATGAGTATGGGACACGAAAGAGATGGGCTGCAAGATAGAAGAGGAGGTCTCACGAGAGCGAGCGTAGGGATCCATGGCGAATTAAAGCAGAAGAGTACAGTTGCGATGAAGGTATGGGTGTGCGATTATGGGGAAAAGGGAGTACAGGAGTAAATAGGAAGACCAGCGTAAGGAGAATACAGACTTGAGAGGTGGCAGGGATGGTGGAGGGAAGAGGAAGGAAGGATAAGCGCTGGATGGCCAGGAGCAAGGAAAGAAAGGTGGAAGAGAGCGAGACTTATTATGGAGAGACGGGTGGCATGCAGAAGGGCCGTGAGTGACAAAAGCTAGTCCGAGCGAACAGTTCCCAAGTAAAAGCAGCTGTAAAAGCGTTAGCATACGCTTAGCACATTTATATTATTATTATTTCTGACACATGAAAATCATCCCATATACCCCTTATGGGCATACCTCTTCTGCCACCGCCGGCCGCGTCCGGTTCTTTCCGCCTACCAGCAGCCCTGCCGAGGACACGTTGTTTCTCATCTTATTTTGGTCCGGCGGCTCTAACGCCATCTGTTTCCGCTCTACCTCAGGGTGTGCCTGCACTGCGAACAAGGGAGTGCTGCGATGGGGCTTGCATAGCACAGCACGTTGGGCACCTCGATGTCCGCGACCACTACGTTATGCGGTGGAGGACACCCTACGGCACCCATGTTCATAAACTTTCACTCCACACTTCCTTGGAGACAGGAACACTCCAAACAGAACAGCCGTGTTCCTTCACGTCCCCGGCTTCTGCCCATTTCGGATGCCGTAGGGCTTCTTTACATACTTACCGTCGGCAACGGGCCGTCGCTGCGGGGAGGAAACACCTATTTTGCCGATCGCAAACTCTCCTCACGTGTTTTCCGCCGCCGGGTGGTGTCCATATATGGCAGCTTTGTCAGGGCTATATCTATTCTGGGCGTCATACGACAAGATACCGGCTGCCTGGACACAGCCGCGCACAGCCTCGCCTATCTAAGTCTTTACCATCTGTGGCGTAACCCACCAACTCTCCCTTATCGAACTCTTCTTAATCTTCTGATAAGAACATCAAAGAACTCGCCTTTTCCGTCCTCTCATAAGCGCGCATCCGCCCGAGATCGGCACCAATCTCGTCATTATTAGCTTGTAGCTGCAAGCGTATGAATACACTTTTTCGTGGAAATACAGGACAAGATAATAACGTAATTAATCGAAGAGACCGAAGCCCATGTCGTCGTCGGACTCCTCCTGTAAGGTACAACAGTTAGCCCGGTCAAAGCACAATTGCAACGCATAAGGAACTAATACTGACCTTCTCCTCTTCTTTCTTCTCCTCCTTCTTCTCCTCGGCGGCGGCAGCAGGAGCACCTCCTGCTGCAGCGCCACCGGAACTGACAGCAACTGCACCACCAGAAGGAACCTAAAAAGAAAACGAAGTCAATGATCACTCTACTGCAGATGGTATTCCATTTGCAACTCACGGAAGCGAGCTTGGCAGATCCCTCAGCGATCAGCTAGTACCATGCAATTTGAGCAATTCAGTACTTGTAATAACCCTAGACGTCAGAGATCACACGTACAGCATTTACGTCCTTGCCCTCGAGCTCGGAGATAAGTTTTTCGAGGCGCTCATCGTCAGCCTCAATGCCAACAGCACCAAGGACCTTCTTCACATCAGCAGCAGAAGGAGAGGCGTTGCCACCGATTTGGAGAAGGAGGTAAGCAGCGATATGACGCATCTAAACGAACCATTCATTCATAAGTCAAACCATTCACTCGATTTCGCTTACTTTTTATGTGTGAAGTTTGGACGAGTTGTAATGGGTTACGGGCAGCCACAAATCGCTAGAAACAGCAAAGATTCAGAACATGTTCCACATTTATGACGCCTCTACACGTTCTGGGGGGAGAACACACCTTTTAATCCTCAAGGGAAGACCTGTGGATTCTATCCGACGATTGATATGCTAGAACGCCTTTGCAGACCGCGTAGACGAGATTTCGCGATGATGGTACTGTACAGCACCACGTGACTGAATTTCAGCCACAACCTTCCATTTGGCGCTCCGCCTCAACGTTTCCTAGCCGTCCGAAATCCCTGCTCGCTACTCACGACAACCGACAAGACAGATATCGACGACGCAAGATGGTGCGTATTGGCAGCTGCTAGCACCGTTGATGGAGTGCTGTGTGCTGACCTCGTTATTTTGCTGCTTTTGTACAGGCAGATTCCTCTGTAACCGATCCTCAAGTTGCTGCCGACCTCAAGAAGAAGAGAACCTTCCGTACGTTCTCGTACCGTGGTGTTGAGCTTGAAAAGCTCCTTGATTTGAGCAATGAAGATGTATGCCATGATTTTGCATTGTAAAGCTCTCAATTTCTGTCCTAACTTTTGATAATAGTTCGTTGAAGTATGCATATTTTATCAATCAATTTCCCTATAACGAATCTAAGTTCAACCCCACTCGCCACTAGCTCGTCCACGCCCGTGCCCGTCGTCGCTTCCAACGTGGTCTCAAGCGTCGCCCAATGGGCCTCATCAAAAAGTTGCGCAAGGCCAAAAAAGAGGCACCTCCCAATGAGAAGCCTGCTGTCGTCAAGACGCATCTCCGTGACATGATTATTGTCCCTGAAATGATTGGAAGTGTCGTTGGTATCTACAACGGAAAGGTGCGTTCTATACCTTCTGTGTGATCACTGGGCAGTCCTAATACGCTCCATGTGGCGTTGTCGTCAACCTCAATCAGGTCTTCAACTCTGTGGAAATCAAGCCTGAAATGACTGGTCACTATCTTGCCGAGTTCTCTTGCTCCTACCGGCCCGTTAAGCACGGTCGCCCTGGTGTAAGTTTCTCTCAAGCATGCATGTGAACTACGCTGATATATCAACTGTCACTCAGATCGGTGCCACGCATTGTAAGTCACTTAATCGTTGGGATGACCTGCTGATATTAAGCACCACTTTTGTCTATAGCATCTCGTTTCATTCCTCTCAAGTAAAGATCCGGACTCCTTATTGCTTTATGTTCCATTGTCTTTACTACACTCAAAATACTATGCGGCATGCGAGTATGGGCTAGGCTCTAATCACGTTTGTGTGAACAACGTTTCTGATCTAGAAGATAATTGTCCCTTTCAAAAAGGTTACTCAAAAAGACCAAATGATATTTGCCCCCGAGTTCGTGAGAGCATGCTTTGAAAATGACGAAAATATCGAATTCATTTTCAACAAAAATGCATACATACGAATGCACGGGTATCATAAGTACTGCGAAGATATTCGTCCGTGTCATACTGTTAAGTGAAAGCGATACGGTAAAGTACAGATAATGCGAAATCAAAATGCTCAGAAAAGAGAGTAAGCTCGCTAGTGAAATGCGGGCGAAGAGGTAGCGCAAAAACGAACGAGCGGAATTGTGTCAGACAATCAAAAGTAAGTGACAAAAGAGCTCAGCACAACAAGATCATGTACGCTGTCGCATTGCAGCAGGTGGGTGACCATTACCATTGGGCGGAGACGCTGAGTGTGTATGCTCGCCGCTTGATCTGGGAGGTATGTACGACGAAGGTCGTGGTGAAGGCGAGGTCGGGCCACCGCTCAATATCGGCCGCTGAGAAGCCGCCCAGTCGCCTTCTGTGAGCTGAGGGTTTCGGGGCTGTTGCTGTCCCTGGATCATGGCCATGCCCTGTGAAAGCGATGTCGGGTGTATGGGAGAAGGATACGACATAGGCGCATGGTGTACTCCAGGATGAGGGTGCGGTGATTGTTGCCGACCGTTCCGTATCTGCGGTTCAGTGGGCATTGTCACCAGCTGTGGTCGGTCCGGATTAGAGGATCCAGATGGAGAAGGTCGCGGATTGCTGCTGATAGGTGAACTCAACGGAGGCGATAGGCCTTGTGCAGGTACTCGACCGCTGGACTTCAAACGCAGATAAGTATCACATTTCTTCAAAAAGTCGCGACTTGGCAATTCCAGACTATTCGAGAAGTAGTCCTGGTCATGCAATATCGCTAGGAACTCCTCTGGAACAGTGTAGAACTCGTCTTGATTCTCGAGCAAGGAAGTGACCACTTTGATAGCCCCGAAACTTTCGTCCCGGACGGCGTCGCGGCCACGTGAATACAGTATACTGGGACAGATGACAGTCGCCAGATTGGACAGATCCATTTTGCTCCCCGTTTTCTCGTCCATGTGAGCAAATGAGGCGACCCATTTCAAAAACACAAAGAGGACCTCCATTGTATCCCGATGACTCTTGGGAAGAAGGATCGAAACCATATGAAGAAGTCGCTTTCTCTCTGAGTCTTGCGGGACAGCTGTATGTCATTTTTAGAACACTATATCTCCTTTTGAACTTAGAGAACTTACATTGTGACGCAATCAATAACCGATGCAACTTGAACGTCAAGAGAGGGTCGGGTAGCTCTCGGAGGAACTTCTTAAGCAGTGCTGCCAGTTGGACAGGAGTATCTTGTGTGAGATCCACGGAAGAAGCGTCCCTGTCAATGGCTTCAGTGAGGTCCTTGAGCCCCCTGATATTACCATTTTTACGGAAAATGCCTTCAATTGACATATCTATCGCATCCAAATAAGCATCCCCAGTCTGTAAAGGGTAGTAGTCTACTTACCCATTTGCCGCATAGCAGATACAACATCGTCGATGAAGCTTGGTATTCTCAAGGTTGCTCTTGTGGCACCCAATAACGAATCGGCGCCCTCTCTTTCAACCAAAAGTTCAAGCGGAACACCGAAGACACCTGTCAAAATAACGTAAATATCGCGCCGGTGACAACAAAAAAAAAATGTGCTTGGCATACCCTTTTTCTTGACATTCTTCTTATCGTTACCCGCTTTGAATAGCTTGTTCCAAAAGCCACCTTTCTTTATCTCCACTAACTCCAATATCTCGTCCAAATCAAATTGATCTCGCAACGAAGATTTCTGCAGGATAAGGACGGCGCAATGTTTGACAATGACGAGCTCGAGGGCGTTTAACTCGGCAACATGTGGAATCGAACTTTGCCGAGGAAGAGATCGTTGTTGCTCTCGCGCTTGCGCTGCTTCCATCAATTGCGGGATGTCAGCCAAGGTGATACCGTCATCGGGTGCATGTAATGGTGGCTCCTCGATGCCGCCAGCAGGTGAATTGGGCGCTGATTCATCCACTATCATAACTTCAGTGTTATTGCGAGTATAGTTCGGCCGGACAACCTGACCCTGCTGAGTTATATCCAATGTCCCAGGAGACTTCCCTTGCAAACGGGCAAGCTGACCAGCCGTTGAGCCGGGCTGTGAAGGCAACCGCCCAGGGATGAGAGGTCCTGGAGGAGGGGCACGCTGAGGTTGCGGAACCTTGATTTCTTGTGGAGCTCGATGAGTATGTAGGGTATCGGAAGGATGGACCGTCCGACCAGCTGGACTTTCAACAATTGTGGAGCGCTTGGGCAGACGAGCCGTGGCCGACAACTTGCGATCGAGGTGCACGGACTTCATACGCATGATATCACCAGAGTTCCGGTACGGATCTTGTTCCGTCGACTTTGGAATTTGCGCTGGGGTTGAACCCGCAACTAACAACGCGTCAGGGAGGGGATCGATCGAGAAGATGGAAGTAGAATACACACCAGGAGAAAGAGGTACAACGCCTTGCTGTTTGAGTACCAAATAAAGTCGACGAAGGGCAATGTTCAACAGGAAGGCATATTGCTCCAATCTCGATACAGCTTGGAATCCAGATCGACACGTAGCATGACTGTGATCTGTGCATAAAGTGACTGTTGGTACTTCACCAAACGACGGCGTGTCCTTGATTGAATCGGTGTCATATAGGAAAATTGCAACGTTAGCCGGTGGACGTCGAGCAGTCGATACCTTTGGTGTCTCTTTTTCCCCCTTCTCCTTGTCATCGGTAGACTTTTGTGGCGCTGATTCTTTAGGGACAGGTACAGCAGAAACCTTTCCACAAACACCGCACTGTATGCAATGCGAATGCCATCGCTGATATGTTCCAAGCCGCACACAATCTTCCTCCACCGCCTGATTGCACTTAACACACCGATCTGACGGAGGATTGCTTACTGAAAGTCTAGACGGCGAAGATGCTGAAAAGGGCGATTCCCCGGCGTTTTCAGGCGCTAGACTCCTAAATCCATAAGTAACGCCCCTTGTACCCACATTAGCGCCTTCGCTTTGGACCATAACCTCCCCATTCGAACTCTTGATGATCCGCCGGGCTGTGGGATCGCCACCCTGAACAGCGAGTAGATGAAGCTTGTCGAGGAAGGATGCCATCGCCTCTCGAACACTCTGCTCTCTCTCCAGTTTCAGGGCACCGGTCAACGCTATACGGATCAAGATCTTGAGATAATGAGCGATCCCTGTCACAAGCGCGAGTAGTTCTTGCGTCATGCCCATCCTCCGTGAGCCAGTCTCTTGCGTACGCGACAGTAGCGTGAATAAATCGACAGTTTTACGACAGAGCATCCTCGCTTCCCGCACGTGGGACATCCCTATCGAAATATATGCTCAGTGAGCGAACAGTGGCAATGCTACAGGAAGAAAGCGAACAAACCTTTCATATTAAGGCGGGAGAAGTAATATTCGAGATCATCAATAGTTCCAAAAAGGACTTCGACGTGTAAAATGAACTTCTCTGCCATCCTGATGGCATCCAAGTATTGGCCATTGCTGACCTGACGCAACATATCGGAAATACAAGCAGCACTCGATTCTTCGAATGCAGACAGAACCCTATAAAAAGTAAACCGTTAATCTCGCTGATTAAGGACAACACAGAAAACCGATGCTCACGTCCATATGCGATAGACCAACTGCTCCATCCTGACCTGTTTCTCCTTCAACGAGATCGATGTCTCCTTTTGTTCTTCTTCTACGTACGGTGGCTCACTCTCGCCACCCTCGGCTATAGCACTGTTTGGCCTACGCGAAACTACTTTAACGTTCCAGAACTGCGATGGTGATTAGCATTGCAGACAACAAAGGATTTAAATCACACGTGTACCTTGTTGATCATGTAACATTCAGGATGCCAGCATTCGTCGCGCGAGTTGCGATTGATCTCCACAAATTGCTTGAGAATCGCGCTGCTACATCCTGCGCACTTGGTGGCGAAACGAGTAGAGTAATGAAAGTGGCAATAAACATCACCATCATGCTCGTAGTATGAATCCTGAGGACCGAACAGCGTTGGACAAATTGAACAAGTGAAGTGCTCCACGTGGTACTTTTTATCTGCCATGATGTTCATTGTTTGTCGTAGAAGAAGAAACACAAAAAACAACTCACTGCATGCCGTAATATAGCTGCCTCGCAAAGCTAGACCACACTTAGCACATATAAGGTTTAGACGACGAAAGTAGTCCCGCTCGCAGAGAGGTTGTTGCTTGTTATCTGGCCCATCAATCGGAAAGAATTTCGAGGCCACGACATCTCCACAATCCTACTATGGCATTAAATGGGCGATCAAACTACATTATTACGAAATTCATACCATGCACTTGAAACAGTTCAGATGGTAAACCGTGCCTAATGCGCGCACGAAAGCGCCCTGCATAGGATTTCCACACGCCGAGCATATTCTGATAGGATAAAAAGTGTACGACGTCAGATGCAAGATCTAACTGAGGTATGATAGAACTGGATGGATCGAGTGGAGGTTGATCTGAAAATAAAATAAAATAGAGGGATATGCTCACGAAGATGAAATATTAGTAGATGTTGCTGATGATGTGGACGTTGCAGGACCGCCAACTTTACCAGGAGCACTAGAGTCCGACGATCCTGAATGCACCGAGGAGTAAGAAGCCCCGCTGAGGCGGCGATGGGAGCCATTTGAACGGCTGGACGAAGAAGGGTGAACATTTTGGCTAGAACTACCAGGGGTGGTGGGTCGACTGGCGGAAAGAAAAGCAGGCGATGGGCCTTGGAGAGATCCATGCATGCTGGCATTATCAAACCTGGCTGAGGCCCCATGGTTCAAGTCCTCGCTGTGAGCATGTTGGCCGAAGTCCTGTTTTGTAGCCAGATTGTTGCGACCGAAGTCGTGCGTGGAGCTGACTGTAGAGGCCCTTGTGGGGAAATGAGGACGTTCGGGAATGCGTGCAGCATTTGTGGGAGGAGCAGAAAAGGGACCAGACGGCTGATTGCTTGCGTCCTGGTCTTTCCGAGGACGAGAAGGTTCAGAATCATATGCCATAGAGATACCCAGGGCGGCCTGCTGTTGATAATTAGACCACTGCGGTTGCCCTCTGCTCTGGCCCTGATCCTGGGGAATGTTCATAAGATAGACAAGACAAACACCGCCAGGACTGTTGGATACGATGTCGGCGACGGTGAGGACGGTGGGGACGGCAACAAGACTGTAAGGAAATGAGGGCGAGCAGACAGAGGACACGGGTTCCCGAGCGACGTGACAGAAGTCACAGGGTGACTGTAACCATCTCCTTGCCTGACCTCTGATTATCTTTTTAGTAAAAATTTGGTACAGTTTTTGGTCTCATTACTTTTAGTCTGCTGACTGAATATTACTGAATCCTCCGCAACGCACACAAATGAACATAAAACTGCATCCGACAACTGTCAAAGCCCGTTCTTTCTGCGCATTTTTTACGAAATACCCAGGACGTTGCGATACAACATGCAGTAAAGTCTACTCTAATGGTACTTCTAATACGACACATTACTTGGCCAGTATTTCTGAGGAGGCCTCTTATGTACTCGCGTATTGCGCCAGTAGTCGCCAGGCGTGTGTCAAGAACATTTCCATATGTACATGGGAGCAGCGGATAACAGTACGCGGATGGACTTGGCAGTCTCTGGTATGTATTGGATGGGCTTGGTAGTGATCTGAGCAAATCTAGCAGAGAAACATATCCAATCTAATCCAAGACAGCTCAGCGCCTCCGTTCTGCATTTCGCCAACACAAGCCTTGTGGCAGCCATGAGGCATTGAGTTCGCGGTCCCTTCGCTTTGCTAGCAGCTTTAAATCCCTTGTTATCTTACATCGTTTCGACATCCGTGTCATCTGCTATTCTTGGAGCGGCCATCGATGAACACGATGTTTTCATGATCAAGCTTGATCAAGAGTTCATCATCATCGGTATTCAAGAAGTACTGATCAAGGCTCTGAGCATGAGTTTTGCATACAGCACCGCCAATGTGATACCATGGGTACCTTCACACATTTCCACATCCACACTGGCACCGGGACGTGCGTGAGTATCTCGCCGTTTGTCTTACAAACTGACCATAAAAATACAGTGTTCCACGGAAGACAGGGGATAAACCAAGGTACGTAGGCACTGGGAGTATGAGAATATGCTCGGATGTTCTGTAGGCCTGCCAGTGTGCCGACGGGTTGTTTGGCAGCTGGATTCGAACCAGAGCCTGCTCGAACAGTCGCCAAACCAAACAAGTCGCATTTCGGTCCTTCGGCGATGCGTGCCGATGCATGCGTATTCTGACGGCGGGATGAGGCAAGCCGCCATTAGTATTGCCTGCATGGCTTTCCACTTCAAATCCTCGTGTTTCGTCCGGCAGGAGCACTTACATGTCAACGTCGTCCTGTGTGTCGCCGAGAGGATACGTTGTCGCTCACCCTACCCGAAACTCATAAATACCCTTCAGTTCCACACAGTGGACTCCCATATCAAGCATTAAGCAATCTGCTGTCCCGTCTTCACCATCTTCAGCCCTTTTAGGTTGCCATTTACTTATCCACAGCAATGCATCCTTGGTATCGTCACACCTGGCATTACCATCGCCCCTCTCGTTTGATCTGGTTCGTCCTTGGCGCTGCTTCTGCTACCATTTGGGCTCGTCACAAGGAAATGCGCGATAACCGATCACATCATTATCAATGTGTCCGGAAACATATCCAGCCTTCCTCGTCCGTCGAGGTCACTGGTTCCGCTCTTCCGTTCTATAATCCCATGGCCCCTGAAATGCCAGTGAACGCCACTGAGCCACATCGTCATCCCTTTCAAAGGAAATGGAGTTGGGGACATGATGAGGGAGACGGTACTTCTGGATGGAACAACCAACAGTGGGACGAAGATAAAGTGCGTATGAAGCAATTGGGAAAGCAGGCCGAGGAAGCAGTGAGTACTCCGCGTCGTTGCCAATTCCAATGATATACGTGATGCTCACAATCTCCGCGATGTTCCACTCAAGATGACTGAAGTTTCCGAAGCCACTCTCGATTCTATATTATCTACAGTTCAAACTTTGAAGAGCGTAAGTGAACAGTCTTTTCCGTGCTGGTCCGCGACTTAAACGTTCGCCTCCACAGAAACTTGCAGAACATCGTATTCAGCGTGAACAGCAGCAAGAGTTCATAAGAGAACAGCTGAAGCAGCAAGAGAAAAAAAAAGATCCTCCTCAGTCAACTGCGTGAATCGGACAATAGCATCCTACATATGTAACACATCTCCACTCTCTCCCCCTGCGACTCGCTCTTGTCCTTTTTTATCTTCATGAGGTGTGCACACCTACTACCCACCCGCTCTTTACATAATTTATTATATCTTCTCGGTGTACATCAACTTTGTAAACCTATATATTTATCTGCTTACATTCCTTTTTTCGCCATCTGTACCGCCTGAACCACATCCATAAGTAACTTATCGATACTTTCTCATCCCTGACCATTCCCGAGTTACCCAGTATATATATGCAATCGTCAATAATCAAAACGCCAAGATCCTCTATCAATTACACTGCACCGACGTTATACCTACAGCCCCAAGTGATTCACTTCGACCTCACCAATAAGACCGACTTTACACCGACCGTAGGTGTATTCAGTTAGATTATTACTGTCAGTCCCCCCACAGTCTATTCGTACGCCATCATCCGCTCTTCCCGCATGCGCGTTATGTATGCAGGCACCTTCGGGTCCAAATGTCCTTGCTCCTCCGCTGAGATTCGTCGTCAGAACCAAAATAACGGGGACTTGAAACCAGGGACAAGGGACTTACGTGTAGCGTGCCAAAAGTAAATGATAAGTCCGACCACGACCACGACGAAGGCGGGGAAGTAAAGCCAGAACGGCGAGTAATGCTATTAGTAAGTAACCGGTCATATTCAAATCAACCGTTCCCAATGTCCGCGAACTGTGGGAATAGACTTACGAAGAGGAATAATCCTACGTAAAATAGGTCATGTTTTTAGTGTTTCCGAAGGTAGCATCCCCAAAACATGGCTCAGATGACATACCGAAAAGAAGACCATAGAAGTCACTCGTGAGTAGACTGATGTTGTAGAATGCCGAGGACGCGCTGCGGTATAATAGTGGAGCAACTGTGTATAGAATGAACATGGCTAAGATGGTGTTGAAGTCAGTATCCACGGTTATTGATCCGAGGGCATTTCTATAATTTACCGGCGGTATATGCAACCAAGAGGCCAACTATAAAATATTTGGCAAAATTAAAAGCTGTAGGTAACAATGTCACCACCTATCAATCACTCACTAGTAGCACCGTTCCACGTTGCAGTCTTCATCGCATTATGTTCGAGTCCAGCTGCTTGAATGCCATTTATCAACGTGCCCCACATCCCGAGCTGTCCAACAACCTGACAGTAGCCATTACCGTGTGTAACTTGAACAGGGAAAAAAATCAAGGAACTCACTTCATAGAGCGGAGATCTCCTGACGAAGAATTCCTCCGTTGCATTCGCTGCAATGAGTATTATATCAGGCCCGCTTCCACAAGATATTTATAGAATGAAGAGGAACGGACTAAATCCATAGAGCGTCGCTCCTACAATCATAAAGGCGTCGCCTTTTCCCCTGTTTAGCGCGGGGTAATTCTTATCTGTGAGCATATCGGACGATACCAGCATTCCCAGACCTCCAACACACACTAACACACCCTAAGAAATAATTCGGAGGTTATGAACTGTTCGTGAAAGAAAAGAAAGGCAAAACTCGCGAGAACTTGTGTCCAATGATATTTTGTACGCATGTAGACCCAACAGAAGAAAAGACAAACAGGTATTGCCCAGCTGCAGTTGAATTGATATAAATTGATATTATCGGAACAAAAGAAAACGCCACACTTACGCATCAAGGAGCATACAGGACAATAAATCGGTATAGTTGTATGCCTGTGATGAGTTGTTGATAAAGCCGCATCCGAAGGGATCAAGGGGTTTGGTTTACCTTGACTACGAGAAAGTTTCCTTCTACGTCACAACATGCCAAGATGAAATCTAGATGGGTGTATAATCAGTATGGTGGGGAACTGCCCTGGTAGTTGATCTAATGCATACATTTCCACCCATCTCTAGCAACCATCTTAGCCCAGCCCTTGATTCCATCTACAGACAGCCTTTCTGAGTTTGATGATCATACGTTTGGCAGATAGAAGTAAGTGCGCACATTGATACATTGTATATGGTGTATAAACAACAAATAACGAGAAATACCTGTGAAGAAACAGTTATATACAGGGGAATCACGAATGAATCAGCATATATGCTCACAAAAACCAGGTCTGTGTGGTGGACAAGGTCCAATTTCGACTGACCAATTCCGTCGTCGTGACATTGGTGCATGTGATGCATAGCGAGACTACCTGACCAGCCAAAAGCGAAAAGACGAATCTGCGGGTCCAGATACTGGCAAACCGTGACCAGATACTGTGTCTGAAGCCTCCAAAAGACGAATAGTCAATTGGAGGACGGACTGTTGTGCGTACTTCTTCCACCAAATTGCTAGGAGAGTCCTGGGAAGGAGATCCAGTTGATCCGGTTTCGTCTGCAAAGCCATTCTTCGAATCGATAGATGGCGACATGGTATCTGCAGCAAAAGAACCTGTCCAGGAGTATTTCTGCCCTTGTCGACCTTTCTTAAAGGTCTACCAGGCCAAGCGACGTGTCAAAGAAACGTCGTGTGCACAGGGGGACCGTGGCTCCCAGGCTGGGCAGCTGAATGAAGGAAGGCAAGTGGCGTCCAAATGGTTCTGTCAAACATTACGGCATTTTCTAATCTCGTGCCTTGCAATTTTCACAGTAAAAATGATGATCGCTTCGGATGACTTCGAGCCCAGCGGCTCCAGCCAAGCAAACCTCGCCTTTCACATTCACTGAGAGATCTTGTCTTTGGATACTATTCCTATCACTGTTACTTGACTGTTACCAAAGGTTTGCCATGTCCACTAAGGAGTCAGAGTCGCCGCAAGATAACGTGCAGCCATTAAATTACCGGGAGCATTTCGCGGTCAGTGTATTTCAGGAGCTAATTCACAGTAGTACCACAGCTGAACTCCACATTGTCAAATGAAGGGACGGGAAACGTATACCAAGCATACAGAGTTAGTGGGCAGCACTGGTTTTTGCGAATTTAGGGTTAGCTGACGGCTCATTTCAAGTCCTTGCGAGAGTGCGGCGAAAGCATCCATGGCTTGCATGGACCGGAATAGCTACGACCGTGATAAGTGTCTGGATTTCTTTCAGGCTTACAGAGACTGTAAGAAGACATGGGTGCGCACTCCCCACTAGCATTGTAGCCCATGCTTACACGTTCTACTCTACTTGAATATCAAGCTGGATCAAAGGAAAGCGGATCGCAGGGCTGGCCGCGACGCGAGTTTGTAGTCAAACCAGACACTCCTTCTAAGTTGTGGTCTGGTTATATTGGCCCTGTAGTCAGAAGGGAAAACCTGTTGCCTTTTACTTGCTTTACGATAGGACTCTAGGACACCAGCATTCTCAGTCTAATATGAGAATCTCCGAAACTTTGCCCTTCTGTGGAAAACTCCCCGAACTATCTGGATGTAGGTGTGGAGGTATTGTACGACTACAGCCTCCAGAGAGAATATATATCTTACTGGTGACTTAGTCTTCATTATAAACAAAGGCATTTTTCCACTCTGAAAACTTGGACCAAGCAATACGACAGGTGGACACCCGGTTTTCATATAACTCAACCATACAGCGCGAGACTTAAACATCCCGAATTATCTGAGCATAGAATATCACCATGCAACGTTGCAGCAAGATTGGATTGAGTGTAAGAATGGCAGTAAATACACGGAAACACTGGGTAAAACAAAGTTTCATATACTAGCACAAATCACAAATGAAACGATAAAACCAATCACTCCTCTTGTACGAGTTTTCACCAGGAAGACAATCAGGATTCGGGAAGAGGGGGAGGTGCGTCTGGTTGGGGCGCGAAGATCAAGTGGAGTGGAGGTGTGGTTTGACTGTCTTCGCTCAAGAGTGTCGCAATGATCGACCGGCCGGCGAAAGAACGCCCAGCTAACGCTTTCAGAGCGTTGTTGGCGCTGTCCGCATCGATATATTTAACATAAACTCTTCCCACCCCAGCAGCTTCATCTTGACGTATAGCATCCATTGCAGACTGGTGTCCCACCTCTCCAGGGGCCCATTTCGATTTGTCCTTCTTGACAGGTCGAGGAATGCGAAGGTCTTCCACAGCGCCGTATACGGAACATTCTTCCTTGACATCTTCATAGAGGTCCCCGTATTCTTGATCATCAGTGAGGTCATCGGGCGTTACCATGTTAAGCATGAGAAGAATGCGCGCATCTGCGCTGGAGTTTTCGCCAGCGGGCATGATGGGTCTTGGTATTTCTGGGAACTGGTCGTAAGGCAAGTTTGGTATCATACCAGGAGTTCCGGGTTTGGCGCCAACGGAGGCTCTCTGTACAACAAGATAACGGTCGCCTAACTCCATGCCGTTTAGACTCTGAATGGCCACATCTGTCACTGAAATGTCAACATATTCGAAGAAGGCAAAGCCCTAGAAGCAGAGGTGAGCATCTAGTTGATATGACTAAAGCGGAAAAGCCAACCTTGGATGGGCCATTTCCATTTTCTCGCACCAGGTTGAAAGCTTTCAGTTCTCCGAAACTCTTCAGTAATTCCATAACCTGCTCTTCATTGAGATAAGTTGGTAAACCACCGACGAAGACTTTGTTGATAGAATCAGGAACGTTGGTAGAGACGACTCCTGGCACGTGAACACTGGGAGCAGACATGTCAACACCGCCATAATCCTTGGGTCGACGGATTTTGAGAGGACCATTAATGAAGATGATGCCATCAAATGCCATAGCAGCCGTGGCATCCTCAGCGCTGCGAAACTGATCGAAAGAAATAAGATTTAATCTTATGAATGGCTGGAAGAGAAAAATGAATAGTACCTCTACAAAGGCGTAGTTTTTCTCGTAATTACACTGTACAGCCAGGACTGGATTGCCCGGTGCACCCGTGCCAATGCTCATCTCTATCATCTTGGAATTGAAGAAATCAGCTAGGTTCTGTTCATTAACATCCGGAGTAATGCTTCCAATATAGAGGCGACGAGACTGTCGGGACAGGTTAGGGTTGCTGCCGATACCCATGCCGAAAGTTTGCACAGGCATTGGGGGTGGTAATCCTGCTATGCCTAAAATAGGTGGAACTTGGGTGCGATTTGCACCAGGGAGGTTGAAAAGACCTAACAAAGACAAATGAGCTTGAGTTACTATAGAATCAGGGGAAAAACCAAACCTGTCTGTTTAGCCTGCATAGCAGTATATTGCTCATAGCCAGGCGCATGAACATCCCATCCAGATGCTTTTCTTTTTCGTTGTGAAATGGGGGCTGCACCTTCAGGTGTAGGCGACCGTCTTTCTGGCGTGCCTAAGCCATCTCTGCCTTTCCCGCGACCACCACGGCGTTGGGGAGAACCAGGCTCTTCACGAGCTCGCCCATGTCGGAAGGCGCCATGCTCTTCGTCTCTTCTATGATCACGGCGTCGATCTTCTTCATGATGAGGGCGTCTGGAATGTTCGTCGAATTCGCGGCCGCCTCGTCCTCCATACCCACGACCCGGATCGCGCCTATCATCCCTGCGGCCCCCATAACGGTCTCCTCCTCTGTCTCGCTCCCTGTGACTATCTCTTTCACGATCTCTGTAGTCTCTCTCGCGGTAGCCGTCGTCGTGCCTTCTACGTTCACGGTCGTCGCGATGACCACGGTCTAAAGAAAAAGGAAGAAATCATATGGCGTAAGCAACTTGAAATGCTGCTGAGTCTATCAGCAGTTCGGCGGTGACAGCGATGATTGCGAGGCTAGCTAGCTATAAAAACAACAGCATGGTGCAGCAAAAAAAAATGCACCATGAGTTCATCGACTTTCGACAGGGAATTTTTCCCGACGGAGGATAAAAAATGGCAAGTACCTCCGGGTCCCTCTTTCAACACAGAAAAGTCGGCTTTTATCACGCCTACTTATAAAAGTCAAGAATAAACAAGAGTGCAAAACGTTAACTCACCAATTTCGTCCATTTTCAGCTTGTGTTTTGCTTTTTACTGTGAACCTTTCGGGGCGCCAAAAGTGGAGGAGGCGGTAAAGAGCAACTCGAACTACCGTCACGGTCACCAGCTGTAACACAATCTTCAAGCCGTGCGAAAAGCTGATATAACCACACGGTTCCATACTGCTGAGACTCTTGGGTTGCAAACACCACCTTATTAGCCATGCCTACAGATCTCCCTTACGCAGCAGACGCAGAAGTCTCTTTATCTTACGATGAGCTCGAGGTAATTCATTCTCATGGAGTTTTATGTCATCAAACTGAGATTACCATCTCGGTCTTCGCTCCAGGTACTACGACTACAGTATCAGAAAGAACTAGTTCAATCCCATGTCACCATTCAGACCCAGTTCAACTATGCCTGGGGCCTTGTCAAAAGCCCACTGAGAGACCATCAAGTAGAGGGTGTGCGGCTTTTACAAGGTTTGTCACCTGGCATGCCAAGCTCATGTTCGACACTGACTCTTGTTTAGAAATCTACCGAGCCGAGCCCACGCGAAGAAGAGAATGTCTGTACTACCTGGCACTTGGTCATTACAAGATGGGAAATTTCGACGAAGCAAAGAAATTCAATGGTTAGTCGTCCTGCTTGTTCTTTATCAGTGCTTGGTAGTGATACTGTACACCAGGTCTGTTAATCGAGAAGGAACCAACCAATTTACAAGCTCAAAGTCTAGGATCACTCATAGACAAAGATGTTGCTCGAGGTACGTTTTTCTCGCATCTCCAGTACTATCTGTACTGAATTTGTTGTATAGATGGCTATATAGGTATGGCGCTTGCTGGGGGTATAGCAGCGCTTGGTACCCTCCTTGTCGCGGGTTTTATACGGCGAGCAACACGCAAATAGTCCGCGCGACTTTAATACTAACGTATCTCTCCTTTGTTCACGCCGTATCATGTCACATTCTCCACTCGTTCCTGATGGTCGTTCTGTCTCGCTCAAGTCGCTATTATATTTGTCATCGAATTATTATACATCACTTATTGCACTGCTCTAATGTTGCCATCGTGAGTAGACCAACTAACTGACTGCACAGGGAACTCTTTACTAGATGATGTCCACTCGATGAATGCATGCACAAGTGCTTCTAAAACTATCGCTAGTTACAATAAGTATGTCCACCCCACGATGATAACTGTTCTGCCCAGTAAGCGATGCAATAAGATTTATAATCGTCACGGACGGTATAAAGCAATGATAGCAAGTATATGTAACCTCCAGCCATAAAAAGCGTAACAAAAAAATCCTTTGTAGATCGTACATTTCACTTGCGAAAGAGAGTCGATGTTATCAGGCGTTAATTTAGTGGTCGTTATTCTTGTAATAGGTATATGTGATTATCCATTTGGACTGATCCTAAATCCCAAATTTATGTAGGGAGAAATCGAGCTATGAAAGTCATGAGTTTCTTTGCACACTGGAAATCTAACGAGTTCTTACCAGCTTCAACGGCCATCTCCTCCGTAGTGCGCTTTTGCGATTGCGAAGTGAGCTTTCACCTGACTTTCAATAAAAAATGAGAACATACCTTGAAGGATACAATGCCGATGAATATGAACGCTATGCAGACTCCTACCTGGAACACGAGCCAGAAGATCGCCCAGACTGCGGGTAGGGTATGATGATGGTATAGCATGCGTAATGGGTAGGTCATCACCCACCATGTGCGGAAATACGCGGATACAGAATTGCGAACTGTGTACAGTCAGAATCATTGGCTTTGCGAAAGAATTTATCGTCCGCTAGGTCCCCTATCATCGGAAATGGGCAAATATCCCCGATTACAAATGAAAGAACTACTCACATACGACATAGAAGACACTACAAAGTAAAGTCACCTGAGGAAGGAGATGCAAAAGGTCCAAAGCACTTACTTCATAATGCCTATGAAAAGACAATACCATCGTAATGCTTGCCTGTTCAAATATCCCTTCGTTTTCTAGGAGTACCGAATATATGCACGAAAGAGACTTACGCGTGAGCGATAAACCAAAATCCAATAAGTAGCCCCTCGCAACAAAGAGTCAGTAATATCGTTCTAGTATAGTTAAGTTGGCGTCTACTCAGCAGCGTCGAGAGTACTCACAATTTATCTCTCACTAAAACCAGGGGTATAATTAGTCCAATTCCGAGAACGAAACTAAGTATCTTCGCAACCAAAGTGTCGAAGCCGCCCAAAATGAATACACCACCAAAGAGTGTAGAGCCGATGTAACCTGCAGCCAATATAGTAGGTGGGTGGCCGCCTTCTACGATGGTCGCTCCGCCTAGATATGGGTCGATGGTGACAGTTAGTATGCTCCCTCCAGTCAATATAGCCTGTATTGTTGTTCGAGTCTAACGTTGGGACGTTGGAAGCGTAAACCATGGACTAAAGCACGTACCGCCACTATATGACAAAGCTCGTGCCAGCCAATGGTGAAAAGCTTGAGTGGATTGATGAGGGTCCTAGCACCAGGAATATTCCAGACACCAAATATAACGACAGCGTAGACAACTGCCTATGAATGCGAAAATTATTCGATAGTCACCACAGATGGCACATGGACTCATGGTGAATGGTTACATACAACATATAGCACTACAACCTGGCGCCAAAAGCATACATCAGCCATAAGGTAAACAATTGAACGTGCTAAATAAACAAACTTGGTCGTGGGTTGGAGCTATTGGGTTGACAGTAATCCTCGGTGCTACCGGGGTCAATACTTTTGGAGGGGGCATGAATTGAAAAACGCCTCAGCTTGTAGCAAATACAGCAAAAGATGGTCAAGCCCGAGAGAGCTGTGAGGGAAAGGAAAGGACAGAGATAGTGTGTGCCGCAAGGCTTTTGGTGTTTGTGTTGAACAATCAAGAGGCGTTTGATCTTAAGTTCAAGTATGCTGGCCTTTGAGTCTAGTCCGCACCTTTGCCTCACGGCCGGCGAACTCGAAATCTATCGCGTGCCTATCGTGGTTCGTGGGAATCCTTTGAGACGCGCGGGGTCACGTGCATGCAGACGCGTTTAATGGTTTACTTTTGGGCGGAGTCTGAATACCGCAATATATACCATAGTCGCGTCGCGTATGTACCAATATCTTCCAGTTTTTCTCTTCCACTCGTTACCTGAAAAATATCTGGTGCAATAAGTCTGTATTATGGTGCGTAAATGCTCTAAAAACAGAAGTGTCACTCACTCAAACATCTGTCCTGCAGTCTGGAAAGGGAAAAGCGTACGGACTCGTCATATTCTCTTCAAACCTTTGAAGTCTCATGTTTTACTTTCAGTGGCAAATCGTCTTCGGGAAAGACTGGAGGTGACTCCAAAGCCCAATCACGCTCATCTAAAGCAGGCCTTCAATTCCCCGTCGGTCGTATTCATCGTTTGTTGAAGAAGGGCAATTATGCCCAACGGGTTGGTGCCGGTGCTCCTGGTACGCAAATACATTATCTACCTTCTGACAGAGGCTCATCGAAGCGTATAGTATATCTGGCTGCTGTTCTCGAGTATCTAGCAGCTGAGATCCTCGAACTTGCGGGTAATGCTGCGCGCGATAACAAGGTGAGATGTCACCCTAGATAACCTTGGAACTCTTGTTAATATTATGCCTTTAGAAACAACGTATTGTTCCTCGTCATCTGCAACTTGCCATTCGTAATGATGAAGAGTAAGTTTCTTGCCTTTGTGGACTGTCATCATTCTCAAATGAAATCTAGGCTCAACAAGCTCCTCGGTGATGTCGTGATAAGCCAAGGTGGTGTTGGTGAGTACTAAATGATCTGTATTTGGACAGTGAACATGGTCTAACTCCATGTTTAGTGCCTTTCATTAACCCAGAGCTGCTGCCTTCAAAATCGGCCAAGAGCAAAAAGGAGGGTGCTTCTCAGGAAGTGTAGATCTTGTTTCTCCCTGTATCATTAGACTGGTATTGTTGTATTACGTTTGTTAATCTAGCTTAGCATCGACAATAAAATCACAATTATCGATTTTGCACAGCGCACATAGTCCTTCAAGCAGTCATGGGTTCTCCATCACATGTACGTATATTACAGCAACAAGGTAAGGTGACTTCGAGCCACCGAGTTGCATTGACATCAGTCTACATATCATAGAAAGACTACATTAGAAACAGTGTCCGATTCGCATAGATACGGCATGTGAGACTCATAAATCAATATAAAGTCCATATCATCCTCTTTCCAAGACAAGTATGGAAAAGCACACAAGCAACTACCATTATCTACTTATCCACAACCTCGTCTTCAGCATCACTTGCCATGGTTCTTCTGGAGAACGCTGCCCCACGTCCAACGCTCCTCGGTTTGGAATCTTGCCCGCTGCCTGACAATAAAGAAGTCGGGCGAGGGGATCCCGACAACCTCTTATAACCAGGTGACGGTGGCGGCGAGGCAGAGTTTTTATTGAAATTCGAGACGAGACTGCTGACGCTACCACCACCGTGCACTCTAGGTCCGCGGGACAATCGGGGTCCACGAACGCCAGTCTGTCCAGAGCCTGAACGAGAGAGCGAAGTTCTGCCAGTTCCAAGAGTTTGATCTTCACTGGAAGGAGTGGGGCTAGGAGGCGTCCGGGCAGCGGATGACGGGCTGCTTGATCTTATAGCAGACTGCCGTCTCAGTATCTTCGCACTGGCATTCTGTGGGGTCGGGGGAGTAACACCCACTACTGGCGAAGGAATCTTTTCCTCGGTTTGAACTTCAGGAGGAGGAGATGGGGGTGGTGAGACGAATCTGGGCTGTGGCGGGGCATCGTCTAACTCAGGTGGTGGTTCCTTGAAAGAGGGCCGGGGAGGAAAATCTTCATCCTCAGGGGGAGGTTCCTTGAAAACGGGTCGTGCAGGTAAATGGCCAAAATCTTCAGATGACGCGGGTGCAGGCGGCGTGCGGACAGGCGTAGGAGGTTTCACGCTGATATTGGACGTAACAGGTGACGGAATTACTTCTGCAGGAGACTCTGGTTTGGAAGACACTGGAACTTGTGGCAGTGAATGAGGTTGTGAGACTTCAGAAGATACTTCAAGCGTGAATGGCTGAGACACTTTTTCGACAGCCATTTTTTGCGCAGCTTGTTGCGCGGCTATGATTTCCCTTGTTGGACCACCTACTGAGATTCTGCTCCTACTCATCCGCATGTCAATGGGAGCAGTGCGCTTCCGGACAGGAATGCGACGTTCAGCTTCCCGTTTCTTCTTTTCAATGGTTGGTGGGAGGATGTCCGTATAATTCTTCACCAAGTCGATGAATAATACTATATTAGACGGTGAGAATAAGACAACAGTTATGATTCAAAAAATAACTGACAAGTAGGATGGCGGTCTTGAACCGACAGCTGTGATTCATACTTAGGACGAATAATGGCTACAATAATAATTCAAGAAATGCTGGAAGGTTTACAATAGAAAATACTCACTACGGCCGACTGACAAGGCAAGCTTTGTAATGTAAATTTCATCGGCTTCTTCCACTTTAGTTGTTTCAATAAGGCTGTCGTCCGAGGAAGAATCAAAACCAACGTTCAGATAATAGAGTACAAGAGACTTACCTCCTCAAATGGATGATAATGGCGTCAAGCACGAAAAGATGAACTTTAGGTAGACGTTGCAATGCCACTTGCAAATCCTGAATATGTTGCTCTTCAGACACGTCACCATCTGGCTTAGCACTAGATCCAACTGAATTTCTATTAAATCAGTGAATTTTGCATAAATGGGGAAAACGTGCCTGTTGGGTATAGTTTCCTAATGTCTTCCCAGCCTTCCCACAATGCAAGAGGGGGGTCAAGTTCCAATGCCCACAGCTTGATAGCGCCTGCAATGACAGCAGCATCGTATTTCTCCAGCATCTCAAGTGAGAAGGGCTGCTCAGGTGGTATGGCATTCAAGCTTTCGCGCAAATGGTGCACAGCGGGAAGTGGGACGTCGTATATCCAAGCTTTGCGCTTCTCAGCATCATTGGGCAACCTCTTGTACGACTCGGTCAATCCGTCCAGAAGTGCAGTGAGGACAGGAGGGATATGCTCTCTCTTGTCTTCACCCGTGGTAAGGGTGTTCCAGCCACCCTCAGCCCACTTACGCAGGTCAATCCCAAACACTACGTCAGACTCATCATGGGCTACTGATTCGTAGAGTTGAGGAACAGGACGGAAAGGTCCTGTGCGATAGCGCTCAATCAATGCTGTGAGGTCTGACTCAGGCTGAAATGCAGCAACGAGAGTGCCAGAACGCTCGATGGACGCATCAATAGCTTTGGGCAAGTGTGCTAGAGTGCCTTGATATTGAAGCAAGACTAACAAATGTTTCAGCGGTTACATAACATCATAGATTGGGTGATACTCACCAGTCTTCACGGCTCGCAACCGCTCAGCCTCCCACCTTTGCAGAGTCTTCAGGACCTCTTCAATCCTCTCCTCGAGGCCAAGTCGTTGCCTGTCGAGTTTCCTGACAGCAACGCGGTAGGTCTTGTCGGCGTCATCCGCTTCGCGTCGTAACCTCACGTAAGCAGGTTCAGACTGTCCATTGGTGTTGTTATTCAAGGCCTTGGCTACAACGTTAACCAAAGTGTTCGACCGCTTCAAGAGGTTGTCTGCAATAGGTGCCAGGTTTCTCTTAGGGGCGGCACCAGAATCTGTGCCCTTGCCTTCCAAGTCGAATGCCTTGACAAAACATCAGTATAACTAAGCAATTTGATTGTGTTCTATTCGTTACCTTGGGCCTGAATTGATAGAATGCCTCCTCGGTGGCTTCAAAGTTATTTCCAAACTCTCCGATCCTCCGAAGCAAGTCTTCCCGCTCTGTAAGATCCCTTGCTGCTTCTTCGGCAAGCTCCAGACTACCACCAAACCCTTGCACATTCGCGTTCAGCCATTCAACAAATTCGTCACCCGAGAAGCACTTCTGGTACTCGCCCAGAAGGGGAAAGCGAACCGGTCGAAGATTGAGCTCACTCGCGGCACGAATTAACAATGCAGAGATGGCCGAAGGCGGCAGCGAAAGACCGGCCAACAGAATAGGGCTTGGCGGGGCCGGCGGCATGGGCGATTCGGGAGGCACAATATCAATCCTTGCAGGAGGCAAAGGGGGAGATAGGGGCGGTGGAGACATGGTCAACTCGCGTGGAGAAGATACCTCAACTGCCTTCCCTTTGCCCTTGTCGATTTTGGGAAGTTCCTTCTCATCCAAAGTCTCATTTGTGTTAGTATCTGACTCTGTAGACGAGGATGCTGCCTTGCGTTGAATTTCTTTAAAGCGTTGAGTAATACGGTCTTGAACACTAGAAGTTCGCTGTGGCGGCGACCGGGCGTCACGGGGAGCTAAACGTGGCGACGTCGTATACTTGTCACCAAGGTCGTTGTTGGGAGCAAATTTCGCGCTAAGTAGATGGCGATGAATGCCGTAAACACTAATACGGAATTGGGCAACTTACTCGTCTTCGGCCTCATCAGCACGGCGCATTTTCTGCAAATAAGAGTTCTTCAACTTGATTACCTGTATTACTGAATCAGCATTGAAGTGCTTTCTAAAGAGGTGGGGCTACATACCTCTTTCTGGGATTGTTCATAGGAACGCAACCAATTGTCAATGGCAGTAGATCTGCTTTTCGACAGCTCCCCCTGCTTTGGCTGTTAGTGTCTGAACGCGCTTTAGAAATATCATTTTGACCTTGTAGCTTTGAGCCCACTCGTCAAAAGGGTCTGCCACCAAAACCTGCAAGTCTTTAGAGATCAACTTATGAGCTTCACCGTGTGCAACGGATTCTGCCTGAAGACCGCGAAATGCCATCAACAACGAAGCACCATCGTCTGAGCTGAAGCCTGTCCCTAGAGTCAAATGTTGTTTGAAAGTGCTCATCTAGTGAAATAATGAGGATTTACTTGTTGTACCAGTCGGTGCAGGGTTTGAGAGAGCAGTAGCCAGCTGTTTTTCCAGGGTAGCGCGAGCCTAAAAAGTAGCTTGAACTCGCAGTTATTTGCCAAGGCCAGAGCAGATGGCTTACTCTAATGAATGCGACGATCTCATCATTTTCTGCGACTCCCTGAAGCACACCGTCAATACAACACTAAAAAAACACGCATGCAACACACATACTTGTTCCAGCTTTGAATACAAAACTTCCAGGCCTTTTCTGTAGTCCTGGGTCCAAAAAGAATTCGTGAATGTCAAGGGCAGAGAAAGGACTGCCATGGTGGGTGATTAATGAGAATTTCAGTTTGGTTCGTTGGTTAAACCAGCAGAAAACCTCGAGGGCTGGTTCAAACGTGCTGAGGTGCTGTTGGCACGTATGTTATGGTTTCGGGTTTGGCTGGGAGCTGTGCAGCAACGGGGCCACAGACACCGACACCGCCCATATTTGTGTACCACGTGGCGGCAACCATAACCGTCGATGTGGCAGATCTCTCGTCTTTGGGTTCGCTGTAACGCTCAAGCCATGATTCTGAAAATGTAATGCCATAGGATCTCTAGCTCTGTTACAACAATGTACTATTATACAACTCGTTATTCTAACACTGCAGCAGACAACAATGTAGAGTTCGAGTTGGACCCAGACCCCATTAGGAAGCGGGATTTGCCGAGTTCGCGACTGTCCAAATTTTTGGCGTGTTTGCACCGACCACGGACTCGGACGACGACAGTAAGGGTGTCGAAACAGCACTTGCATTCGTTCATAAAGTGCAAATGGGTCATGCATCAAAACGTTTATATTCCACGGCTTCAAAGCTAGCTGTATCCACCTCTCAGTTAAAGCAGTTCCCACCAAAAGAGGCCATCTTCAGAGGCGACTCAAGAAAACCTCATTTCTTTGACGCAGAGTCATGGGCTGCTTTACAACCTCCACCGACATCCTCTTTGACTGCATTCGCGCATCGAATAGGCCTTGGTACCGTCTTGACTTCTGCCGACGAAGTTCGACGAGCTTGCACACACCAGTCTTTTTTAAACCTCCATGCCAAATTCTACCCTACTAGCCCCGCTCCTCTAACCAACGCTAACCTTGCTACCATCGGAAACTCTCTATTGGGCCTTTTTGCTTCGGAATATATTCACGCGTCCTATCCGCATCTTCCGACACGGGTTTTGAAAGCTGCTGTCAGTGCTCATGTGGGGCCTTTGACTTGTGCTGGTGTAGCACATGAGATGGGTGCAGCGTCGCTGCTGCGATGGCATAGACAGGTACGAGTCAAATCATCATTAATCATTATCACGAGTACCCACAGCTAAATCACTTTGGTCCTAGCCAACTACACCCACTTCACCCGCTTTGTTACACTCTGATGCCCTCGCGTCAATACCACGAGCATTGACCGCAATGGTGTACCAAGAGCGTTCATTGAGCTCTGCTCGAAAGTTCGCGCAATCTTTTTTCCTCAGCCGGGATGTGGACTTGCGTAGCATGATAAAATTTCGAGACCCTAAAAGAGCCCTGACAGAAACGGTTGTCAAGTTCAACCGTGACCGGCCAAAATCTAGGTATGCGCCAGGTGTTAAATTTCGCTACTACGTTCTAAACTCAATATCTATAGATTACTCAAGGAAACCGGTCGTTATTCCAACTCGCCAATATTTGTGGTTGGTATCTATTCTGGTGCTGATAAACTGGGTGAAGGGTTCGGTAGCTCGTTGAAGATGGCAGAGTACCGGGTATGCGTGTTTTCTGTATATGCAATGGTTTATCTAATATGCCTTGGGGGCTTTTTTTTTCTAGGCTGCTGAAGATTCTCTCCATCGTCTATATCTTACGCGGACTCCATCTCACTTACTGCAGCTCCCATCGTCAACGTTCTCTTCGAGCCGAGGGAATGTTTATCATAGGAGTTCGGAGGAAGACTATGTTCCCGGAGAGCTTGGTGAAGCAGAGGCGTTGTATGCGAGCTCTGGACGCAGCAGCATTGTTGCACCGAAGCGACCTACATTAGAAGAGGAGGAGATGCGCCGGTCAGGGAGTGTTGTATAATACACAAGATCTAGTTAATAATCTGCATTGCTCTTGAATATTTACGACAAGGGTTGGAATCAATTATAAGAAAACCAGTGTATAGGTAATGGCATGATTGCCAGTACTTGTAACTTATAATAAGAGATCTGTTCTCGTGACCTGGACGTGTCGTGACGCGTCTGAAGGGAACGGCAAAATGGGGAATATCGGTTCGCCGTTCGCAATCTCTCCCTCTCACGACAATCATCATGTCAGACCCCAAGGAGAAAGCTCAACCAGCGACAGAACTCCTACCAGGTGCAGGATATCCTAAACCCAAGTCCAAATGCAAGTCAATCGCTGTAAAAACTGTGCTGGTTGCATTCGTATTCCTCGCATCAACCGCATTCTCTGCTCGGGGTGCTTTTCGTGAATTTCACCCAGTCAAGGCCAATGTTTGCTCCCAGGCAGGTGAACTTATTCCTGAAAAGAATGAAGCACTTTGGGAGAGTTTGAGCAAAATCTATGGTACGGAGGACTTCAAGATGAGGGCAGTAGACTGGCTCGGAGGAGCTGTTCGGGTTCCGTGAGTCAAGTAAATCAAAAATTTCAGCTTATCACCTTATCGTGTGATGACTTTAGCACAGAATCATACGACAAAATGGAACCCGTAGGAATAGATCCTCGCTGGGAGAAATTCAGTGCCTTTCACGACTATCTCCTTCAAGCTTTCCCTAAAGTGTACGTACATCTCACGTTCACCAAGACTCAAAGGCCATTTACCACTATTCATTAGTCACACTACTCTTGAATTGACTAAAGTCAACACTTATGGACTTTTATATGAGTGGAAAGGCTCAGATACTTATCTTCAGCCCATACTTCTTGCCGCACACCAAGGTCTGTAATCCAAATCATAGTGATTGATGGATTTCATATAAAAACGGCATTAGATGTTGTACCCGTTGAACCAACCACATATAGCCAATGGCAGCACGAACCGTTTTCAGGCTATTTCGATGGTCAGTCCTCCTTACACTTCAATCTCACTTAACGTCTTTCTTATCGGCCACAGGTGAACTCATCTGGGGTCGTGGAAGCTGTGATGATAAGAGTGGTTTGATTGGCATAATGTAACTCCCTTTCCTTATCGTGCTAAACATGTATTAAGCCTATAGCGAAGGTCTACCATCGAGTCTTTGTTAGAGCAAGACTTCAAGCCCTCTCGTTCCGTGGTTCTTGCTTTTGGATTTGACGAGGAGGCCAGTGGTATTTATGTAAATAACTTTCATGGCCATGAGCTTGACTACCGTCGCTGACATCTACTGTGTACAGGGTGCACAATCCCTTGCGGCTGCAATGCTAGAGAGATATGGTACTGATTCATTTGCAATGCTCGTCGATGAAGGGTGTGAGTCTCTGCAGCTATGGAAGGATAATATTATGTTAATGACTGCTTCCAGCTGGATACGGAGATCAGTACGGTCAAGTTTTCGCCACGCCTGGAATTGGAGAGAAAGGTTACTTGGATGTACGGATTGATGTCGCCTCTCCTGGCGGTCATTCCAGTCTTCCTCCTCCTCATACCGTGCTTCATGATCCTCTACTATCTATGTATCTCGTTAACCTTCCTTTCTCAGAGTATTGGGATGTTGGCACAACTTCTAGTCGAATTTGAGCAAAATCCGTTTGAGGTTCACCTGGTAAATTCGGATTTTTCCTATATTATCCATTGCAGTGGCTGACTTTTTCGAAATAGAGCAGGGATTCACCAACCTACAAAACTGTTCAATGTCTCGCTGCGCACGCTCCCGACCTACCCCCATCTTTGAAAAAAGAGATTCTAGAATCCGAATATTCTGATCGGGCGCTCAGTGCAGCTGAGAAGACTCTCTTCGAAAATCGGAAGTTCAAGAGCCTGGTTGGTACGACACAGGCCATCGACTTGATTCAGGGTGGAGTCAAGACAAATGCACTCCCTGAACAGGCGTGGGCTGTTGTCAATCACCGTATCTCTACAGAAAGGTTGGTGTTGAATGAGGAACACCTTTCGTTTTTGCTTACTCAATCGCGTATCGTAGCTCCATCGATGAGCTTAAGAACCGAGACACCGATCTGCTCCAATATCTTGCAGGCGACTTCAATTTATCTTACAGTGCTTTTGGTGTCTCCCTTTCTGAGGCCAATGCTCCCGCCTACGGATCGTTAAACTTGAGTGATGCCTGGGGTACAGGCTTAAAACCTGCACCAATCAGCCCGACTGATGGGGATGCCGCGCCATACAACCTTCTATCTGGTTCGATCAAGGCAGCATACAACTCTCATAGGAACATCGGGGGCAACGATAACATTGTAGTGAGCCCTGGCATCATGTCGGGTAACACTGGTATGCTACTTTCCACTTGGTACCATGTCCTTGTTAAATCCAATCTGTCAGATACTCGGTACTACTGGGACTTCACAAATCATATTTTCCGGTACGGGCACTCGAGGTCTGTAGGGGGCTCCCTACCCAGTGGTGTTCACACTGTGAATGAAGGTATGTACATGCTTTTTTTGATTGCAGCCTGAGTCTGATCTCTAGCGCAGCAATGAGTGCCGACAACTTTGTGGAGATTATTAGATTCTTTACAACATTGATTCTCAATGCCGATGAGTCCAAGCTCATTTGATACACTTGCTTCGAGGGTATTGGTAAATGTACTGTCCTTTCATATCACACAATTACGCTTGCCTGTACAGTAGTCGATACCGAGGTCTACCCTCCCTTGCCGACCTAATTATTGATATGACAATTGAGATCGATATAACCAAGGTCCTTGTTGACGAAATAGGCTGATATACTCCAGCCAACATACTCTATCATAAAAATGGAAACAATAGTTACATCTATGGACGTTTGTCCTCTGTCGGCCCTCTCCAAATTGACTGGTTATGAGTACACTTCATAAAATACAGATGAAATTAAAGCAATCAATGTGACAGTAATAGACGAGTGTGTTGAGTTAAGAAAAGCGTGGCATTAATTTGACTCCCGATGCTCTCAAAGCAGTTGCCCACTGTCTGCTTAGCGCATTTGGTTAATTTAGCTTGAACACTGAAACTTGCTATCTGGTGAATCAGATGGTGCAGGCGCTTGCAGATCGACGAAGGGTTTTGGAGGGGGGTGCTGAGAATGATGTGAGACATGTATGGTATGCCTAAGAATAAACTGGACTGACCCAAATCCAGAACGTGTGTCGAATGAAAAGCCGTGCTTTGTAGGTGTCTATGTTTGCCCTGGGGAGATATATCGCATGTACTGGGAAAATCTAGGGACTGTACAACATCAACTTGGACGTCGATATCTAGTGGACGTTGATATCTCCTTAGGGTGACGGATTGGGGATTGTTTGCGATAGGTAACACATCCTGATTGAAGAGTGTTCCAAGACCAACACGTACGATGATGAGAAGTGGAGTCGCTGTCTACCATGCTCAAGCTTTTAATCCAGTGAACACTGCAAACTTCAGAGAGAACTCACGTTCACTTGTACGGCTACCCCAGTCGCTAGTACACCTGCCACGTTACCAGCAAGGTACAGACAAACCAAGACGAGTGTGCAGCCCGTTATTAAAGCCCCCGACTCTATCACGATTAACGCGATACCTATGTAATCTGGGCCAGTTATAGCAAAAGTCTTTTTGCCTACTTGATAGAGACGATATGCAATGCTGCCTGTCAGACCAAAATTTATGAAAAAACCTAATGTCCAGCCTGATAACATGAATGCTTTGAAGTAATGCGACGGTAAATATGAAACTTGAGGAGTTGCAGGTTGAGAAAGATAGAATGCAGCTGTGCAAGCACAGACTAAGAAATATTAGGCCGAGTTTTACTTTCATGAAGGACAATGCCTACTTATATCGACCACCAAAGTAATTATCTGGGACCACTTTGTAAGAGGGATGAAAACCAAAATCAAAAATAATCTCACCGGTAATATGCATACCTTCCATCGATGACTGAATACTACGTACAACCTCCATATCTAAACGAGTGCGAGTGAATCAGTTTGGCTATGCATGTACCTACGGCTCCTTACCAACAACAAGTATTGCACCACTGCCTGGATAAAAAAGGGATTTGAGGCCAATATTCGGATGTATATGACAACACCCAACTAACATTCACAATATAGAACGTGAAATTGGCGACAAGTAAAGGGTTAAACATAAGATACGCGTCTTCTGTTTCAGGCTGGGACGCAATGATCGGGTCGGTGAATGCTTGGAGCAGCTGTAAGAACGATAGGATTGCATGTGCAGTGGCTGTTGTAAATAAAATGATGCTTGCAATGAGGAGTATTCTGCTCGAACTTCTGAGGAAATGGGGATCAATCAATATTACATCCTTTGGTTGAAAGCTTTGAACACAGTTTACTTGCGACGTTGCTCCCCGTGCCGTTTCAATAGCATGAAAAAACAACAACAGAAAAGCACAAAACTAGATTCGCGGTGATAATTAGGCTGGCGTTTTCAGGTGAATTAAGTATAATTACTTAGCACCTGACAAGAGATCACATGCTTAATAGGAAATTAGAGAGGAATAACAAACTTACCATATGAACTACATTCTATCCATGTAGATGTCAAGGTGACTGAGCAATCGGGGGTTCAGCCATTGCGACGATCGACAATGTATAGCCTACAAGTTTGAGGAAATCGGTACAACATGTCAGCTTTATACATCTGTGAGTTGCACTGCCCAATTAACACATATTTCTGGGCAGCATGTTTTTACTGGAATGTTACCTTGATTAGGCTGAGTCGAGGCAGGTGTCATGCAAGGTGTCGATAAACGTAGAGGACTAATTCTTTTCGAGTAACTCGGCCATTTATTACATCATCGGGCGTTTATAAAACACTGTAAACATATTTGCAGGTCTTGGAAACCGATATTAAGGAAGGTCTTACCGCTATCGTATTTGCTTGGTGGAGGTGGGACGCAGAAGATGCTGTATATCGCACCCAGTCCATGCTGTATGTCACAAATAGGTCTTGCATTTGGCTAGCAACCCTCACCGGTGCTCGCTGCCATAGTCGTGGAGCTTCCAAATCGTGTTTTTACGGACAAACTACTGGATATGCAGCGAGAGGACCTGTTGGTGATATCGATATATGGTCTGAGGCAGTGGGCAAAACATAATTCCAATGATCACAATGATCAACCACTCCCGACACGCACGACGATATTAATAAGCACTAGAGTAAGGGTCTGAAAGTGAATTAGCGTGAGGTCAGAGAGTATTTACACTCACAATCATTTGCACAGGTACATCGATCGCAATAGGGCTGATCACACTGCCTGCGATGTACACACACAGAATAATGGACATACTACTCGTCATTAATACGCCGGATTCGACCACAAACCGGATAGCACCTGTAGTCTGAGCGCTGAGCGGCCGAGTCGAACGGAAAACTCTCATTTTTTATTAGTAGAGGTCGTAGGCGATACTAAAGGTTCAACCAATCCTTGAACAGATTATAGGTCGTTATGACAGAACAATCACCCAGCAGGCGCTTTATAGGCTAGGTGGTCTTGTAAGCTGGTCTTGTCTCATAAGAAAAAAATACAAAGTACCGTCATTATACGCGAGGGCCAAGAATCAATATACCATATCAGACGTTGTAACCTTTCCGTGACTTTAGGTGCGTGCACGCCGGAGAGAACCTAGAGTTTTGCTATCCATACAGCATGTGCGTGCTGTACTTGAACTAGAAAGATGATCGCACTAAAAGGTAGATGATTCATAACTTAGGGCTTGGTCGGATTAGTCATCAGAGCTCTCTTCTGCTTGTACATCGACAATGACTGAGAATGACCTTTACAATCTCGAATTCCTGTCTCTCCTTGCAAAAATCACCCAAGAAATCGATAACCACATTGGTCTGAATGATAAAACTATCGCCGAATATGTCATCTCCCTCCACGACGCCTCAAACAGCCTCCTCGACTTCAAAACAAAGCTCAAAGATGCCGATGCTGACTTTTCAGAGTCTTTCATCGAAAATATGGATCGTCTTATCCTAAGCCTGCATCCGAAACATAAGAAGAAATCTGCGATCCTCGCAAATGGTGAAAGCAAGGTCGTCGATGGCGAGGCTGTCCTTGCTGAAACCGAAAAGCAAAAGCGACTTTTCCCAGGTCTTGCTCTACCCAACGCAGATTTGCAACCAGAAATAACGAAGGACATCCTTATGAAAGAAGTAGACGATCTAATGGCCCAGTTTGAAGGTGCGGTAAAGAAAACTAAGGCCAGGCCAGCGGAGCATGAGAGATCCCCAAAGAGACAGCGGATAAACAGAGAGAGGTCCAGGTCTCCTCCAAGGCGTCTGGATTCAAGTTCAGGAAGAGGTAGTGGATATAGTGACAGGAGACATGACTCGTCGTGGAGAAACGAGAGCAGCGGTAGAACTCAAGTGGACGATCGGCCTGTCTTATTCAAAATATACAATGGCCGCATATCAGGCCTGAAAGAATTTGGTGCTTTTGTTCAGCTGGAAGGGATAGCGGGTCGAGTCGAAGGTAACGTCGCTATTATATGCGTAGAAGCTGCTGGAGGCTAACTCGCGTTCAGGTATGGTACATGTTTCTAATATACAACAGGGAGCACGCGCAAATTCTGCCTCGGACCTTCTGAGCCGTGGTCAGTCTGTGAAGGTCAAGGTGATGAGCGTCGCAGGCACCAGAGTTGGTCTATCCATGAAGGACGTCGATCAAGCGTCAGGCCGTGACCTCACACCACACCTTCGCATCAAGTCTGAAGCAGAAATAGAAGAAGAGCGGAAATACGCTGCTCGGGCTTCTTCTGGCGCCAACGCACTACCACTTCGTTCTAGTGACCAGGCACCTGTACGGTCCGCTAAAAGACTGACGTCACCCGAGAGATGGGAAATTAAACAACTCATATCATCCGGTGCAATAGATGCATCAGAGTATCCAGATTTAGATGAAGATATCAGTAATCCAATGGCTCATGCTGAGGTTGAGGAGGAGCTAGATGTGGAGATTAGGGAGGATGAGCCGCCATTCCTTGCTGGACAAACGAAACGGACTTTGGATCTGAGCCCAGTCAAGATTGTCAAGGCTCCAGATGGTTCGTTGAATAGAGCTGCGCTTGCAGGTGCATCTCTGGCCAAAGAAAGGCGTGAGCTTCGGCAACAGGAAGCTAATGAACAAGCCGATTCGGAAGCCCGCGATTTCAGCGCACCGTGGCTGGACCCCATGGCCAAAGACACAGATAAAATGTTTGCTCAAGATTTGAGGGGGAACTTGAGAGGTCAAAAGGCAGGAGAGGTGCCCAAATGGAGAGAGCAGACATTCAACAAGGCCACAACGTACGGTGAAATCACAAATCTCAGTATACAAGATCAGCGTAAGAATTTACCCATATACAAGCTGAGAGATCCTTTGCTGCAAGCTATAGGAGAAGTACGTAGCCTTTTTTGATAGGTTGTCTACAATATAATCTTATACTTCTTTGCAGCATCAAGTCCTGATTGTTGTCGGTGACACAGGATCAGGCAAGACGACTCAAATGGTGCAATATTTGGCGGAATCTGGTTTCGCAGACCGAGGACGTATAGGGTGTACCCAACCCCGTCGTGTTGCCGCCATGTCAGTTGCCAAACGTGTGGCGGAGGAGGTTGGTTGCCGTCTTGGCCAGGAAGTGGGGTATACGATCCGCTTTGAAGACTGCACTAGTCCAGAAACGAAAATCAAGTACATGACGGATGGTATGCTGCAGCGAGAGTGTGTAATCGACCCTCTCTGTAGCTCATACTCAGTTATCATGTTGGATGAAGCACACGAGCGTACGATAGCCACCGATGTTTTGTTTGGTCTGTTGAAGAGTGGGTCACCCTCAGATTGATTCTAGTATGATTATTCACATAATTTTTTCAGAGGCTGTTAAACGTCGGCCTGATCTGAAGCTCATTGTCACCTCAGCAACATTGGATGCCGAGAAATTCTCCAAGTACTTCTTTGGCTGTCCTATCTTCACCATTCCAGGCCGAACATACCCTGTTGAGATCTTGTATACTAAAGAACCTGAAACCGACTATCTCGACGCATCTCTAATAACGGTTATGCAGATTCATCTTTCAGAACCCCCCGGTGACATCCTCCTGTTCTTAACTGGACAGGAAGAGATCGATACTGCTTGTGAGATTCTATACGAACGTATGAAGGCTTTGGGTCCCAAAGTCCCTGATCTCCTTATCCTTCCCATTTACTCCGCTCTCCCATCAGAAGTCCAATCTCGAGTATTCGAACCCACTCCTCCTGGTGCTCGTAAAGTGGTGATTGCAACAAACGTAGCGGAGACTAGTTTGACGATCCCAGGCATATACTATGTGATTGATCCTGGGTTCTCAAAGCAAAATGCATACGACCCGAGATTGGGTATGGACTCCCTTGTAGTGATGCCGATATCCCAAGCACAAGCGCGGCAGCGTTCTGGACGTGCCGGGCGTACAGGACCGGGCAAATGTTATCGTCTTTTCACAGAAGCAGCTTATCGTAACGAGATGCTTCCTACATCCATTCCAGATATTCAACGGACAAATCTTGCGCATACTATCTTGATGTTGAAAGCCATGGGTATCAACGATCTTCTTAGCTTTGATTTCATGGACCCACCCCCTGCACAAACAATGCTTACTGCTTTGGAAGCATTGTATGCTCTTTCAGCTCTGGATGATGAAGGTCTCTTGACTAGGTTAGGTCGTAAGATGGCCGACTTTCCTATGGAGCCTCCACTGGCAAAAATGTTGATTGCGTCAGTGGAACTGGGATGCTCCGAAGAGATACTTTCTATCGTCGCCATGTTATCAGTACAGAGCGTTTTCTACAGACCAAAGGAGAAACAAGGCCAAGCAGATTCTAAAAAAGCCAAGTTCCATCAGCCTGAAGGAGACCATCTTACGCTCTTGACAGTGTATAACGGATGGAAGGGAGCCAATTTTTCGAACCCATGGTGCTATGAGAATTTCATACAGGCAAGAAGCATGAGGCGAGCTCAGGATGTCAGGAAGCAACTGCTGGGAATCATGGATCGGTAGGTTTTAATGTATATTCTAGGTCGCTTGACTTCAGCTGACATTTACTTCAGCTACAAGCATGATATTGTGTCAGCTGGCAAGGATTACAATCGTGTTCGAAGAGCCATCTGTTCTGGTTTCTTCCGTAACGCAGCAAAGAAAGACCCTCAAGAGGGCTATAAGACACTCGTCGAAGGAACGCCAGTTTATATCCACCCATCCTCAGCTCTTTTCAACAGAAATCCCGAGTGGCTTGTGTACCATGAATTGGTATTGACGACACGCGAGTACTGTCACAATGTCACGGCTGTTGAACCAAAATGGCTCGTCGAGGTTGCGCCGCAATTCTTCAAAGTGGCGGATGCTAACAAGATCAGTAAAAGGAAACGACAAGAGAAAATAGAGCCACTATTCAATAAGTATGAAAAACCGGATGAATGGCGGTTATCAAAGATTAAGCGCAGTGCACGCTCGGTGTGTTATTTCCATTCTTTCAACTGCACATTTAATCTGACTTGTTCTGTAGAGTCAAACATTTGGTTAAGATTCAAATTTACTGGACATGTGTTATGTTTTGTATTTCTGGTACTGTAGGTTACGTCTCAATTCACAATTAGAGACACAGAATGGCACCAGACCGAGTTCCGATTTAGTTATGCGTACTTACAATGTCACACCAATCACACTATAGACTGTTAGTTGTGCCCGACAGTACGCCTGGTGTGGAGGGAGGTTTCACGGTTTAATTTTGATGTGAACAATACACATAGAAGGTACCAGGAATGCCAGAGATCAAACACTGGATAAAATCCCCACCGGAATATTCCGACAACCTCTTGTTTACTTGCAACTCAATCTATAGCTATCAGGCACTCGGGCTGGACGTCGTACCACTTAGCCTGAGAACTTTCATACTCTTTGGACGATCAGAGATGACTACTAGCACACCAGTTCAGACTGTTCAGTGAGTAGTAAGAGTAGTCCATTTCTGCTCATTGGGATAATAAGTGGGTGGTTATGAAAGTCTAGCCAGGACAACGATCACACCCGCGCTCGCATTTTACGGGACCATCTTCGCGAGGCTCTAAAAGATGATCCAGACGACGACTCCCTGCAGGTATGGCTCAGACCCCTTGATTCCCGCCATATTTTGTTGATCGGTTACCATTCAAGCAACTTGTAGATAGTCTGACAATCGCTTCGCTGCACCCCGTTGGAGAACCATCGAATTCTCAAACTAATGATGAGCTCACAGTGACTGAACAAAGCGTGCGATTTCCTGGTGCGTTGACGAAAGCTGACGTCCAGAGGGTTGTTCATACGAGCATGCTGGTGAGTAGCGGATCGTTTCTCTGTTGTGATGAATATTGAATGTTACATTCAGCTTGATACACCGTCGATGGACCGCCTTGAGGATGCACTTGGGTCGACTATGAAGGACATCGCAGACTTTTATTGGAGCCCAGCAGGTGCATGTCTTCTTCCACACCCGTGAACATATAACCTGAAGCTAATCACAAATATGTACTTGCCAATGATGTATCAGAGGTCCTCGACGACGATCCAGTCCAAAGAGCTACAATTTTACCTGAAACAATCATGAACCAGCGTGAAAAAATGGATGAATATACTGCAGAAATCAAACGTCGGTCGGACCGCATACATAAGCTCGTGACAGAGATAAACGAGGTGATTACATCCTTCGTCCTTGCAGGAGGATATTATTCACAGTCCCCCCTCTCCCTCCTCGTAGACACATCCACAGCTGCACGAAGAGCTGATGCAGTCTCTTACATCTCTTACCCCAAAGATGGAAAGCTCACGGACCGCATCCAACGAGTTGCTTGCAACAACAATCGAAGTGTCACTACTGAAACTCTCATTAATTCGTGCAAGTTCGAATCAGGCCCTTTATGGATTCACGTCATCGGCGAACCCACAGGCAAATATGATTCGGGCGCTCTCAGGGGCTCATGAGAAGTTGAAGAAGGACGAACGTAGACTGGAGCAAGAGGAGAGAAATGTAGACAAGCAAATCGCAGAGTATGAACGACTGCTGCAGCTAGTTGATGGACCACGAGGAGGTTTTGCACAAGTCGTGGATGACTGGGTGAGAGTTCAGAGAGAGAGCGAAGAGTGTAGGAAAGACTTGAGAAGACTTGGTTGGACTGGAGATTGAGAATCGCACATGCACTGGGAGCCATTCAAATAGAAATATGCATTTTTCCGCTTCGCTTATTCAACGTGTGGCCCCCTTCTACTTTACTAGACTCCTGCGGCTGCCTAGTAGTTAGTTAACTCATAACGAAAGGGATTCGTCACTGTTCAAGATTAGTTTGGTGAAGAAACGAATTCCTTCGATGACACTTTCCGCGCGTCTCGCTGTTCCTTCCATATCAACACATATCCCGAAGAGATGAACCAGATAACAGACCTTCGTTGATCGTATGAATACCAGCATAGACATCAGTGGCAGCTCCTGGCGAGTATCGGAATATATGCCGAGTGAGGTTCCAGTAAAATCTGGTATCTGGATACAAAAGGAATTCATTAGCCCTGCATCAGAAAACAAGAGTCTAAAAATCGTAAACCTACCAGTATTGCCTTTCAAGGAACACAAACAGATTAGCATCATAATCATAAACATAGTAAATATCTAGAGCATGATAGTAGGTAACATACCTAAGGAAAGAGAAGGGGCGATAACCACCCCAGTGGTATTGTAAAAAGTAGAACTTCCTATAGTGGCCTTGATAGTTCCCGACAATAACGAATAAGGTCCATATTCAAGAGGCGTGACTGGAGAAGGGTCTAGCGCAGTGTTGAAAGCATCAGAAAGGGTGACGACTCCAGCTTTTTCGTTTCCACGAATCGCAATATGTCCAAATGCGTTGAGCGTCATATTGAATTTTCTGACCGTAGGAGATAAAACGTCAACGAGATGTTCTTGTAATTCTGCCACTGAACTGATAGTTGCATTTAGTCGGGACCTGTGCGTTTCAGGCGAGGGATACTACCTGTGCTCCGCAATACGATGGTTTACTATAGCAGATGTCCGCTCTGGAAGGGCGTTCACTTTCACACCACCTTCAATGACGTCGACAGCTTGTGTAGTACCAAACATGGCGCTATATAACGGAGATGCTGCAAGGAGCTCCTCCTCCAACTGTTTGAGCGCTGCGTCGTCAGAGAGTGCTTCTTTGGCAAGACGCCGGATATCATTAGGATAAGTAGGTCCGTAGGTCGAGGTACACTGGATGGATGCGAATGGAGTGCCGGAACGCAATAGCTGGGATTCGTGAGGGTGATCTTCGATTTCTGTGACCAAGCGAGAGAGAATTCCAATACCCTGCAGTCTGACCTTAGCATAGAGCCGTCACGAATTTTGGAGCAAATGGCCTACTGTGTGAGGGGGAGGAACGCTAGAATGGCCGCCTGAAGTGGACACTTCGACTTTAACATCTAAGTAACCTTTCTCTGATATATCAGGTGAAGAAAACATAACTCCTCCTCCGAAAGGTATATCATTCGATCCTGGTAGACGTTGAATGATTTCACGTCAAGAGAGAATATCCAGAACCTACCTCCTTCGTCTACGAGCATGGCAAATCCATCTCGTCCATATGTGGTCTCTAGGTATCCCGCAATGTGACCTGCTCCCTATAGATCGATGAAAAAATATTTTTAGCCACAATTTTAGAATAGACTGACCTCCGTACCCTTGGATTCTTCATCGAAACCGGATGCAAGGACCACGGTCCTGGCTGGAGCAAAGCCCTTGCTTAGAAGGGAATCTATGGTGATGCTAACTAATTGTGATTAGTCGGAATCATAGCTGTCCAGGTAGTAACAATCGCACAGTTGTTCGATAAGGTCCGACTTATCGTCGCTACTACCACGGCCCCAAATCCATGTACCTGCTCATTGGTTATTCCCTCATGACGGCATTAGAATCTTAGAAGGACCCAAATACCATCATAAAGTCCAGAATACGGTTCGTGTTCCCACTGGTCAATTGTAGTCGGGTCAACCGGGACAACATCTGGTCAATCTCTTGAGTTTAACACATGACAGCGACAGAAAGTTAGTACCTTGATGGGCTGTTATGAGAATGGGCTTGGCGTTGGTCGAGCCTTGCCAATGAAATACAAGACCGTATGTGTTGACTTTGGTTACTTTCAGATTCTCGTACCTAGTAAAATGATTGGACTGGAAGATTTAATGATAGCCTAACTTTAAGATCGTACACAAGAGGAAATGTGGACTGAAAGTAGCTGTGTAGTACTTGAAAGGTTTCCCATCTCGGATCCTCTCCAACTGGGCCATTGTCATCATAGGACTCGGTTCTGTAAGATCAACACCACATTCAGCGAAACCGAGGTAGGATCTGAAACAAAGTAAAAGCAGTACGGGATTTGAATAGCGCCGGAGAAAGACTTGTACGTTTTGAGCTTGAAATCCTCGGTCGCATAGAGTGACTCTAGCTCGGCATCAAGGAGGACATGTTTAGCGGGATAAAGAGCTTCAAACTGAGGACATGCGCTGGAATTCACGTTGGGGGGCAGAGCACCGAGGATACTAGGATTATCGTTGCAGTGTCGGCTTGAGAAGAAAGAGGGCAAGCCGCCTGGTTCCCGATGCACCAACGAAAGCAGAGAGGATGCACTGATGACTGTCAGGATTGCGGTGCGCAGCGAGCTACTTTTTCGGGTGAATGGCGCGTGCTGACATGGATCTGGTAAGTCAGACAACTGAGTCTTAGATAAAGGCATGTGAGAGATCTGAAACTAGGCTTTTGTCGACGAGATATGTCCTAACGATGCTCAGCCGAGGAGTGCCAGTCACGGTCACCTGACTCGGGCCTGTGCAAGCGAGTAACGCCGGTATCGCCGACGCTGCCATTTGGACAGCTCTCATTTGCTGACATAATTACATGGAGGACCACCACAGTCGAGAGAGAGGAAACTTCGTAATGAGGGAAATCAAGATTCCAGCACCAATCTCGCCGCGTGTTCCCTTTCTCCCTCGACGGAACCCATCCAAAGTCAGAAAACCTTTCTTTTTCTTGCTTTCTCCACCCTCGCCCTTCCTGTCCTCGTTCCAGCTTTTTTCAGATCTCAGAACAAGCAGCGAACACACTCCAATGGACACAGACACCCAGAATATCGCTCAGGACCACTGCGCGCTTCAGCAGGCCCAAATTCTGCAACGCGGCTTCGCCCCTTTTCCAGCTTATCAACCGTGTGCTCAATGTATCACCGCCTGCGCCACGCAATGCAATGATGCTTGCCCTGTCCCCGAAATCACTTCTCAGTGCACTGACCAGTGTGTAATCGTTCCATGCGACGATCCAACACATGCTGCTCCAGAAGATACCTGTGGGCCAGAGCATCCGGGCCCAAGATGTGGACCCAATTCCACCGGCCCTAACTGTGTAAACTCTCCTGGCTTCGAAGAAATGGTTCGTGCTTATCTTTTATCTTTAAATACCCGGCCGTTAACGTCTTACCGTCAGCTGCAATGTTGCACTGACTACCATTCGTATTTCCACGAGGAAAAACCATATGAGACCATCCCTGAAGTCGTCAACTGGGATACATCCCTGGCCGACTTTTTGTGCGGGTGTAACGAGAGTCAACAAGCTGCTTCGAATCCACACGCTAACTTGGACCATGGTTTCGCGAACCCTATCTCAAGATCTGCTACTATCCATTCAGATTATCTTCCATCGGCAAGCTCGACATCGGCTTCCGATACCTCTACATTTCCTTCCCCCGCATTGGCTCCAGTCACTCCCTTCTTACCTTCTAGTGTCTCTCATGCCTTGCCCAGTCCTCTTTCTGCCAGTCAGCCCTGTCAATGTATGTGGGCGAACTGTGGAGCCGTCTTTTCCTCCCTTAGTGACCTTGTCGGTCATGTCAATCTTCAGCATCTCCGGATCCCACCAGCTCCACAGCCTAGCACATTGATGGACCCCTCATTTGGGATCGACTCCTTATCATGTCAATGGGGAGATTGTACCGCTTATCCTTCCCCGAGCTCTATTCCAGGCTCTTCCACGGGAAATCTACACGACAGCGCGACGTGCATATTGGCCACTCATCTCTTAAATGACCATCTTGGAATCCATAACCACGAACCATTCTCGGGTAACGTCCCAGTTACTGCTCAAACACAAGCTCCAGCTTTTCCAGACCCTGTCGAGAGCCTTGCCTCTCCGCCAGCGTCGTTGAATAGCGCTTCGCATTCGCCTAGTCCTTCACCACATGAGTGCTCCGGCACACACATTTGCCATTGGAAATCATGCTCCGAATCGTTCTCTTCTTGCGATGAGCTAACGGCGCATATAACCGCAGTACACATCGGGAGTGGCAAGCCTCACTATGATTGCTTTTGGGAGGGATGTACCAGGCATGGAGAGAATGGGTTCACAAGCAAACAAAAAATATCTAGACACCTGCAGGTGATTCTGCTTCTCGCCTTTCTCGTGGCACTGTATGTTGACATCTCGCGTACTACAGTCCCATACAGGTCACCGGCCGTTCCAGTGCACAGTGTGTAAACAGAACTTCTCAGAAGCTGCTACGTTACAACAGCACATGCGTCGGCACACTCAAGAAAGTTCGTATCGTTCTGACAACGGATTCTTTATTGTACTAACACATTCCCCTTCTTCCTATTAAAGAGCCATACGTCTGCGACTTCCCTGGCTGCGGTAAAGCATTTGCGATCACAGGTGCTCTGACTATTCATAAGCGAACGCACAACGGTCATAAACCGTTTAAATGTACATACTGCGAAAGGTACGTGCCGTTGATAGTCCAATCATAACCCCTTGGCGGCTAACACCATTGGTTCCCAGGGCATTCGCGGAGTCGTCGAACTTATCGAAACACGTAAGTTCTCGTCACAAGATCAAAAGCTTTGGAAATTTCTAACTTGCGGTTCACATAGTTGCGTACTCACACAGGTGCCCGCCCTTACACGTGTACTGCAGACGGTTGTGGGAAGGCATTCGCCAGGCCAGACCAGCTGGCTAGACACATGAGCGTACATCGGAAGAAGGGCGGCGGTCCCAAGGTATAGAGGACTTGAGAACGGGCCGTATAGAAGTATAATAGTGAAGGCGTGTATTTTTGCATTGAGTAGCTACACTTCATGACACCAATGATGTTTATTTATATCTTGAAGTGGCTCCTTTTTAGTAGGACCGATAAGCAAGTAAAAATGTAGATTTGCTTCATCAAAGATTATGTGGCGCTGGTAGAGGCTTATCCTGACGAGGGGTATAGTAGGTGTATTTAGCCATTGAATCACCATTGTCCGTCAAGCATGAGCCCACTGATCCCACTGATGACTTCTTCCTGGTCCCCTGATGACTCTGGTTCTAGTTCAGGGGCTTTTCGAAACGGCGTAGCTTGAGAAGATTCCGAAACAGGAACAGTCAACTCCACAGGTGCCAGACCTGAAGTTCTCCGAGTAGGAATAACTCTGCCTGCGAACCAAGTCAACATTTAGTATGCCATGTGTGCACCTGGATGAGATACATAGCCGTACCAAGCTTTTTCAAAGTGTCATATCCCTGGAGTCTTATTTTATCGAATTCCGGGTCTACAGATGAGCCTTCGTCGAGGGCCACGTAGTCAATTTTGTTTTTGAAAATGAAGTTGTCGTCTAATGACCATGGTGCGTCTGATATAACTTCGTCTACCCAACGACAATGTCTAAGTAGCTCGAGCCTCTCGATGTGCGGGTACTTTGGGAGGTTTCCATGGCTCTGGCACAGGTCATCTGAGAAGACGCCCACTGATAGGTAAACGTTAGGAAAGGAAAGCTTGGCCTGACGTAGTTGCAGCGCGTGTCTGGGAGAAGCCATCAAATATGATGAATGATAGCGTACCAGAATGGCACTTACCCTGCATTGAATGCGTCAAAAGCCCCGTCAACATACACGCGCACGGTCTTGCTCTCTGCCAGTGAAGGATAACCAGCACTCCTTCCAGCCGTCGTCGCGTCAATGCCCTTTCGCACGTATGATTGTATGTCCGAAGCAGCCAAGCGTGCGGTATTGAACTTCTCTTTGGCAGCTCGTAGGGGTGGGGGTTCATATATGTTTTGAGTCGGAATATGGCTCAGGTCTGCTATGCTGGACTCGAGAGACCTCTGACCGGGATTGGATATAACATCGTAATCCTCATCACTCATAACAGAGCAGTTATCCATGGCGTCTGAATTGGGCAAGGATTCTGCGAATAGGCTATAGGACACTTGGGACGAGCGTTTGTTTAATGACTGCGATGATAACAGTGGCTGAATATGCAAAATTCAAAACACGAGGCGCATAGCTGCGAGCTAACGGCGCAAATGAAGGGTCGTCCGAGATCACAAACAGGGGAAAGCAATTTAAACCTCGTGTGAATTCCGAAAACGGAAGGTAGTGTTCAAATCCCCAGAAACGAACATCCAATCATCGCTGCAGACATATGTTTCATGTACAGAAAAGACTACAAATACAAGAGCGCTTAAGCTTTAATGGAAACGTCAGGCATAGACCTGGCATAAACTTTTAACTCCTTCCTGGAAAAAGTTCCAGTGATCAGCCACCCATTGTTAATCCATTATTCTTCAAACCGGAATACATATCGCAATACGGCGAGGGGTATCACAGGGGTGGAATGGTTCCAGGGAAAAACGCGGGGCCGCCTTTATTTTCATTGTACCACGAACTGTCATGGGCTATGAGAATTTGCACCCTGGGGACATTCAAGAGAGACCCAATGCGACGAATGGTTTCGGCAGCATCTTCCTTGTTTGCGTGGGAGCACTGAATATGACCGGCTGCATCTAACCTAACCGCAATCTCCTTCTCACCCGTCACCAGCCTGAAATCGTGAGCTGAATCACCGGCTAAGAATATCCATGCTCCATCAGCAGAGGTGCGCGCGAAGATGTTAACATGTCCAGCCAGGTGGCCTATAACCAAAAACAAAATAAGCAACTACTCCAACGTCGAAAGTAAGATAAAGGGGATTACCTGGTGCATCCACGATATACATACTACCATCTCCAAAATAGTCGAAAGTACGAGGGAAAGGTCCGATGGAAGTAGCAAAGTCTGATAAGGACAAGAACCGAGTGCGATCCAATGGTATGGCATTTTGTACGATCAGAGAAGTAGGATCAGACAGATGTCCAGAATCTATGATGCTGCGGCACGCTCCTCCAACTACGAAAGTTGCGTTTGTGAAAGGCGCAGAGTCGCCTATACTGTCATTTCTCAGGTGTAAAATTCTGAAAACATAGTTGAAAGATTCAGCACTTACTGGTCCCAATGAAGATGACTTAACACAACCGTCTCCACTTGTCCGGGCAGGAACCCTCCCTTGCCCAGCGAGTCCGGAACTGTTTCATCGACATTTACAGGATTGAACTTCTTAATCCTTGCTTGAATAGAGGGTGGATAGCTTTCCACGTCGCGACGTATTCCCAGATCAAAAACTAGGTGAGCCCCAGTTTTGGAGTGGCGAAGAAAGAAACAGAGCGAAGGACAACTGATGACTTCTGACGGTGGGACTCCAGTGACAACATATTCCGAGGGTATCGCGAGAATGCCACCCTCAAGGGCAGAAACGTTCATAAAAGCCTGGTCAGAGGCAGGAGGAGGAAGTTTAATGTCTTGAGTCACTTCAGCCATATTGCTTGAGTAAGGGATTCTGTAGGGGTATTCGATGGTTCAGAGCTGAGGTACCTTTTCGCTAATCCTTGCTAGCGGGCTATATTTATCAGACTAGCGCCGCCAAGGACATCGTGACATCGTGAAATCCCATACTCTTATCTTCGTCGGATGATCATCCTGAGAAAGTGCTCCTATTCCAGCCAACATCAAGGTCATGTGTTGAGAGCTGAGCATTGAGTTTGGAAAGGGTGCAGGTCAAACTTCGTTGAATACAGATATATGCCCCATATATCGTGGCACCGTTATAATGCCATCACTGTGAAGTTTGATTAAGTGCATCCCTGGAATACTACTCTGATTCAGCTTATACTCACATGTTTTTGCCTTGTTATCTCCTCAGCACGATTAGACACGGAATTTCTAGTCTAGATGGCGCGTGGATATATATGTAACTGATAAATTCCGAAGTTAGCCCAATTAGAGCGATATCCTATGTTGCATTACATTGCTGGCTATTTTCAAAGCCACCATATGCATACTATGCAATTGATTATACTGATGATGATACAGTCGTAGTTAAACCTTGAAACGACACCCGGCAATGCCCGGGACTCGGAGTTATCAAGTAAATACTAAAACCGGAAGGTAGTGTTCAAATACTGCCACCATCACTACCACTTGAATCAGTTTTATTTACCTATAAAAGTCCCCGATACTGATCCACTCTGATTTTATGCCAAAACTTATCACGTCGTGAAAGAGGCACCCAATCACAAAGTCGGAATGGTTCCAGGGAAGAACGCAGGGCCACCTTTGTTCTCGTTGTACCATAAATTATCATGGGCTAAGAGAACATGTACCCTGGGTCCTTTCAAAAGCGCCCCGATGCGACGAATAGTTTCAGCAGCATCGTCCTTGCTCGCATGAGCACAGATAACATGGCCAGTTTCATCAGAACTATATGCAATTTCCTTCACTCCCGTAATCAGTCGAAAATCATGAGCAGAGTCTCCACCCAAGAATATCCATGCTCCATCGGCAGAGGTACGTGCAAGAATGTTAAGGTGCCCAGCCAGATGGCCTACGAAAATGAGAATGTAAGCTCACCAGGAAATTATCACGAAAAAGAAAAGTTTACCTGGAGCGTCTATGATGTACATACTTCCATCTCCAAAGTAATCAAGTGCACGAGGGAAGGGTCCAATGGAGGTGTTAAAATCTGATGAGGCCAAGAAGCGAGCGCGATCCAAGGGGATAGAATTCGTCATGATCTCGGAATTCGGATCAGACGGATGCCCAGAGTCGATGAGACTGCGACAAGCTCCTCCAACTACAAACGTAGCCCTCGAGAAAGGCGCAGGATCACCTATACTGTCGATTTTCTCCATTGTAAACTAGATTGATATGAATTCACACATACTTACTGGTCCCAATGGAGATGACTAATAACAACGGCTTCCACCACTTCAGGAGGGAATCCTCCCTTATCCAGAGACTCTGAAACTGTTTGATCAATGCTTTCAGGAAAGAACCTCTCGTATTGTTTTGGTACAATCGGTGGATACGCATCCAGATCGCGTCGTATTCCCAAGTCAAAGACCAAGTTAGCCCCAGTTTGGGAGTGGCGAAGGAAGAAACAGAGGGAAGGGCAGCTTATGACTTCTGATGGCAAGGCTCCTGCTACAATAAAGTCTAAGCATATGGGAAGAATTCCACCCTCGAGAGCAGAAACGTTCATGAAAGCTTGGCCAGGCGCAGGAGGCGGAAGGGTTATATCTGGAGTTATTTGAGCCATAATTTGCAAGAAAGATCTCGAGAGTGGTAGTTGACTTGGTCATTCACAACTGAAAACGAATAACCTCAAGGTTGTAACCGCGAGCGGATTTTATTATATGTGCTAGACTGACGCCCAGGGAGTATGTGACATCATAAACCCCACATGCGTATCTTTCGTCGGATGAGAATTCCGGGAAAACATTCCTATTTCCAGCCAATAACAAGCTTAAGGTCATGCGCAGTTCGGCGCTGACGCGGAACAGTGAGTGCGGGGCAAGGGCGGTTTCAGTGTTACATACGTTTTCCCACTTATGGGGCCTTCACCGCGAAGAAGAGAGTACGACATGAGAACACCTCGAATGAATTGAGTACGACACACTCACCTGCATAGTTACTAATTCTACCGCATCCTGTTCAATCGCTTGTTAGCTCTCGGTCTCGAACATCATGCACAGTATTTTTTTTTGCCTATCTCAGAGTTTCAAGATTGTCAGAGAACCATTACATTTCAGAAAAATCACCCTTGAAACAACGATATCAGGAGGTAATCATTCAAAGCGATGGGATGGTCCCAGGAAAGAATGCAGGGCCACCCTTATTCTTGTTGTACCATGTACTGTCATGTGCAATGAGAACCTGAACCCTGGGTATGTTCAAGAGGGACCCAATGCGACGAATAGTCTCCACAGCATCATCCTTGTTTGCATGAGCACACAGCATATGACCAGCCTCATCGAATCTGAATGCTACCTCCTTCTCACCCGTTACGAGCCTGAAATCGTGGGCGGAATCTCCGCCAAGGAAAATCCACGAACCACTTGCAGAGGTTCGCGCAAGGACGTTTACGTGCCCAGCCAGATGGCCTATGAAAATAAGGTATAAGCGCAATCTCACGTCAGGATTAGCAGAGAAGACGTTCACCAGGTGCATCTATGATATACATACTTCCATCTCCAAAGTAATCAAGTGCACGAGGGAAAGGCCCTATTGAGGTGCTGAAATCTGACAGGGACAAGAATCGAGCGCGATCCAGAGGTATAGAGTGCTCCATTATTCCAGAATTGGGATCAGACGGATAGCCAGAGTCAATAAGGCTACGACAAGCTCCTCCCACTACGAACGTGGCCTTTGAAAAAGGCGCAGGATCGCCTACACTGTCATTTTCTTAAAAGTAAGCTCGATCACGATCAACTTGCGAAGACTTACTGGTCCCAGTGAAGATGACTAATGACAACAGTTTCGACTTGTTCAGCCGGGAGTCCTCCTTTACTGAGCGATTCTGAAACCGTTTGATCAACGGCTACAGGGACGGATTTCTTGATACTTTCTTGTATAATCGGTGGGTATCCCTCTACGTCGCGTCGTATTCCCAAGTCAAAGACCAGGCCAGCCTCAGTCTTTGAGTGGCGCAGAAAGAAAGCAAGAGAAGGACAGATACTAATATCGGAGGGTGAAGCTCCGGCGATGGCGAACTGTAAAGGCATATGAAGAATTCCAGCTTCAAGAGCAGAAACTTCCATGAAAGCCTGATCAGAGACAGGAGGGGGAAGTGTGCTGTCAGAGGTCACTTGTGCCATACTTATCAACCAAGTCTCAACGATCGCGGTTAATGCTGAAACGAAAATCCACAAGTTGAGAATACCTATCCCACTCACCCATAGGAAAAGGCTTTATAAATTGTGCCAACACCCGGTGAACCATCGTGAGACCGTGAAATCTCATGCTCATATCGTCATCGGATGGGCGAGCCGGGTTAAGTCTTCTTATCCCAGTTCGTCGAGGTCATGGGGTGAACGTCGAGCTGTGGGTCCAGAGAAGAAAAACTTCGTTTCAGCGTATACAAATAAATATATAGTACAGGATAAATCGTCTTCGTTTTCGCTATGTAGCTGATCGATGACATTCGGCGTAATGCTACCCTGATTCAGCTTCAACATCCTCACCTACTTCACTTGCCTTCTCACCAGCTTCCTCGGGCTGAACAGGCGCTGTAGGTCCAGTCCATATAACACGGCCGCATCCATCAGTCACAAACCCACTAGACTCTGACGCCACTTCCCGGCCCATCCTCCTGGCTTTGGGAGGTGGACAGGTTCGTATACGTTGCGGCGGACTCTGAGCTTCTCGAGTTTCCGTTGCAGGAAGGGCGCCTCGCGCAGACCTCGTGCTGCTCCATACAACCCGACCTCTTCCGTCAGTCACAAACGGTGGGTCCGAGTCATGCTCAACCTGTATTACATCTTGTGAAACTCCACCTCCGGAAACAGCTGCAGCCCTTGGCGACTCCTCGGCCTGATCATGTACGTTGACTGAAACATCTTCATCTAACGTTGTTGCTTGCGTAACCGGACATTCTACGGACAGCTCTGAAGGCTCTGATTGCGTAGAAACATCAGATGTATGCATTACAGAGCTCTCCCTCCCCTCACCGTCTTCGCTCGAGTTATAGCTTGAGATAAAAGGCTCCCGGTTTCGGGTAGTTACCACAGTACTAAACCTCGAACTCGAAGGAGTGGAAGATGGCTGCATTGAAGCCAGTGCTGAAGACAGCGACGGGGATCTTGATACACGTGTTTGTAATGTGTTATCCAGTATCTGGACATCATCTACGGATAACGATAACGAACTGGCTGTCCTAGTAGAAAGTGAAGAGTGTAAGTCGTCGTACGAAGATGAGCGAACTATTGTCGGAAAATCGACAGGGGGAGCGCTAGAAACAGGGGAAGCGGTCCTAGGTCTCAATGATGGTGACATCGGATGGTTTGGTTGATTAATGACAGTTGGTGGTACATGTGCAGGAGATTCATCTCTTGAGCTATTGTTTGTTACATGGGAAGATTGATCCTGTTGTATTTCCGTCTCCGTAAACTCAGACGACATGGAGGACTCGGACGGAGGCCAAAAGTCGTCTGGCTTAACGTTCCGAATTGAAGAAGGCAAAGAAAACATGCAACAAAAATGGCGAGAAGTTAGAGCTACTTTGTGCAATAGTTCACAATGAGAGATGGGATATATAGATCACGACTTACGTGGTTGTGGCTGGTTGTATCGTCACCTTCTATCGCCCAAGGCTCGTCGTCAGAAGCAGTTTCATTAGCCGTCGCCGCAGCGTCTAGGCTTTCTTCCCATCTATCCAGAATAGTTGGCAGGCTGGCGCGGATGGCATCAAGGGTGGCATTTAAATTTTCAAACGGATTCTCAAAGATTCTTTGCAAAAACTCGATAGGATTTTGAACATAGCTATTTTCGTGGGCGTGGAAGAAGGCAAATGGGTTCTGTTGCCGCTTGAATGCCTAGAAGAAACATGTTTATCAACTGTGACGAGGTGAAAATGCAAATGGATAACCTTCATGTAGTGCCTGACACCATGACGAAAGACGAAGGGTGTTCCATCTGAGTTCTTATGTTCGTAAAAACAATCATAACCGAACGGGCAACAAGGCTTTCCGCAAGCATATGTTTGGGCAAAGTACCTACAGTATAATTGAGGACGTGTTAATCGAGTGTCAAACGCCTACTCACTTGCAGGTTACTCGCGCCATGCTTTCTTTATAGTTGTTTATAACTTCCTGCTTCCGGGGATCGTTTTGCGGATAGAAGTAACTGGATGGAGTGATGAAGCGAGAGGTAACTCGACATAAAGGGCACTTCTTGGTGACGCCAGAGATCTTCATATCTGACGACTTGCCCTCTGGATCGCGCCACTGTATGATACACTATTTACCAGAATCGATTAGCAAGGAAAATCCATGCACCGGCGGTGGCATGACCGACCTGATGACAGAAGACGTGACTACAATCAGCTATGATAACGTTGCAAATGAGTAAATCTTCAGTGCTCAGAGAAATCGGCATACCCAGCAGTCCATAGCTTGTCGGTTTTTCTAGACATATATTGCAAGCTTCTTCCGACGGGCCTCCCTTTGCAACGTCTGACTTTGCTTCGTGCCGAAACCAGCACTGGTTTCCTCGCCGACAATGTCCTGTCAAGCCACTCGATAAGTAATGAAGACGCATAGCTGCTTAATGTTTACCCTGTATGAAATATCTACAAGTTTTTGACTCGTCATATGGCGTAAACTGCTGGTTTGGACCGTGTAGGAACTTGCAATGATCGCCTGCAAAGCAACCACGTGGAGTGTTATAATATCGACAAATCCCTCGCGGTTTCGAAGTTACCGGGCGATCCATAACACCATCTGTGGCCGTATTCTAGTGATAAATGAGAGAGGTTCAGGCAGACTTGTCAGTGGAGGATGATAGGACAAGTGACAAGAAGCGATTACTGAGCTGGACAGGAATGGATTAGTAACGTGTTTGTTGTGGCACCACTGTGGCTACCAAAACACCTTTTGGTCAATCACGCATATTCAATGCTGTCCAATGTCGTTGTCCTCGACATCCACCATAAAGACCCAACTAGGAAATGCTCTGGGAACAAAAGCACCCGTCTACTTTGATACCTTCAACCAGTTTGTTACTGGTAAAATATCCAGGACTGAATTTGACGATTCCATTCGTCAGGTGCTAGATGCGCCCAATCTTGGTGAATGCTGTATTAAATAGATGCGTTGTTCTCGTATCTGATGTCGTTATAGTCCAGCTTCACAACTCCCTGATAATATCCCTTTTTGATTTTACTGCCCATCGTCGTCCTCCAACCCCTCCTCCTGATATTCCAAAGCCAACTCCTCGCAAGCGCCGCAGAACAAATCCAGGCTCAGAAGATGCAGATGATACACTGAGATCGACAAGGTTGAAAAGATGGACGGTTTCTATGGGGAGAAGCGAACGTGAACGCGTCAAAGGGCTGCAGTCTATCTCCGTCGAGCGCCCTCGACCACGGTACGACACGGACGAAATCGCTCGTGAAAGAGGCGTTATGTTACTTGCAGAACGCGGTGGTCAGTGCCATATCTTGTTCACGAACTAGTTTAACAATAGGAAATACTCCAGACCCCCCTGGCAGTCGCTTACCACTACATCTTGCTTCCGTATCCAGAGCACCAACATCTCAACACATATCAGACAGGATAAACCTCATATCTGCGCAACATAACCTTAGTGCACCCAATAAAGCCGTATCCTCGTTGATGATGCTTGCTTTTGAAGTTGGTCGTTAACCGCTCTGCTTTGACAGTGACTTGACATATATTTTATGTTTAGGCAAAACTAAAACAGCTCATAACTCGCGCACTCACACTTACTTCAACTTCCCATGCTATAACCTCCATCACTCCATCCGCACCACATTCGCATAATCATGTTCTCACTGCTTCCTCTTTTGATACTTTATTCACATTATCCCCCGCTGTTCTACCTAACCAGTCTGCCGCCGCCATGCGTTTGGCAGCTGGGGACAACGAGATATTCGACGACGAAGACGTTGTTCTGTTGAAAGATAGAGAAGTTCGCGATCAACGGTGGCAGATGTTTGCTTTGTTGGGGGAAAGAAGTACAATCAAAGACGCACTGCGAAATTTGAGATGAATTTTATTTTGATGTTTTGTCGTTGCCCATTTCATTATGATACCCCCCACCCACACTAGTACACCCACAACCACCATTCCATGGTCATTCTTCATATTGTATATTGAAAACAGACTTATTATGCTATTAGAGATCAGCGCCAGCCATCATGATAGGGGTTAATATGACTCAGTACTCAGTACTCAGTGCTCATGATAATTACTAGTAGCGCTCGGAGTCTGAGTTGTGTATGGTGTCTTTAAGTTAAGCCTTCAGTTTGGAGTCAAGGTGCACATCCTGCAATTGCAAGTAATGCCTCTAAGAATATTAAGTGATCTGATTGCATAGCTGTCATACATATATACTGTTCTCGAACGTGCATCCTTTGTCACGGTAAGTCGCCTTCTGCATGTTTTCGAACTGGCCATGCCCTTTATTGACTAATTGTGGAGGCAAGGACATATTATCGATTGCAATCGCTGATCAGCGGCAAAGCGGAAGGTCAGCTTATAGAAGACTAGACAATGCAGTGATTCGGTTTGACATATCTACGAACCTTATCAGCTTTCAAGTCATTGTGCCACTGGCGGCCTGACATAGGCTGGGAAGATCTTCCAAAAAGATCACTGAAGTAGCCTCCTGATGCTTCATAAAAGGCATGCCTTCTAGTTTTTCCTCCCTTTTAGCTGTCGAGCAAGCACCACCATTTTTCAGCCTCTAAATTGCGAGCTATCAGCTATGGGACAAAGACATCAGGCTTTCGTCATTGCGCGCATTCGTCCAGCTGGTGGTGGGCCGCCAAGGCTTCGCTGTATTGCAGCATTTCACCACCAATGGTGCTATGGAACACTTCCACTTGGAGCTACTCGCCGCTTCTTGACCCTAGTCAAGCAAAAAAGTAACGCCGACATTATCAAGGCCGAGATCCGTGCTATCGAAGGGAAATACACAGATAGGCAGGATTTTCCAGCTGTCCCATGTCCATTTGTCGCTTTTCTGCTTGCCAGCAGTTGGACCACAGACCTGGAAGACCCGAAAAACCGCTATATTAGCGGTAGGTTGTTTAGCCACTCCATACTCAATGCGAATATGGAGAGTGGCGCTGGCGGTAAGGAGTATTTCGCGTGCTTTTCTATTGAGTAGCTCTAATGTTACGCCACACCAGACAACAATGATGGGATCACTATCATCGATGTTACAGATCCGCTCTCTCCTGCCTATTGCTTCGTCTTCCCAGGTGTCAATGAAACAGCTGAGGACGTGCCAATGTGGCGCCCTCTATCTGCAACCGTCTATGTGCGCGCATATTACCCCAAGTCCACCGCTAAAGATTCGAGCACGAGTTCTCTCGATGATGATGATGAAGATATCATAGATGCCATTAAGTCTCTCGAAGGAGAAAGAGTGGTTGATGATGTCGCTACTTTGGCAGAGGCATGGCCCGAAGAGTATCAGTGCATGGTCAAAAAAACTGACGAAGAAGTGTCGTTGGCTAAAAATTCCCCAGACCTGCCGTTCGTAAAATCCTTGGCCGAGCTGACATTAGAACCTGCTGTCTCCAGTGCTATAGAGACTGGCGAGACCGCTGTTGTCGCAGAAATGCTTTGGCTACCTGGAAAATGCGCCGCAGTCAGAGCAATACTTCAAAAACAAACTTCTTTCTCCGACGCTGCTGTTACCTTGATGGCAAGAATTATTGCACATGAGATGGAATCATCTCCCGGCTGCATAGACCTCCAAGACTTCGCTCTATCGCCTGAACAAGTCATTCAACTCTTAGCCCCTTTTGCTCAAACGCTTACAACCCTTGACTTGTCCTACAATCCCCACATCACTGTCGCTACCATCCGTAGCATTCTTATAGCTTTTCCCGGTATTAAACGTCTGGTTGTATTGGGCTGCCCTTCTATTGGTGCCGCGGATATCTTCGAACTGCTAGAGCATGATCCAAAGCTATTTTACCATCTTGAGGCGCTCATTCACCCCCTATTATTCCAGCGTCTTATCGATACAGGCGAAAATGCACAATACCCAATTTCGTTCTCTTTCATCGCACGCAGCTCTCAAGGGTGTGTCCGGACTGGCGCATTACCAATCTTTACACCGACCTCCGTTGTCCAAACACTCACAGATTGGCTGCCGTGCTTCTATAACGACCCCTACTATCTAATAGGTGAACGCTTTCTGGATAGCTCTTTTGTTCCTCTTTCAGTGTTTTCGGCTGTACCCCGGGTCCCGGGTCAAAAATGGAGCGAACGTACCGTATCTTGTATCCCTCAGTTTTCTGTGCGAGGGCTTTTAGGGTTGGGTTGGGTTTTTGGATTGCACTTCGACTACGATCATCGCCGTTATGGATTCCTACGCTTCGAATCAGAAACTCAGGATGGACATAAGGAGCAGGAGGAACACGAGGAGCAGGAGGAATATGAGGAGCAGGAGGAACACGAGGAGCATAAGGAACATAAGGAACACGAGGAAGTAGAAAAAATGTTTACTTCCCCGCCGGTGGAGATTCGAGATCTACGGGGATTTTTGGACATCATGGTTGCAGATGGTCGACCCCGAGCCCCTGAAAACAACATCAAGAAGCTTGAAGAAATTCTGCAAATACTGGAGAAGGACACAAAACTGAAGCTTTTCCAACAGTCTGACATGTCAAAATTCGTTACCCAGGTGATATTAAATTGCGAAAGAATGCGCTAAGGTGTCTAGTACACGAATGCAGTGTCAAATATGATGTACTCAAATTTGCCGTTTCGCGTGCTTCTGGTTAGTATCTGGTGTATTGTCGAGGGCAGAAGTAGTGTCTCAGCTATTGATTCATTGAATAAGACGAGGAGTCATTGCAACAAATTGTATTATAGTACTGTCGTGACAAGCACATGAATGCTTTTACCAGCTAAGGTAGAACGAGGTTCAGCTAGTATGTTTTTGTTTTCAGCTTTTGGGTTGTGTTTTCACAGAAGTGATAGAGCAAACAATAACTACAGACAACAGACACGCAGGAAAGCGGAAAAAGAAAGAAAACAGTTTCAATTCTCAGAGTATTGAAGACGAGTATGTAGACATCCAGCGGGAAGAAAATACATTCTCCTTCTAACTTATACGACCTTTTCAACTCCTGGCGGGAACTTGTATCCTCCTTGACGGCGTACCTATAATTTACCATGATGCCTTAGTATTTGAACAATTGATCAAGACCTGACATACCTCATCGAAGACATCCATTTCCAGTAAACTTTTATCATGCCCCCACAGTTCGCTCTCACTCTTTCCATCCCTCACACATCTCGCGACCTCGTCGGCCTGGAAGTGCATACCGCGCCCAACATAATCAAAGTGCTTAGTCTCCTCCCGGGCGATTGTGCTAGACTTTCCTGGCTCGTAGTATTGGACGGTGAATGACTTGGGGCAATATATCGGTGCGGCGATAGAGATGTTGCCCCGCTCATAGCGAATTACAACACCGGTTGGGTAGGCGGCAACATTGATGTTGCAACTGAGAATAGCCTGGGCAGCGAGGGTGTTTGAAGCAGACGGCGATGAGGGTGAGAAGGTAAGTGTGAAAGCAGTGCTGCGATCGACACCCGTCAAAGGCGTCTTAACCATGGATGCTATAGTGTTGGAAGGCTTGGCTAGTTTGTTAGAGGGATGTTCGTAGAGTGCCAAAACCGCCTAGCCACAGATAGCAATCAGTCAGTCTAATGTGTGGCGGCCAAGTCAAGAAAAAAGTTACGAACCCAAATAAATGGATATGGTCCACTGGTGCAAATCAGTACAGGTGATATGAATGTCACAGGAAATGCTCACAGATCTAACAATGCACCTCCACCTAAGTCGGGATCCAAAATTCTGTGGGTCTTCGGGATATCTAATGATTGTTGTTAAATACACATCTAAAGCTCATGATAAGAGCTCACTGTATATGTCAAAGTCACCAGACAAATCTGCATGAAGCACGACAGGTTGTCCAAGACTACCTTCCTCTGCAATTCTTTTGACCTCCAAAGCCAGAGGCTGGAATCGTGTCCACAGTGCTTCCATGAAGAAAACACCTTGCTCCTTAGCTGTTGCCAATAGTGAACGTAGCTCAGCTGCATTTGAAGTCACCGGTTTCTCGCACAGTACATGCTTCTTCGCTTTGAGGGAGTCCAAAGCGTTGATATAGTGATACGTGTGTGGTGTCCCTATACAGAACACAAAGGTCCATCAGTAATCTTGACATGATAACGAACGAATATATACCAATGTAAATGGCATCGACGTTCTGATCGAGAAGATTACACGCGCAGCATATGATGTCACTACTGGTTTAGATATATTTAAACCAGCGGCCATGCGTACCTTATCAGCATAAACTTCGCCATAAGTACCGTATGCTTTAATGGATTTATCACCACCAGCATTTTCTCCAATGAAGCTCTGTGCTTTTTCAACGCTGCGCGAGCCTACAGCGGTGACTTTGTGAACTACATCATGAACAGCACGGCTAGAAGCCAGAAAGTAAGAAAATCAAGACGAGATGGTAAGAAAAGCTCGTTATCATCGCCTACGTTTTGGGGTCTACCAAGAGATCCTGTATGTTTCTAGTTTAGAATACGGATAGCTCAAGGAAATAATATGGTTGAATCCTGACCTTCACAAAGGCACTAGCAATCCCGCCAGTGGAAATGATTCCCCAGCGCAGAACAAATGGTTGAATAGCGGCCATGGTTGAAGATCGAGGACGTGGGGACGATTACTCTACACGAAATGTCAATGATCTTATATGGTGGGCCGTTCCGATTTCTTTGAAGGAGCTGGTCGAGTGACATGCGGATGATTGTCGCAGGAATAGATCTTCAGGCAACCGGGCCGAAAGTACCACACTCGGCAGAGATAAGATAAGATTATAAGACACCATATAATGTTTCTGAGTCATATTTTCCTCCATTTCCTGCAGTTTCACGAACATGGCTGGAATGGACCTTCCACCCCTCCAAAGCGTCTTAGCAAGCGATAGCGCACAAGATGCACCTCTCGCACGAACTCTCTCTCTCTTATTTGAGCCTTCGGATATTATTTTTTCCCATCTGGTACCACAACTCGTCTCATCTCGTGCAAAAAAATCAACCATCACCTCTTACTCAGAACTCATCGATGTCGCCATCGAACTTATAGGACACTGGGATGCTTCACTTCGATTGGCATTTATCGCAGGCCACCCACGGATTGGCGAGACCCGTAACCTTTCGGCTTTGAGCGCTAAGGAGCAGGGAGGAGCGAACGCAACGACAGTCGTAACTCCGCCCGAGGTACTGCGTAGATTGGCCCATCTCAATAGATGCTACGAACATAAATTTCGCGGGCTGATATATATGACATTTGTGAATGGGAGGAGTAGAGCTGTTATCGCGGAAGAGATGGAGGATATGCTTGGCATTGAGCATTCGTTGTCGCCTGACGAACCTAACGTGAACAGCATTTGTCCTGTTAAAACGGGTGAAGAAGAATGGGTATCAGAGCTTGATAGAGCAGTGCATGATGTCGGCCGCGTCGCGAAAAGTCGCTTGAACACCCTTGACGTGTAATGTGCGTGCCATTCAGCCATAAGCTAAAAGTTTGGGGGTTTCAATTAATGTTGCTATTCCAGTTACATCCCTTTCGGGTATTGACGAATTCTGCGATGTCTGTTTAAAAAACGAAAGAAAAAAATAGAAAAAAATAAAAACGATAGGATCCAGCAACGCAATAAAATATTACAACATTTGCCCTGGTCAAATGGTTGTCCGAAAAAATAGATAGATGTAGATGGGTCAACGAGTCCGCTGTGTCCGAGGTTCTTGAGCCTTTCGTGCTGCATTCTCCTTACGCTAATGCGACACCATAAAAAAGTGGTCAGGACAACGAAGAGATTTCAGCCTTAAAAAAAGCTACCTCCAAAGCTTGCTTCCGCCTGAGCTCCCACTCTGGATTCATGTCTTTGAGCTCTTGATATAGTTTATCGACAACTTCAGTGTACAGGGTCTGTTCCTGCTTCATTCGACGAATAGAATCATATAAATCGGCTCGCTCCTTCATCCTATTCTCACTTCTCTCCTTCGCTTGACGCGCCCACTGTTCACGTTCGTTCGTCCGTTTCTCTTGTTCTTTATCCCAAATCTTCGAATTCTTGAGTGCACACTGTATACGGATATCGTATGCCTAAGGATTTAGCCGCAACGAGTGTTATCATGGATTAGAGGGTATTGCTAATTTAGAAAAGTCACCTTGCGCTTATCAGGATCACTCAAGATCTCAAAGGCTTCCTTTACCTGTTAGGATATGAATGTTTGGACCACAGTGATTGAAATACGACGACGTACATTGCGGAATTTGCCTTCTGCAGCGCGCCTCTCTTTCTCGCTTGCAGTTGGTTCAAGCTTGTCTGGATGAGTCTCGAGGGCTTTCTGCTTATAAGCCTTCCGTACTGAGCATGTACATTTACAAGTTTGGATCAGGATAACCCATTTATCAAAATAATTGGCATACGCACCATCATCTATTGACGCTGAGCTCGGAATGCCAAGCACATCATACAAGGTTAATGCAAGGGTCATTTTTCAATAATAGTCCACAGGTCGGCAGCCTTGGGCCGCGTACGTATTACAACACGCCCTCCAGCTATTCGGGGGCAAAAGCAACAAGAAATAGAATGAGGGGAATAGAATGTAAGTAAGTGGGAGTTGATGAGGAACCAACCCAAAAAATTACCCAATTTGCACTAGAACGTGACCAATATGTTGTTGTGTCACACTGACATGTCTCAAACTCAAGCCAGTTCAGATAGCTGTACGCCAGACCTGGTACAAAATCCAGAATTACCCTTTATTCTTGACCGTGGGGGTATCGCAAATAATAAATGCAACTGCATCTCCAGGAACCGGTCGGACTAGGAACAGTCAGTGCCCGAGTCAAGTACTCACGTTGCGACGGTTGCGGCTGTGAATCTGTACAACCTCACTCACCAATCGACCAATCACACAGATAGTACCCCGCAGTTATAAACTTAGAAAATATCAGGTGCCAATCTCCCATATTCCTCACCACCAAAGTCCCCTATCGCCAATCCACATCAATGTCCACCGTCCCTATCACTGAAGGAGAGATCGACTTCGTCGTCCCAGCTGCTGGAAAGCCATGCAAAACATGGTATAAGGTTGTAGGAGACCTTAAATCGCGGTCACGCCGTCCTCTTGTTGTTTTACACGGTGGTCCTGGCAGTACACACGATTACGTCGCAGAAATCGCTGATGTCGCTAGTCTTTACTCGATCCCCGTCATTCTATACGACCAGTTGGGTAACGGGCGATCGACACATCTGCCTGAGAAGAACGGCGATGTTGAATTTTGGACGGTACAGCTATTTATTGACGAGCTGAAGAACCTGTTATCCTTTTTTGAGATCCAGGATGACTTTGCATTATTAGGGCAATCATGGGGTGGGATGCTTGCAGCATCATTCGCCGTGCAACAGCCAAAAGGCTTGAAAAAGCTCGTGCTTGCAGATTCGCCCTCGAGCATGCCTCTTTGGGTGGAGGTCGCCAATAAGCTGCGGAAAGAGCTCCCTCAGGAGATACAGGATGCTTTAACGAAGCATGAGGAGGCGGGCACGATTCACGACAAGGAGTATATCGATGCAACTTTAGTGTTTTATTCCCGACACTTGTGTAGAATCAGCCCAATGCCGCAAGGCTTGTTGACCTCGTTCCACTACATGGATAAAGACCCTACCGTATATTATACAATGTATGTGTTCTCGCTGCTCTTCAACTCGAGGTTCATGTAAATCTGATTTTATCGCAGGAATGGTCCCACAGAGTTCCACATTACAGGATCTCTGAAAAACTGGAGCATAATAGAGGATGCGCATAAAATTGTTGTTCCGACTCTTCTTATCAATGGACGATATGATGAGGCGCAAGATGAAGTTCTACTGCCCTATTTCCGCGCTATCCCGAAAGTCAAATGGGTTCAGTTTGCAGAGTCTAGTCATGTTCCCCATACGGAAGAGCGAGAGAGATACATGCAAGTTTTGGAAAGTTTTTTGCAGGACGATTGACACAACGCGGTTTATTGGGTTATACTTGTTCTTGTAGGATGTCAATTACAACTTGTAAAATGTCACTGCAGTATTGTATGATCGTGATTAGCTAAGCACAGCCGATAAAGGTGCATAGCAGAATTTGCACGCACATTGTTAAGACTGTCAAGTTCCTCCGAATCTTTTGGACCGCTTCCGGAGACTAGATTCGAGCGCTAGTTCGCTAGTGTTCAAAAGTCTCACCATCATTCCTCAGAACGACAAAGGTTCAGCCAGCGAGGTAGCCCATTATCTTTTCAAAGTCGACCGACCTTTCATTCTCCTCGCGTGAAAGCTGCAATTATGGATGCTGTCGAAAAGGCGAACGTTGAAAGGCAGAAAAAATGGTATCCGTTTTGTACCTGGCAATTATTGTAAGCTCACTGACGTATCTTGCAGGACTAAGGATCAAAAAGTTGGAGAGGGTGCATATGCAGTTGTATACCGAGGTTAGTGCACACTTCGTTCTTTTGCTTTGTTTCTTACCCAGTTTCTAACTTCACTCTCTTCAGGCCGTGAGGTGTCGACTGGACGTAAAGTAGCCATAAAAAAGATCAAGGTTGGGCAGTTCAAGGATGGTCTTGACATGTCTGCCGTTCGCGAGGTTAAATACCTCCGTGAGCTACACCACTTGAATGTTATCGAGGTAAGACACTCTGGCGTCAAACAACAAACAATGAAGTGTGGCGTTTTACTGAACATCCCACAGCTTCTCGACGTATTCTCATCAAAGACCAATTTAAACTTGGTCCTCGAGTTTCTCGACAGCGATCTCGAAATTATCATAAAAGACCGGTCGCTTGTTTTTCTCCCTGCTGACATCAAAAGCTGGATGGCCATGACATTCAGGGGCCTCGAATTCTGTCACCGCAATTTTGTCCTTCACCGAGTGAATATACTCCACTCTTATTTACACACATGCTCACAGAAATCAGGATTTGAAACCCAACAATTTGCTCATAGCTTCCAATGGCCAGCTTAAAATCGCCGATTTTGGTCTCGCAAGAGACTTTGCAGATCCCGGTTATAAGATGACCTGTCAAGTCATTACTAGGTAATGTCACTTATAAATTTCTAGCCTGCATTATTCTCATTGACCGTGGCCTTGAAGATGGTACCGTCCTCCAGAACTCCTCTTCGGTAGTCGGTACTACAGCAGTGCAGTCGACATATGGTCTGTTGGTTGTATATTTGCCGAGTTGATGTTACGGACACCATATCTACCTGGCGAAAGTGACATGGACCAACTAAAAACCATATTCCGTGCCCTAGGGACTCCTACCGAAGAAGATTGGCCGGTAATTCACATTATTATGTTTCCATCACCTCATATTTGACAACTTGTGTTGGCTTATATCAGGGCCATACAAAACTACCAGACTATGTTCCAGTTGGACAATTTCCGAAAACTCCCTTACGTGACCTTTTCACTGCCGCCAGTGCCGATACTCTCAACTTACTCGGAAAGTGTCTTATTTATGAGCCCCGAAAACGCATAAATGCCAAAGAGGTGGGTATTTTATTCCTGTGGATATTATTTTGATTTTCCGAGTTGTCGAGTAGGCTCTCCATCATCCTTACTTCTTCGCTCTTCCCTATCCGACTCACCCATCCAAACTGCCAAAGCCTATCAGCACCCAGACATCTCGACCACTTGAAGAAGTTGACGGTAACGTCGATCTTAGTGCTCCAGGACCTGCTGTCAGAGCAGCTGCACCCAATAAACTCAAAAGGAAGCTGTCTTCGCCTGGTGACGAATTAAGTGGTAGACCACTAGCGCGCAGACTTGATTTCACTCTGAAGACATAACAAAAAGTATATACATACACTCTCACTGCAATTTCCTATTTCTTTCATTCAAGACACGCACGGTGTATGACTAACCCATACTTTCGCTGGGCATGTATGATGACGATGACGACGACAAGTATGTATGTGTATTATAAGAAACAGCACTTGGCAATGCAAATCCTCGAACCTTTGTGTGTATAGAGCAATAAAAAAAAGAATTCCGAAAAGCTAAATCACAGCTTGAAGTACAACAACGGTCATCAGTCACTAAAGAAGATCAACGTGGCGTATCACAAACTGTGCACTTGTCTGTTGCACTCGCAGGATTTGACAACATGCATGTTGAACAAGTCCAAGTGACTCCCCCAGAGGTTTTCGAGGGCTGCTTCATGCCGGCAGCCGTCCAGTCAAACCCTTTGGCAGGTCCAGAACTCGTGGCAGGTTTACTCCGTGGAGCCTCGCAAACCGTACACTGCTCTGTCGCGCTCGCAGGGTTGGACAACATGCACGTTGAACAAGTCCAGGCATCGCCCCCTGACCCCTTCGAAGGCTGCTTTACGCCCGCAGCCGCCCAGTTAAACCCGTTGGTAGCACTTGCAGGCCCATTGAACCCATTTGTAGTATGCGTAGGCGTTGACTTGTTTCGTGGCTCCTCACAGACGGAACATTTATCTTTCGCGTCATCAGAGTTTGTGAGCATGCATGTGCTGCACGTCCAGCTTCCTGGCTTGGACGCAGCTGTGGGCGCTTTCATTCCGGCTGCAGTCCAGTTAAACCCGTTGACTGCGGTTGTACGCTTCGAAAAATCGAATGCAGGTAGCGAAGATAATGGCGCAAGCTTAACCGATTCACGGGCTTTGACGTGACTCGGCCCAGCATCATATGGTGATTCTCCGAGGGTGAATGTGTACGTGGGCAGATTGTCGACATTCATAGCAAGAACCGCAGATTTTGGATTGATGGGACTTGGTTCGACGAGATCGACTTTCTTGAGGGGGGCACTAGCTTGTGGCGTGGAAATGGGAGGAGAGACCTTGGGCTCGGAAACGGTCTCGACCTTATCAACCTGATAGCTAAAGCGAAGCTTCGACGGCTCCTTTGGAGCTGATGACCTCGCCCCGAATAGTGATTTCGCAGATGTGGACTGCTGCACAGCAGGTGTACCATTTGCATTACTAGGACGAGCCGGCTGAGAGCCCCTGCTCTCGTCCTCGGGCTCTATGACCTCCGATGGCTTAGTGACAGGTGAAGTCGACTGAGGGGAAGAGGGCATTTCCACGTCATCGATTTCCTCGACGGTCACTGCTGCCGTGCGAGGACGACGAGGAGTTCCATAAACTCCAGTTATCTTCGGTTTCTTCGCTATACGATTGTCCTCCTCTTCAATTTGGAGCGTAGGCGCAGGCTTCAACGATCTGTCCAAACCAGCAGAACCGTTGGCAGGAGGTAAATCGCTTGCCTGATTCCTGGGGCTTCTGCGAGGGGGACTGCCAGGGAACTTTGGTGGAGAAGTCGCAGTTTCAGCAGGCTGAGCAGAGGCTGAAGTCTCTAACTCCGGTGGAGGTCTCGCCCGTTTACTTCCCTGTGTGAGGCATTAGCATATAGGCCATCCAACGATGGAGACTGAACTGACCTTAGGTACCGTGGCTTCAATAATTGCCTGGGTGGATAATTCTGGCTCTTTCGCCTTCTCCTTCTCAGTCTGCTTCTGCTCTGTCGATCGAGTAGACCTCAATTTCTTTGCGGTCTGTTTCTTTGGCGGTGGTTTAACGGGACTTGCAGTTTGATAGGGATTCGATACGTCTGCCTTCTTAGGAGGAGTGACCTCCTTAATGAGGTCTGCCATGAAGTTCGCAGCCTTTGTAGGCCTTCTCGGGGGAGAGTTGGAAGGAGGAGAATCACTCTGACCCCAGGCTTGCCTGAGAGGAGAAGGAACTGCTGGTAGAGTGGGCTTAATGGGAAGACCATTGGTGCGCAGTCGAGGTGTCTCTAGTTTGTTCGTGGAAACAGGGAATGGTCCATTGGTAGTCTTACCGTTAACAGTGGGCTTCGCAGGAGTAACCATGGATTGCGACTGAGTTATACGAGTGGGCGAAGGAGCAGGTGCTTGAGAGCGACTCGTGGGAGTAGGAGAAGCAGGAGCTCTCTGAGACGTCGAAGTTTCAGCAGCCTCACCTACACGACGCCTCTTCGTGTCTGTCTGCGGCGTCTTCGGTGGAGATATTTTAATCCTGGAAGGCGTTGGCCGCGAACCAAATCCGGGAGATTGATAACGATTTCTAGGCCTGGCGCTGCCTGCGCCTTGCCATTTGTAAACACCATTGGGGTTCTTGCTCAATGTCCTCCTAGGAGTTTGTGCTGGTATTCCATTTGTGGAATTTCCAAATCCATGACCTGGAGAAGCGTCACGGGAAGGCGTGGTCGAAAATCGGAAGGGTTCCGGCTTTTCTGCGTCATCTAAGAGGGATCGTAAGCACCCCTTACCAGATAAATAAGAGTGGATGTGTAGCATACTTTGTACATTCTTCTGGATATATTCTACGATGCCAGCCGCTTCGAATTCATTCAAGGGCTGACCTGCTTTTTCTACTAAGAATTTTGTGACAGGCTCCAGATTCTGGGCAAGTGATTGTCTATGCGAGGACGAGGAGGCCATCTGAGATGGCGGTGTGTTGAGATTGAACACAATTGGCGAATTCCGTGCCGGAGTGTATGGCGCGTGGGCGGCGGTGGATGGGCCACCTTCGCTAAAACCAAAGTTCAAGTTTTGCGCCATCTGAGGGTGTATATGAGCTAGGAACATTGAGTGTGACATACGATACATACCTGACGCCCTCTAGCGGATAAAGTGTGTGCAGGAGAGGTGGGAGCGGCAGGAGGTGGTGGTGAAGGCGGTAACTCTTGTTCTTCGCCATGCAGGACGATCAGTGGTTCATCAGGTAGGCGTTGCTGGGCTACATATTCGTGGGGACCGACACTGCCTTTGGAGTCGTCTTCTGATGAGTCCATGTCTGAGGTACTTTCGAGCTCATCCGCGTCTTTCGAGGACCTGAAGCGCAGGGGATTAAAATATCCTAAGAGACCCGACAAGCTCCACATCTACACAATGACGATTCTATGGTGAGCAGAAAATTAGTAGCAAAACAAAGGCCTTTCCGCACGGATTTCTTGCTTTGGGGCGCTCTTGGGCGCGCATAGGGTGAAGAATGTACATTGCGGGTTGCTCGACGTTCACTTCGTCTGACGGCGCTCATGTTCCAGTAATAAGTTTTTAGGAAATAAACTGGGAAAGTGCGACCTGTGAAGACTTTTGACGGTCGTGGGTGCTAGAAGGGGAAAATAGAGAAAACAAGGTGAGGATGGTTAATGAGTGGGTGCAAGAGCCAGAGGTGCCGCCACAAGCGTACCCGCTTTAGGGCCGGCCTCTTTGCCTACTCCGTAACCTCCGAAACAGAGAACAAGCCCGTCTGCAAACGAAACAAGGAAATTCTTGCAAGTCCAAAATGCACAACAAAGTCGTTGAGACACCTTACCCCCTCATCGATGCTGACCCCCACGCCTCCCGTGTAGTCAGGTATTTCCGCTCTTCAGACTATGCAACATGGGCTGCAGGAACAGCAGCTTTCCCTGCTGCTCTCTACTTCTGGGGTATGCCCTTTCGCTTTCCTTACACATGTTACTTATCCAGGTGCATTTGTATGTTTACAGACATGGCTGACCCCTCGAAGGCTCGTATTCGCACCAGCTTGCGTCTAGGAGGCTTCCTCGGCTTCTTTGGCGGCTTCCTCTTGGCTTACCAGCGGTCAAGCTGTGAGTCCTTTTGCAGTCTCTAGGGCCTTGCTTGTATCCGTCAAATCTCACTCACGTCTCAGTCCGCTTCTGGGGTTGGTCGGAAAACAAAAGAGAAGAAGACATGGACCTGGCAGAACTGAGACAGCGTGCCAGCGAAGGCAAACCTTTGTACGGCGAATCGAGCCAACCAGACTGGGTACAAGGAGTTGCGTACAGAAACTCCGCATGGTCACAGCTTAAATTCCGTGCGTTTCCTGTCATAATTAATTATGTTGTGGATCGTTAACTATGGTTACCGTTTCAGATGTTTTTCCTATGTGAGCTTTCATCATAATACTGGTAGGTAGCATCTGATGATCTGGCTCTTTAGGTTCAACTTTGTGAATCATCCTCATCATGGAACTGACCCCGCAAAGTATGGAGTCAAACCGCAGGAAAAGGAAATCGAGTAGAACCTGCAATAAAATGATGTAGTCCCTTTTATTTCAACTACCTTTCTCTGCGCATAATCACCAGCAAAATGCTGCAGCTGCAGCAATTGCCAGTCCTGCATCATTAAGCCGGGATCGATATCCCTACAAAGCTACGAGAATGAGTTTGTGGTGAAACCAGATGGTCCAGCTTTTATTGTCGGCCCTTTTTTCGCGCTCTTCCGCTGTCCTCTGAAGAATCACCCGTGTCCCCGTTGGCCTCCGCCTCCGCCTCCTTCCCTTTTTTCTCTTTACCCTGAGCTATTACGCGCTGCACAACTGTCTCCCACATAGTATCATTAACTCCTTTCGCTTTCCCCAGCTGCTCTTGAAGTCGGGTTACTTCTCCTTCAAGTTCAGCCACACGGGACTGCAAGGAAACGCCTCCTGACTCTGAACTAACAGGCTGTACAAAGTAAGCGTAATCACGATGAAACTCGGAAGATGAGCATGAATACGGTGTTAAGGTGTTAGTACGGCACTGGAAGCGAAAACAATTTTCAGTCTAAACAAGCACTCTGAGGACTGACCAATGATGTACCTTGTTCTGTATAGGAAGCATGATAGATACTTCATGTGCTTCTCGAGCTTTTGATTCTCTCATCCTCTGGAAGGGTACAACCGTTCTCACAGGAATAGGGTTCTTGGCATCAGCCAAGGTCTTCAGATCCAAGGTCAGACTAATGTGACCTATTAGGTCTGGAGGTTTGAACATCGACGTGATGTAAGATATCGAACTGCCTTTGTGCGTCGATATCGTACGAAGGAGCTGATGAGATGCGATATCGTAGACATATACAAGTCCTGTGGATGTGCCAACTAGGAGAAGAGAAGACGTCAGTGAAATAGCGAGTGCTGTGACAGGTTGCCTAAAGTATTAGGTCAGTAATAGCATAGAATATAAGGATATGTGATTATTGACCCAACAGATATAAGCCGCTTTCGTCGAACGTGCTCATCTTCGTCTCCAATTCGAATGACATCATTAACTCCGCCTCCACCTACAGCCTCAACTACTTGCCCTCCAATATTGTCAGCACGCTGACGAAATAGGTTGGCTTGGTGTATTGAGCCGTCTGGAGACGCAGCAAAAAACAGCCGTTCGGTCACATCCCACGAAAGACAAGTAACTGGTTTTGGAAAATGGAAAGTTGTCAGGAGAGCGCGCGAGGAAAGATCCCATAACTGTTTCAACCGATGTTAAATAAAATATCTACAAAATGTGCGTTATGAGACTTACTTTGACGGTATGGTCAACAGACGCAGTGAGGATACGACACGAAGGGAAAGCACCGACACCACAAATGATATCCGTAACTGGTAACGTGTGATCGGAGAGCGTGCAAAATGGAGCTGGTAGTTCGGTTTGAAGACTGTCATCTACTAATCTAAGACCATGAAATAAATAAGTTCAGCCTGCCGCATGTCCTAGTGGCAAAAACTGCCAAATTGACCTCGACACGGACCAGACGCTCACGCCAGAATCTTCGCTTCCAGAAACGAGACCTGCACCATCATGTGTGAATCGGAGTACGTTTACTTTTTGATAGTGTGCGTCCCATGAGTTGTATAAAATGCCGGATGCGACCTACTGTCGGAATAAGTTAGCAAATTCTGCCATTGACCCTTGATTCGTGAGTGTTCGCGCCTCCCATAAGTATATCCGGCCTTGGCTCGTACCACCAGCACAATAATCACCCCTGCAGTCCAAGGCTATGCAGGTGAGCTTTTCTGGAAGGACGATCTTTAAAGCTATTTGATCCTGGCAGCACGAAAATTAGAGCCAATATACCGTTCTCATAATATGAGAACGCACTTTTTGGAAGTTATACACGTTGAGTATAGATTTGTCTGGCTGGGCAGCCATAATGAATCCGCCTTGGCCATCGCGGGTATCAATAAAACAAGTGCAATGTGGGGCAGAGCTGGTCTGCTTGAATGATGCGAGAGAGGAACCAGTCTCGATGTCGTGAAGAGCAATTACTCCTGCGCCTGCATCTGAAGCTTGAGGAGCCGTCGCACAAAATATAACTTCTTGTAGATGAGGCATTCCTGGTTTATGGTTTTGTCATGCAAAAAGCCTGAAGCGTTATAAGACCATGCATATGCGGCAGAGATGGCGTCAAAAAAAATGAAGTCACGTGCTGTGGAGATTTGTGCCAGTAGCGTACTCCCACTATAGGGTCTACCGCGCTTGTACCTCTACGTCTCGTTGCTGCATTGCTCCATTGTATTTACCAGCATTAACTGAAACACTTATAAGGCGCACTCTGAATATACTGCTGTAGACTTTTCATTGAGCTTCACGGTCGTCCACCATGGCTACGAACCTATACGAAACATTGGGATTAAACCGAGACGCTTCACCAGAGCAGGGTAAGTTTACAAACCAATCGTATCGTCTCTGGGCTCAATCGCCGTATCACTCCAGTCCGTAAGGCATATAGGCAGAAAGCTCTCCAAACCCACCCCGACAGACTTCCTCCTGGTGCATCATCTGTAGAGAAGTCCGCAGCTGAGGAGCTCTTCCGAAATGTGGGCATCGCAGACCATTCCCAAGTAATGGCCTTCTTACTGTTTCTATTGCTGTAGGTAAACAATGCATACGAAGTCCTGAGCGACCCTCACAATCGTAGGGTATGTACATCATCCACGCATCGCGTGTGAAGGGGTATTTATATTAAATCACATATTAAAAGGTTTATGATCAACATGGAGTATGGCCTCCACAACAGTACGAAGCACCGCCCATGCCAGGTCGTCATCGCAGCAGAGGAGCGGGCAATTCATTCCCGGATCCCTACTTTGACTTTGGAAGAATGCATGATCCCTTTGGATTCAGCTTTGGCGGCTTTGGTTCCTCTCAGCAGCAGAACCGGGGTTTCACCGATCCTTTCGAGTTATTCAACTCGATTTTCGGAGATATGCATCAACAATTTAGCCAGTTCAATAATGACTCTTTCCTCGACCCTTTCGGTGGCCATGGACGTAGTCGCGGGCGCACTAACACTTTCAATGGTTTCGGCCCATCGTTCCCATTCGGACCCTCCATTATGGTGTCTAATGGCAATGGGCATGGACGCTCAGGATTTCATCAGTCCCAACATAGCTTCTCAAGTGGTAGTGGACAAGGACGATGGGTCTCCGAAAGCAGGTCCATGACAACCATCAACGGCGTAACCGAAAGTAAGTGGACTCGGAGGGATTCGAGTGTACGTATTGGCAGATCGTTTATCGTTTATTTAAAATCCAACGCTTACATGCTTGGTGCAGGGAAATGAACACATAACATATACTTACCCCGATGGTACTGAACGTACCACTATCAATGGTGTGGAACAGTCTTCTCCTCACAATGATCGGTACATACAACCTCCGCCCCCTTACCCTGGGCATGCCGACGTGGCTGGTCTCCCTCCTCCTCCCGTCGTTTCGCCGCGACCCAATCGACACAATTCAGGTAAGCTACTAACCTTGATTTTGCGAAAGTGTTCTTAGGCAGCTGACTTTGTCCGCCTGTCATCGTCATACTAGCTCGCCCGGACAACAGACAATATGGTAACGACCGCATTAACAGCCCTGATGAAAAGGCTTCTTGGAGGTTCTGGAGGTGAAGTGCCTTTTATACTCCTTCCACTCAATCCTATCATGTACTATTTCCCACTTACATGCATCTGCGCGATTCTTTTGTTTTGTTTTCTCTCTATGATATGTATCGCTTGTTGACCTCTCTTTGTTCGAAACCCATTACTGTATTCCCTCAATCCCCTAGTCCTGTTTTCCCCCTTTTCGTTGCTATTGAAATTTAAGTTTCTTAGAGGAGCTTTGCACATGTTTAATGTAGTATATTGTATCTTGTTCAGCCTTTTATGTCTTCTTGGATCCGGTGCAAGTTCTCTCCGACACGATTCAACATATTCAACATTGAGCCTGCTGAGCCTCGACTGCTCATACAAAGTATATAATGTGATGTCTGCTGGGCATATAATCCACCGTAGTATTATAACCAGATTTATATCAACCTCTCCATCAGACAGATAACCCACATACAGCTACAGTTTACAATCCCTCGAAAAATGACAGATCTTGGGCAGAAAGTGCTCCACCTCCTGTCGACGATGCAGGCTTTGTCAGCTGTGCAAAGGGTTTGCTTGGAGCTGGTTTAGATATCGAAGAACTTGTATTTGGAAATGACAACAAGGGCTGCATAGTCGATGGGTTTGATGATGGAGGAGGCGACAATCTGTTGACTGGACTGAGAGATCTCATGAGCGTTGGTGGAGAGGTTAAGGCTCTCATGCTCGATCCTGGTGAAGTTACAGGTTGAGATGGTTGAGGTGGTTTGGCGGCGAAGTCCCCTAGTAGATCTATCTCAAATGGGTTACTGTGCGGAGGAGGAAGGGCTTGTGGCTGCGGAGAAGGTTGCCCTGACTGCAGAGCAGGCCATTTACCAGGGCGAGACGCAGCATTTTCCACCAACGTTTGAGTACGTTGATGGTCTGACCTTTTTACAGATGACGACCGGGATGGTGGGTTCCCATCATTATTGAAATGGTGGGGAGATGTCTTCGCAGGCGGTGGGGGTGGAGAGGGTGTGCGGAGAGGCGATGAAACGAAATCATCGAAATCGTCGAATGATGACGAGGAATTCGCAGAGTCCAAGGGTCGACTTTCTGCGGAGTGGAATGATGAAGGGGTGAGTAAAGCATTCAGTGACTCCGAATCAACAATGGGTCTTCGATTACGCTTTCCGCCCGAGTAGAAGGCGGAGAATTCGTCGTCGTCCATAGACGAATCAGACGGCGCTGATACAATGAGCGGTGCCATGATGACCGGCTTTGGTGTCTGAGTTCTCGATGGAGCTGCAGGTGGCGGCGGGATGAGTGGAGGGGTAGCAATGCGCAGCTGGGTACTAGGAGGTGGAGGGAGCAACATAGGGGATTGCGACCTGGATCGAGGGTGTGGGGGAGAAGGGAGCCTGGAGAAATTTGCCGCGTGTGATGAAGTGCGTATGCCAGGAAGCGGTTTTGTCTGCAGCGGTGTTTGAGATCGAAAGAAAGATGTATTGACAGGAGATAGTGTCGGTGGCAACAAGGTTGGGCTGGTTGCAGCAGAGGCGGGTGATGTTGCACGCCGGGTGTGGTTGGAACCGAACCTGAGCTCATGTATATCATCGACAACAGCAGCCGTACCAAGGCTGCCGACAGTAGATACTGGGCGACTCGACGATGACGGTTTGGGAGGTGGAGGAAGAGGCGGAGGCAATTTGGGAGGCAAAGGCGATGAGTCTATCATAGTTGACAGAGCTTTGAGTTCTGCGTGAGATATATCTTCATCTGGGTCATTTGCACTAGGGACGATGTCTGATAAGAATGCCAGGTCATCTGAGGAAAGCGCAATGGAATTGCGCTGAGAAGCTGTATTTCTCGTACGCGAGAATCTGCTGAAAAACCTGGAGACGGCAGATGGAGCAGGTTCTGTGGAAACTACTGGAAGAGCATCAGAAGGTTGTGGAGGGGGTGTCGACGCAGACGAGGCATATGAGGCAATACTTGTGGGAGATTTCAAGGCGGGAGATGCGGTCCTGTCGACAGGAACTGTACCTGTCGATCTCCCACTATCTACACTTGAGCGAGAAGTCACAGGTGCTTTAATACTAGGTGACTTAACAGACGGTGGAATGGGGGATTGAGTCCGCTCAGCTTTCGTATCTACTGATGGAAGCGTAGATGCTCTGCGACCCCAGAATGATAGCAGCCCAGCGTTGTTCTTCCTGGCTTGTTTGTCTCCCGTGGTCGCAGAGGGCGCTACTTCTGTATCCTTGTCCATAATTCGCCAACCTAACGGAGTGTCATCTTGAGTGAGATCCGACCTGGATTTAACAGAAGTCTCCCAAGCCGTCGAGCCTTTGGAAGCTAAGTACTGTGCTAGTGGACTCTTTCGTAAATGAGGAAGATGTCTCGTTAACCGCAAAGCATCATTCGTGGACTTGGCCGTGGAAGTTTTTTCAAAGTCTACAGGTGGAGGTAAAGTGATATCTTCAGGGACAAGTTGATTTAAAAGAGCAGTGCTAGTTATTTTTTGTAAACTTCATATCAGAAGGTTAGCCATTATAATACCACACTCACATGTGTTTGAGGTCATCCATGCCATTAGGAAATTTCTTTTGAGAGTCGCCGGAGGCATCGTTTGGCTCCTGAAGCTCTGGACACATTTGGTCTGTGAACACCTTGCATTGCTCAAGAAGAGATGCCAGAGTTTCTGGTGGCTGGAAAGACATCAGATGTATGAGAATACGATGATGGTGATTGATACATACCACAGCGCGATTCTGTTTTTCTTTTTCCTTCCTTGCAATTTCCCACTCGTCTGGGGGATCGCTGTTGTCAGTTTCGGCTTCGGTGTGGACTGCCCAAGCTGACCCCCACGCCGGATCATCTGAGGATGATGCATTGTTGGTCCATACACCGCCAGGTGATGAGCTTTCTGATACAATAGCACTTTCGAATCCTCCAAAAGCATCGGCTGTGTCAGGCATTTCAGGGAACGACTCAGCTACTTCTTTGTCAGGAGACTTCGACATTTGAGGTAGAGATGGAGCAATTTCGACTGATATTGGCAAGGACGCTTGCGAAAGATCTGATGAGCTGGTAGATGCAGAGGGTGCATCATGATCTGGTGTGTCTTCTATAGGAGACGGTGGATCTGGAATTGCAGGTGGGCGAATGGATATTCCCTCGTAAGTGGACGTGCTCCATGTCTTTCCGGTGTCGATAGTCGAGGACCATAGAGGACTTTGATTAGCTGAAGGTTCCGACCACTTTATTTCAGTACCCGTAGACCAGGACGGCAAGGCTATATCCGCCTCAGGTTCTTGCTCAGGTGCATCATGAGCTGATGGCTTCCAGGCGGTGTCTGTGGTTACTTTCTGCGGCTGTTCTGGCTCTCCCCAAGCACTTGCCCAAGGATTATCCATCGAATTATGGGCCAAAGGAGCTATACAGTAAATATGAGTGAGGTTTGCTTCAGAGACTTGAGACACGGCTGAGGGCCGCAGTGCTGTCGGAAGCCGGAAGAGGACGCGGCAGTCAAGTGGCTGCCACGTGCAGTAATTGGTGGGAGGCTCAGCCTTGTTGCTGCAGTGCAAGAATCTTAGGAACGGCGACTTTGAGTTCAACTCCATTGCCTGCATTCTTGCCAAACATCACTCAATGGCCATGGACATTCCTGTAGGCGAACGCAGCATATTGGAATGGGACGAAGGGGACGTGCACCTTTGGCTTTCAAACCTTGGCTTTCCGCAGTACGAAAACCAGATCAGAGGTCTGTCCCGGTTCCGCACCATTCGGGATATCCTCTCAGTATTTATCCTTTATTTCCTCTAGAACATAACATATCTGGCGATGTTCTTTGCCTGCTCCATCCTGACACCCTCAAAGCTGTTGGCGTCTCGACGGTTGGCCAAAGACTCGCCATCCTCAAAGCAGTATACCAGACTAAGCTCGCGCATAACGTTCCTTTCGAATCGGATCACTATGTACCCCCATGTTAGTGTCCAAGTCCCCTCCATAATTCTGTGTGCTTGATATTTCTTAGCCGAAGCACCTGAACATCAAGCGAATGTCTCCATTGAAAAGTTGTGCGATGTAGTAAAAGAACAAGGTACGTCCGCGCGTCGTGGGATCCTTTGAAGCCTGCTAAATAACGGTATCCTATCTGCAAGACCAACGCCTCCGCCAGTTAGAAGAGGATAATAAGCGTCTGAACGATACTCTTCAGTCGTTCCTGGAGGAGTTCACCGGCAGTCGCGCTTCACAAGGACGTTCAGCACGTGTACTCTCATCTTATATATTATTTGTGTGTACTTAATCGATGTACAGGACGAACCATCGCTTCGCAGGCAGCCCTCTTTCAAGTGGGCACAATATGTGAAGCCGGCTAAATCACCAACGAAACCCGATAATGTCGAATCTCCTCATCATTCACCACAGCAGCTGGAAAGTGATTCACCGTACAACCGCACTCCTCAGCCCCAATACCAAACTATTACCACTCCATCTGATAGACAGCGCGGTCAAGCATCATCATCGACTGATTCGCCCAATTCTGCTCAGCTTACAGCTTCATCATCTAAAGCTCAGAGGCAGGAGAGTTCAGACAACCTCAAGAGCTTCAAAGTTAGCCTGGAAGACCCAACCTGGAAAGTTCTTCCTGCCGCGCTGAAGAAGTACAAGATCAACAACGATAACTGGGAAAATTATGCGATGTTCATTTGCTATGGCTCACCTGGTAAATATTTCTGTTGGATGCCTAAATACCTGCACACTTATTTGTCGTAAACACAAGGTAACCGGATAGAACGATGTCTGAGTTATGACGAGAAACCACTTATACTGTTCCAGAAGCTCAAGGATGCGAAGAAAAACCCAGTTTTCATGTTAAAACACATCAAAGATATTCGCTCGCCCATAGCAGTTGCACAGCAGAAACATGCTCTGAGAAAAGCTTCTGTTTCTTCAGAGCCCCCTTCTGGCGATACCAACAAGTCTATTCCTGCGGGCCAGGGCCGAGCCGTATCTCGTCCTCCTAAATTGGAGGTGAATGATTTATCTGTATCTGCCCCCTTAACTGGCACGACCCCCCAAGCGGGGTGGCCGGAAGTTATGTCGCCTTCTTTGGACAACAGGGAGAGGGCAGAAGAGTTTGGCGGGAATGGATCAAATACAGTCAATGCGCCGGTATCGGTTAGCGTCAGTACACCTCCGAGTGGAGACAGTACTTCGGGCCATACCAGCACAAAATCGCGCAACATCTCCATCGCAAGCACTGCCACAGTGGTTGAAGGTAGCGGAGCCAGTGTAAGAGAGATGCCGATACCCATCTCTGAAGTGTCCTATGCCGTGGCCATCTATCCTTACATGGCAGAGCAAGAGGACGAATTTGATGTAGTCGTGTAAGAATTACCATTATGATCTTCTCAGGGGGTACCTGCTGATATCATTTCACAGAGGTGATACTTTTGTTATCCTGTCTCGCGCTCGGGGGTGGTGGGTCGTGCAACGCGACCCGACAGGATCTGGTATCGTTGATACAGATACCAGTACACAAGGATGGGTACCAGCGGGCTGTTTGCTCGAAACGAGCGTACCAGTGGCATCTGCAATTGCGGAGGCAACAGCATCGAAAGCTGGTAACAGCTTGGGCTCCCCTCCATCTTCACCTTTGTCCAAGACGCCAATATTACCCCTGAATATTATATCAACAAGTTTTCCCGGCGTTGCACTCATGGACTATAAAAAGAAAGGAGAAGAAGAACTCGACTTGATCAAGGACGATGCGTTAAGGGTATTTAAGCGCTACAATCACTGGTCTTATGTAGGTACCAATCTAACTCCTGGAAAGTGTCTTGCTCACCTGTCTACAATAGGCTGTCAAAGAAGAGGGTGGATATCGTGGTTGGGTTCCAGTGAGTTTAGCTATTTTGACTGTAAGAGACAAAATTCTGAAATTCACTTTTCCTAGTCGTGGTTCATTGGCAAGGTACCCACAGTAGGAGGCGCACCTCCAACACCAAGCACTACTTCGGTGCCGACTCTCATGAATCCTCCTATTGTCAACTTGGAAGCCGACTCCAACAATCAGACCCAGGTCTCACCAATGTCGTCGGCATTCCCTGTACAAACCCGTTAGACGACTGCTGTATGATTTTCTAAAACATGTATCTCTATGTGATATGACCCTTATTCTTTCTCTATGGGACGAATCGGCTTCTAGGTGGTCTTTTTGCTTTCGTTTGTCGCATTGATATATTGCATGGACTGTTTGTGCTTTCATATTATCATTTTTTTCGGCTCCTGCGTATCTCATGTTAGGTCCATACCCTTCACCCACCTTATTTGTTTCACTCTATGTAAAATTTGTTGACTAAGGCGCACGTATCAATATCGATTATTTAGGTGTTAACATTATATCTGAGCGTCCAGAAAAATCAAATTTAAAATCAAATTCAAAGATTCGTCTACATCTTATTATCTGACTTTGGTGATACAGGAGTCTGTTTGTGTGTATGGTAAGAACTTTGTAGAATCGTTTCAGACAACATGGAATATGCAAGATAGCTGTTAAATAGCAACCACCGCAGCGAAAGGTGTGGCAGAAGAATCCAAGTAATGTTCCGTGTCTACTTATAAACTTGTAAGGTTTGGGCCAGAAGGTTCAGATACCATCCAGTCAGACCCCAAACTTCCAGCTTCCCATTACGTCCTCCCCCAATTTCATCGCGTTGTTCTGGATCATTGGTCCAAGTAACGCCTTGAACGAGATCAGAGACATCTATAGCCCAATACGGACTGGTACGGCGAAAGAAGTCAGACCTTAGACGAGCAGGCGATGTCAAAGCTGAAAGTGGGAGATGGAAGACCGTGGCAACCTCAGGCTGTGATATAGTCAAGGAACTGATGGAAAGAGAGGGCAGTGGTGTATTTGATTCTTGCTCTTGCTCAGTGCCTGACTGACGACTTGGATCACCTGACGGATAGACGAAGCCCTGAGAATGGAAGATAAAACATCATCACATAAATTCCATATGTATGATGGGTAAGTCATACCACGTATGGCCAAACCCTCATTCCTGAGAGACTCTGCTCTGGGGGGCCGAGTTCGCCAAGGACATCGATTTGGCTAGAAAGAACACCCAGCTCCTCTTTTGTTTCCCTTAGAGCCGCATCTAAGCACGACATATCTGTCTACTGCGCCATTGATCAATATCATAAGTCATAGAAGTAGACTTGTGAAATATCGACCTTGTCAACCTTTCCACCGGGAAAGCTATGAACGAGAAACATGCATCAGGAACTCGAGAGGTTAGTTGAAGATATGATGCACACTGCATACCTCACCTCTCCAGAGTGTGTGCGCAACTTTCCTCTTACTTCGAGAAGCACGCCTGGTATATTATTCACATTACAGAAGGGAATGAGCACCGCTGCATGAATTTCATCGGGACTTGCATCGTTTGACGTTTTCGAGGCATGTTGCACAAGGGTATTCTTGATAGCTTGCAGAGATATCTTGGTGAAAGGAGACGTCAGAGAAATAATGGAACTGGCTGGAAAGACATGACTCGTCGCTGTCATGAACGTCCTCGGCAACATCGTTCCCCCTTCCCCTGCACTCCAAAAACGTGCACCACGAAACCAAGGTTGTGGCTATGCCAATCATGCAGCTGACACAAGGAACGCCGCTTGCAGTCCGTTCATTTCAGTGCCCCTTTGCTGAGATGTTCATATCTCCTATATATTGTTTGATTGTCAAAGCTACATATGCTGCAGTCAATTCCAAACTGATTACTAGAAAGTCTATGCATATCCTAAATATCGTGAGTTATATTTCAGCTTGAGTGTGCCATTCGTTTCGCATCATTTCCGGTCCTGGCCATCTTCGCCGACATACGATTCCACAATCAACACCTTATCGTCATCTTCTCCCACCTCTCCTTCCCAGCCATTTTCAGCCAGATACTGCATAAATTTCGCGTCTTCCTCAGCGAGGTCTACCCCCGTCATGTCAGGGACGAAGAAATAAGTGACCAGAACACCCGTCACCCCACAAATGGCGGCAATGATAAAGGTCCATCTAGAAGCTGAATTCAGAAACCTTGTAGCAGCACCGCAAATGGAGGAGGGCATACTTTTTCCCAAGATTATTCTGTATAGGCGTAAATGCTTGAGTGCCAACAGCAGCTCCTGTCTTTCCGATAGCTGCAGAAAGACCGTAGCAGGTTCCTCTTGGATCGACATTAGTTTCACCAAATAGTGCAGAAATGAGCACTGTACCGAATAGGAGTTGCGTAGGATCTAATATGGGGACTTTGTTAGTATATTGAAATATGAAAGTGCAGGATGCACACTCACTCGGCGCTAACCAGACCTAACATATTTCCCGGTCCCTAGGGGGCAAGCGCTGGTATTGAGTTCATGGTATCATTCAATACGGTTAGAACACACCAGGTTTCCAAACGATTGCATCAATCCGTAACTAGTTCGAGGACACAATAAGTGGTTTGATGTTAATATGAAGGCCGTGAACTTACAAAATGACAAAGAGGGGGACAATGTTTATTATTTTGTCATATCCGAGACCAATAATCAAGCCCTATAGGTGCCGTCAACTACATGAACAAGGCTCGATGGTTAATTGACGTACAAATACAAGATATCCAGAAAATCCGAGGATCATCTATTATTCATGAGCAACAAACAGGTTGACAGGCACATGCACATACCGTGTTACGTCTACCTAATCGATTGCATAGAAGCGCACCCACGAAGACTCCGGGAAGGGCAATTGTTCCAAGTAGGAGCTGCCATTCGGCTGTCTGTTTGATGTCACTGTTATGGATCACACTAGAAATGATGGCTCCAGAGAAAACACCATTGGGGAATGTGACCTATTTATTTGGACATTAGACTTCAGGTTTCTGAACAGTGCTCATTAGTATACTGACGAAGTCGTAGAGGAACCTGTTGATTGATTGAGGTCATTGTAGTCGTGCTTTAAGAGTCAAGACGAAAGGACTCACCAGGCACCGCATGTTCCAATGAGAGCTTTCCAGTAACGTCGGATTACCAAAACATATGGTACCCGATCTAAAATTTAATATAACCTCTGTCATAGATATATTGTATCGCATGATACTCACGTTTGATAGCGCCCTTTCGATAGAGTTTGGAGCTCAACATTCGCAAACGGAAGAAGAAGACGGTTAATGGGAGGAGTATTCCTATACCGAAGCATACACGCCAAACTGTTTCCAGATGATTCTCTCCGGCTGCTGATATGGCGATCAAGAATACAGATACAGCCAAAGGACCACCAAACTAAGAGACTCATTTAATAAGTAAACAAGAAGGAATGTTGGATATAAGTTCTCACACTGAGGACGAAATTTGTCACCATAATGAACACTATGACATTCCCAGTAAGTAAGGGACCATCCGTATATAATTTATGAAATACCTGGTCCCCGGCTACCTATAGACTTCTCGTTTGCGGCTTCACTAGCGCTTGTGGAAGATGCTGGGTATTCTCCACCAACACCCTGTAAACCCCAGCATCAGAAAGTAGATAAAAAGATGGACGAGTACACCTACAACACCAGTGATACCTCGAGCAATAGTAAGGAACCAGAAAAGTCCATTCGGGCTTCCATGAGCTCCGTGCGCCGCAGTACCCAAGATTGCCCCAACAACTATTAACAGTGTAGTGGCGACAAGGGCTACCTTCCTTCCAAGACGGTCGCAAATCAAGCCCACGATGACTTGGCCGATGACCGCACCTTTTCGACAATGAGAGATAATGAATATCTAGATGAGAAGTACTAACCAACAAGCAATGCATTGGAGACGCGAGTAGATACAGTAGAAGTATATTCTTTCGGGTATAGTTGTTTGAAGACCACCTGCAGAAAAGACGCCAACTAAATTGGTAGCACTACTTCAAATATTTGTGACGTACATTGGACATCGTCATAATGTTATTTTGGTCTACGAGAGAAATTAGACACTTGATCAGGCAACTACAATTCCAGTGTACTCACAGCCATCGCTGATCAAACCAAAGCCTGCTGCTAGGATTGTGAAATAAGCGCTTAATGACTCTTTTCTAGTCATTTTACTGCGCGCTTCCACTGGTGAGTCGGCGACATCCTCTTCACTAGCAGACGGCGAGACCTTGCGGGCATCAGAAGCCTGTTTTTCCTCCAGCAAGCTAGGACCTTGCTCTAGAGACATATCCATATCTTGTGGGGGAAGTCAGAATGCAAACTCTGCAATGGAGAGAGCGTCGGACCATCCTCTACCTGCCATCATTACCTATATACAAATGTTTCCATGTGAGATGTACGCACGTGCGCCGCCATATCACTGACAACAGCCAGATGCGAAAGCTCAATGTCCAAGATGGATATGCTGATATCTAATGTCCTCGGTTTTGTAGATAAGAGCTACAGAGTGCACTGTGGCCAGTGTCGAGGTCATATTCGACTGCAATGGTCCGGACTAGAACTTTACAAGTTACTAAAGACACAGCACGCGCCGGAAATCAGACTCAGACTTTCCAATGCATGGCGCTTGCCAGTCGTTAGCCGAACCGACACCATCACTGTATTCGCGTACCTCGATGTCACGTAAGTTAATCCACCCTCAGTTCTTGTCGCTCAATATCGTTGAGTTCGAGTCTCAAATCTCTTCAGACATGCACTCTATCACGCAGTTTATTAATATGGCGGCTCTGTCCTGCTAGTTCTGAGTCTGAACGCGTGAATGATGAGCGCTGAGCTTTAGGCTGGTGTAGCTCATCATTTCATTGGGTCGGACGCTACTTTACTCCGTTTATCCAATCTACACCCAGGCTGTCAAACGTACCAGTATTCCGCACATGTCACTATCCCGCACGTGTCCTGTATTTTTTTTTGTTGGTCTTGATGAGATGCAAAACCCGGCGCGTGCAGCATACTACAGAGGCTATTGCTATTGATGGGAGCTAACCATTCTTTCGTGCAGACCCTTTCGGTTCCGTACGTTCCGTGTCGAGGTGGAAGTGTATTGAGAATTTCATTCAGGTTCGGAAAAATCCTGTCTGAAACTCATCATAGAATGCCAAACGGTGTCATGGGGATCCAGAGCCTCGTTGTAACCACACGTCTCTAGAAGATGCTTTAGTGACTACAGGATCCACAAGAAGGTGAGTTGTGACGGTAACTGTTATAACAGGTACGGAATTCTATTCCAATAATGACAGGCTTTAGTTCCGCTTCAAGGCAAAGGCTGAAAAAGTGTGTAAAATAGCGTGTCTTTTAGCTTTGATCAGTTTGACGCCTTTACACTCGGGGCAGTGCTCACTGCCTCGACGCCTTGATGGCCCGCATCACGCTGATCGTTGTTACTTGGCAAGTGTTTATTCCAGTTCGCGCTGTTTATTCAGCATCACCCACTCACAAAAATACATAATGTTGATGTCCAGGCCCTGCTTTATTGATTCTTCCATATATTTGCCAGCCAGCGGGTACTAAGACAGTTGGATATATGGGCCTTATGAGCCGCCCACTGGAACCATCTCTATCTGTCCTTGATACGATGTCCAGCACCGAGTTGGAGCTTACGATCCTTGGTATATTCGATGCGAGGTACCTAACATTCGCTTGTTATTCATTAGTTATTTATGACCACGCCTTAACGCTCGATCAAGAGGTCAGTGATATACTTAACAGCGACTTAGATTGTACGATGGCTCACCTGCTTTTTTTTATTTACATACAGATCGGTTACTTTTGGAATCGCTCATGGAGCGTTTCTCAGTTTCTCTTCTTCCTTGTGAGCGAACCCTGAAAAATGTAGTGTTCATTATCATATTCAATATCTGTTCTTTCAGGTCCGTTATCTTACATTGTGTACGATCATGTGAGAACGCCTCGTATAGCCTGCGTGCTAATTCAGTAACTAAAATTTTCAGACTTTTATAGCATAGACCTGACTAGTAAGTAAATAATTCGTCGTCGACGGAGGATCTTCGTTAACGTTTCTGGTAGCCATTTTCTTGAGTGGATCAAATCCAACCGTAAGTCGACTACAGATGTTCGTGTCCTGTACGTGACTAATGTTCTTTGTTAGGCGTCAGCCTCATACGTTTACACGCACACTGGCTTCGAACTGACATTTATGGGTCACTAGGTGTTCTGACTTGTTTCTCTCAAGCTATGGTCTCTTTGTTACCATCCTAATTATTGTCCAAGGTAAGCGTATGCTTTGGTTGTTCCTTTAAATCTGTGACAAGTTCACTGAAGAAAATTTTCCAGTGGTTCTAACTCTGCGAGTCTGGTATCTATTTTCTGGAAGACGCACCATCCAGTTGTTGGCTGCTGGCTGTTTTTGTGTGTCATTTATTGCCACCATACCCTTGGTTATAAGGCTGTCAACCGAGATTCGCATGACTCTTGTAATGCTTCCTGGCATGAGTGGCTGCATCTTCGCTCCAAGCAATGACAGACTGTGGGCGGCATATCTTCCCGTCCTCTTCATACATTCGGTGCTTTATATATTTTTGGTATATCGGGTCCTGTCTTGTCGAGTTACTATCAGCCGTGCGCCTATTTTAAAGCGCTTCCTCAGAGAGTGAGCCCTTTGTATATTATTTATCACCTGGCTGTTTTCTAAACCATTTGTGCAGGGGGGGATTGGCATATCTGGTCACCACTGGTGGATATTTTGATATTAATTCTGAAATTATGGCTTACGCCCAAACGTAGTTACTATCCTCTACTCTGTCGTTGGCTCCACTTTAATGAATGATCCTACGGTAAGAATCTTGATACCGCCAGACGTTGATCAAACGTTAACTTCCCACATTCCAGATGTTCATACCCGTTTCTTATCCAAGGTGAGTTTACATGATGTACCTTGGCCAAGCTTATAACCTGAGTGCACGCAAACTTAGCTTGGTACTCGCCACCTCAGCAGTTTCCACAACCCGTCTGATGCTGAGCATTCGATCTCTGGCTTCCGATCTTCATGTCAATGCTGTCTGGTTGCTGAATCATGCCGAGTTAGCCCGATTGAATTGGAAGAGGGGCCCTAACGAGGGAGAGCTGATAGTTGAGGTCAATGATCTGGGTCATTTCGAACTTCCAAGCATGCACAAGAGTCCGTTGGAAAGGCCCGACAGTGTCCTTGCGCTGGTATGAGTGTCACGTCCTACACATCATATTGACCAGCTATTAGTGGTCTTTTCTACGGTTTTCAGAATGCAGCAGCTTCCTTCGAACAGGAAGCCGGCAGTGCTCAGAAAACTGCTCAAGTTAATAGAGGAGCTACGATTTGTATTACCCTTACTTGTACTATCACTTCGAGTCCTTTTGGATGAAAGATGTTATTTAGATGATCTCAGAATTTGATTTACTGTCTTTTCAATTACGATCAAAAAATTCATGTTATTCTTTCATATGACTGGTGCTATGATGCTAACTTACAATTTTACGACTGGGCTGTCGACGAAACATACCGTACTGTAAATGTAAATATTTTTATTTATGGCAAGTAAACTGGTAGTGCGTGAACATGCTCAACCCCGTGAGTTAGTGTCACTCTTTCATTCGCTGTTTTCGTGTCTCATAATGAGTCATGCGAATAATTTAGATTGTGCGGGTAATCTAAACGAGCCCTAAGTCAAGAGTTTGTTTTGAACAATAGTAAACAATACTGCACACTTGCTCTGGCCATCTGTTGGCTTGGAGAAACATATAGCACTGCATACTGGGCAGTGCCACACTTGCATGGTACAGTGTCTCACATACAATGCTTCGTAGTCTTTTGCTTTCCATTATTTTGTTGTTCACCGGCTCTTTGTCTGGTAGTCCTTGTGTCTCAGACTTGGACCATCTGAACAATTGGGTTCCACAGAAGGGAAGCTACTTAAACAACATGAAAGTGCTCATTTCACATTAAATCCCCATCTAATAACTCTCCTTCACTCCTTAACCTTTTATCCTCTAAAAGCCATCAGATTGCATTTGCAAGCCACAACCGCCCGTCTGTAGAGGACGGTCGGAATCCAGGAAGTAACGTCGAATCCAACAGATCAAACAATGACGACCGACGACTTCAGCAGTAGCCTCGCTATGTCTGCATGGTGTTTGCTTCCTTCCCCCGAAGTAAAACTAGCCTAGCGCTATTCCTGGGCTATAGCTCGCCAAGAAGGAATTCCAGTCTAGAGAAGGCGTTGTCGTAGCTGCCCCGGCACCGTTTATATCACCGTTCACTGCTGTGGACGTTGATGGTGCAGCGAAGTTGACTGGTTCTCTATAACTATAACTAGACTCCTCCGAGGGCAGGTAGGGCATCCCTGTTGGACCGGTGAGGCTACTTGTGGAATCCCACCTGAACTCATTCGCTGTCATTATTTGGTCTGTCAAATTCGACGCTACTTACTGGACTCCGGCCAGCCTCTTCAGGCTGGCGTTTGTGGCTTGCAAACGCTCGATATATTCAGCCACTATTAGAGGCGGTGAGTATCTCTACCAGAAGAATCTAGCTAACGGATCCGTACCTGCTCTCCAAAGCTGGAGCTCACCACTAGGTAGTGCATGATCTTGACGACTTGCAAGAAGGCTTCTGATCTTGTCCTTTTCATCCTTTATCAATAGCCGCCTTCCCCGCATGCGTCTGGCCTGGTCGACGCGCTCCTTATCAGTAGCGCGTCGCCGTCGGTGGGCTGCCTTTCCTCTGGCCCGGGGTTCATTAGTTGCAGCAGATGCTACTGGAACTGATGAGCTATCGCCAAGCACTCCCACATTGGATTCCATGATTGAGTTGGACGTTGATCCAGATTGATAAAAGCTGTAAGACTTCATTTGTTGGTTGTCAATGGGACCAAAAACAGATCCAGAACTGCTGGCTCACTAGTCCATCTCCTTCTCCAGAATATGGCTCGTGTTCGAAAGTTCGCAGAAAACTGGTATATTCGCTCGGTGAGATCATATTGTTGGACGGGTGGTAATGTTGCATCGGACTGATTGGAGTCTTCAGATGTTATTGCTCCTCCTCCCACCTCGCCTTCCTTTAAATCCTGCAAGCCCCCGCTTTATTCACGTAAAACGACCACCACATAGCCAGGAATCTTCCTATACGTCGTCCGCATGTAGACGTATCTATTGACCACTTGGACCTTCGGGGGGTGCAATGAATCAACGAAACCCGCTTTACTATTGTTCAAAGCAAAGCTGTCAAGGTGAGACATGCCAAAATACGTGGTTAAATTAGAACAACTTCACACTTTCACCTAACGTTGACAGCACCACGCCCACGGAGAGGCTCGACAACTGATTTTTTGCTGTGTAGAAAGACTACGAGCATGGACGGCATGCTTGGACCTTTGATTCCGCAGGACGGCTTTTCGTGACGATGAGCGCAGGAATATGTGAAATGGCTTCCATTCTAATAGGAGAAGATGCGGATGTACTTCACGGAAAAGCTTGTGGACTGGGAAAAAAATGTGATGTTTGACGAGGTGACACTTTCAATAGCTATATGGTTTAAATCAACTATATTTCCAAGAATCGTACTCGTGATGATAGAGCATCATAATATTGCGAGAGTTCACTGTGAGTACAGAATGAGTCGTCTGACAAAAAAAGTGAAGAGCGCACGAGGAATTTATAAGACGAGGCATTGAACAAGATGCTAGGTAAGGCACCGCTAAAAGGTCGAGATGGATATAGACAAGGGGTGACAAACGTTGCCTACTTGGGAACAAGACGATAGCTCTACAGTTCAGGATTAGGCAGTTGATAGCCAAGTAAAAAAATGAGCGTACACGTGCAAATATTGTACAAGCGATGACACAGTCAGCCATCATGCTGTTCCCATTAGGAATGATAACGCCAGCAAAACCGACCTCTGCGCTCCATAGCCATGCAATTGCCATCTCGTAATACTGTGAATGGAACCATAGCGATGCCTTTGAACCGCTTTGAACCGCTTTCGCCGTTGCGTCTGTTTCAGTTCTCCCTCAATGTGATATCACATATTTCTTGATTGGCATACCCATTTAAAGTTGCACGCATATGTCATGGTTTTTCCCTCACAGCTCTCATTTGATTCCTTGTTGAATACTGGTGGTTATTGTTATTACTGATTGGACCAGGGACATGACAAACGTATCTGGAAATGCCTTCGTGTATTTAAACTAACAAAGATAACCCTGGTGCTTCTTGTTGGATGTTACATAGCAAGCGTTGTGGTCTTGATAGTTTCGGTAAAACCAAGGTTAAACCATTGCTATGGTGCGGCCTCAGGCGTGGCTGACCACTGGCACAGCTTAGTAAGAAGACCTAATATGGGCCGTCTTCAAGTTCGTTGTCCATGGTTCACAACAGCGGATCACAAGTTGTTGGGTCGGTTTGACAAAATTTCTTGTTTTTTCTTGTTGACTCATCTGACGAGCAAGCTGGTGCCTATCATTGTTATTAATATGGTATGACCTGAAAACTTTACAGAGCTGACTGCAAAGTTGGGTGATCGGATAATCCGAGTCAGAACAATCAGATTCCGCAGATTATATTTAAACAGCAACAATATGCTCGAGCTGGATAGCCAATCCCTGTCCAATAATCTTTCCTATTCGCTGAACTATCTCGCCGCTCCAGTCTCCCTCTTTTATCCTTGTATTATGATCGTAGAATCCAGGTTACATGGTAGGCATGTTCTTGGTGACGCTCTCCCCTTTTGACGCCCCAGCGCACATCAACTCTTGCACTTTCTGGTGGTTTGATAGTTATCTGAAGGCACGACCTTCCTGATAGTCTGACTGTTGCGCATATGCGAAAAGATGGTTTTGCATTCCGCTGCCCGCGGAACCAATACCCAACCCCTCAGTTGAGCCATAGGTCTGGACTTCAGCTCCTGTGACACCAACTTCGTGGTTGGGTGTTTTTGTTCGGTGGACACCTGTATGCGTGTGCTGTCCAAGACTTGCGTTCCACATGGCCAAGTAATCTTCTCCGTAATTCACCATGGCCGGATCCCAGATTAGATGAGCAGGTGCTGTCGTAACTGCACTTGGACTGGTAATCAGACTGGACGGTCCGGCCATGCCAGTCATATCTGACCCACTATTGCTAGGAGCAGGCTGTTCCCAGTACAGCTGGGTCATACCTTGAGATTGTGCCTGGCTGGTCGTTGTACTGCAGATCGGTGGATGGATCATCATCGTTTCTAAGTCATCCTCTACGAGATTGTTGGGTATTATTGGAGTCGATGCTATTTTTCCAGCCTCTCTTTTTAACTTGGCATTTTCGGCGCGCAGTTGTTCCATGTGATCGGCAGCTGCCAAGAATTCAGTACGTCAGTGATGTCTACAAGAAGGATTCAGGTGAAATATCTGTACTTTGGGTCCAGAGCTGTAGGTCGTTGTTTGGGAGTGCACAACCTTTGTGACGTAGAAGAAGTCGTCTAATCTTTTCCTTCTGCTCTTTTAGGAGATGTCGCTGGCCTCGCATTCGGAGGGTGTTACTTTCTCGTTCCCTCTCGCGGCCGGATCGCCTTCTGCGGGTTATCACTCCACTAGGTCCTTGGCTCAGTGATGTTGTGGCAGTCGAGGAGCTTGGGCCCGGAATGAGTTGATCCAGCGATGGGCCAGATTGTGTCTCGTTGTAAGGCTCGGTTTGTGTTTATCATTGGATAAAACACAGATGGTGCCAGACAGCTTGATGTTTGCCCCTTGTCGACTCGTCTTCTCCTGCTCCCGAGTAAATCCATTCGGTCTGCTCGTCGGTGGGTCATGGGGTGCATGTGATGGAAAAAAAGTGGATACTTAAGGTAGTGGAGTGATGAAAGTTGGGTCGTTGTTATTTCTGTCCACCTCACCGATGTGCCTTTAAAATCTTCCAAGCTTCCGCTTTATGCACGATCAAAACCGCCGCTGCAGAGCCACAGACTTCGGTTCACGACGTTCTTCGTAGACATCATTACTGCGCAACTTAGATATTTGAGGGCGCGCTACACTAGCCATCAGCAGAAAAACACGCATGAATATTCCTTGAAGAACAGTCGTCAAGTCCCAACATGCTGCGCTTTTGGCTGGATTGGTCCACACTTCACACTTTTCAGCCTATATTGACGCCACCGCGCCCGCATAGAAGTTCGAATCGTGTTTTGCTGTGGTATGAGCGCATGCTTGGATGTTTGATTCCGCAGGAAAGCACTTGTGACGGCCAGCATAGGAATGGACGAGATGACTTCCATTCTATCATGAGAAGGTACGGGTGCACTTGAAGGGAGACTCAGTTTTTGGACTTGGGAAGGGTGCAATATCTGACGAGGTGGCATTTGTATAGGCTACATGGCATGGATACTGGGTCCTCGTGATGATAGACTAATATGATAAAGCAAGAATCTATCTCGAATATACCAATGAGTGGTTCGACAATAAACACAGAGAGGAAGACTAGACGTACTATATAAGAAATAGCGTCGAATGGGTCGCAAGGCGTAGCCCTGTTGCTAGGACATTGAGATGGATACACACAACAAGCAGTGACAAAAGCAGCAGGCTGGGGCGAAAACAATACCTCGGATTAGGTAGATAGTAACCAAGGGTTGTGCGTAAACACAACAATATTGTGCTAGTTGTAACACAGCCAACGGCCAGCTATTTCATTGCTCCCATTCAATAGGGATTTTCCAGCCAAAAGGTCACCGCAGTTCCATACCATGAATGTTGTATCATGCTGTTGACGGAATTCTAGTGTCGCCTTTGAGTTGCACATTTTGAACTGCCTTTCTCACTGCTTTGGCCTCCCAGAGTTCTGCACCCGTTCACCATTCTCTGCCAAACGAGTTGCTGCTCCAGCAATAACAGCATCTTTCATCCCCTCGGGACAGAAGCCCTGGCCATGTCCTGTTTGGTGGCATGTCCTTCTCAGCGAATCTTGCCTCGCTCTCTTGCTATAAGCTCGGTAGACATTACCCATTTACGAGTTGTGTATCTTCATGGTTGTTTCCTTTGGATTGTAATATTTAACTTATTGTCGGATTCAAATGTACGTTTCTTGAGCACGATACATGCTGGAAATTCTAAGTCAGATGAGTGTGATTAGCAAACAAATGGACTGACCTTCCATATCTCTGGATGTCCGTAGCCTCTGCATCGTATGACTCTTGCCCCAAGATACAAAGCGGGTACACGCCATCCACGTCTTTACATCGCATTGCAAGGGCCAATCCAAGGTATGCAAAACGTCGTGGACGAGGTGAAGTCACAAGTACGCATGAAGGCGTGCTTGGTTATACTAGGCGTATTTCCCCTGACTCGTGCAACTGTTGCATGCATTTGATTCCGAGTCTGTTGCATATCGATCATAAATGAATCAGTTAAAGAGAAATTCGTAGGTCCCAACATTCTGATAACAAGGCATGGTACACGTCTACTAAAGGTTGTATAGCGATCGCCGTTGTATTCTTCGGACGAGGTGCCTTTCAGCGTATCGACTTGGAAGGTTCCGAGTCTCAGGCTGTGTCTATTATATCAGCTGCCTGATTAAGATATGCAACTCTGCGCCACCACCCGTCGACCAAACGATATTAAAAAGTCTGTTCGTCGTTCAGTCTCCTTCCTAAGGAAAAATGTCCCCTTCGGGGTGACATACGTAAAAATTGGAACGATACAGAGAAGATTAGCATGGCCCCTGCACAAGGATGACACGCTTTTCCGGAGTGGTAGACCTACGGGTCTCAATATTTATTTTGTTCCATTCTATGGTTACGGACATGCTAAGTCTGCATCAAAATTTGTGGGAGAAATTTGAAAATCAAGCTCAGATTCAGGATGCCAAAATAGAGTATATTTGCTATGATCTATATAACACAGTTTTTTTTAACTACTTGTGGTTGAAAAGGCAACCAAGCTCAGCCATGGACGTAGCAAGTGCTTCTCATCATTTTCTCTTTTTTTTTTGTAATTTCCCTGAATACACTGCTAATCTGGGCAAACCTCTCCGAAACGGTAAAAGAGCACTACTTCTCGCAGAGGTTTACGGAGATATTTGTAAGACAAGATTCATCAACATGCGGCCAATAATAACCAAATAGATAATATAAATGCATCCTGCACAGTAGTCCCAAGTGGTTATACAAGACCTTCACAGAATGATTCAAGAACATTGATAGTCGCAGCTGATTGATTTGTTTTTATTACCAGGCAATATCCATGATGGCATATTAACACCTTGTGAATAGCTGAGCTATGTCTTTGAGGCCTCTGTAATAATGTGCAGAGAATGCCAGTACCTGTAGTTCAGGGAAATGCTTTGTTGATGGTTTTCCTGACAGGACAACTCAATTTTTGAGAAGTGTCTGCTGCCTGGCTTGCTGCACCATAATCAGACTCCAAACCAGTCGACATATGTGTGTATGCTATATCCCAGTGCTTGTGATTAGATAATTTGATTATATAATTATCCGAGACTTTACCAAAACTTGAGTTGAGCATAACACATATGGCTGACTGGCAAAACTTGTAGTGGCTCCAGATTTTGGTTTATTTGCACCACCGAAGATTGCCACCGAATCCGACATCTTTCGGTCGGCTAAAGTCAAAAACAAAAATATGACTGTGATTTTTTCTTTTCTTGGACAGAGCTTATTTTGTATGCAGTCCGGACGCTTCGAGACACCAAGTTCCGATGAAATCAGCAGTCTCGTGAAAGAAAGATTTGGCATCACTCCATGTCGTTTTTCAAGTCCTATCATCCCAGATGCAGCTGAAGAACAAACATGTCTTCACAATTGCACCCACAGGTTCTGGAAAAACCCTCACATTCTGGATACCACTTCTCTTTAATAACGAAGGAATCATTATCTTGATCACTCCACTAAATATCCTTGGAGGAAAAAATGTTGACGAACTTCAAAGTCTGGGATTTCTGGCCATCAATTTGAATAATGAGACTGCTACTGATGAAAACTTTGAGGTCCGTGATATTTCAGTTAATAGGACAATTCATGACTTTCTTTTAGGACATCAAACGACTGAAGTACCGAGTCATATTGACAAGTCCTGAGCGTGTCCGCCATGATTCACGTTTCAAAGACCTATGGAAATGTACAAGATTTACCGAGCGACTGTTCAATGTTACAATTGATGAGGGGCACTGTATCAGTGAATGGGGAGATGGGTTTCGACCAGAGTACAATGAGCTTGGTGTACTCCGATGGTTGCTTCCTCCTCATGTTACTTTCCATATTGCATCAGCAACCATGCCTCCCCATATTCTTCAAGATATCCAAATGAAGCTGCGGATTGAAAAAAGTAACATGGTTAAAGTAGCGCTCTCAAATGACCGCCCAAACATACATTTGGTTGTTGAAGAGATGCAGCATTCTGCAAAGGCAATGTATGACTTGGATCGCGTACTAGGACTTGACAGAGGAGAAACACTCTGCAAAAAGTTTATGGTTTTCACCAATTCCCGAAGAGAAGCAGAAAGGACGGCCACTCACATTCGGAACCATTATTTTTCCCAAGAAAAAGACATGGTTGTGTGGTTTCATTCTGGAATGAGTGCCGAATTTTGAGAGAAAGTGATGATCAAGTTTATGAAGGGAGAAATACGAGGTATTTGCTGCACAGATGCAGCAGGAATGGTGAGTAGTCTATGTTTTACTAATACCACTATACTGCCAATCTTGCGACATCATGATAGGGCTTAGACATTCGTGATGTAGAGTTAGTGGTTCAATGGAGATATGTGGAATCTCTGTGTACGCTCTTCCAGCGGTTAGGACATGGAGCCCGTGACACAAATCTTGAAGCAGTGGGAGTCTACATTGTTGAACCTAAATATTTTGACCGCTATAAAAAGGCGATGAAGGAAAAAAGAGAGAAACGCACCAAAAAACGAAAACGACTGGTTGAGAATGAGGAGCAAGCTGCACCGGATGAGGCAGGGGACGATGACAGCATTATTAGCGACAGTGATAATGGTGGCATTGAAATAAATGGGCAAAATGAAGCAGAAAGTCAGCAAAATCAACAGAACAGACCACAAATGGGTCTAGACATAGGCAACACACCAAGGAATTGTTTGGAGACTCTTTCAGATGCTTGAAGTCTTGGCAACTGCAAATATGAAGACACCGCTATGGGAATGTTCATCAATGCTCAATATCAAAAAATCTGCCGACAAAAAATTGTTGATCAGTATTTTGATAATCCTAAAGGTACGCTCACCATCCGCTCAAGGCCCTGCTTCAGGACTCGATGAGCAACAACATTGTTGTTGGAGGTGTAGCGTAAAGGTGTCACACTTATGTTGTGACACCTGTAACCCAGAGTCGTTCGTATTCTCACCGCACAGGATATTTTCCAAGCCTCAACGCAACAAGAGAAAAGTCAACACCAAAGGCTACACGATGACCAAGGCTGGTGGAGAATTGTGGCGTCATTTGAAGGAATGGCGTGAATCTCAGCTTATGGCCGAGGGTCTCAGTGGGGACACTTTTTTTGGTGTCCAAATTATCATGTCAGAGCTGGTTCTCTGTCGCATCGTTGAACTTGCCGAACTTGCAAAAATCAAGGACATTACAACACTTCGTGAGCAAACCAATTGGTGCTATGCAGACTTATATGGAGACAAGGTCATTGGTCTTGTCAATACACACTTCCCACCACCTGTACCAGCTCTATCAACAGCCAATATCAGCAATACCTTACAGGCTGCTGTCATGCACCAAAGTTGATTGGTAGCATGGACAGGTGTCAATAACGAAGCGAATATTCAAAAAGACTCGCCTTTGCGCCACACAGGCACAGTGCCACGTGGAATAGTAATTAATATTGCCCTTTTTGAACTTGTGGCTGATCAGCACCACCTCTATTAGGCAATCCAGTCACGCTCACTTTTGCTTTTCCATCCGGTACTTTCCGCGTTTTGGCATTTTGGCAAATTTTCGCGTCACCACTGGCTACACATTGCATTGCGCCCTCGCTTTTGTCGTTTCCCTTACTCCCCTTCCTTTGCCTAGCCCCACCATGGGCCCCTTCCTCTCCTTTTTATTCTCACCTGACGGTCGTTTCTGGATCCCCATTCTAATCCACTTTTCCATCACCTCCACCCTCCTCCTCCTCATCTTATTTGCACCCCCACCATTTCTGATGTCACCACTTCCTATCCGCTTCCGTCGCCGATCCGTTGACTACCACGTGCCACTGCTGATATCAGCAAAGCCCCGGCGGCCGGTCCAAATAGGGCAACAGGTCCATCTTTATGACGTCGATCTACCATCATATACTATCAAAACATCGGTCGCTCGTCTTGCCTGGTTGGAGCATGGGTGGGTAATTTTTGAGCTGGAGAAGGTTCATCCCCTTGCATCGCCCATGTTCATCGCTGTCCCATTCACTTGGGTACACTTATCTTTTGTCCATCGTCTTCGCTACAGCTACACCTACCACACGCTGCCTGGGACTCACTTGTTCCAAATTGGAACTACTCCTCTCCCTCCCTCGTTTGATCAGGTGGTCCAACACAACCAGTCCATTGGTAAGGCCATGGAACTGTCGGATTTGGACTAGGTGGTGGACCGGTGGCTCCAGTTTCTTTTTCTTCAGCAGAACATTCATTTACAGTGCGATTATTTTTGATTTTTGAATCATTTTTATGGACACATATTTTTTTAGAATGCCTGACTGACAATAAAGGAACTGTGTTGATACTGATAGTGTTTTGCCTTGCCCTTTTTTTTACTGCATCTTCCCATGACATCATGATTTTCCTGCTCTCTTTTTGCTATTGGACTTTACTTTATGGCTGTACAAACCTGTGACATTACTCACAGCATTCATTGTTCTATCTCTTTCTTTTCCTTTTTTTGACAATCTTATCCTGTACTACCTACGCAGGATTCGTCAGCATACATTCCTTCATGTTCTTTCTCATTCTTTTTGCACAGCTATACTGTGCATAGCCTACTTTTCTTTTACTATATAAACCCCTGTATTTTACCTTGTAAAAAAACAACAACAAGAAATCCAATCCAGACTTCTTCTCTACTCTCAAGTTCACTACTCTACTACTTGTGATCCAGTGTGGTCACAACACTTCCCACTTCTACCACTGTTAACTGCTGTCATCGTCACTCGTCACCTTTTGAAGTCATTGTCATCCCTTTTGATTAGAGTCCTTCTGAGCACTACAGTTTGTGCGTCAGGAGCCTGCTATCACTGGGAACCTCGTCATATTGTTGTTCTCAAACCTACCTTGTGCTACGATTAGCAAGGTAGTGCTCATCTATACTCGTCACAAAGCCCCTATCCTTCTATAAACTCAACTATCCCTCCTCCTCAAAACCCACACTCATACACCTCTGGGTTTTACTTTGAAGGATCTTTATACGTACCACCCCACGAACAACCAGACCACTCCACTGTTCTAGGAGGCAAAGCCCATAAACAAGTTCCGTGGAATCTGGGAGGATTGTGTGTTAGTTTGTTTTGTGTGTGGTTTTCTAACAACAGTTCTCATCATCGACACTGCATCGTCCGACTCCAATGGATCTGCTAAGAAAAAATGTGCTTACACATGCTGCTCATGCGGGGCGGTTGGACATATTGGTGAGTTTGCTTTTCTTTGTTTCGGACTTTGGCGCTAATATTTCTTACAGCTTCAAATCGTTCTTGTCCGAAGTACACAACTAAACCACGTTCAAAACAAAACACAGAAAATACTGCACCAAGTAGTTAATTAGGAACTTTTATGTAGTAAGTCAGTCATCATACAAGTCCTCAGCCTCAAACTCAAAGTGATCCTCAGTCCCGTCATCATCTGTTAATATTGTCATATGCATCAATGCAAGTCCATCCGCTACCTTGTCTGTGATAGAGGCTATAGCCTCTCGGCCTTGTTTGAATGAGTGAGGACTTTTTTCTCTGATCCGTGCAGCCAGTTTCTGAATTGTCTTGGTCATATCAGGTGGTGTATGCCAAATTGTGTGGTGTTGAAGGTGGAAGGCATTTTCAACGGTCACATGACAATTTTGGTACACTTCGATCAGAGGTGACTCTTTTATAACATGCTCGATTGTGCAATTTGGACCTGTACCTGAATATATAACCTACACCAGTGTTCTGAGGTGGTTCTCGTGTGAGCTTTTGGCTACCAACCTTTGTATACAGATTGTTTCTTTTAACCAACCAGTCCACAGCACGGAATTTATTTGCTTTGCCAGTTGGATTACAAAGTAAGTTCATCTGAATGATTTTCCTAGATTGAGACAATCAGCTCATGTATACACAATGAAGACAAATCTAGGACTTGCCGCAATGGCTCAGGATAATTACAACGAAGGTTTGTTGCAAAATGCATGATTTGTGACGCATATTTATGCTTTCTTGTTCCTTTAAAATAATAGATCCAAGGTAAAAATGAAGCCTCAACCCGTCCCATATCCGCATTCATTGCATGAGAGAGATCAACATAAAGAAGCTCATCCCTATTCCGCAAGGTTTGATTTTGAAACCGCTGATCTTGTTCAGCAAGAGGTTTTTGGTGTGCAGCAAGAAGGCCATCTGTACTGGCAACATACTTTCTTACAATTGAGTACAACATCTTAACTATGTCCTCCCAGCTTGGTTGTGATTTTGCAAACATTTCCAATGTTGTCCACTCATATTTACAGCTCCGAGCTTCCTCTTTCCAACAGTCAAGCATTGAAGCTGAAAGATCATGATGAATGACATCATGCATGTGTCGGAACCCAGGTTTACTGATCATTCTCCCAGTTTCATCCGGTCAAAGAATCCCTACGCTCTGAAATAGACTATTTTCATCATCACGGCCAGGTTTTGGGAGGAGGTATGTTCTCCACAAAGCGTCGGCACATGTCATTTTGTAGTGAAATAATCCAGGCATGAAGACCACATATTGGAAGCGGTTTCAAGGTGTTCCTTCAATTCTCCTTGTGTCTTTGACTAAATCAATGCGTTCCTTTGTCAATAGATCTCCATGCACAAGGATGACATATTCAGACATGTCAGCATCAAGTTCCGGTACAAAGTGCTTGTCGCTTTTGTCACCAATGCCGCCTTGCCTGAGTAAGTTATCCAAAACCTCTATATTCCCATCCGGAGTTGACTGTTTGATATTCATTGCTCGACAAGGTATCTGATTCATTTTGTGGACCGGTATTTTGTCTATTATATCTGGCTCTCCAAGAAGACTGGAAAAATGGCCGAAGGATGTACATTGATTCACAAGGATGCTTCTGACATGCCATGCAAATGCTTCAGAGCGGGGGCTGAGTTTGTCGGGATGCAATTGTTTGTTGTAAGTGTCTTCTTTGTGATACTGGAGCATACTTCTAATCTCTTTGAATGGAGATGTTGCAGCAGGATTTCTGGAATCACGCTGCCACAATTCAGCTGAACAACGCAAAGCAGCTGGATCTGATACACCAAATAGTGGGATGACTGTGGCAGAGGTAGCACTGACAAACCTTGAGCTGTGCTCAATGGTTGGTTGTGCCGTCTTGAAGTCCATATCAAAGTTGTCATATGCAAATGCTGAGCACATAGACCACACTTCTTTTTTTATCTTTACAGATATCTTTACAGATATCTCCTTTGAAATTGACGAAACTGCATGATGTATAGATGTTAGGCTGACGGATGATCCAGCATGGGCCAACACTTCAACCACTTTCTCTGGAACTCCAGTTGAATGGCAAAACAAGCCAAGGATAGCCTGTAAGTAGTTACACCTCTCGTTTGAATTGTGTAGCATGATACTAATGCACACAACAGTTTTCTGTGGATCAGGTTAGTTGGCTAGTGAGTATGCAAGCAAGTATACTGACAATCATTCCCAATGCAGTGTTCCTTGTGGCCGCTCTTCTCCACCTCTTCTTCGGTGTCTCCTGGTCACCTTTTTCATCCTCATCACCGCCAAGTTCTCCCATGAAGCTGTCTCCATCTGCAAGAGTTGGTGGTGTCCTATTCATTGGGGTTGCAGGTTCTCGAGCCTTTCTCCGGTTTTGTGGGCTCTCCATGATAGAGCTGATAATAGCCCAAAGGTTTGTTGCAACACTACTCATTTTAGTAGCCAGCTGTTGCATAAATGCTCCCTCTAGCTGCTCTGCTGTGGCCGATGTAGTCTTGAACTGCAAACCATGGCATTCACGGCCAAGTTCCTCAACCTCCCTACACAACACACCTGTCACCAGTGTGAATGACCAGGAGAGCACTGGCTGTCAAGAATTTGTGTGGTTATACAGGTAAGCACATATTCTTGCACCATCCCTCTCTAGAGATTCACGGGCTGACTTGGTACTGGTTTCAGTACTCTCCAGAATTCCCTGGATCAGCTTGGATACTGAAAATCTGTTTTCTTCTATGCACTGTAGGACAGCACTCAGACGACGAGTGTTACTCATAGTAGATGGATATAATGTAAAAATATATTTCAACTCAGTAGCTTTATAGCTTATGAAATGGTGCAATGTTGATACATTGTTGGAACATCGTGTTCGATTGTACTACTCCTACTCTTCTGTCCAAGAAAAGAAAAAGTCACGGTCACATTTTTGTTTTTGACTTTAGCCGACCGAAAGATGTCGGATTTGGTGGCAATCTTCGGTGGTGCAAATAAACCAAAATCTGGAGCCACTACAAGTTTTGCCAGTCGGCCATATGTGTTATGCTCAACTCAAGTTTTGGTAAAGTCTCGGATAATTATATAATCAAATTATCTAATCACAAGCACTGGGATATAGCATACATACATATGTCGACTGGTTTGGAGTCTGCACCATAATATGATATTGTTAGTTTTGGTGATTCTGCACCTTTGTGCTACCTACATACTTTAAGATTTGTTCTTAACAGATATATGTACCAATATCCATCACATAGTATCATGGCATTCACGATTCACTGTTCCATCCAGGGCTCTGATACTGATACCAAGATAGCAAGAGTGTGATGATGATATTAAATTCTCAACTGAGATTGTACTGTACTACAGAACATGCAATGAACAAATGCATGAACAGATGAATGTGATTAAACAACATGGCAGGTAGGTACATGGCAGACAGAACAACGTAGAAAAGCAGTTTCAACAAAAGAAACAAAGAGACTGTAACTACCAGTCCTTCACCAAATCAACTGAGCATGAATCACTCTCTGCCATTTGATACTCACTGAGTCGACTGAAGGGTGAGTCTTCCTGGCTCAGTGTAAGTTGCCATGTCAACTTGGAGACTCTCAGTAAAGAAGCTGCAACAAGGATCAGATTACCACAAGACAGTTATCATTAAGGAACTACTCACTCTTTCACATTATCTTCCCATTCCTTGGTGGAAGTGGTACCCTTCTTTGCAAACTCCCGCAACTCTTTGAGCAGCCGGTCTACATATACCCAGAACTGCTCGTCTTTCCACACATGGGGGGACCCCATCAGGAAAAACAATTTGGCTATATAGACTCTGATAGTATATAGTTGCAAATATAACTGTCATAGTGATCACAGCTGCAATAGAAACCCCAACATCTATTCAGGAACAATGTGCTCTTATAGTACTCTTATAGTTGGCTATAGCCTCTTATAGCACTTATGAGCCCGTTTGGGAACTCTTTTCCAGCAAAAAGCTTGCCTCTACAATCGCTTAACATGTAGCGTCAAAACTCCATCTGAAGCGGAGACCAAATTATATCAGTGTCCAAGTAAGGCAAGTAAGTTGGCAGGGCATGTGTACCAGCAGTGAGAACACCATTGATGGATGACCAGGACAACAATTTCAGCGATCACAAGAGTGTGGAGGACAACGTGGAAAAAAGTGGGCTTGAATTAGATACCATGCAGCACAGGAGGCACCTGCTGCTCACAATGCAGCTCAGCTCAATCTTAGCTATGCTACTAATCATATCCACTAAAACTATCTATGCCAAATCCAAACTTCTGCATTGCCAAGAGCCAACCCCATATCATACATCAGTCTTGACAGGCCATGGGTGGGTCACCGAGCTGCTCAACGGCCGCCCTGGCCGTATACAGACTGAGTTGGGTGTCAACAAGAGGGTGTTTCTGAAGCTCATCAATTTGCTTGAAACAAATGGCTACACCGACTCCAAAAGTGTTTCCATTGAGGAACAATTGTCCATATTCCTGTATGTATCTGTTACAGGGCTTTCAGTTCGCCATTTAGGGGAGAGATTTCAGCGTGCAAATGACACAATTTCTCGGTGAGTCTGCTCTTTTAATTTATGTCTTTTAATCAATATTATTATCAGATATTTCTGTCACATGCTCAATGCTTTTACATCCCCCAATATATACTTTGCTTACATCCGTTTCCCATCTGTGACTGACCCCCCTGCATCCTACATTGCCGATAATCCAAAACTCTGCCAGTTCATTAACACCATAGGTGCAATTGATGGCACACATATTGCATGCACCCCATCCCATGAAGAGCGTTCTGCATCTTGAAACTGAAAGGGGGGGGTTTCCTAGAATTGCCTTGCTTGTTATGACTTCAAACTGAAGTTCACATACATGTTGAGCGGCTGGGAGGGATCCACAGTTGATACAAGGCTCTTCCATGATGCTTGCATACACAATCTTTGGATCTCGAAGGGGAATTATCATCTTGCCAATGGAGGGTTTCTGTCTTGTGATCAGCTCCTGGTACCTTATCAAGGAGAGCATTATCATCTGTCTGAGTATGCAAGGGGTAACCGCCGGTTAGTTCCTTTGTTTTATATTTTAGTTTATTATGCTAATTAAACTAATTATTTAGACCTCAAAATCACTGCAAATACTTCAATCTGCACCATGCATCCGCCCGGAACATTATTGAGAGGATTTTTGGGATGTTAAAATGTTGGTTCCAACTTCTCAACAGTGCACCGGAGTATAGTATGATAATCCAGGCAAAGATCCCCCCAGCCCTCTGTGTTGTTCACAATTCCATTTGGATCTATGATCTATGATCCGAGTGATATTGATGACTACAACACAGACATCTTGGATCCGGCCACTGACTCTCAAATTGGAGATCTTGCAGAGGGCCCCTCCTATCAAAGATAACCAAATTCAAGCAAACAATCAGCGTAAGCAGTTAGCATTAGCAATGTGGGATGATTATCAAGAGGAATTAGCATGAAGGGGTTTGATTTAACAATTTCTTGTTTTTGTTCTATGCTAACATTTCCTCTGCTTTAACAAATATCTGTACTTACATAGTGTCAATTCAATTTGGTGCATGCTGTCCTATTATTTGCAAAAACAAATTCATTGAGATAAGAAATAACAATCATACAAAGCACTATGGACAACATGGACAACAAGTTAATGAATATTGGCATAAAGTTCAGGCAAGCACCACATCAAACCACGCTGCACAAGACTGAGGTATGTCTCTACTAATGTCTTGTCCTCCCTGAACTTCTCAATGAGTTGGACAAATTTGGAAACAGGTAAGTGATTTTTGATTTCCTGGACCTTCATGATAGCAAGTCCTAGATGAGTGTTGGTGGTTGAAAGAGCAGGAGCAACAGATAGAGTGGGGGGGGGGCTTGCCATTCCTTTTGAATGGTCATAGACATATCCTTGATCATGGTCCCGGTGTTGATGAGGTGACCCTGCATTCCACAGAGTGCATTTGCAGTTATCAAGCGCGGGTTTTTAATGTATGAGATGTGGTGACAGATATGGCGCTGGAAGTCTTTGGGGCTGATGCTGATGTTGATGGTTGGGGGGATAAGCCAGCTTGCACAGTGTTATACTTCCCCTTGCTTGAAGACACTGACACAGCACTTGGGATTGGGGATGTAGCCAGAGGAGCAGGTAGGGATGATGGTGAAGGCAAGGCAACCAGCCAGTTGATCACTGTGGACGATTGGGCTGGAGAAGCAGGGGTACAAAGGACTTCTGCAGTCACTGAACTTGACTTGGGTGGGGTTTGCACTTGCAGCGTTGTTGATGGGGTGGAGGGCTGATGGGAACATATGGATGAAGTGGCTTGGGGTGTACAAAAGGCATGTACACCCCTGGCTGCACGATTGGACATAACAGTATCTAACTTCTTGAAGTAAGGCCAGCCTTTGTTCTTGAACCCGGTGACAGTAGGATTGCGCTAATTGGAAAAGTAAGCACATTGTATAGCTGGAAAATGAATGCTTACTCACCTTGGCATAGTCTGTCCACTGGGTCTTGCTTTCTTCTGTGATGCTGAGCCCGGTTTCAGAATCCCAGTGCATACCTGAACTGTTTGCAATTAAGGCCGTGATAAGCTGATATGTGCGCTTTATCTGTGGTAGAATCATTAGATGTAGGTTATAATGATTCTCAAAGCCCCAATAAAAGTACTTACCCTCCCCCAATTCTCGCTGCAGGTCTTCCAGGATTTAGGTGCGCCCATAAAGGGGCTTTTGGACAACAGCAACTTGACCTCAACCCAGAATAGCTTTGCAAAGCTCATACCATCAGCCACTTTATTCCAGTTCTCTACTATATAGTCAATCATAATATGCTGTTGACTCTCAGACCAAACCACCCGGTCCTTGGAAGTTTGTCCAGTCATAGTAGAATCTGTATCAGGTGGAACAACAGTTGATTGGCTGGTAGCTGGGGCCGGTTGATTGTGGATCGTTCTGAGTGGATAGCGATGGAACTTCTGTTTGCAAGGAGGACCCTTAGCTGCCAAAGAGGCAGACACCTTCCTCTTCATGGTGAGCGACTGGTGTAGGTTGCGGTATGGGTCTGAGTGCAAATGGGTGGCGCAATGGCATAGCGGCACAGATGGCTGTGGAGAAAGCTATCAGGCTAAAGCCCCCGGAAAAGTGCTCACAAGAGTTTCCAAACGGACTCTATAGCACTTATAACACTTAGACTCTATGTGGTAGCCATGTAATTTGGTTCACTTAGTGCCTTCAGTTCACTAAACACCCATCTGGGTCGGGGGGCACCAAGAAGACCAAGCGGCACTCAAATGCTGCCATGCTGCCAACTCAGTCATGCACAAAAAATGGCTACGGTCCGTCAAGGAGACTTGGACCCAAGGCCCAAGAACCCCCCAGTGATATCCCTTGATTGTTATCAGTACCAATAGTATAAATAACAGTCTCATTAGATGTTTTAGTCCACCATACATTTTCTCCACACATTCTCATACTCCTCATGGACTTTAAACCTTATGGTACACTCCCCTCACATACAATTTCCCTTCACTAGATAATTGTCCGCATGGCACTCCTTACCTACATTACGGGTTACTCCCTACAAACTCCAATCCCTCTATTAGTACATAAGCTGTAGCTTCTGTACTCTGTTTCTGCAGTTCAAATATCAACTAGTTCCTCCCACCTTTTATCCAAGTCTTCTTCTAAGCTTTCTGGTCCTTTGGAGAAGGACCATTACTCCTCTCCACCTTTCATCCCCTACTCTCACCTGTTCACTCCATTGAGTTAAGGTCCGCAGAAGGGCCTAGTGCACAAGCTAAGCCAACTCCCAACCTTGTACTCCGTTCTGCTCCTAAACCCACCTCCGTGCTCCAAACTCCAATCACTCCGAAGGTCATGATTCTGACACAATCTCACAACTGATTAGACCACATACTCATTCACTATTACTCTCACTCATCCGGGACCTATGGTAGGTTGTCTAATATATTATTTACACTGTACTACGCTGATCTAACCCATAGACTCTTGTGATAAAGCTTAAAGAACACAATCTAGGCTCAGAAGACATGTCTTGCATTCAAGCAGGTTATATTCATATTATGGCGCAGCCATCTAAACTCCTCATTTGCCGCTACAATCCTGCATATTGACCACCTCTTGCTTATACCGCCCTTTCCCCATTTGTTGGTTACAGAGTTCATTGCATCACAAAAGACTCTGATGCAACAGACACAGGAGGTAAGAAAGAAGAGCAGAGTCAAAGTGTTACAATCTGGTCTTCCCTTATGATCACAATTTGACTCTAATGTTATGCTACTATCAATTGTTCAAGGTTCTTGGTCTATAATTGCCTGATAGGGATTGGATTATGGATGTGATAGTCTCCTCAGATGATAGGACTGAGGTCTTCCTTCGTGATGATAGCAGGGAATTGAAGAGTAGATTTGACTTGTCCTATCCTACTGTTATACAGAGGTTTACATACTGAATAGGTAGTGAATCCAAGCTCAGTTCTAAGCTGGGTTTGTATGTAAGAGCCAATAGCTTAAAGACTTCTAGGGTCAAGGGCAAGAGGGTTGTAATCCAACAGGAGTATCCTAGGGGAAATAGCAAGAATAGACCCAGGACATGTGACTATAATGTAGCTATAAGGAGAATCCTAGGAAGAACCGCAGATTACAGGGTATAGGGCTAAGTGTCACGATCACTCACTTCTGACACCCCTATCTCAACTGATAATGAATCCATTATATCTATTATCTCTCCAAATCTTATCTAATCTGGTCACAAGATTAATCACGTGACCTATGACGTAGCTACTTACAAAGACAATTACAAAGCACCTCATGCCTTACGCATGACGCTCAGTCAGCATCTCATTGCTAACACATGTTCTGTAGTATATATACAGCTACCCCTTGTACATATTTCTCTAGCTGTTGATTACATCTTTATTCACTGTAATAGACCCTTGCTTGCAATTAGAACCTCTGACTCTCCATTTGTTCGATAAAAGAGTTGGATCTTCACACAATCAACAGCTAGAAGTCAAGCACTGTCTATGATATTAACAGCAGCTACAATCATAACCATCATCCTAACCTTCACCCTTCCAATCCTATTCATTGTCATCTACCTTGTCTACATAACCGTAACATCTATCAACACAACTCCCACCACTTCACTTCCTATTCCTCCACATCCATCAACCATTATATCCTTCTTCCCCAGAGGCACAGACTCTCTTGAGGAAATCCCCCTCACTCACATCCCATTAGTTACAACTTTACCCGGTGTGGAACTGAGTGAAGTTTAGTTAGAACATTTTACCTAGTTTCACTTTCAGATACCTCTGACCAGGCCACGCACTTGCGTCCACCAGTCAGAGAGGGATTGACAGCTTAATGAGCGGATCACTTTGGGACAACTGTCTGGACCCCAAATTATCACCATACATTTTACCTACATTCCGTAACACATTTTATATCACCCTACATACAAAATAGTTTGGGACGGAAGAGGGCCCATTTATCAAAAGAGAAGACAGTATCTACGATCTTCAGAGATGTATTGATCCGATTTATCATTAGTGAACTCCTGTGTATGCGTAGAGATGATCTAGAACGCTGGATAGCTACAGAACAAGGTTATACACACACATTTCTGTGGTGCTGCGAATTTGAAGCACCGGAAATAGAATCAATAAAAACAGTTTTGCTACGCTCTCCCACTCCCCAGATCAAACAAGAATCAGTCAAACCTGTCTTACCAAAGATCCATTGAATTCATGCAATTTTGGCAAAAAGAACCATCAATAAGCAGCATGACAGACAGCATGGCCGACCTAATCGGGGCATTGCCGGAAGCTGGACCCAGCCAGACACAACTGACAATACTGGCCGGTCTAACACCAGAGGTCCAAGAATAGATGCAGAGAATGATGGAAGTGGAAGTTGCCAGAAGAGTAACAGAAGCAACAGAAAAAAAAAGAGAGGGGCGGATGAGGGCCCATTAGGCAGCAGAAAGAGCGGAGGAGGAGGCGGCAGAATACAGGGGATTGTGGGAGAAACAGATCAGTACCAATTCCGAGATACAAAAGAACAACGAAGGAGGAGAGAAGAGAGATTGCGAAAGGATAAGGAGCGCACTTGATAACCTGCCCACCTTCAACGGCGATCAAACAAAGTTTAAAAACTTCATAGAACACATATCACTTCACTTCAAAGAAGACCCAGAATACTTCAGAGATGAAAAGAAGAAGAAAGCTTTTGTGTTATCATATATGAAAGAAGGAACAGGTGCAAGCTTTAGAAGTGAGTGGCTAGAAGATAAGATGTCCATGACCTCAGCACTGGAACAGGCACAATACCAAAGATGGGCAATCTTTGAAAGAAGGCTAACCGAAGCTTTCAAAAATAATTACAAAGAAGAAGAAGCACAAAACCAAATCCTACAACTGAAACAAGGTAGTAAGACTGCAAGAGACGTCTTCCTAGAATTTGACAGCCTGCAAAGGAGAGCAGGATACAGGGATGACTCCATTTTGATCACCTTGCTAAAGAGAAACATGAACTATACACTTGTGGACAAGCTCTACGTCAGCGGGCTGCCACCTAGCAGATACAAGGAGTGGAGAAAACTCCTCCTAAACTATGATCAAATATGGAGAAAAACAGAAAAACAGAAGAAGGGGTACTTCGGTCAGACGGAGAGGACCGGAGCGAGGAAGGAAGATGGAGGAGGAAAGAAGGCTCATTCTGGAACCAAAGACAGAACCGGAACTGTCTACTCGGGTGCTGGGCAACCCATGGAGATAGACAAAGCCAGATACAGAAAAGAAGGACTCTGCTTCAAATGCAGAGTCAACATCAGGAAAAACACTTTGGCTATATAGACTCTAATAGTACTATAGTTGCAAATATAGTTGTCATAGTGATTATAGCTGCAATAGAAACCCCAACATCTATTCAGGAACAATGTGCTCTTATAATAGTCTTATAGTTGGCTATAGCCTCTTATAGCACTTATAGCACTTAGCACATGGCTGACTATATGAGCTATGAGAGAGCTTGTGGCTGATATATAAAAAATAATCACACACACAAGGTTTGAACTCTCAACCTGTTGGTCCGCTTTTTTGCTGACCAATCAATCTACAGCCACATACCACACATTTATCCACTACACCATAAAGGCTTACAAAATACACTATACATGTGTAATATATCGACCTTCCATGGACTTGTCATTTTTTTTTACACATTGTCACAACTTATACTTGGATAAAGCATTACTATAAACATGTACTATGGTCTTAACAGCTATATAGGCTAATATAGCTATGAGAGCCATTATAATGCCTTGGCTAGCTATATAACATTATACATGTGTGCTCAAACTTATAGTACTATAAGAGCTATAATAGCATTTATAGTAATGCCTCTGCTATATAGCACTATCAGAGCTATAATAGCACAAATAGTATTACCTTTGCTATATTGCCAAAGTGCTTTTTCTGAGGCTATAGTACTATAAGAGCTATAGTAGCATCTATAGTAATGCCTCTGCCCTATAGTACTATTAGAGCTATAATAGCATAAATAGTATTACCTCTGCTATATAGCCAAAGTGTTTTTCCTGATGTTATCACTTCCACACTCGTATTATTGCTTTTCCAGCAAGGCTGCAACTTGCTGTGATGTATCTGCTCTGTTTAGACTCAAAAGTGCAGACTCTACAGACTCATTTGTGGACCTGCGGACTCATCTGTGGACTCACTACATTGTAGTCTTCAGCACTTTCTTCTGAATCCCTTGATTGATCCCTGCGGGTTGAACGACGCATAGGTGTTTGGACATCAGGACTAATAAATCTAAGTGAAACTCAGCCGCTGCCCGATAGGCTATAGAAACAACTTTATTATTTACCTAAGTGAAACTACAACAGATGTTAGTTTAAGGTGATCTCTAATAAATGTAATGTAACATACCTCAGCCGCTGCCCGAGAGGCTATAAAAACAACTGAGGTATTCTTATACTAAACCCCCTACTACTTATAGTTGGAGGTGCTACCCACCACAGTATAATCACTCCTAGGAGAACAATGGCTGCTTTAGCAGAGACCAGGTTTATCCAGTTTTGTCAAGGACTATACTCAGTTCTCTCCCAGACACCTTTAGCATTTTACATTGCTTTGCTTTACGCTGGTAATAAATTAATTTGTACTCCACCACAAATGTGACAAATAGTTGTTTGGCTTCCTCAAGTTCCTGTCGGGTGATGGAGTGTTGATGTAATAGATGTATGACTTGAACAAATTTGCAAAAATGTTTCCAGTACGGAAGAGGGATGATGGCATCAGGAAAAACCATATAGCCATATAGCTAGGCAGGTTACTATACCAGCTATAACAGCGTTATCTGGGCTTTGAAATACTATATACAACTATAGCACCAGCTATACCAGCTATACCGGTTATAGAAGTTAATATTGAGCTTTACAGGTACAGTAGTAAGGCTATATGAGCTATGAGAGTTGATTTTGAGCTATAGCAGCTGTAGGTCAGTAATTTACTAAAATGTTAATTGTTTACTGTATACTCCAGGAATCTTATGTGTGAGTCCAATTATTTTATAAAAGTGATTCCAACATCAAAAATGTTACTTATTGTCTGATTACCAGGTAATATATCTATGGTCTCTCTCATAGCTACCTATAGTACTATATAGCTGGACTCTATCTATGACCACTCTCATAGTTTACTAATAGTTGTGAAAATAGTCAAAATTTTTTGACAAAAGCATCTTTAAACCAGTCAAAATAATTATCAGAATAATTGTCAGAATATTACTTAGTTGTGCTATAGGAAGTACTTTATCAGATAGCTGCTTATTTCAAGGTCCATAGATATAATGCAGCTTACAACAATAACTTATCAGAAATTTCACTAAGTCCAAAAAGTGATCTATAATGAAGGGGACAGTGGTCCCAAATGCCGCGTGTAAGCCACATTGTGTTGGTTATTTCGCTTAGTTTTGCTCGCGTTGTCGATGATGAGAACTGTTGTTAGAAAACCACACACAAAAACAAACTAACACACAATCCTCCCAGATTCCATGGAACTTGTTTATGGGCTTTGCCTCCTAGAACAGTGGGTGCTCTGGTTGTTCGTGGGGTGGTATGTATAAGGATCCTTCAAAGTAAAACCCGGGGATGTATGGGTGTGGGTTTTGAGGAGGAGGGATAGTTGGAATATAGAAAGATAGGGGCTTTGTGGCGAGTATAGACGAGCACTACCTTGTTAATCGTAGCACAAGGTAGGTTTGAGAACAACAATATGACGAGGTTCCCAGTGATAGCAGGCTCCTGACGCACAAACTGTAGTGCTCAGAAGGACTCTAATCAAAAGGGATGACAATGACTTCAAAAGTGGGAAGTGACGATGACAGCAGTTGACAGTGGTAGCAGTGGGAAGTGTTGTGACCACACTGGATCACAAGCAGCAGAGTAGTGAACTTGAAATTAGAGAAGAAGTCTGGAATTGAGTTCTTGTTGTTTTACAAGGTAAAGTACAGGGGTTTATACAGTGAAAGAAAAGTAGGCTATGCACAGTATAGCTGTGCAAAAAGAATGAGAAAGAACATGAAGGAAGGAATGTACGCTGATGAATCCTGCGTAGGTAGTACAGGATAAGATTGTCAAAATAAGGAAAAGAAAGAGATAGAACAATGAATGCTGTGTAAGTAATGTTACAGGTTTGTACAGCCATAAAGTAAAGTCTAATAGCAGAAAGAGAGCGAGAAAATTGTGATGTCATGAGAAGATGCAGTAAAAAAGGGCAAGGCAAAAAACATCAGTATCAACACAGTTCCTTTATTGTCAGTCAGACATTCTAAAAAATATGTGTCCATAAAAATGATTCAAAATTCAAAAATAATCGCACTGTAAATGAATGTTCTGCTGAAAAAAAGAAACTGGAGCCACCGGTCCACCACCTAGTCCAAATCCGACAGTTCCATGGCCTTACCAATGGACTGGTTGTGTTGGACCACCTGATCAAACGAGGGAGGGAGAGGAGTACTTCCAATTTGGATCCAGTGAGTCCCAGGCAGTGTGTGGTAGGTGTAGCTGTAGCGAAGACAAAGGACAAAAGATAAGTGTACCCAAGTGAATGGGACAGCGATGAACATGGGCGATGCAAGGGGATGAACTTTCTCCAGCTCAAAAACTGCCCACCCACGCTCATACCAGGCAAGACGAGCGACCGATGTTTTGATAGTATATGATGGTAGATCAACGTCATAAAGATGGACCTGTTGCCCTATTTGAACTTGCCGCTGGGACTTTGCTGATATCGACAGTGGCACATGGTAGTCGACAGATCGGCGACGGAAGCGGATAGGAAGTGGTGACATCAGAAATGGTGGGGGAGCAAAGAAGATGAGGAGGGTGGAGGTGACGAGGAGGTGAACTAAAATGGGGATCCAGAAACAACCGATGGGTGAGAATAAAAACAAGAGTAAGGTACCCATGGTGGGGCTAGGCAAAGGAAGGGAAGTGAAGGAGATGACAAAAACGAGGGCGCAATGCAATGTGTAGCCAGTGGCAACACAAAAATTTGCCAAAATGCGGAAAGTACCAAATGGAAAGCAAAGGTGAGCATGACTGGATTGCCTAATAGAGGTGGTGCTGATTAGCCACAAGTTCAAAAAAGGCAATATTAATTATTATTCCACGTGGCACTGTGCCTGTGTGGCGCAAAGGCAAGTCTTTTTTAATATTTGCTTCGTTATTGACACCTGTCCATGCTACCAATCAACTTTGGTGCATGACAGCGTGGTTTTTTGTGGCACCACAGGTGTGGAAGGTGCTGCAGGCACCTGACAGTTACAGCAAAGCTGCGACGAGTGCAACTCGTTATATATAGTATACAGTGTACTACCAGTCCTTTTCACACGATGGTTCCTTTTCACAGTCGTGCTAAAACTTGTTTGATTTTCAGTATTTGCCTGTGGCATTGTGTACATATGTTCAGAGGCCCTTTGGCCATAGTTCTACCATGTTTGAGCAAAATCTGTGCCGTGAGTGAAGCTGGCCATGCTGATCATTGTACAATTTCATATATTTACAGTGTGAAGCAACTTTACATTGTAGTCCCGAGCAATTATCTGCCCAGTAATACCTATGTAATTGATGTCTCTACAACCACAGCATATTCCCGCATAACTTTGCTGTCCATACACAATGGACTGGAGCAAATCTCTGTGCTCCAGAGGGCATTTGGTGATTATCAGGCAGAAATGCGGGGTCAAGCGTGACAGAGTGTGACAGGGCGCATGTTTGGTGAATGCGTTGTGAAGTTTCTATTCTTAATGTGTCCTTATGTTCCCCGCATTTCCTTCCCCACATGCTCGGTTCTCAGTTTCCTTATTCACCATGGTCTTCCACGCATTATCTGAACATGTCAAGCACATCAGGCAGCTGCATATGCAGAATAATGTGCTGCAGCAAGCAGTTGATGCATACTGTGCCGAGCTTGCCAAAACAGAGAATGAAAAAAGGAAGGGAGTACAAACCATTGCTGATGAGTTTGGGATCTCTTTGCAGTACACAACTATTCATAACCATGCAACAGGAAGAACAGTCCTGATGTTGGCATTTAATGCAACAAAACAGAAGCTTCTGCCTTCAGAAGAGCTCACAATGGCCCACTTCCTTCTCGAGTCAGCCAAACATGGTTTCCCACCCAACCACAAACAAACCACAGCTCATGCAAATGCCATCATTGAGAGAAGGAAGGGAAATGACTTCAACTCAGAGAAAGATTGCATTGGCAGGCAGTGGATTTTTCGATTCCTTGACCGACATCACAAATAGCTGCAGACACACTGGGAAAGAGTCTTGATACCCAGAGAATCAAGGCTCTGAACCCTCCAAATGTCAAGCATTGGTTTGCATTAATCAAAGAGCATATTGTGAAAAAGGGTATCCTACCGGAGGACATCTACGGAATGGATGAATCAGGTTTCCCTCTGTCAGGGAGCACTGCCGCACGCCAATGTGTGGGCAGGCAAGGGGTCAAAGTGTAGCATATCGCGGGATCTGGAGATAAATAGAATATGACGGCAATAGTCACAATCTGCACAGATGGCACTACACTTGCCCCAATGATTATCTACAAAGGGCAAAATTTCATGCAAAAATGGAATGATAACAATGTTGCCCACACTTTGTGAGATTCAAATCAATGATATCACACTCTAAACCTCCAACTGGGTCTTTTATAGGATTTGCCACTCGCAAAATAGATGGACAGACAGTGAACTCTGTTTAGATTGGATAATCAATGACTTTGATCCCCAAACAAAGACAAAAGCGGATGGACAAACTGGAGTGCTCCTCATGGATGGGCACAGTTCCCATTTCACTCCCAAGCTCCTTGAGTATGCCATGGAAAACAACATCAGTATACCCGGTTACCCACCACCCATGCTCTTCAAAGCCTTGATGTTGTGTGTTTTGCAAAGATGAAGGCTGAGTTCAGCGAAGAGGTTGCTCAGTTCCATGCAACTCATCGAAGGGGGGTCAAGAAAACTGACTTTACTGGCACATTTGGGCGCTCATTCCTACGTGCATTTACTCCAGACTTGATCCAGAGTGCATTTTGCGTGACGGGAGTGCATCCGTTTGATCCCAAGGTGATCACACCAGATCAAATGAAGCCGAGTGAAGAGACTTCAACTCATGGCAAGTTCCCACTGTCTTACCCAACTCCTGTTTGTGCAGTGTTGTCAGCATTCTCAAACTATCAGCCTACATCATTTGAGCTCTTGCCAAGCACACACACTGGCCAAACACTGCAGCAAGACCATCAAGATTTCCTGGTAGCCTTGATTCACCGTCCCCCACAAGAATGCGTCTACCACATGTTCCTCCGATGACAATTGCTGGGTAATCAGTCTTTCCTGGTAGCTCCAACTCACCCGCTTCTGCAATACTGCCCTTGCATGAACTTGCTTCCTCCCCTGTGACACCACAGTGTTGGTCTCACAACACTAGATATGATAATCAGTTGCACAGAGAGCCGCCCGTGGATTCCCCATCAAAGAGGATGTGTCTGACGACAGGATCTCTGTCACGGACTTCTTCTGGCTCATTTTTGGCATCAAAAGCAAGGATGGGGAAAGGACATGCCATCATTGAACCCATCTTCCAAAAGCCTGCCATACTCCCAGCACCTGACTGGAGGTTATTGACACCTTCACAGCCATCCTCAGGTAGTGTCGACGGTGATTTGTTCTGGAAAACATGGGCGCTACACCTTGAGGAGTCCCTACGCCGCACAAAGCAGCTCCTTTCTGCTCACAAGGATATTAGCGCAGGTCAGAATGCTCAAATTGTGATTCAAGACCTCACCTTGCGTAAACTCAATAAAACACTCAACAAAAACAACAAGAAGAAGGGATCTGACCAAACCAAGCTGTATCCAAAAGGAAATGGGTGCCACATGATGGAAAGGCAGTTCGTTGATGAACTGAGGCAAGACCAAGCACAGCGGAACGAAAAGGCAAGGGAGAAAGCACAGAGGAAAACTAACAGAGAAGCGAGGAAGGGGGAAGGAGCAGAGTTGGAGGAACAATGGAAGGCCATCAAAGAACAGCACAATGCTGCTGTGAAGGCCTGGGAAGCTGAATGCAAGCAATTGGAGGTGGAGGGTGTGCGGAAGAAAGATTGGCCTAAAAAGCCGGAACGAGCGCTGAAGCCTAAGCATGCACAAGTGCCGAGTGCTCCGCAAGGCGGCGAGAATAGTGCAGAAGAAGGAAGGGGTGAAAGACTGGTTGACAAAGGCAATGTTAACAGCGAGGAGACAACAGATGACAATGAGTGATAAGGAACGTCACATGCCGTCACGGCGTGAAAAGCAATATTTTGCTGTGACACTGCTAGCCAGGAGATTTCTCAGTGTTGGTCTTGTTTGTCTACACAATTAAATATATACATGTCTGTGCGCATTATACAAGTCAGAGAGTTTCTGTCTATTTAGTTTTTTAGTTAATGTGTTGTATCAAGCTTGAGGCACGTGGGTCAATCTGGTGTGAAAAGGACTGGTAGTACACTGTATGGTATATTATTTTGTGTAAGCCTACATGGTGTAGTGGATAAGTGCTTTGGTATGTATATGCTTAGTAAGTTCAAAAAAGCGGTTTACATGTGGTTGTGGGTTCAATTCCAGGCTCCTCCCCATCCACTGTTTCGAGGTTCAGAATTTATCCTAGGGACATGTAGATTAGATTAGATAAATGATAAGATAATTTTTGAAAGTCAGCTGAACTTTGATTCTGAACCTCTCCACAGCGGCTGGACTTTAACATTTGTAAAGCGAGTCAGCCACAGTGACTGGTGACCATCAAGTGACGGCTGACTTCAAAAAAGTAATAAAAAATAAAAAAGATCCAAATTGGAAATTTGATCAAAGTTGCCCAATCCAGCAGTATCCGCCCACATGTCGTCCACTGGGGCTTCTTCATCAAGACATTGCATCATTCCAACACTGCCAGAAATTCATGATCTAACAAAGGAGTGTATAGGCCTTTATCCGTGTCTATTTCAAGCCAAAGTTGGGCAGGCAATAGCAAAAGGAGACCAGGATATTGTTTGTATAGCAGGTACAGGTCAATGTAAAACATTGGGTTTTCTGATACCCCTACTGCTTTGGCCAAGAGATATACAAATTATTGTTACACCACTAAATCTACTAGGTAAACAGAATGCTACAACACTGGCTAAAGCAGGCATCCAAGCCATTTCTATTAATGCCGAAACAGCGACAATAAATAATTTCAAGGTAAAACTGGATATTATGATAAACCAGGTATTCCGGCTTCTAAAATCTTCAACAGGCCATAGAAAATCTCACTTACCGAGCAATTATAATTAGTCCAGAGCTCACTATGAAGCCAGGTGGACTTTTCAAGACAATACTCAAGAATCCAGTATTTGTTGACCAAATAATTTCTGTGGTACTGGACGAAGCCCACTGTATTACAGAATGGGGTGACTTTTGTCTGGAATACAGAGAGCTTGGCCAGTTGCGGCACATTACCCCCAATGTACCCATTGTTGTCACTTCTGCTACATTACCACAAGAAACTACTACACATACACTCAGACCGGCTGTTCACCATCCATTGTTCTACGGACCGTCCCAACATCAGCATAGGAGTTTGAAAAATAAAATATCCACTGAACATGTATGCAGACTTGGCTTTCATAGTGCCGGATGGCTCAAAGGTTGGGGACTCTCCCCCACCAAAGTTTTTGGTATTTTTTGATGACATCCAAGAGGCTATTGGGGCTGCCAAGTTTCTTCAAAGTCGTTTACCAGTAGGCCTGCGTGACAAAATCAAGTGGTTCAATTCAGACATGTCAGCAACCTTCAAAGAAAAAGAATATGAACATATGTGTAGTGGGGACACTTGGGGGCTTTGCATGACAGACTCTTTTGGAATGGTCTGTTTGTTAACTCAGTCATAATAAACCAGACTAAATTATTTATATTAGGGAATGGACATACCAGACATAATGTCGGTGGTTCAGTGGCAGGTCCAAGGCAATGGGAAAAAAAGCTTACACTACATACTGTTTGGAAGTGTTTTGGCCGGTCAGCGCAAGATAAAAATCTACAAGGGGTTGCTATTTTATTCGCTGAAAAGGAGTTATTTGATGATGAGCGTCTAAAAAAAAAAAGCGGAAAGAAGCCAGAGAGAAAAAAAGAGAAAGCAGAAAGAATTACCACAGATACCAGCAAAGCGAATGGCATTTTCAGGACTTGGCCCAAATTCCGGACCTGTTTCTATTCCCACAAGACCACAAGGCAAGTCTTCTGAAAAAGACGGGGCAGAACTATTTGATGACCATTCAGAGGATGAAAGTGACAATGAAATAATGTTGGAAAAAGAGGTAGAGGATGAGAGTGGGCTGCAGCTAAAGGACACCATTTTGGAAGCATTGGTAAACACACAAAAACAAACCAAAAAGAAAAATAATCACCAAAGCGAAATCAATCCATGCCTTGACTTTTTAATTAACGCTGATACACGGCCTGGAAAGCATTGTCGAAGACAGGTTTTTGACATCTACTTTGACAACATGGTAGCAGGTGAGAACTTACTGCTTCCTATTATGGCTGTTTGAACATTCTCACCGTTCCTTCTCAGAAACTGATCACAAAGACTGCAACACATTGTCACCTGAAGGTTGTAAACATTGCTGTGTCTCATGCCCCATAGTTTGCTGTGATATTCATGCACCCACTTATTTCTCAATACTTACTGACAAAACTGTTGCTAAAGCTACTAAACAGCCCCACCGCTCTCGCCTCCCTAAGTATACAATGTATATGCTGCTATGCCTTTGTCTAGTAGGTTGGGAATAACATATCGTGTTTTGTGTCCAAGCTTTATATTATGTGCCAAGTTGATTTCCATATCCTTCAACAGGATTGCAAATATTTTCCTCATATCTGTGTCTGCATGTTTACTGGTAAGATGACTCTGAAGCAAATTCTTTTCTACAGTAAGGTGAGTGTTGTGATAGACTTGAACCAGTGGTGGCTCTAAAATTATTCGCTCAACCATTTTGTTAGATCCCACACCACCATTTTTAAACTAGATAGAATTATTTCAAGTCTACAGCTAGCAAGACAACACTCACCTTGATGAATAGATTATACAATTCAACGCACCAGTCAACCCCATGAAAGTTCCCCGGTTTGCCTGTTGGATTGACCAGTATGTGGTATCAAACGGCTTTTCTACAAAATGTCAGCAAGGAAACCAACTTAGTGTCAGAGAAAAGACACACCAAAGACCAACTGGGTATTTAAAATGAACATTCACTAAGTATTTTGACATGTGAGTGGCATACTTGTGTTTCCCAGTAGCCTTGAAAATAAATATCCAAGGCACAATGCATGCTTCTACGCCAGCAATATCACCTGCATTCATAGTGTAGGACAGCTTCTCGTATAACAATGCATATTTGTTAAACAACAAAGTATTTTTGTGTTGTTCATCTTGAGCATCCTGCCTTTTCCTTCGCTTCTGAGAGATAGTATGATCTGCAACATAATCCAGGGCTAACTGGTCAGCAATCAATTTCAAGTCTTCAAATGTTGGTTTTGACGCTAAAAAGTGCTCCAGTCCATGATGTGAAGAGTTTCTCTTTTTAACCTCAATTCTCCAGCAGTCCAGTCTATGACAAGCCCCCGCATGGCCAATAAGCTGATGCATCCGTCAAAAACCAGGCTTCGAGCCAAAAATGCCCGTTTCCCTTGGACGAAGTTTAGCTATATCTCGCATAATGCTGGTCTCATCTTCTCTAGCAGCTGTCAGATTGATAAACACATGCCAAAGTGCTTCGGCAGCAGCCATCTTGAGATGGAATAGCCCAGGGACAAACACTACGTGCTGGAATCAATCCCATGGTGTTGCTTCAATATCCTGACACTGCTGTACTGTCTGTAGACGTTCCCCGGTGCCTAAATCTCCATGAAATAGTACAACATGTTGAGATATGTCAGGTCCTTCATTATTATCCCAGGCTGATGTATTGTCCGACTGACTACCTGTTACAATTGACATACCAGCATCTACTTACACTTCACTTTTGTACTTCTACTTTTATTTTCCAAGTCACATGACCAGTCATGTGACCATTTACTTTACTTTATATTTTCAACTTTTCATAGTCACATGACCAGTGTCTAGACTCATCATGTGACCGGTCACATGCTAGACATCGGACTTTGAACTTTATTTACAACTGTACAGTACCTCATGTATTTTAGTATATATACAAGAGCAATACATGGGGAAGGACTCAGCGAGTCCTCCTGTTGTCTAGCACAACTAACTCACTGCAGCCTAAGGGGTAACCACTCCCCATCATCTTCCTTATAGTGTGTTCCTGTGTGCACCAGAGTAAATAACTCTTGGTTGTTACACTACCCCCATCTGCAGACGGCTCTGTTATTCCACCCTGTGCCAGCGACTCTACAACAGCTTGTATGTTTCCTGGCACTGTCAAATTATTGATGTCCATGGCCCTGGCAGCTATAATAGATGTTTTGACGACAGGAATTGGCTCGGTTGGTGCTAGAGGTCCAATCTGAGACTTGAAGCTCGCAAAGTAAGCAGGTCCTTGATGACAGAGATTATGCATGAACTTCCACGAATTGAATTGCTGTCTACAGCTAAGTCCTGAGGTGTTGGGGACATCAGGATGTATGCTGAGTAGCTGTTCTAACGTTTCCCTAGTGAGACCATCAGACGGAATGATATCTGGATTGAAAGTGGATTTTTCCCAGAGTTCCTGAGAGCACTTGAGGTCTCTGAGAGTAACACCATGCTGCAAGGGAAATAGCAGCCCCAAAGTGAGGTGCTTCAATGTATCTGATGATTTTTTGGCCACAGGTTGGTGAGACTTCAAGTCCACGTCAAAATTGGCATATGCATATGAGGCTAGCATTGTTTTCCCTAGTGCACAGATGTTACGGTGAGACTCAGCTAATAACGACCAAATGGCACTGTGGATTGCACTTTGTGAGATTGAGACACCTATGCAGGCCATCGCGTCGATAACCTTCTCGGGGGAATGTGATGATTGCAAGAAGATACCTATCACGCTCTGCAGTGCATCGGACTTTTGATTTGTACTCTGCATCATGATACTCAAAATGACAACTTTTTTCTATATTATTCCAAGCCCATAATTAGCAGTACAAAGTTCAAATTTGCAGCAAGGAGACATACAACTGCAATTGCAGCTTTGCAATTGTGTTTGCGCTTGTTGGTGCTACTTGCCAGGTTCTCGATGATTCCTTCCAAGTCTAACTTGTCGACGTGATCCCAATATGTGTCTTTAGCCTCCACATCACTCATCCTATAATCCCTATCCCTGTCCCTGTCTACCTTTGATATCTTCGTAGTGGCATTTAGAAGGTACCCTAAAAGTTCCCATAGATATGGTGTAAGGGCCTGGTACTGCGTAGCCGTCTCTGCAATACAGAACATCTCGATTTGTTCGGCAGTCGCTTTCATGGTGTTGAAGTGTCGGCCACTGCTTTCACTTGTCAATTTGCGTATCCCGGATGCATACTGTTCTTGCATTATTTTGCTGGCCCACGCCAAGGAGCTGTTTGGAGCTGGGTCGGTATCCATTGTTCGAGAAACAATAGCCTTGCAGAGTTCACAGTGATTGACTCGGACATGAATTAATACTGATCTTGTTACCTTATTGCCTAAAATGGATAATTCGAGACAGTCGACAGGATTTATTTTGGAGTGGGTTATTTTTGAAGTCAGCCGTCACTTGACGGTCACCAGTCACTATGGCTGACTCGCTTTACAAATGTTAAAGCCCAGCCGCTGTGGAGAGGTTCAGAATCAAAGTTCAGCTGACTTTCAAAATTTTCTCATCACGTGCTTTCTTGCAATGTCAGGATGATCAATTGTCTCTATTCTCTAGGATACATTCTGAACCTCGAAACAGTGGATGGGGAGGAGCCTGGTTCAATTCCCACAGCTGGCAGATTTTTTGCTGTCACCCACAGTCTTGCTATATGAACTATAGGCAGCTATCAGAGCTGGTATAGTTACAAACCTAGCTATATAGAGCTATATATTAGGGACTTGTCTACACCAACTATACCAGCTATACCAGCTATAAGAGCCTATATAGTGCTATATGGGCTATAATAGCTATCTGGGGTTTTCCTGATGTGTTGTACAATAAAGCTGGACCTAGGCCAAAAACATACATCAGGAACTCCCAAGCTTTGTAGCCGCTTGAGATCTTCTCAGCTGGATCTCGTGGTGGACGGTCAAATGAGCCTGGTAAGTACTGTGCTGCATCTTTGACATCCTTGCCATTATTTACCCGTATATCTCCTTGTAGAACAGCCCACACCCATGTATCCCTATTGTCCGCTGGGTCACAGTAGAATGTTCTACACCAGAGAGGTATCAGCAAGTTCAGTATGTTCAGTGAGACCAAGTGTATTATGTCCAAACCGAAACAGTTTGGTATACCAAGCATTCGTGCAGAGGGTAAGCCTAAGAAGATGCTGGGCTTGCTGATACCGGTTGTGAGACAATTCCTCTTAAAGTGGGCCTCATTCAAAGATGACATGAGAAGGCGAAGATTGTCCGGATTTACATTATTTTTTGCAGAGAGCAGCGCGAAGGGTCCAAGTCTTGGTGGGTTGAGCATGTAGCATTACAGTCTCCAGACAGCTTGAAGAAGGCAGGACAGTAATGTTTGCCGCCTTCCTTTAGTCTTCCTTTGACTCCACAGTAGAGCCTGCAACTATGCTTGCCATTATGACCAACGGGTCCATTGAGGTATGCCATTGCGGGACCATCAGCGGTTATGAGCGCTAGGAATGGCATTGACATAAAGAAACGATTAGTGGACGCATCCCATATCTTGAGGCCCTCCTTTTGGATCGCCGAGAGATGGTGCAGGCCCAGGAATAGAAACGAGTTGAGGTTTTTTGGTTTCTTGGGTCCTGGAATGACACACCCCGGTAATACATATGCATGTCATTTCTTGTACCTGTGATTCAAATACAGGTCAAAAATGACCCAGATATACATCCAGCAATCGGAAATCTTCTTTTCGTAGAGCTGTGCACCATCCATCGAAAACACAAGCACTGTATTGCCCTCTTTAATCTTCCCTTCCTTTACAGCCCACATGTATTCAGCACCTGCAAAGAAGTCTTCAAATTTATCAAGGCCATCTTTTATGTTGAGTTCTGCCAGTATTTTTGCTGTAGTAGTCTCGCGGTATTTCATTTTTTCTGCACTTGATGAATCATGCCAGAGTGCTTGAGTTTGGGGGCCAATCGGCATGGTATGGAATTGTTGACGAGCTCTCTTCTCCTTGCCTCCAGTTTCATCAAAGATTTGTTGATCATAGTGTGGGGCATTACACGTAGGGCGTTTTTGAAGTTGCACAAAGGGTCCTGTACAGGCAATACATGAATCTATGCACGTGTCATGTACTAATGAGTTGACGCCTGTTAGCTCGACCATGCGACATTTCATGTAGTAATGTGATAGTATCTTGTCTGCATCCTCTGGATGCAGACGAGCATAGGCCTTATGAATTTTGTCGTAAACTTCCTCCAATGCACTTGTTGTTGCCAACAATAGGTCGAGTGAAAACCGTTCGTGAGGGTCATCAAGGACACAAGGGTATTCTGGAGGGTTTCGTAGGCACTGCAAGGTCTCTGGGTGAATTGGCATTGTTTGATCATCGAGTTGAGCATCCTTGAGTACATTTGCAAAGTCGATAGCGAGCTGTAGATCTTCCATTTGTGTGATATTAGTTAATTCTTGTATTTCAGTGTTTTGAAGCACGTCAGCGTCTTGAAGAGCTTGAGGATCATGGTCGGCTTCTGGTTCGAGATGAGTTGTATTTGTATTGTGGTCGTCTGACCTGTTGATGCCTTGGCCAGGTTGCTCTAAGCCGTGTGGTATGTGCTAGTGAATATTAAATATAAGTATCATATTATAGATGAGAGAGACGCACCTGATCCTCGTGATCTATTGGTGTGATGTCCATTTGACTCTCGACTATGTCTCATTCACCCTCCCAATGATTGTGATCCCGCTTTCGCTTTTTACTTGGTCTGACAGGTAAATGCGAGGACATTGAAGCGGATGGGACTGGGTCCGCGGTGCGATATCCTAGTTCTATCGCCTTGTTTGCTATGAATCACTTGGTTTCTTCGGATAGTGTTCCTTTGCGATAGCTTTTGCGTCGGTTGTAAGTCTTCCGGGATACTTGAGAACACCTTTGCAGTATTGGATACAGTCGCAATGATAATCTTGCGTCGAGTGGGAAGGGATGGGATGGGATCCATGAGGCAGCACGAAACTGAGTGATGCAACCGTGTGCTGTCGCCGACGTCGACCGTTCGAGTGGCGATCAGATCAGATCAAGTCCCAAGGTCGTTATGAATCGTGAGAATTTCACGCTATATCGATCTATTTCTTTGGCAATCATACATTCACTGAGATTCATGATCAGTCTGATTCTGATTCTGTCGTGTCGTTTCCGACTTGACGGATACTGGCAAGACAAACCGGGGGTACACATCTTTTGCTGATGTCTCATCCGACAAACGCAACGCAGGCCAAGGATCGCCTGTACGCCCAATTGTCCACGAGCCTCAAGGGCATGTCACGAGCGGTTGTACAAACTGCCGATCTCTTGGAGCAGCTCCAGACAGATCTGGATGCAATGAAGATGCTTGCAGCTATTCATGCAGCACAGTGAGTCTATTTCACTTGTATGCTGTGATAAAGCTGATATACGCGAATAAGGTTTATGACCGTGGCTGCAGAGTTGAACCCCGAACCGGAAACAGGGAGAAAAACGGCTGACGAAGGAGGAGATCATCACTAAAAACGGAAAATTTTTGTCAAGGTATATCTGAGCTTTATAATGCGGGCAATATATAAAATCACTAAAATAATTATGAAAATTATGATATAGCCTTCTAAGGGTTTACCGAGGGGAAACGAATTGTAACTTTGGGAAAATCTGGTCGACATTATAATCTGTCGCATTACATACAGGTTTGCGAGTAGCATTGTCTCTAATGGTTTCATTGAATCAATATTACCAATCTTTGAATTGTTTTTGTTTATTCAAGTGAATTGTGAAGAGTCTGGTCAATATTGTCATTTGTCACATTATATATAGGTTTGTGTGTAGCGCTGTCTCTAATGATATTGTTGAGCTAATATTACCAATCTCTTGATTTTTTCTCGTTATTTGATCAAACTGTCCCCAGAGTGCTTGTAGTTTGTATAAGAAGGCTTTTTGTGACCATCGCAAAATCATGTCAAGGCCTGCTATAGGTTTGCCAGGCTGAAGATATTTCTGAAAGTGGATATTAATTTTATTGATCTACACACAAGCTCCTGTTAGTAGCATCCGTACATAGTCTTCTTTTTGTTTTCTTGTTTGCGTTTAAATGCCAACCACTGAGAATCTTATGGGGCCTTTGGAAAGTCTTGTCGAGATAGGATTGTTGGCTGATCCCATTAAAATATGTGTTCATTTTATAAGTCGGCTAACTATCATCGATACTTTCTGTATAGCAATAACATTATGTAGAGAATCTGCAAAGCGGTGTCGAAGATGAGAACTGTTGTTAGAAAACCACACACAAAAACAAGCTAACACACGATCCTCCCAGATTCCATGGAACTTGTTTATGGGCTTTGCCTCCTAGAACAGTGGGTGCTCTGGTTGTTCGTGGGGTGGTATGTATAAGGATCCTTCAAAGTAAAACCCGGGGATGTATGGGTGTGGGTTTTGAGGAGGAGGGATAGTTGGAATATAGAAAGATAGGGGCTTTGTGGCGAGTATAGACGAGCACTACCTTGCTAATCGTAGCACAAGGTAGGTTTGAGAACAACAATATGACGAGGTTCCCAGTGATAGCAGGCTCCTGACGCACAAACTGTAGTGCTCAGAAGGACTCTAATCAAAAGGGATGACAATGACTTCAAAAGTGGGAAGTGACGATGACAGCAGTTGACAGTGGTAGCAGTGGGAAGTGTTGTGACCACACTGGATCACAAGCAGCAGAGTAGTGAACTTGAAATTAGAGAAGAAGTCTGGAATTGAGTTCTTGTTGTTTTACAAGGTAAAGTACAGGGGTTTATACAGTGAAAGAAAAGTAGGCTATGCACAGTATAGCTGTGCAAAAAGAATGAGAAAGAACATGAAGGAAGGAATGTACGCTGATGAATCCTGCGTAGGTAGTACAGGATAAGATTGTCAAAATAAGGAAAAGAAAGAGATAGAACAATGAATGCTGTGTAAGTAATGTTACAGGTTTGTACAGCCATAAAGTAAAGTCTAATAGCAGAAAGAGAGCGAGAAAATTGTGATGTCATGAGAAGATGCAGTAAAAAAGGGCAAGGCAAAAAACATCAGTATCAACACAGTTCCTTTATTGTCAGTCAGACATTCTAAAAAATATGTGTCCATAAAAATGATTCAAAATTCAAAAATAATCGCACTGTAAATGAATGTTCTGCTGAAAAAAAGAAACTGGAGCCACCGGTCCACCACCTAGTCCAAATCCGACAGTTCCATGGCCTTACCAATGGACTGGTTGTGTTGGACCACCTGATCAAACGAGGGAGGGAGAGGAGTACTTCCAATTTGGATCCAGTGAGTCCCAGGCAGTGTGTGGTAGGTGTAGCTGTAGCGAAGACAAAGGACAAAAGATAAGTGTACCCAAGTGAATGGGACAGCGATGAACATGGGCGATGCAAGGGGATGAACTTTCTCCAGCTCAAAAACTACCCCCACACTCCAACCAGGCGAGACGAGCGACCAATGTTTTGATGGTATATAATGGCAGATTGACGTCATGAAGATGGACCTGTTGCCCAATTTGGACCAGCCGCCGGGGCTTTGCTGATATCAGCAGTGGCACGTGGTAGTCAACGGATTGGCGACGGAAGCGGATAGGAAGTGGTGACATCAGAAATGGTGGGGGTGCAAATAAGATGAGGAGGAGGAGGGTGGAGGTGACGAAAAAGTGGATTAGAATGAGGATCCAGAAACGACCATCAGGTGAGAATAAAAAGGAGAGGAAGGGGCCCATGGTGGGGCTAGGCAAAGGAAGGGGAGTGAAGGAAACAACAAAAGCGAGGGCACAATGCAATGTGTAGCCAGTGGCGATGCAAACATTTTCCGAAATGCCGAAATGCCGAAAGTACTGAATGGAAAAGCAAAGGTGAGCGTGACTGGATTGCCTAATAGAGGTGATGCTGATCAGCCACAAGTTCAAAAAAGGCAATATTAATTACTATTCCACGTGGCACTGTGCCTGTGTGGCGCAAAGGCGAGTCTTTTTGAATATTTGCTTCGTTATTGACACCTGTCCATGCTACCAATCAACTTTGGTGCATGACAGCGGCTATGGTGTAGCCTTATCAGTGCAATATCTATCAATATGACGATATGAATATCAGCTCATTGCAAGTTTGCTCCTGCTCTAAATCTGCCGTCAGATGCTGAGGTGATGCGCAATGTTTGTCTAAATGTTAATTTCTCAGAAATTTGCATATCCATTGTGAATATCAGAACTACTCATTCATGTTGTTATCACTTAGTTCTGAATGGGAAATATTAAATCACAATATTAATTAGTTCGAAAGTTGTAATATACATGAGTGTCTCTTATAAAGTATGGATACGATGGACAATCCGGTTAGATCAACGATATACGTTCTTGAGTGACTCTTTGTGCCTCAAGCTTTGACACCAATGTCCTTGCGTAATCCTGGGGGCTGTAGTTGCTAGCGTTATGAGAGCCGAAAACTTTTCTACAGAAGTAAAGGAGTTGATTAGCAGCGTTCACAGCCTGAGGTAAGTAGAGCACTTACCGATTCCACCATAATAATAACGCGTTAATGCAATTCTTGCTAGCAGGACCTGGGGGCATCTCAAAAAAATCAACAATAAACCTGTAGAACTCTTTGTAGTCAAAATCCCCATTGATTGGACGCCATGATCTCACATTCGATAATGCGAAACGTAACTATACCAAGATTGTTAGCCATCAATACAAGTTATTATACCTACTGACTGACCTGTACTGCCACGTAAGTGATGATGGTTCCTAGTAGGCACAAAAACATAGGAGTCATTCTCTACCACGCCCCTTGCTGATGAAGGGGAGGTAAAGATAAACTTGAATGCCTACAGGAGAATGAGTAAGATGGTAGCATCATGAGAAGGAAGGCAAGACCTTCAACAACAACGTGCTTTTGAATAAACCTTCTTTCATGTTGTCAGCATTCATTTTATAGTTCTTATACAAGAAGGTAGGCATCATGAGCGCCGTCACTAAGAAGTCTGGGTCACGATTGCATATACCAGCTTTAACTCTGCAATGTATGTCTGATCAGATGTGGTGGACTCAGAATACAGTAAATATTTCATGCTTACTTTGAGTCACTCTAATCATATTCTATGGGGCACAGGAGGCGGCCAGTATGATCGTTTGCAAAGCCGCGGTGTCATGCACCAAAGTTGATTGGTAGCATGGACAGGTGTCAATAACGAAGCAAATATTCAAAAAGACTCGCCTTTGCGCCACACAGGCACAGTGCCACGTGGAATAGTAATTAATATTGCCTTTTTTGAACTTGTGGCTGATCAGCATCACCTCTATTAGGCAATCCAGTCACGCTCACCTTTGCTTTTCCATTCAGTACTTTCGGCATTTCGGCATTTCGGAAAATGTTTGCATCGCCACTGGCTACACATTGCATTGTGCCCTCGCTTTTGTTGTTTCCTTCACTCCCCTTCCTTTGCCTAGCCCCACCATGGGCCCCTTCCTCTCCTTTTTATTCTCACCTGATGGTCGTTTCTGGATCCTCATTCTAATCCACTTTTTCGTCACCTCCACCCTCCTCCTCCTCATCTTATTTGCACCCCCACCATTTCTGATGTCACCACTTCCTATCCGCTTCCGTCGCCAATCCGTTGACTACCACGTGCCACTGCTGATATCAGCAAAGCCCCGGCGGCTGGTCCAAATTGGGCAACAGGTCCATCTTCATGACGTCAATCTGCCATTATATACCATCAAAACATTGGTCGCTCGTCTCGCCTGGTTGGAGTGTGGGGGTAGTTTTTGAGCTGGAGAAAGTTCATCCCCTTGCATCGCCCATGTTCATCGCTGTCCCATTCACTTGGGTACACTTATCTTTTGTCCTTTGTCTTCGCTACAGCTACACCTACCACACACTGCCTGGGACTCACTGGATCCAAATTGGAACTACTCCTCTCCCTCCCTCGTTTGATCAGGTGGTCCAACACAACCAGTCCATTGGTAAGGCCATGGAACTGTCGGATTTGGACTAGGTGGTGGACCGGTGGCTCCAGTTTCTTTTTTTCAGCAGAACATTCATTTACAGTGCGATTATTTTTGAATTTTGAATCATTTTTATGGACACATATTTTTTAGAATGTCTGACTGACAATAAAGGAACTGTGTTGATACTGATGTTTTTTGCCTTGCCCTTTTTTACTGCATCTTCTCATGACATCACAATTTTCTCGCTCTCTTTCTGCTATTAGACTTTACTTTATGGCTGTACAAACCTGTAACATTACTTACACAGCATTCATTGTTCTATCTCTTTCTTTTCCTTATTTTGACAATCTTATCCTGTACTACCTACGCAGGATTCATCAGCGTACATTCCTTCCTTCATGTTCTTTCTCATTCTTTTTGCACAGCTATACTGTGCATAGCCTACCTTTATTTTACTATATAAACCCCTGTATTTTACCTTGTAAAAGAACAATAAGAACTCGAATCCAGACTTTGCTATCACTGGGAACTTCACCATCTCATCACTTTGTCATTCTCAAACCTACCTTGTGCTACGATTAGCAAGGTAGTGCTCGTTTATACTCGCCACAAAGCCCCTATCTTTCTATATTTCAACTATCCCTCCTCTTCAAAACCCACACCCATACACCCCTGGGTTTTACTTTGAAGGATCATTATATGTACCACCCCACGAACAACCAGACCACTCCACTGTTCTAGGAGGCAAAGCCCATAAACAAGTTCCGTGGAATCTGGGAGGATTGTGTGTTAGTTTGTTTTTGTGTGTGGTTTTCTAACTGCAGTTCTCATCATCGACAGCGTATCCTTCCTGATTCCAAATTTTCTTTGATGAATTTGTCCAGTTGTTTTTGCTCTCCTAACGCCAAAGGGTACACTTTGCAGTCTAGTTTGTGTTCCCCTGGGATCAATTCTATGGCATGATCCCATTTGGGTCTTTCTGGTAGTGCATCAAAACTTTCTTTATTGAATATGTCTTTGTAATCATGGAGATACTTTGGGACTATCTTGTCAAAACCTCCTTCCTTCTGATCTTTTCCAGCAGCTTCAGCAAGTTGTTGTGCAGTGGTGCTTGCAGCTCTTATCTGGTAAAGATGTTCTGGAATCTCAATTCTTTCGTATTTAAGTAGATCTACCTGGATTAGCTGATCCCCTTCTGGGAAGTCTACTTCTTTGGAGTATGTTTCCGGGTCTTCCTCTGGATCAGAGAGTTGGACCTTTCATTTACATTCTTCCGGACATCTCTCAAACTTTAGATCCAATTTTTTCCAGTCAATGCTTGGGTTATGTTTTAATAACCATCCGTGTCCTAGAAACATTCTTCCATTGCCAAGATTTGTGACAGCAAAGTGAATCCTTTCAGAGTGGTCATCAATTTCCATTTTGAGTTCAACAAACTCTTTGATGGCTCCATCTTTATTTAGGGTTCCATTGGCATTGTATACTGGTATTGGTCTCAGAATATTATGTGTTTGGTACTCTTGTTTCTTCACAAATTTGTAGTCTATGCAGCTCCCTGTGCATCCGCTGTCTAGTAGTGCTTGGATCATCATTGATCTTTGCGTGTCAAGTGTAGTTAATTTGCAGGTAATATTCATTTGATTTCCCTGTGTTCCTTGGATGTACTTTTTTGGAGTATGAAGTTCTAAGATAGCTAACTTGGCATCATGTAATGATAATGTGTTGAGTTCTTTGATGGTTTCTCTTGTTGCTTCTTTTCCACTTTTGTAGTGCATCCAGGCATTCAAGATTACAATGGATCTTTCTTCCTGTTGATCTCTAAGCCTTTCTGCCACCCACTTGGGAGTCCATGCTGCCATCATTAACTTCCTTTTTTCCTTTTCTAGGTTTTTATTTACAGGGGTGCCTGACCTGTCTTTCATAGTCTCTGCTGTGCTTTCCTCCGTAGAGTGCGCCACATCGGGTATGAAAATTTATTTAGTATCCACCACTGATGCTGCGCCTTTCAATGATTTGCCCGCCGCCGTAGCTGCGTTTGTTATTTCATTGTGCACCGCTTCTGCTGCAGTTGTACTTTTGTTTGGGGTTTCTTTTACCAGTCCCCTCTTCTGGTTTGCATCTTTCATGTTGTTCCTAACTTCTTTCTTTGTCTTTGATTCTTTGCATAAATATATTTTATTTGTAACTGTAGTACAGGTAGAATCATCAACAGGAAGAATGGAGAAAGGGTTGACATATTCAGGCTTGGCCGACTGATGCTTCATTGGTTGCCTCTTTAAAAACCCAACTTTAGAGCTTCGCGCTCTTCTTTTGACAATGCCGCTATCATTGCGCGCAAGTCAATCTTGTTCTTCCCTTCTGTGGGACAGAACTTTCCAATGTGTCCTTTGACTCCGCATTTAAAGCAGATTCCTTCTTTCCTATATTTAGCCTTGTCTATTTCCATGGGTTGCCCTGCACCTGAGTAGACAGTTCTGGTTCCATCTCTGGTTCCAGAATAGGCTTTCTTTCCGCCTCCATTGTCCTTCCTCGCTCCTGTCCTCTCTGTCTGACCGGAGTAGCCCTTCTTTTCTTTCTTACTTTCTCGCCAGATCTGATCAAAATTAAGAAGGAGTTTCCTCCATTCCTCGTATTGATCTGATGGTAACCCTGTAACGTAGAGTTTATCCAGAAGCGTGTAGTTCATGTTCTTTTTTAACAAGGTGATTAGAATGGAATCATCCTTGTACCCTGCTTTCCTTTACAGGCTGTCAAATTCTAAGAAGAAGTCTCTAGCTGTCTTACTTCCCTATTTTAGTTGCAAGATCCAGTTTCTTGCTTCCTCTTCTTTATAATTGTTTTTGAAGGCTTCTTTCAGCCTTCTTTCAAAGATCGACCATCTTTGGTAGTGTGCCCGTTCAAATGTTGAGGTGACAGACATCTTCTCTTCCAGCCACTTGCTATTAAGAACAAAGCTTGAAGGAAGTGTCTAGCCACTTGCTGAGAGCAATCAGGGACTGGAACTAGAGTCCAATGTGAGTAACTTTATTATTAGAGAGTATGACAGGTATACAGTACCTAGAGTCCAATGTGAGTAACTAGAGAATAGGAAGCATTGGGCTCTGCAATACTGTCCGAAGTTTTGTAAACAAAGGTAAACAAAGCAGCCACAAAGGCGAAATAATAGAGAACACAATCAATAGTGAATGATAGAAGAATAGATAGAGAAAGGAATGAAAATATATAGGTAGCACAAAGGTGCAGAATCACCAAAACTAACACTTGCTTCTAAAACTCGCGGCTGTTCCTTCTTTCATATATGATAGCACAAAGGCTATCTTCTTCTTTTCATCTCCAAAGTAGGCTGGGTCCTCTTTGAAGTGTAGTGATAGGTGTTCCATGAAGTTTCTGAACTTCATTTGATCACCGTTGAAAGTAGGCGGGCTATCAAGTGCGCTTCTCAACCTTCTGTGATCTTTCTTCTCTCCTCCGCTGTCGTTTTTTTGTGTGTCAGAATTGGTAGTGATTTGTCGCTCCCACAATCCCCTGTACTCTGCCGCTTCTTGCTCCGCTCTTTCTGCTGCTTGATGGGCCCTCATCCGCCCCTCTCTTTCTTTTTTGGTTGCTTCCGTTACCCTTCTGGCAACTTCCGCTTCCAACATTCTCTGCATCCATTCTTGGATCTCTGGGTTTATGCCTGTTGGCAACTGTGGTGGTGTGAAGGTCCAACTTGGTCCAACTGCCGGCAATGCCTCTGCTAGGTCCAGCATACTGTCAGTCATTGTTTCTGTGGGTGATAATTCTTTTTGCCGATATTGGGCAAAATCAACGGAAATTGAGTACGACAGGTTCGGGAGTTTCCTGTTTGATCTGAGTGGTGGGGGAATGTAATGAGGCTGATTTAATTGATTCTATTTTTGGTGTGTCAAATTTGCAGCACCACAGGAATGTGTGGGTATAGCCTTGTTCTAGATCGTCTCTACGCATACACAGGAGTTCACCAATGACAAATTGGATCGATACACCTCTGAAGATCGTAGATACTGTCTTCTTCTTTCTGATAATCGGGTCCTCTTCTGCCCCGAACTATCTTGTAAGTAAGGTAGTGTAAAGTAACTAAGAAAATAGGTAAATTATTTCGTAATAATTTGGGGTCTGAATGATCCGCTTATTAAGCTGTCAATCCCTCTCCAACTGGCAGACACAAATGCATGGCCTGGTTAGAGGTATTCAAAGATGAAACTAGGTAAAGGTTTTAACCAAACTTTGCTCGGCTCCACACTGGGTAAAGTTGTAACTAATGGGATGGGAGTGAGAGGAATTTCCTCAAGAGATTCTGTGTCTCTGGGGAAGAAGGAGATGATGGTTGATGGACGTGGAGGGATAGGAAGTGTTGTGGTAAGGGTTGAGTTGGTAGATGTTATAGTTGTGTAGACAAGATAGAGAATGATGAATAGGATTGGTAAGGCAAATGTTAGGATGATGGTGATAATAGTAGCTGCTGTTAGAATTATAGATAGTGCTTTGACGAGCTGTTGATTGTGTGAGGACCTGACCCTATACCGAACTAACAGAGGTCAAGAGCTCTAATCGCAAGCAGGGTCTTAACAAGTATAAAGAATTAATCAACAGCTGGGGAGTATGTACATGGAGTAGCTGGTATATATACTACAGAACATGTGTTAGTAATGAGGTACTGACTGAGCGACATGTGTAAGGCATGAGGCACTTTGTAATTGTCTTGGTAAGTAGCCATGTCATAGGTCACGTGATTGGTCACATGACTATGATAAGATAAGATCCTGGAGAAATAATAGATATGGTTTACCGTCTACCAGCAGAAGTAAGGGGTTCAGAAGTAGAGGGCCGTGACAATATTCTTGGGCATCCATATGGCACACTCCTTGCTGGTTTTCTCAACCCCTGCAGTAGTGGGAACTGATGGCATTTGGTGCGCTAAATGAGAGGAGGTTTGTCAAGACATTTTTCAGAGTTAACAATACACGATGCAAATCAGCTTCCTTGCTGTAGGGTATACCCCTCCCTATGCCCTGCGGCACTCCTTTCGGGAATCACACAGTCATCACAAACTCGGCATACCGGCGACATTTGGCCGCTCGGCAGGTAGTTTTTTCGAAGTCCGCATATTTGGTTTCATTTGGCACCGACCCAAAGCTTCGCTTATGGCTTCAGTCCTAGGTGTCCGAACGAGCTCCAAGCTTAAATACATTAGATCACGTGATATTGCGGCTGAAGAGCTGATTGACGCACCTCGGACTTGCAAGACCGCAGCATTAATATTGACCTCATACCGCTGGGTATACACACATGATTCCCTCATGGCTTTCAACGTTGGCCTCAGTTGGCATGGCGGTAGGCCCACCCTTGGTCTATGTCGATCAGGGTATATCTATCGTCCGCAAGAAGTGCGTTTTTCTGATCAGCCACGCGTTTCTTGTTTAACGCCTTGTTGGCAAGGGATTCAACAGGATTTTCTCGTGATGTTTGCGCAATTCTGTAAGTATATTCAATTTATAAATTACTTAGAAGGCTCTTATGCTTTGAATGTAGGTTGACGGCGAATATCACGCGCTGTTTCTTCTGGCTGGGGAAACACTTTGAGCTCACCCTGCTACTACAGTCAATTTTTATGATAATCGCGCAGGTATGATCCGCCTTTACTCTCTTTTCAATACAAACTAACCATGAGATCTTAGCTCATTCTTCTATATATTTGCATCCGCTATCGGCCACGTACCAACCCTGAAAACTATGCTTCGAGTCGGCCTCTTGCTTTCTGGCAGTGGTCGTCATACGCACAGCATATAGAATTTTTGATAGGCTTCACGTGAGCCACTCTTATCACTTCATAATTCTGCCGGTCTAATCTAACCATGGCGTAGTCTGTGTTCAGCCATCCTATTCTTGATATTTGGTCGGTCAGAAATATATGTGTCCATAATGGGTTTTGTAGCTCTCGGACTAGAAAGCACGCTGCCCATTCCCCAAATGATATCGTAAGTAACGATCTGCAGTTGCCCATATTTTATTTAACACTTCCTTCAGCAACTACAAGCAACGCTCGCTTTACGGTTTCAGAGCATCTACTCTATTAGGTTGGGTGGGAGGAGACTCTTTCAAGTAAGTCCCATAGTTCGGCAACCCTTTATGAGTTGGCTAACAATTTAATTAGGACCGTATATTTCTTTTTACAAGGTTCACCTTTGCAGTTCAAAGTCTGCGCAATTTTTCAATTGTCAGTAGATGTTGGTAAGTTTTTTTTTTCGTGAATACTTTATGATTTCAATGTTCATGAGTCTGTTGCAAGCCATTGTCTTGCAGCGGTTATGGTATGGAAATGCCCCACCAGCTGCTACACTTGCTGAAGAAGATGATCTTGAGCAAGCGTTGGCTTTGGCGGAAGAATAAATTATTTCCTTGCCCTGTTATCATATATCTTGAGTAGAACCCGCAAGGCGAGAATTTGATAGAGATACTCGTAGTAAACTATGTATTTATTCCATATAGTGAAATATGCACATTAAGAAAGGGCTGAGGGTGTCTGAAACTTGCTAGTTTTGTGAGAGCGCAGCTGTGCTGGATGGTTATAGTGGCAACAAACAAACATAAACTTTATTGCCCTCCCTTCCTTACAACCAAACGATCCGTTTCTCTTCACCTGCCGAGTGACGACGGCCTTGACGACTTTTACAACAAAATGGCTGATATTTCAAAACCAATCGCCTTTTGCGAGCATTTGCAACTCTCTAGCTTGGGAGTTCAACCAGCTTCCATTTCGTTCCAGGTACGCGCGTTCTCACTCCTGCCTTGTGTCTTGCTGTCATACTCATACCGTGTCTTGCAATCCACCATTCTCCTATAGGTATAGCAAATCTCTACTGAGAATATCCCATTTCTAACCATACTTTTCTCATAGACATTGACATTAGAATCTGACCACTTTATATGCATACGAGAGAAGGTTAATGAGCAGAATCAGGTGGTCATCATAGACCTCGCTGATGCTAATAATGTTCTACGAAGACCAATAAGTGCAGAATCAGCTATAATGCATCCTCATAAGAAGATTCTGGCGTTGAAGGGTGTGTTTTACAAATTTGTTCCTGTCGCCCTTTTCCAACTCTCCCTATCACAGCTGGCCGGACACTCCAAATATTTAACATCGAGACTAAGCAAAAAGTCAAGTCGCATGTCAACAACGAGGATGTGGTGTTCTGGAAGTGGGTTTCCGACACCACTATCGGTATGGTCACCGAATCGGCCGTCTTCCACTGGACAATTGCGGACCAGACTTCACCTCCTCAGAAAGTGTTTGACCGTCATGCAACTCTTTCAGGCGCTCAGATCATCAATTACCGTGTCAGCTCAGATGAGAAGTGGTTGGTTCTGATTGGTATATCCGGAAATACCACCAATCCCTCTGCTTTCAAAGTGAAAGGCGCCATGCAGTTGTACAGCCGGGAACGGGGAGTTAGTCAGCCTATCGAAGGTCATGCTGCTTCCTTCGCCGAAATCAAACTAGACGGACACCAAAATACTACCAAACTTTTTACATTTGCCGTACGCACGGCCACTGGAGCAAAGGTGTGTCTAACTGGGTTCCGTGACATCCTTGAAGTATTTCTCATCCCTTGGAATAACATTAGCTACATGTCGTGGAAATAGACCATACCGCTCCGGACCCTCCTTTCGTTAAGAAGGCTGTCGATGTTTATTTCCCTCCAGAGGCAACAAATGATTTCCCCGTTGCGATGCAAGTGTCCAAGAAACATGGTATCATATATCTTGTCACGAAATATGGTTTCATTCATCTCTACGACCTCGAATCCGGTGCATGCGTTTACATGAATCGCATTTCCGGAGAGACCATATTTGTTACTGCAGAGCACGAAGCAAGCAACGGTATCATTGGTGTGAACAAGCGAGGACAGGTCCTCAGCGTAAACGTTGACGACCAAACCATCGTTCCTTATATTTTAACCACTCTCAATAATACGGAGCTTGCTTTCAAGCTGGCAAGTAGGGCCAACCTTCCAGGCGCAGAAGACTTGTATACCAGGCAATACCAGCAACTGTTTTCGAGTGGCCAGTTCAGTGAAGCCGCGAAGGTGGCAGCAAACTCACCAGGGGTATGTTTTTAGATTGTTGATGACCGTATAGATTAGCTAAGTTGATTGATTTCAGGGAATTTTGCGCACAGCTCAAGTCATCGAGTCCTTTAAGAATGCTCCTGCAGCTCAGGGTGGACTTTCACCCATTCTTCAGTACTTTGGTATACTTCTTGAGAAAGGCGAACTCAACCATCTCGAGTCCTTGGAACTTGCGCGTCCAGTGCTGCAACAGGGGAGGAAGCAGCTGTTGGAGAAATGGCTGAAAGAGAACAAGGTACCGTAATGATAATTTTATTTGTTTCTGGTTAGCTAATCTAAAACTTGGCTGTAGCTCACCTGTAGTGAGGAGCTAGGAGATATCGTCCGTCTGCATGACTTGACTTTGGCTCTGAGCGTGTACCTCAGGGCGAATGTTCCCAATAAAGTCATTGCTTGCTTCGCCGAAACTGGCCAGACTGAGAAAATTGTTCTCTACTCCAAGAAGGTCGGCTACAGCCCAGACTACGTTGCTCTTTTGCAACATATCATGAGGACAAATCCCGATAAAGGAGCCGAATTTGCTGCTCAGCTCGTCAATGACGAGGCAGGTCCTTTGGTGGATGTTGAGAGGGTTAGTACATTGGAAAATTACTGTACCGTGCTTATTAACAGCCAACATCCAGGTTGTGGATATCTTCATGTCACAAAACATGATTCAACCCGCTACTTCCTTCCTGTTGGACGCTTTGAAAGACAACAAGCCGGAACAAGGTCATCTCCAAACTCGTTTGCTGGAAATGAACCTCGTACATGCTCCCCAGGTTGCAGATGCTATCCTTGGCAATGAAATGTTTACGCACTATGACCGTCCCAGGATAGCTAATCTCTGTGAAAAGGCTGGGCTGCTGCAACGGGTAAGCATAGCCGTTATAGCTAGTACGTATTGCCTCATACCTAATACTATCTCTATAGGCCCTGGAACACTACGAGGATATTGCGGATATCAAGCGGGCTATTGTGCACACGAACGTTCTTCAACCAGAGGTACGTTCATTTATTATCCCCGGTCTCATTCTGTCATTTAGCTGAGTTATTTTATAGTGGTTAGTAACTTACTTCAGTCGCCTTACGACGGAACAGTCTATGGGCTGTATGCAAGAGATGCTTCGTGTAAACATGCGCCAGAACCTTCAGGTTGTCATTCAGATCGCTACGAAGTATTCCGACATCCTTGGCCCTGTTAGCCTTATTGAGATGTTCGAGTCATTCAAGAGTTTCGAAGGTAAGAAACTAAATTTCATTTTCCAATCAAACACTGCTGATACTTTGACTCAGGTCTATACTACTATCTCGGTTCCATCGTCAATCTCAGCGAGGATTCTGAAGTGCACTTCAAGTATATACAAGCTGCCACCCGCACTGGGCAGATCCGCGAAGTGGAGCGTATCTGTCGAGAGAGTAACTTTTACAACCCGGAGAAGGTCAAGAACTTCCTCAAAGAAGCCAAACTCCAAGACCAACTCCCGCTCATCATTGTTTGCGATCGTTTCGATTTCGTTCACGATTTGGTCCTGTATCTTTACCAGAATGGTCTTACCAAGTTTATCGAGGTCTATGTTCAGCGCGTCAATTCTGTTCGGACTCCCCAAGTAGTTGGCGGTTTGCTCGATGTTGACTGCGATGAAACTACTATCAAGGGCTTACTTGCCTCGGTAACTGGAAACTTCCCCATTGACGAGCTCGTCCACGAAGTGGAGCAACGGAACCGACTCAAGCTTATCCTCCCTTGGCTTGAGGCCCGTGTACAGGCTGGTAGCCAAGATCCACCTGTTTACAATGCCATGGCCAAAATCTTCATTGATAGTAATAACAATCCGGAGAGTTTCTTGAAGGAGAATAATGTGAGTATATTTCTTGAGCTGTGCAGTTCGAGTAGACTGTTGACTAACCTATCTCCTCATACAGCTGTATGAACCTCTTGTTGTCGGAAAGTTCTGTGAAGCTAGAGACCCATACCTGGCCTACATCGCTTACGCCAAGGGCTTTTGCGATGATGAGCTCATTGCCATCACCAATGATAATGCCATGTTCAAACAGCAAGCCCGGTACCTTGTCAAACGTCGTCAGCCAGAGCTCTGGGCTCAAGTCCTTGTGTCGGACAATATGCATCGTCGTGCTCTCATTGATCAGGTATGTTGAATATTTTATCTCCACGTAGATGCCTTTTTAATGCAGCTGTCAGATTTCTGCAACAGCGCTACCTGAGTGTACAGACCCAGACGATGTCTCCATCACTGTCAAAGCTTTCCTGACCGCCGACCTTCCTATTGAGCTGATCGAGTTGCTTGAGAAGATTGTCATCGAACAATCGCCATTCAGCGATAACCGCAATTTGCAAAACCTTCTACTACTGACAGCCATACGGGCAGATAAGGGGAAGGTGGTTGGTTATATCAACAAGCTGCAGAATTATGACTCTGGCGAGATTGCGAAAATTGCAACCGACCATGGCTTATACGAGGAAGCTCTTACCATCTACAAGAAGTATGAACAGCATGCCATGGCTATCAATGTTTTGGTCGAGCATATTGTTTCTATTGACCGAGGTTTGGACTATGCAAATAAAGTTAACAAGCCCGAGGTATGGAGCAGGCTAGCCAAGGCTCAGCTAGATGGCTTGCGTATCAAAGATGCTATCGGTTGGTTTCTTTCATATTATTACCATAAATCCTTATTCTGACTGTTATCGTTCTAAGATTCGTACATCAAAGCTCAGGACGCTACTAACTTCGCCGAGGTTATCGAAATCTCAAGTCATGCTGGCAAGCACGATGATCTTGTTCGCTTCCTACAAATGGCTCGTAAACACCTCAGGGAACCCAAGATTGATACGGAACTAGCATACGCCTACGCGAAAACCGATAGACTCCACGATATGGAGGATTTCTTGGGTATGACAAATGTTGCCGACATCCTAGAAGTTGGAGAGAAATGTTTCGAGGACGAGCTCTACCAAGCTGCAAAACTCCTGTTCACTAGCATTTCTAACTGGGCGCGTCTCGCCACCACTTTGATTTACCTTAGCGAGAACCAAGCAGCCGTGGAGAGCGCGCGGAAAGCCGGCAATACTCAGTGAGTTTATTTCGCCCTGGTTGTATGAATGATACTGAACGGCGTGTAGGGTCTGGAAACAGGTGCATGCAGCTTGTATCGAGAAATCTGAATTCCGTCTCGTATGTTATCACCTATAATCTCTTGTTTGTATTTTATTAACACGAAGTCATTCAGGCGCAAATTTGTGGTCTGAATATTGTGGTTCATGCGGTAAGTTTATCATAATGTTCATTCACGTTATATATGCTGAAGTATATATTCAGGAGGAGCTTCCTGCCATCCTGTCGTCTTACGAACGCCGTGGGCATTTTGATGAAGTACTGTCTCTCCTCGAGGCTGGTTTGAGCCTGGAAAGAGCACACGTATGCCCCCTTTATGTTTATGTTTGCACTCTTGCTGATAGTAGACATAGATGGGTATATTCACGGAACTATCAATACTGTATTCCAAATACAGGCCCGGAAAGCGTGAGTTGCAAGCGAGGTTTTCTGTGGATTTTACCGACTCACATTACTCCAGTTATGGAACACCTCAAGTTGTTCGTATCCCGCATCAATATCCCTAAGGTGAGGATTCACCTACACTCGTTTTATTTCCTAGTGCTAAATCGAAATGTAGGTTATCAAAGCCGCAGAGAAGGCCCACCTATGGCCAGAGCTTGTCTTCTTGTATATCAAATATGATGAATTCGTGAGTGGGTCGGTGTATATGTAAGGATTCCTAACTCAACAATGACTCCTACAGGATAATGCGGCCTTGGCAATGATAGAACGATCAGCTGATGCATGGGAACATAACCAATTCAAGGATGTGATAGTCCGAGCTGCAAATGTGGAAATGTATGTTTATTCGACTCATCCCTCAATTAATAAGACATACTTATTGTGTGTTTTAGCTATTACAAGGCTTTGACGTTCTACCTTCAAGAACAGCCCATGTTGATCACAGATTTACTCACTGTCTTGATACCTCGCATTGAACACGCCAGAGTAGTCCGGATGTTCCGGCAGATTGACCATATTCCGCTTATCCGCTCGTATCTCATCGCCGTCCAACATGTGAGTATCAAGCAATATCTGTTTGAATGATATGTTACTTATATGCAATCAAGCTGAACATTGAGGCTGTGAACGATGCTTACAATGACCTGCTCATTGAAGAGGAAGATTACAAAACCCTTCGCGATTCCATTGACAGCTTCGATAACTTTAACAATATCGGCTTGGCACAGCGCCTTGAGAAGCACGGCCTTCTCGAGTTCAGACGACTTGCTGCTCACCTATACAAAGTATGGAGATCCACTCTCTTTGCATATTGACCATGGCCAACTGAATCAAATGTATAGAAAAATTCACGGTGGGATGAATCGATATCGCTGTCAAAGCAGGACAAACTCTACAAAGACGCTATGATCACGGCAGCTACTTCGGCTTCAATAGAAGTCGCCGAAGATCTTCTGTCATACTTTGTCGACGTTGGCAACAAAGAGTGCTTCGCCGCCATGCTCTATATTTGCTTCGACCTTCTGCGGTCTGACATCGTGGAAGAACTTTCATGGCAGCACGCACTTAACGATTTCTACATGCCGTACAGAATACAAGTCCAACGATCACTGGTTGAGAAGGTTCGGAGTCTTAGCATCATCAGTGCTATACTGTGCTAACAAATCACATAGTTACACGCTCTAGAAAAAGAAGTCAAAGAGCGTTCGATGAAGGAGACTAAAAAGGAGGAGCAAGAGGCTGAAGTTCCGATTATAAACCCCGGAGGCTTCGGTAACCGTCTGATGTTAACGCAAGGGAATGGGTAAGGTTTCGTATACGTTTTTCTTTTCATCAGCCGCTTATGTCTGGTATTTTTAGTTTCGTAGGACAAGCTCCTCCTCCAATGCCGAATGGTACAGGATTTGGTATGATGCCCGTAAGTTAGACTTAATGCGATTTTATTCACATCCTAACCAATGGCCACTCTAGGCTATGACTGGATTTGGATTGTAATGGTCGTGTTTCACTTTCTCCTACTGAATTTATCGTACTTCCACGCTTTGTGTTTCCATTGCTGTAATGGACTATTCTTTTTCATCATCAAATTCGTCTGATTTAAGAAACCCGGAGGGTAAGAACAAAATAAACAAAGTAGAAGGGTATCAAATGTATCCATGCAAAGTGTTTCTGGACTTGACATCATAAATTGTAAACGAGAGCATTAGCATCAATATTAAGGTCGATATATAAGATGTGCCAACGACAGCGAAAAACATCACATTATTATGCACGTGGAACCAGCTTTCGTTCTCGTGCTCAGAGACACCCGTGCAGCCTCGTTGAAGACTTCCGTTACGCCTCGGTTGTGTTTCGAGCTACACTCTGTTGAGAAAATCTTTATAAATAGGTGGTACCAACGATGATATGCAGTACAAACCAAGGTAACGAGAAGCTCGTATTCGACGGGCAACTCCAAGTCCTTCGTCGTACTGCACTGGGTGTGTTCCATACCGTGCCAGCCGTTCCCGGACCATAGGGTCATCTCGTAAGTCACATTTGAGGGCTGTGGAGACATTATTAGAGCAGCTAACACTCTGCGGTCATACTGTACTGACCAACTAACACAAGCTATGGCAGCAATCATATTAGCAACGAGTACGAGACCTCGAGTGTATTTGGAAATACCTTTACACCCGGACAATACTCCAGGATCTCGTCTAACCACTAGAAATTGTGAAAAGTGACGGGTAAGTACGAATAAGTCGAAGATCGAATGCAACTAACCTTTGATTCTACATTTTCCAGTGATATCGGGTTATCAACCTATGAATAGACGCGCGTTTAAGAGGACTAACAGATACATAAAATCAAAGAGTAACTCACTGAAAAACAGATCATGATGACATGAGTTTCAGCGTAGCTTAAAGATCGTAACCTATCGAATTCTTCCTGTCCTGATGTTGCCTTTGAACATTAGATGTCGCAAAGAACACGCGAAGACGGAAGGAGAAACGCGAAGCCTACCGGCAGTATCCCATAAACTGAGTTCCACTAGTTGGTCGTCAATGTACAAGTCGTGAACATAGTTTTCGAAGACGGTTGGTTCGCTGTAGGTTGGTGTTCAGTAGCGAACTAAGTAAAACAAGCGCTAAAGGACGTACTATACTTGAGTGAAGAAACCTCTCGTGTAGACATTCAACAGAGATGTCTTTCCTGTGATGCACAAGACATGAGAACAGATTTACGAGCCAATAATAAACGTGGCCCACCGCAAGCACCATCGCCGCATACCACCACCTTTCTTTGCAACTAACGGGTATCCTCTCAGACTCAGAAGGGACAGATGTGAGTATTGGACTCACAGGACGACGCCCGAAGCCTGGTTTTGAAGATGACCCACACATGGGCATAATTGCTGGCAAGAAATGAGAAAGCGTTGAGCTCACGGTAGCCGTGTGTGCTAGAATTTGGTGGTCACGCTCGAAAAGGTGCCTTGTTGGTCCCCTGGGATTAGGTAAGCTCGGTAACAATGTACACTTCTTCGTGACGTTATTTGGTAGAAATATAGGAGAATGCATATTGCAACTTTATACTTGCCCACTCGTTCACCTGCATTCTCGTCTTCTTACATCTCTTCTAATACATGAACGTTGCATTCACATCCAGAACCCTTTCTCTCTCGAGACCGCAGCTATTCAGAGGAATCAGAAAAGTCCAGAGCTCATTTGCAACTTGTTCGGTTCTATCCGCCAACCGTGCTGTCGTATACACCAGCAATGGTGACCCTTCACAGGTGCTATCAGCGCTGACATTCTCTAACCTACCACCACCACCTCCAAATACTGTCAACGTCAGATTTCTTTTGTCGCCCATCAACCCAGCAGACATCAACGTCATCGAAGGCGTTTATCCCGCCAAACCCAACCCGAACGCGTCCCTCTCATCCTCTGGGAAAGGTAGTCAAGATGAACCAGTATTTGTGGCCGGAAATGAGGGTCTAGCAGAAGTTACGAACGTCGGTGATGGGGTCACTCATCTCCAACCAAATGACTGGGTCATCATGACCAGGCAACAGGCTGGAACATGGTCTACGGGCATGAACGTCAAACCACAGGATATCTTAAAGGTCCCTAGATCCCTTAACGACGTAGAAGCTGCTACTATCACGGTATTTCAAGTTACTCCACCTTCCATCAGTTGCTCAGTGTCCTTCTTGCGTTTCTCATAGGTCAACCCACCGACTGCCTATAACATGCTCCATGATTTTGTTCAGCTCAACGAAGGTGACTGGGTGATACAAAATGGTGCTAATGGCGCCGTGCGTTAGATCATCTATAGATAGCAAACCCCATTAAATCAAAATCACTTATAGGTTGGTCAGGTCGTCATACAGATAGCTGCGGCCAAAGGGTTGAAAACAATCAACCTAATCCGTAACAGGTGAGAATTCAGCGTGATAATCTGGTACAACTACTCAATTATATCATTTGGTCCCATTTCAGAAATGATATTGCGTCGTTAACGGAATACCTCTCAAACCTAGGTGCAACGCATGTCGTCACCTATGATGAGTTGTCTGACAAGAGTTTCAGGCAACGAGTGAAAGAGTGGACAGGAGGAAAGGTGTGTACTTATCCTCGGTTCTCCATGCTGCGTTATCCTTTGCTTACTATGTCCTTTGCCAGAACATTCGTTTGGGCCTAAACTGTGTCAGCGGGAAACCTACGACACTCATGACCCGTTTGCTGGGCCAAAACGCACATCTCGTGTCGTATGGTGCAATGTCTAAGGAACCGCTGTCTTTGCCCACTTCTTTATTCATATTCAAAAATTTGACTTGTCATGGTTTCTGGCAAAGTCGTTGGTATGACAGCAAGAGCTCCGGTGAAAGAGAGAAGCTCGTTGAGACCCTAGTCGGGCTTATGCGCGCAGGCAAGGTAGGCGCACTGGACCACTTTTCGAAGTTGTGCTTGACATTGTTTTCCTTTTGAAGCTGAAAGAGCCTTCCCACGAGATCCTCACTATACAAGGTAGCGAAGGTGATGAGGAAGCTAGTCAAAAGATTAGACATGCGATTGCTACATTGGCAAAGGGTCAGCATGGAAAGAAGATTCTCTTAAAGATGGAAGAAACGTTTTGATAGTGTATATTAGGTGCATATGGAAGGCCAAACATGTATAATTGCATCCCTGACTACCGCATTTTCCTATCCTCGAAGAATCTCTGGAAGGAAAGGAAATAACTTTAAGCACTGATAGAAACGTTCAGTCTTTACAAGACTCACCTTCAAATGTCGTAGTTGCCACGCACAAGTCGAGACCAGCACAATAATCTGGATCACGCTGTACCAAACAGCTCGAGAATTAGTCTCTTCGCTAAGATCTCTGAAGTCTGCTTCTCGCTCGCGCTGATACTGCTGTTCACGTCTGATGTCCTCCAGTTTTTGGTTCAAGTCTCGGATTTTGGCGGCGAGTTCTGACACGTGAGAGCGGTCGTGCTCGATATCGGGTTTGGTGGTCCCAACGACAATATCGAGGTAAAGTCGGATGTGCGTGCTGGAGAACCATGACGTGTAATTCGTCGAGAGACATATCATATGGTCGCCAGCTTCGTGAGATGTGAATGTGAAGCGACCGTCACTGGGACCTTTGGTCTTGGCGACAGAATGCGAAGTTTCCATTTCCTGAAAAGAGAGGAAGAGAAATAAGCTAAGAAGGGCTGCAAGAATGGGGAACACGAAACAGAATATATACGCACTTCCACTTCTACCAGTATTCCAAGATTTGGTTCTTCCACATACTCCTGCTTTCCCTCAGACCATTCTAGTGCTCGGTAATGTCCTGTTATATAATATCAAGTTCAGTGTCATATGCTTTGTTTTACATGGTTTTAAACACACCCTCGACCACTGTATCAGTGGGTAATTCCTCAATGAAGCATCGTTTCTCGTTGGCGTCAAGGTAGAAATGTAAGGCCCTCACAGAGGTTATGAAGAGGAGAACAGGGATGAGAGCGAATGATGGTCGTAAAAGCATTTCTGGTTACCCTCTTCCCTCAGCACTTTTGGTGAAATGTTTTGAAAGGATCTCAGCTGGAGAAATGAAGCCTAATGGGTGCAAGCTGTCTTCGTGTCACGCTACGCCTTATGTAATCACTCGGACCAGGATCATCCTCTGATTTCCCAGTCCAAGGTCACATATTGACCACTGCTACCCAGACTTCAAACCTTTCTCTTTTCTTTGGAAGAGTATCAGGGCTCTTTTTCTCTCTCTTCCTCATCACACAGCAAAAATGGCGCCCGTTAGATTCAATCCGTCGTCCATAAAAAATAAAATGAAGCGGGAGGAGGTTGCGGGAAAACAAAAAAAGGCCAAGAATAAGGAGAAACTTCAAAAGAGAATGGCACAAGCAAAGCTGGAGGCTAATGACCCCGCAATAAAAAAGGTGAACCCAACGATCAGCCAGATATGCTTGCTGACGCTCACGATGCGATCATTTTTCTCTTTAGAAACGTCTTGCAGAAAACGTTCCTCGTACGCTCGACAATACCCGTGAATTTGACCCTTCGATACCTTCTTCGTCAAAGACACCAGATGGGTCCTTGACTGTACAGCAAGAAGAACTGTCTAATGACATAGCATCCGATCCCTTCTCGGACTACTTCTCCTTCACCCAAGATCCCAGTATTCCCCCAAAAGTACTCATCACCACATCGACAAAAGCTTCAAAAGCCACTTTTGAATTCTGTGATGAACTTGTAGGCGTGTTTCCCGGTGCTGAGTATATCAGGCGGAAAAAGGGCAAGGGGTATGAGATAGGCAAAATTGCAGGATGGGCTGCAAAACGTGGGTTCAAGCACTTGTGTGTGGTTAACGAGAACGGCAAGAAGCCAAGTAAGTCTTCTTTCTCGTTTGCTATGCATAGCCCGAGACTCACTCTTTTAAGCTGCTATCACTTTGGTATACCTTCCAAACGGACCCACGGCATATTTCAAGCTGACTTCAGTAGAATTGACTAGCCAAATTTATGTGAGCTATAGTCTACCCTAGCCAAGTTTTTGTGTCGATCTCATATACCGTCTTAGGGCCATGCACGAGCTACATCTCATCATCCAGAACTTGTCCTGAACAACTTCGCAACGTCTCTCGGTCACGCGGTCGGGAGAATGTTCCAGACTCTCTTTCCTCCCATGCCCGAGTTCCAGGGGCGTCAGCTTGTCACGTTCCACAATCAGCGCGATTTCTTGTTCTTCAGGAGACATCGGTAATGAGAAATATACTACAACACCTCGCTTTCGTCATGCCAACTCACCTTGTATATCATTTTAGTTATGCCTTCCGTTCCACTGAGAAGGTGGCACTGCAGGAGATTGGCCCACGTTTCACTCTAAAATTGCGATGGGTGAAGAAGGGGCTTCCTGCTGTGCACAACTTCGGAGAGGCACCGAAACCTCCCGAGATTGATGCTGGAACCACGGAGGCAGATGATGGCGACCAGGACGAAAATGCAGAAAACAAGGAGACACCTACTGTGGGCCAGCTACCGAAAGACAACGACTATTTATGGATACACAAAGTGAGTTCTTGTACTTGTATCGACCACTCTACAGACACAAATGATGTTTTCATTTTCCTAGCCCGAGTTGGATACATCAAGACGTACCTTCTTTTTATAAATTTATGGATTTAGCATACCGTGTTTTAGTTACTCATCATTGCAATCACTTTATGTGTCGATACGCTCTTAGGTCTCCCAATGAAATCAATTACGAATCAATTACTGCTTCAACAAATCCAGAGTATCAAAAAAAAATAAGTGTAATCCACATATAGGAAAATATCATCTGAGTAATGGGTAACTTCGATAACAACCACACTGTAACGCACGACAAAAAGAATAGCAAAATGGTACATGCGAAAGATGGTGTATCGACTGGACAATAGATTAGGGCAAATGTGCGCGGGAATATGCGATGACAACGGATATATACAATCGTCGCGAGTACTACGATGGTGTCAGCTGCAAGGTTTTTAACGTTTTGAGCAACATACTGGCTCGCCGAAAGGTCATGAGTACGTCTTCTCAGTCATGATGTTATCCATCGGAACGCTCTGAGAATCTGAACCAATGTAATCCGAAGCAGCGCCATCCATGACGACGCCATCTATTCGGTGGTCGGTCGCGGGAGTAACTGGTCGGGATGATACTAGTCCACCGGTCGACGACGCAGTGACGGAGGATACGATTTGCTGGTTATGAGGGTAGTACGAACGACGCTGCATTTTCTTAAAGTCGTAGGATGTGAATCTAGAAGAGAAGAGATATGTTACTTCTAAGAGGAACAATCAGTGATGTCAATGATCAACGTACTGATCCTCCATTTGCCTCATTTCAGCACTCATGCTGTTGGGGTCCCGAACTTTACGCGTCTTTGCTTTCAAAGGGTTATCTTCAAGAAGTAGTTCCTCGAGTTCATGAGAAGCATCGAAATTAGCTTTCTTGGACTGGTTTGGCATGACTAAGCAATGATGATCTGTAACAGTCCAAAAAGTAGTACGTACATCTGGTGTAAAGGGTGGGATCTGCTCTTTAGTGTCCAAAGTTTGCCAGTCTATTGTCTGGAACCAAGGATGATGGCGCAACTCATCGAAGTCCTCGCCGTGTGATGTACAAGGCAACCGTTTCGTCGGATCCCGTTCCAAGAACTATCAATCGATTAATAAGCACGGATCACAAACGGGGGCAAGCCCCTAAATTGAAGTATTGGTGGAACATTGAGCGAACAGAAAGTGATACCTACAGCTCTCAAGGCTTGCATACCAGCGCGACTGCATTTCTTCTCAGCGTCTTCGGGAAATCTTAAAGAGTCCTTGGAAATACTGTGTGTCAGATCACTGTTCGTCTTCCCTCGGAATGGTCGTCGTCCAAACACCAGTTCGTACGCACAGACACCCAGTGACCACCAATCGACCGTGTAAGTATACCCACGCTTCGTCAGAATTTCGGGAGCCATGTACGCCATGGAACCTGCAACCCCAGTCAGCATCCGTCGCTCCGAATAATGCACCGCTATATTAAAGTCAGTCAGATGAGCGTGGCCACGTTCGTCAAGTAGAATATTGTCTGGCTTAAGGTCGCTAGAAAGAAGAAAAAAATCAGCATCTTGATAGTCGGTTTTCAGTTGCTAAGACGGACCGGTGCATTATACGGTTCTCATGCAGAAATACAAGTGCCGAAGCTATTTCAGCAACGTAGAACCGGACAGTTTCCTCAGGCAGACACCCCAGCCGTTCGAGATGAACTAGAGACATGGGAGTAAGGTTGGGTCGTTATATGCGAGGCAAAGATATATATAAAAAAACATACATCGTAGGTCTCCTCCCAGCATGAGATCCAAGACGAAAAAGCAATTTTCGTCGTCTTGGAACGCATATCTCAGATTCACAACGAAAGGATGATCGATCTAGTGACAGAAAGACGTGTGAGACGGACATTCCACGAGTGTAGTGTCGGAAATGAGATTAAATGATAAGTTACCTCTTCAAGAAGCCTTCGCTCCTGTATGATATTCGCAACCGCTTTCATCTTAACGCACTTGGCTTTATTAATGTATTTTAACGCATATAATTCCCGGGTCTGCTTATGGTGCACCATGCGGACCTATGCGTTGGCGATATGTCACTATTCCTTGGAGATAACACATCCTGAATACATACCTTTCCAAACGCACCCTTCCCAACACAACGTAGGAGCACGAAATGGAATAAATTGGCATCTCCGTCAAAGTCCACAGGCTGTAAAGCTTGTCAGATGGCTTGTCCTTGCAGGAAAAGAAGCTTGGAAAAAATAACTTGCCTGTGGTCGACAGCATAGAGCACCCATTACAGTCCGTCAATGGTCGTGAATAGGCCAGATGTACGGAAACCAGTGAAGAAAGAAGAAAGAGAATCGTTGTATGAGAGAATGAAGTTTGCAACAAGGAAGTATGATGGCTCCTTCGAGGCCGTTGCGGTGCTGCGTTGGACGCTTTGGACTGGGAGGAATCCAATGAAAGAAAGACTGGGTTCACCGCCGGAACCAGCGTCGTGCTCGTCGTGACTGTCGTGACGAAGGA